ATTTACATTCAACCGAGCATCGTTATCTAGCATTTCTGTTTGACCTGCTATTATTTAGTTTTCCATGGTATTTTTCAACCAAATAGATTGTCCAGACTTTTTTTAAAGGATATTTTTCAATCAAATATTTATTTACTTTTTTCGACTATACATTTTTCAACATTTTTTTCCATGACATTCAATATTTTGACTTCTTCTTTTTTTAAACCTTTTTTCATGTCATTATTTTACTTTCTTTCCATGACACCGGGGCCCCCCCTGGAACACAGGGTTCATGTGTCTGAGAACACGCCGCGCATCCCTCCGCAGCAGGATGCGTCTGTTATTACGCAGCACAAAGGCACCAATCGGGTGACCTCTGCTATCAGTCGCAGCACAGTTTGTGCTGGCAGTCGTCTTCATTTCGTTCCAGGCGGAGTATTGACTGAACCCCTCTCTGAATCTCCCTCTATTGTCCTGCTGCCAAACAAGAGAAACCCTGACATCATTGAAACAGGCAGTAACCAGGCATAAGCAATCAATCCAGGAGGACCAGGAACAGTCTAAAGGACACATGTAAGTTGAGGTGATGCTCATATTTAATGCAAAATGAGAAACACATCCTGTCGTGTCGATCCTTCCGGTCTGTCCAGTTAGTCTGAAGGAAGAAATAAGCACATTAATGGAGTTGGCTCGATGCCTGAGATGTATTCAAATATATTCCACATCAAATAAACTTTGATTTGGCTTAGGGTCATTGTTGCTATGGATTTGTAACAGGAAGGCCTCTTCAAAATGCGACCATGCTAATTACAGGCTGAATATGATTATGTTAATTATTATCCACTTCCAGGGCCGTCGTTGTGTAACTTTTGGCAGTGATTCAACTGAAATACTCTTAATGCAGCCCGACTCTTACCTTCCCCTTGCAAAAAGCACATGTGATCGCTCACTTGACTCAGCGGGCTCCCAAATTTTTTTTTTCTCCCAGGAATCCGATGTTAAAAGAATAAAAATGAACTGCGTTAAGGTAGCTTTATGTTTAGCATAACATCTGCCCGTGAATACAGCTGTGCAGCCGGCGCAATAGTGTAACTGTGAGTGACACCAAACATTTTCTAGGTTGCGTGTTGGAATTCTTGTTCAAGGCTCTCCGTCAATTGTAAAATCCTATTTTACAGCTATAATAGATTTTCTGAGTGGTGGAAAAAAAAGTGGTAATCCTCTTAAGACCTCCGACCGTTGGCACAGTCGTGATTTTAAATGACTTTATTCCACAGGCGGCCTCATCGGGGTCGGGCACCATTTTTTTTGGTGGCGATTGCTTCATCTAAGGACCAAGCTGTTCAGCCACAGTGAGGCTCAGCCGGCCCTCTGAACTGATGAACCATGTGTGGTAAAGAGAGACGCAGATTCACACAGGACCTCTTTTTGCAGCCAGAGGAGTCGCCCCCTGCTGGTCAGCCACGAGCGGCAGATGGAGACACTTTTCTCACAGCGAGGAGGTTTACAAACGACTCACTGCTCATTCATCGCTGCCGACACATGAAATCTGTCAGGGTAACGTTGAAAATAGCTCACATGCTCAAAAAATATGAATTCATTTAAAGGAAATCACAAACAAATCTTTATACTTGTATGATGAATTACACACATAAATGTCAAATTGCAGGTATCTGCAGAGCTGGCTCCTTCTCATAATAACACGGGTAATATATGCAAACATATTGTCTAATTCTAAAATACAATCTTGGGGCATTGGATGTCGTCCCAGAGGTACTTCGGTTTCAGTAGTTGGACAGAACATTTTAAATTGTCTGGAAAGCTGCCTGGATTGTTTTATCCGCTTAAAACTAAACATCATTATTTACACCATCGCTGACAGAATGTTGGGCTGAAAATGACATTAGCATGTAAAGTAGCCGGGCTGATTTGCATTTCCAACATACGAATAGAAATGATGCCGCGAGCCATGAAGCCTCACGTTTGGTGAACTTTAGGTTCCTTCACCGGGGGAATCGGGGAAAGTGTCCTTCAAAGTGCAGCAGGAGCTTTCATTTTGACCAACTATAATAGGATTTCTATTTTTTTCCCGAACTATGCTAGGATTTCTTTCTTTTTTTTCAATCAAACTAGAGTACTGGCCTCCGTTTAATTCTTCAATGCCATCGACAGTTAAAAGTGCTTTAAAACTCTGGCTTTTATAAGAATTCCTAATTACGAAGTATCTGAATAAACATAAGTGGCAGCCTTTGATGATGAATAAGTAAATTAACATCCTTGAAATGTCTCTTTTTGATTGAAATAATTCGTCTTGAGCCGCGTCGTTCCCGATGTTGACCGTTGAATGTGGGAATTAATTAAATCCTCGTCTGTACAGCCGCCACTCACACGGCTGCTGCCTAATTAATGGAGCCTTTAATGGACTCGCTCACGTTCTGCAGCCAGCGACAACACGGCGCGTCGACAACACGCTGCGTGTCTCGCCGGAGAGGCAACGAGGACGGCTTTACTACAGCAGCACAAAGGGACCCCTACAGTGTGTGTGTGTGCGTGTGTGTGCGCGTGAGAGGCCGATGTCGATCACTGGCGGCCCTGTGATTGCTTGGCCAGGCGCCAACTTCAGCGACCCCCCCCCGTTTGTTGGCTTGACCTTTGTCTTTGTCTCAAGCAGGTAAATCGCCATGGTAACTCCACGGCGAAAGTGATCACGGCACGTTTAGCTGCTGTATTCTGGGTACAGAAGGGGGACAGGAGTGTCTCATATCGGGTGTAAAAAACCCGGGTTCAAGGGGTGTTGAACGTTTCCTCCTCGGGTCCGAGGACGCGCAGGTTTACGCTACTTGGCAGTAGCTCTGGATGGTCGTTTGTCGCATGGCGTGGAATGGATGGATGGACACCAGCAGCTTTAATGACCAGCGTTCCCTCTCACTGACAGTTGGTCTCCTGTAACCTCTGAGACAGAGAAATACATACAGAGTAATATTTACATTTCCAAATCTTTATTGTTATTTTGCCATTTGTAACACACGCTGTGGGCGGAAACCCGGAGCACAAGATAATGCAGACAAACACAGCAGGTACTTTGAACAAATGAGACATGTCACTAATTAATATAATTGGCTGCCGTATATTCAGTGTCTGAGGAAACGAGGCGTAGCGCGTGCGTGCAGCCGGAGGCCGACTTGGGGAACATTTTGTGCGACATTCTTTACTGACTGACGAGAGAAGATGGCGAGCGCACGTTGTGCGACAGCAGCGTTAACAAGTTCCCCCCCCCCGTCAGCAGAGAGACGCTTCTCTCTGTTATATTGTCTGAGATTTCTCCACATAGCGGTTGGCTCCGTGTGAGAGCGGGTCTTTTATCCCACGCTGCATTCACACCGTCGGCGTGGCGCCGCCAGCCGCACGTCACGCATCGCTTTGTGCCCGGCGGTCTGCAGAAGGTCATCACTGCATATTTATGAATGTATGCATCTGCAGGTGACTGACTGGGGAAGAGAAAAGACGTATTTCTCTGCACGTTCGCTCCAGTTAGTTTTCTGCCCAAGTTCAGTGTGGAACCTTGAAGAACATCTGAGGGTGGCTTGAACGTTGACGTTATTAAAGCTTATTTGCTGGTCAGAACACTAAATTACCCATAAAACCCCTTCAGAATTTGGTATTTTTACGGGATGGCCCGAAACATAATGTTATCTCCAACGCCATTTTATTATAAATATGCTAATTACTTTTTCATACACTCATACAAATGGCCAGCGTCAAGACAGGTCGCAGAAAGCGCTTGAACGTGTCCCCCTGAGTCTCATTAAGGTGGAGTCGGTTCTCAGTGGAGTGTTGGCTTCGTTAAAACAAGAGACATCGGCGTGTAACATTTGCTAAACGCCTGGAGAGAGATGAGCTCATCTCCTGCTTGGCCTCCACACCGAGGGCGTTGATGACTTTGTTTTAAGCCTCCCGCTGTACGTTAGCTCGCGGCTCATTAGAGCTCATCACGCTCGTTAAAATCATCCACAGACTCGGCTTGACACTGTCGGCGCCGGTGAAGGAGTGCTGGGTCGAGAGGGAATCTTCACCGGAATAAAGACGTTATCTCTTGTTGTTCTACATGAGGTCTCCACACACACTGATTATGGGCCAGGAGGTGAAGTAGACAGGCACATAGACAAGTTTCACACATTCTAATCATTTTTTAGCTAGTTTTTGGGGCAGAATGTCACCAACATAATAATGCCATAATAACCACTCACACTCGCACTCGGGTTGTAGTTAATAACTCTAGACCACCGGGCCGGGAAACACGACACCGTAACACATCTGCTGGAAGAGGGAAAAAAAAGAAAAAGATTTATTCCTTACAGCCTTGTTTACCAAACTGAATTGTAACACCTCACAAATTAAAACGATGCACCTCCGCCCTCTCCACCTCCTCTCCTTCCACCACCCACACCACTGCTGCCTCTCCACAGGAGTTGCCCAAAGTGCTCCGGCCGTAGAAATGAGCAACGCCCGGCAGACGGTGGCCCGAAACTACCAAAATACCAAACTACCAAAATACCAAACTACCAAAATACCAAACTACCAAAATACCAAAATACCACTCGCCACCATTTCTCTGTTCTTCCTTTTCCCTTTGTTTTTAAAACATCAACTGCTGTTGATGTTTACAGTTCATGGACTGTATACATAAAGTGGACGTACATCACACATTGGATTGGATTGAATTATGTTGTTATGAAGCCTTGATTTTGGCGCCATGTTGTTTTTCTCTCCCGTTGAACAGAAAAAACAGGGTTTTTTGCGGTAATTCTGAAATAGTATGAAGTTAAAAAGTTTAGCAAAATAAACCAAACGAAATGCAAATGGGGGAAGTATTTGATTGACGATCCCCGCTACTTCAATAGAAAATAAAGAATGTATGTATGTGTATTCATTAACATCCACCACCTAGGTTTCGTGTTTGCGCAAAAGCTCCTATTTACGACGTCTTCGAGGTCCCCTGAAGGCAGCACTGGAGTGCGGACCGGAGCGCGCGGCGGCCGCGGGGCGACGCGCGCTCGACTTCTCCGGTGTTCTCTGCACGGACGGATGGAGGACAGGTGACTCGTTCCGCCGGATTAATCCACCTTTTTTTAGTTATTTATTTTTCTCGTGCAAAAACGTCAAGAGAGCCGAGAAAAGAAAAAACCCCGCAGCAGCTTTGTGCAACAGGAGCGCAGCGCAAACATCTGTGTTTTCCTTCACGCGTATGACAACACGTAATGGTAAGTTTTTACTGAACTTGGAGGTGGGGTGCAGGTATGGGGGGGGGGTTGATGTGGTGGGGTAGGATGTGCTGCCACAGGTGCCCTGTCTGCCTGTCAGCATTCATCCTGCTGCACACCCCTGTTCATAAATCGAGCATCCCTCCAGCATCCTCCTTGGATGTTTTGTTCTGCAGGTGATATTCTCTGTGTTGTAGGAAAAACAAGCAGCTACTTCTTATTTTAACTGTTATTTTATTATTCTCATTGAATAAGGAATACGTGTTTGATTGACATATTGTTGAGTAGTTTACTGCTATTTGGGTTTTTGGACTGTTTCTGATCAGTTTTTTAACATAAAACTGATCAGTAACTATTTGATTGTTTTTCATTTAATCTTCATTCTTGTTGACTGCATTCAAGCAGTGGACAAAGTCATCGAGACGAAGCCATTAAGTTTGTGGACTGATGAAGACTTGAGTTCGCCGCCATCTTGGTTCATTTTTGCGACCAGTCGTGTAACGAGAGGGTGGAGAGACACAACTGGACCAAACTAGACAAACCGAAAACACACGGAAAGAGTTAAAGCTTTAAGACTAAAACACGACAACAACCGGACCGGATAGAACGCTGTGGTGGAAACCTGTCAATCAAAAGGTAGCCCCGCCCCAAAACATATCCTTCCTTATGGCCTGTTTTGATCTAAATGGACCTGACTTGGAACCAGAGATTGCGAACTCATATTTACTGGGAGAGGAGTCGCCCCCTGCTGGTGGGAATGCAGCTCTCGTCACGCGAGGACGAGCGTTTGTTGATCGGACAAAAGAAGCATTTCGGAGCCATCGTTTTTGACATAGACATAGTTTTTACTGCTGTCTGACATTCAAGAGGCAAAGCCGTTCGTTCAAAAGATAAAATGGAAAAATGCTCCTCTGTGTCTTTGGCTCCAGGTTGAACCACAACAAAAAAAAGCTGCTGGACTGAAAAGTTGGAGGTTCCAGGCAGCGATTAACCAGCGACGGCAGCAATGTGTCACTTGGTTCGTATTTCGGGGGCCACTAGTTGTATCTGAGTCACAGCCGCCGGTCTGTGGGCCTGATGGATCATGTCGGACTGGGAGGAAGGTAGAAGGTCTCGCTCAACGGCCACTTTGATCATTCGGTAGATTCAGTACTGCAGGAATTAGTTTAAATGTGTGTGTGTGTGTGTGTGTGTGTGTGTGTGTGTGTGTGTGTGTGTGTGTGTGTGTGTGTGTGTGTGAGAGGGGGGTGGGGGGGAGAGCATAACAGAGAGAGAGAGAGAGAGTAGATGAATGTGTTTGTCTCATTCTTCACCAGTCAATGAAAGCATCAGCTGAGCTGCGTTCTGTCCTCAGTGTTCGTGTGAAAGGCAGTTGAAAAACAACTGCAACATCTGTCCGCGTTGCATAAAAAAGGGCCGGTAAAGAAAATTCAAAAACAGAGAAACGGAATGTAGTGTTATTAGAAATGCTAATTAGCCTAACTGGAGAGGTACCTGTTGGTCCTTTATTATGATTATTATAATTATACTATATCTTATAATCCGAATAAAAATGTAAGAGTATTGTCCCAAGTCCTAATTGGATCCGATGCTGATGCCCACAAAACCTTTAATTAACTGGCAGCATTATATTAGTCACACAGCATGGAATTGCTATTTATTTTATTCTATTTTTTCTTTATTTTCTGTAATGCGTTGTACCGCAATATAATGTTGGTATAGTTATTTGTTGAAGATCGCAGCCTTCAGAGGACCTTTGCACAGCCATCGCTGTGCATAATTGTGCCATCGCACAATCCACATAGAAACGGTCCATTGTATTCATAGCGCAGAAATGACCCTGTAATATCAGCGTGTTTGTCTCAAATATCCCACCATGCAGTAGTTTGGATCTTCAGCATCAACATGTCACAATGGCCGTGTTGTTGTCGAATTTTCACTCATTTTGTAAATGTAAGACCGCGTGAGAAATAGAGAAAGACAAATACAAAGAGGAATCCTCCCCCGCTGAGATCAAAACTGAGCCATGATTTGTGTTTGGACTAAAGATTACTGAATAAATGCTCCTCCGCTACTGTCGTGGTGCCGAGCAGGTGCCTCAACGCCATAATCTCTGCAACTCATGAGTTTTTGAGGTAATAAAACAAACAAATGGAGTCATTCCAGAGTAATCTTTCTTATGCACAGCAACTTCTTCCATAAAACCCCCATTAGAACCGTGAAGGACTGTTGTTTTGTGCCAGTCTCGTGTTCCTTACACTCAATCAGCACACCACGCTTTATGCAAAGGCGTTTCGGGTAGTTGCATACAAATCAGGGCGTGTGGTAATCGCTCATTCTGCCCTCAGCCCGTCACATTATTCATTTCAAAATCTTTACTCCCTCCCTTCAAGACACAAACCTCGGCTCCTGAGAATAGAGAGCCGGCTGCAGACGGGGCGCCGCGGTGTGAATATTATATATATATATAAATATATATATATATATATATATATATATATATATATATATATATATATATATATATAAATATATATATATATATAAATATATATATATATATATATAAATATATAGATAACCACTGGCCTGTCTAGCCAAGGTCACGCTGCATGATCGCTGCGCTGTTCACACCCAGCACCTCCCCCAACCTTTAAGTCATCTTTGGGCTTTTCACACAACAAGTGAAGCGGATGCGGTGTGTCCATCAGGGGGAAAAGCCTCCTCTGTTTATTCCCCCAGTAAACCGGAGTTTATGTCTTCTTCAATACAGCGTGGTGTTCATTTACTGAACTGTGGTCCATTTAGAGTCAAACAGACAAACGAAGGCTCCATGTAATAAGAGTATGCTTTAGGGCGGGGCTACAAGTGAGTGACAGGTGGCCACAACAGCTGTATGCGGCGTGTGCGGCTGAATACGGCCCTTTTCTGTTAATCAGCTGCAAAAAGAAGCCAAGATGGCGACGGTCAAACTGGAGGCTTCATCACTGCGTCCACTTCCTCCTCACACTCCACGGTCCCACACTTTATTGGTTTGACTATTTATAGCCTTTTTTCTCCTCCTGGGTGCAACAACAACTTTGCTCCGTGTTGAAAAGGGAACACATGCAGTAAAGTGGTCATGGTAACCGTCCGCTCCGTCGACAGGAAAACCCCTTTGAAGAGTTCACGCTCGGTGACGGATCACTGATGGAGGAACACGAGGATAAGAGCTCCAGGGTTTTGCTGGCTAATGAACCACGGCCCGGCGTAGCGCCGTTAGCGAGGGCCGTGGCGCTCCGGGGCGAGGCCCGGCCGCAATCAGAGACATCAAATCGATAGTGACGTCTGGCCTCGTGGAAGACTGGCGGGTCCCGCCCACTTGAAAAGCAAGCACGAGGGGGCAGAGGAATGGCGGTCAATCTTGCTACGATACTGCTCCAGTGATATCATTTTGATGGGTTTTTTGTCATCAGCTCCCAGTTTAACGTTAGCCGAGGACTCTGACTTCAACCTGTGAGGTCAGATTCAGACCCGACCAGATCAATGTAATAAAACCCGTGAAGAAAAAATCAATGGCTCTATCGCGCTGAAACGTATGAGACGGAAAATGAACACAAAGACAGATTGATATTTTCTAAAAGCTTATAACTATTGGTCTTTTAGAGACCCATAGACTTAAAATCCATCCCATTAATCGTTAAGTAATGACTGATGCCTTATTGTCTCTTTCTGTGCAGTGGTTTTATAACATAATGGAGAAGAGGATTAGTTTCCTCGTTATGTCAGCCATCGCTTCAGCACTTCTCGGGCTACATGTGCGACAATGAAAGGTTTTTGCAAAAAAAGGCTTAATCTGAGAAGCACTAAACAGAATCAGGTGAGTTGAAAAAAAAATGCTTCAGGAGACTTTTCAACGAGTCCTCTAAGGGGCCTGATGTGACAGATGTGAGAAACAAAGGTCCATTCCATTCCTGTTATGAGCATCTGTTTCTAGAGCTGCTTGGTTTCTCCCAATAACGGCGTAGAGACATTATTAATGCAATTATTATTATTATTATTATTATGCTGCATCATGCATATCGAACGCTTTTCTTTTAAAACCTAAATCCTGAAAAAGCAAACTAAATAAACCCCTTTTTTTCCATTTGCAAACTTCCCGCCAGCTGCACGCTGAGCAAATAAACAAGCGATGACAAAGGACGCTTGATTGTGGAGGCAGACGCCTCCAACAGCAGAGGAGCCGCCGCCGCCGCCGCAGGTCGGTGACGCCTGTTGTCCTCGTGGGTGAATAAAAGGTGGATTGGCAGGTGTCTCCGAGCCCCCCCCCCTACCAATTACCTCACCGAAAGGGACTGTCACTCAGTGTCTGAGGGCCATTTTTCGAGCCTCCTCATCCCCAGACAGCGATACCAGAGTGTCAGTGAAATGCACAAATCTGCTGTACCTGGAGAGTGCTGATGACCAGCAGGGAGCGCAAAAAAAAAAAATATGACAAATGTCATGTTTTACGAATAAATGATCAAATATCGACTGATTTCTACTGGGTTTTTGATCTTTAATCCATAACGTTTTAATTGCGTCATTTGAATATGACGACACGTGTGCCGTTCACCTTCTTTTACGTCTCCATGCGTTATCACGCTGTTAACCTCCCGTTGCAATGACTTGTGGGTAATTCCCTTGGGCGGCATCCAATGCACAGAGAGCCTCAAACCATGAAACCCTGTGAAGCGCGACGGGGGCACAGCAGTCCTCGTACGAGCTGATTTTACTTTACTGAGTTGCATTTTTAGGAATAAAAAGATGTCTTTGTCTGGAGAATGTCTGTATTCATAAACTCAGCCCACGTTTAGGTGTTTACATGGTGGCAACTGCATCAAATCCAGTTCTTTCTTCTGAGAACACAGTGTCGCTGATACCAGCGTGTGAAGACACGTTATGGGATGTGAAAACCAAATGCCACATGTGAGCGATCCCTCCGTCTGCCCCATCCCACCTCCTCTTCTCACCTCCGTCTTTATCCGTATTAAGCGACATCACACTACCTGTCATCGCCTCCTCAGTTTTCCCCCCCGTGCGTCCGCGTCCCCTCTCTGACCCGACAAGTTTCACCGACGGAGTCTGAACGGAGAACGTGGGCCCCCCGGCGCTTCGCCTTCATTCGGCCTGATTGTCCGGGGGGGGCCCCCGTTTGCACGACGGCGTGAAATCTTCGCTCTGAAAAAGGTCACCCGTTTGCCGGGTACCGCGGCGGCTGAGTGATGGCCCTCGCTGGCGGGCTGACTGGTTACTCCGCCATGATTTAGGACTGAGGTCCCTGGAGGATCACCGTGAGTCCCCCCCGTTACGAAGGTGGGAGTCCTATCAGAGGCGCTGGCGCTGACATTTACTCCGGCGTCATCTTTATGTATTCAGACCTGGAGGAACATTATCGGATGGAGGAGGGATTATTAACAGGTACTTTGCTCATCAAAATGCTCCGAGTGAGCTCCCTTCATGTACACGATGATAAACGGAGGAAATCTGCCTCGGCCGTCGTGAACGACCCTCAGAGCGACGAGCGGCTATTTCTGTCACCAACGAGCGGAAAAGCAAGAGCGTCTTCAGAGAGTTTTCCGCTTTTTGGTGAAGCCGTGCGAGGAGGAGAACTCGCAGATGACACCCAGCCGCGTCAGACGGTTTGAGACGTTCATCAAAACGAAGACGCATCATGCGCCGTCCCACGGGAAGCGAAGACAGATTGTCAGTAGGAAGCGTGTCGCCGTATGGCAGTGATCAGGATCCCGAGGAGGCGCATGGTGCGACGCATGTCACGACGGTTGCTGCGTGGGCGTCCTTGAAGGCATCATGAGACTTGTGTGTGATTTGTGTCCCAACTGTTGTCACCTCAAACAATGCCTTTAGATGTGAGACTCTCGCCATCGACGCTTACTGGACATCTTGTCTTTGAGATCGGCCTTCTCATTGGGTTGCTATTAAGCTCTAAATAAATGAATGTAAATGCATGTTCTTAAGACGACCCTGCATGTGTGGTAACAGCAATCAGGCCGGTGACGTAGTTTGTGATCGATGCACGAGGCTTTTAGACATGGGCTGTCCATGCAATGTGTAATATTCCCATCGAGAGGCCCCACAGAAGCCTTTCATCGTCGATGTTCTATTCCATTGTTAGCAAGAGAGGAAAACAAGACGGTGGCATAATCAAATATGATAAATATTCTTTTGTCAGCCTCGAGGTTCTGGTCGGCCTCCTTCCTGAAGGAGATGAGTGCACCGACGCAGCGCTTCTTGTCCCTCGCTGCCTCTTCCCCGTCGTTGTTTTCTTATGTCCATATTATCTAATCATATCAGCCCGCACCTCCACTTCTTCATTGCTGCCTTATTTCCGCTCATCCTTTTCTCCACTCGTCCTGCGCTGTGTGGCCTCCTCCGTCAACTCTTGTCCCTCTTCCTCCAGGCCTCCCCCCTCTCCTCCACCTCCCGTCTCCCTCCGTTGGCCTTTCTCTTTTGTTGAGGGATTCCTTTGAGCTTGAGGAGCATTAATCACAACGTTCTACTCTTGGTGGTACTTGTCTAACTTGTGGCTTCATTCATTGATTGTAGCAGCTTTCAATCGAGCTTCCTGTAAACTTGAGCTGGTTTTGATGAATCATCGTCGGCTCGAGCTGCTTCAGATGATGAGCGCTAGTTCCTCATTCATTTTTTATGGACCGGAGGGTCGGGGGTCGGCGGGGCCTTGAATGCTGCACAGGACAGGTCTGCGTCACGGGGGGATCAGATATATTTTGTTCTCATGAGGGGAAATGTCTTCGTGCGTTTTGGATTGTCAGTGGCGTGAATTACCCGGAAGTGATTCCATATGGAAGCCAATCAAAGTCTGTATGATTACTTCTCCTCAACTGCCGTGTTTGTATCCGTTCATCACGAGTACTGGTTACAAAACTGTGCACCAAATATGATTTTGTAGCTTAGCAACCGAGGGGAAGTTTTCCTACTTTCAGTCCCTGTGGTGCTGAAAATGACTGTTTTGGGCTCCGATGAAAAGTGGGAATATATATTGATCAGCCCAAAGAACTCTCAACTACTAATCTAATACTACCTGCGGGTTGCCAGGCCTGCGTTCATCCCTCTTCTGAAGGACACTTCTATTTTTAGCTCTTCGGTTATTTAAATAGGAGGTTCCCTGGGGGAACTTCTGAGTAACACAGTGAGAATGGAAATCAAAGTCAATCATCATTTCTCAAATTATTATGCCTCAAAAAATGCAATTAAGATGCCAGTTTCAGTTTAATAAAACACATTTCTGAACTCTTACCATATGTACATAGCTTTGTATCCTGTTTCCAGGATTGTAGAAAAGTAAGAGAATTGAAGGGACGCATCGATGCACAGATTCTAGCTGGAATCAGGGTGTAAGCGTTTGTCAAACCCGTCCTGTAGGATCCTGATATGAGTCATAGCAGTTTAGTTTGCCAGTTTAGTATCCCAGCATGCATTGTGTTGAAGGCAGGAAGCCCCCTTGCTGTCTCTCATGTATCTGTTTCCCTGTTTTGTTGTTTCAGACTGACCTTTGACCTTTGAGGGAGCATTTCTGCGCTTGGAGTGATTCCAGGCGGGGGGTTGGGGGGTGGAGGCTGGGGGGGGGGGCAGCCCGGTCCGGGATGGACGTGGAAAGCATCCCAGGAGTGAGCGCCTCAACACCCAACACCACAAACTGCACCGTGGCCCCCGGCAGCAGCCCGCAGCTGGGCCCGTTCAGAGACGGGATGGCGGCGGCGGCGGTGGTCGTCCTCAGCCTCCTCACCCTCCTCACCGCGCTGATCAACGCCGCCGTCATCGCCGCCATCTGCACCACCAAGAAGCTCCACCTGCCCGCCAACTACCTCATCTGCTCCCTGGCCGTCACCGACCTCCTGGTGGCGCTCCTCGTGATGCCCGTCAGCATCCTCTACATCACCACGGAGATGTGGACCCTGGGCCAGGTGGTGTGTGAGCTGTGGCTGAGCGTGGACATGACCTGCTGCACCTGCTCCATCCTGCACCTGTGCGTCATCGCCCTGGACCGGTACTGGGCCATCACCAAGGCTATCGAGTACGCTCGCAAGAGGTCGGCCCGTCGCGCCGCCGTCATGGTGGGGGTCGTCTGGGTCATCTCCGTCTTCATATCCATGCCCCCTTTATTCTGGAGGCAGAGGCCCAGCAGAGGCAGCTTCAAGCAGTGCATCATAGAGCACGATCACCTGGGATACACCATATACTCCACGGTCGGGGCGTTTTACATTCCCATGATGATCATTCTTATCTTATACCACAGGATTTACAATGCCGCCAAAACGCTGTACCAGAAGCGCGGGTCTTCTCGGCACCTCAGCGGCCGCAGCCTCGGCAGCCAGAACTCAGTGGACCACTGCCGCGTCTCCCACACATTTTGCGTGTCCGACTTGTCCAACTCGGATCCCACGCTGCCCACCGACAAACTCAACACCGCCGTCCACGTCCCGTCCTTTGAGACGGACGCGGACGGGCAAGACGAGAAGAACCAGATTTGCACTTTGCGCGAGAGGAAAGCGGCTAGAATCCTCGGCCTCATTCTCGGGGCCTTCATCATCTGCTGGCTGCCTTTCTTCTTGAAGGAGGTCCTCGTGGGCCTGCGGGTGGTGCAGCCTTCTCCGCTGGTCTCGGACATGCTGACTTGGCTGGGTTACATCAACTCTCTCATCAACCCCCTGCTGTACACCAGCTTCAATGACGATTTCAAGCTGGCTTTTAAAAAGCTGCTCAAGAGAAAAGAGCATGTGTAGGTTTGAGTTTTAAAAAATGGGGGAATGTCTACACCTTGAATTTAGTTACAGTCTACGCAAATACGGAGTGCTGTGTAGTGCTTTTCAAGTAAAACTGAACTATGTGTTTTTTTAAATAAAACTGTTGTATTATGTCTGTGTAGTTTTATTTATTATGTATACGTACACAATGAAATAAATATACAGAAGTAGAGAGTTTACATGTATGTAGGAGAGATGGGGGGAAAGAATAAGTACATTCAATTGCTGTCATTCTTCAGTATAAGAAACCAATCCGGAAGTGACCTCAGCGCTCACTACGTCATACGCACGCTTCGCCCCTTCCTGCCTACGTAGCTACGTCGTAGTGGTACGCGCTGGAGCAGGGTGTGAAGATGGCGGACGAGGAGGCCGAGCAGGACCGCAGTCCTGGGAACGGTATCAGAGAAACTATCGGGGAGCTCGGGCAACGCCTGCGAGAGCTGCGGGAAGTCGTGGTCCGAGAAAGCGGCGACTCTCCGACCCAATCGTCCTCGGAGTACTGCCAGGAGTTCTGCCGGGTGAGTTGTTTCCCCGCTCGCACACTCAAGGGGAGCTAACGAGATAGGGAGACATAACGTTAGCACGGGCATTAAAGGCGCCGTAACGCTGCGTCCGGGCTCGCGGGGAACCCGGGCAGAGCTTTGACTTCGAGCCAGCGGCCGGACGGGTGCGCGGTGGTCGAGCCGCGGGAAATCGGTGAAGTAGAAGAAATCTGATTTAAAATCCGTCCGGTGACACCGCTAGCTAACAGCACGGGCTAGCGCACAGCGGTGTCTGCAGAGGGGGGGGGGGCGTAACGTAGCGTCGCTGACGTAGAAGTCCCTTTAAATGTATTTAGCTACACGCCGTCGCCCGGTCGCAGCAGACCGATACGCGCACAGCTCCAGGTCGGTATGACGGTTCCAACTGCGGCTAGCTAGCTAGTAGCGCCTAGCCGTGTGTGTGTTTGGCTACATGCGCGTGCACGCGAGGGTCCGTGCGGGTCTCTCCGGTCAGCACGCCCAGTGTGCTCGTGGCCGCTGCATTTTGAGCCACCGGCAACGTGTAATTTTGAAGTTTACTCCTCGGTATGGAAGACGAGCGAGGTTTCGCAGGATCGCAGCACAGATTTGAGTCGATTCCCCCCCGCGATGGATGCTGATGTGTGTACGTGCCATGTTGAACGTACGCGGGTGTGTTTGCATATTAGAACGGCAGAGCTTGAATAGACCCCCACCCCCCCCCCCCCTCCTGCTGCATGGTGCCCATCAGTATCTGCAGGATTCACTTGTTAAAGAGAGATAGCTGCACGATCTCCAGCAGGAGCAGAGAGGAAGATGTCCTCTGTCTCCAGGGACGTGAGACGTGAGACACACTGTAGTGATGGAGAGCTGCATCCGCTTTGTTACCAGCGACCTGTTTCTGTGTCTAGAAGTGAATTCGTGTGCACATTTGATTGCATCTATTTTCATTGTTATTGTTATACGTGATATTACTCATATTTATGTGTGGGATTGTCCAGCTTTTTAAAGGTTTAATGCCGGGAAGAAAGTTGAAACAAAATAACCCTAAAACCAACCATTGAATTATTTATGCACAGCACACAGAGATGTTCAGATTATAATGACAGCATAACGGATTGAATAAAATCACACATGTTGTGCTTTGCCATGCCTCGCTTATTACAAGTGCAGCTGAGCTGATAGTAAATTCCATTTGTGTACACGTGTCTTTGTTGTTGTTGTTGTTGTGTATCTCACGAGGTCTTAGAAGAGGGAACTAATAACTGTTTTATTTTGAGAGTGGTATTTTTGCCTTTGTTCTTGTGTGTTCGCCCTTTGTTAAGTTTTTAAGAGCGTTTAATGGTCCAGTAAAGCTCCCAGAGTGCAATGCGGCTGGTGGGGGACCGCGGGTGCGTTCAGACACTGAGGAGAAGAGACGCTCTCTTCTCCTCAGTGTCTTTGGCTTCGATGCCGTTTGCTGCACATCTCTAGACCTTTGTGCACAAGGTCTGGCTTCATAAGGAGCGAATCCGTATCTGACCTGATCGTGTTCAGGTGCCACTTTATAACCTTTTTACGAGCGTTGAAAGAAAAACATTAAGGTTTAGATTTGTTACAATGAAACAAAGCATGAATGTCCTGTTTAAACAGAAGTACGCGCTCAAGACGTGATTTTCCTGAAGCCGCCTTTGTTTCATCATTAGTCGTGGCAGAGGTTTTGTCTAAATTATTATTTGTCAGTGAAACCAAACCAGTAATCTGTGTGCTTTCTGTTAATACACATAATAATAATTTCTATTGGTTATGAGGCTTTTATTCACCTGAGACCTGTGGACACGGCACTTAAAGTTTTGATTGGATTTCCTCTTCCTGTTTGTTCAGCCATTTGCTTTTGTTTTTCTTTGTGAATGTCTGTGTTGTTTACATCTGACGTCCCGTGAGTTCATCAGCTGATCACAATGACCTTGTGACATCCTGCAGCGATTACAGCGAAGAACATCGGTGGAGTTTCTCCTAATTACAGTGTGATGCAACCCGGCTTCAAATGTGCCTCTTCTTTTTCTTTTAAACCGGTTTCTAGCATACAAAGCATCTCGGTTCTAAAGATTTGTTATTGTCGGTGGTTTAAATGCTGTGGAGACGCTGACACAGCGCTGCATTGTGGGAATTAAAAGATGTGTGAAATGTTGCATGGTTCGATGAGTGGCTGTATGAACAGAGCAGCTGAGAAGCTGTGACCAAGTTAGTCTTTGTAATGCAAAGGATTTCAGCCCCGCTGTGTGACCGCCTGGTGGACGATGTCGCTGTGAATGACCATGTTCTTCTCTCTCTCTGTAGACTCTGCTGGAGTACGCCGGCCGGTGGAGGACGGAGGAAGAGCCGTTAGCGCTGGTGGAGGTGTACATGGTAGCGCTGCTGAGCTACGCCCAGGCCTCCCCGTACCTCTCGCTGCAGTGCGACAACGTCCCCGTCGTGGTGGAGCGGCTCTCGCTGTAAGTTTTATCGGCCTTTGTTGGTTCTGTCCGAGCTTTGGCGTGTCCTGTTTTTAGGTTGAGACGAAGATGAGTATCGCGTTTTTGTTGATTTCCGGTTTGTCACGCAGGAGTTTTGTGGAGCTTTTGCTCTCTCTGAAGACGGATGTTCCGGATGGCTTGTGGAAAGAATTCAAGTCGTGCGTGCAGGTAAAGCCGACCATTTGAAGGCAGATTTATTTAACAAATGTGGAGAATATTCTTAGCGATTATCTCACTGATGGAGTCTTTGCTCCTGTGTTCAGTTTGCTCGCAGTGCGCTGCAGGAGCATGGCATCACCCAGCTGGCCCAGCTCGACGCTCTGTGCCGGTATGACGGCGTGTGGACCGACGCGGTCCTGCAAGGCGTCCTGTCCAACCAGAACCTTCCGACGCAACAAGGTGAGCCCCAACACAGTTCTATTTACCTTTTTAGATACGATTGGCTTTCCCCGCTGCAGCGTGCAGTTGAATCTTTCTGTTCCCACCATAACGAATCGTGTCCAATCAATAAGTCTCCACAAGGAGCTTTTGCATGGAGCCGGGTCTCTGTAACAGGAAAAAGCTGCAGAGGGCTGATGCGCGCGAGAGGTGAACATGTTGCTCATCCCTGTTTTTGCTCTCTCCAGTCGAGGAGTTCCTGGTGCAGGAGGGGCTGGTGCTGTTGGAAATGAGAGTGAGGCAGATGATGAAGGAGAACCAGCTGGGGAGGGCTGCGCCGCTGGCCAAGGTGTGCGCCGAGTGTCGCGCCTTCCAGGGGAAGGGCCTCTTCAAGCAGATGCATCTGGTGTGCCTGTGTGGGACCTCTGAACAGGACCAGCTGATGGACGAGGTGAGCACCTCCTGTAACACCCGTCTCCACCACAAGATGGCAGACTAGACTTAAACCCGTGAGGCTGCACACGTTACTTTCTGGGCATCAGATGATGCAGCTTGTTGGTGCTGTTTTCCTGCGTGATGATCACGTGTGATGTGTCCGTGCAGCTTTCCAAGGAGGACTGCCGCGACGTCTTGGAGATGATCTGCAACCTGGAGTCGGACGGAGACGAGAGGGCGGCGTTCAGCTTGTGCTCGGCCTTCCTCACGCGGCAGCTTCTCCAGGGAGACACGTACTGTGCATGGTGAGGAATCCCAGGACACCCGAGCTGATGCCAAAACCAACTAACAGTGATCAGTCCCACAATCTATGCAAATTCATTCAGCACACATTTAATGAGTGTGTAGTGTTGTTGATGATGCACACTTTCATGATGGTCAGTGTCAGCCTGAACAAAGTGATCAATAGCTATGAGAATGCAGACGGGTGCAGAACCAATGACTTCCGTTTCCTCGGACAGGGAGCTCACTCTGTTCTGGAGCAAGCTGCTGAAGAGGCTGGAGCCGTCGGAGGCAGCCTTCCTCGCCAGATGTCGCCAGATGTCTCTGCTCTCTAAAACCGTGTATCACATCCTGTTCCTCATCAAGGTCATCCAATCAGAGGTCAGTAAACCGTCAGCTGTTATCAAACTGTCGACACAATGAGAAACAAGTTATGTCCCTTTTTTAATTCTTAACTCTGACCTTAAAGAAGTATATTCAGTGTCAGAACTCGGCCCCCGTAAGCTTGACGGGTGGTTCTGAGGCTTTGAGTCATGCACAATGAGGAAAACCGGTTTGGGAATGAAAAGTGAGAATCCTCCAACCTCTTATGCGTCATAATAGAGCCGACGTTTTGTTTGAGCATCATGTTTCAGGCAGATACTCGCAAAATAATGTGGTGTTTTATTTCTTTCTTTCTTTCTTTGGTCATCAGCAACAAACAATAAAAGCAGTCGGCTTTGGATCAAACACTGCGTTACTTTTAGTTTCACTCTTTTCTTTTTGCTCTCCCACTGATTTACTCTTTTCTTCTTTCATAGATCGACAGCGACGGACTGCCGGTGTGCGTTGAAATGTGCGTGCGGGCTCTGCGGATGGAGTCGGGCGACGGGACCACCAAGGCCACCGTGTGTAAGACCATCTCCTGCCTGCTGCCCACCGACCTGGAGGTGCAGCGAGCCTGCCAGCTGACGGAGTTCCTCCTGGAGCCCACGGTGGACTCCTACTACGCCGTGGAGACTCTGTACAACCAACCGGATCAGAAGGTGGAGGAGGAGAACATGCCCGTTCCCAACTCGCTCCGCTGCGAGCTGCTGCTGGTGTTTAAAACCCAGTGGCCTTTCGACCCGGAGTTCTGGGACTGGAAGACGCTGAAGCGCCATTGTCTGGCGCTGATGGGCGAGGAGGCCTCGATAGTGTCCTCCATCGACCTGCTGAACGACACCGAGGACCCCGAGGAAGAGGAGGACCTCCTCAGCCAGGAGGCGCTGAGGATTCCGGACCACCTCCTCGGTGGCACCTACGAGCTGGACGACATAACCGACAGGAGAAGGAAAAACCGGGAGATGAAGAAGCTGAGAGAGAAAGGCTTCATATCCGCTCGCTTCCGTAACTGGCAGGCGTACATGCAGTACTGCGTGCTCTGCGACAAGGAGTTCCTGGGCCACCGGATCGTGCGCCACGCCCAGACTCACCTGAGCGCCGGCGTGTACAGCTGCCCGATATGCACGCAGTCCTTCGCCTCAAAAGACACGCTGCTCCCGCACGTGACGTCGCACGTCAAACAGTCCTGCAAAGAGCGGCTGAGCGCCATAAAAACCAACAAGAAGCTGGCCCACCCCAAAACGGCGGCGCCCGTCATGGCGGCGCTAAAGTCCCAGACTGTTAACAAAGTTCAGGCGAACGTGGCCTCCGGGGATCAGAACGGGGGCTCGGGTCGGAGAGCTCCAGCCAAGGCGTCCCGGCGCAAAGCGGACGACGGCGACGACAACGTGTGCCCGGTTGGCAAGTGCAGAAGGAGCTTCAAGTTTTTCAAAAATTTGCTGGCGCACGTTAGAGCTCACGGGGACAACGATGAGGCCAAGTCCTTCCTGGAGATGCAGAGCAAGAAGGTGGTCTGCCAGTACTGCCGCCGGCACTTCATCAACGTCACCCACCTGAACGATCACCTGCAGGTCCACTGCGGCGCAAGGCCCTACATATGCATTCAGCTGAACTGCAAGGCCAGCTTCCTGTCCAACACGGAGCTCTTCCTGCACAGGAAGACGCACGCGCTCTTCAAGACCAGGTGCATGTTCCCCAGCTGCGGCAAGATCTTCAACGAGGCCTTCAAGCTCTACGACCACGAGGCGCAGCACTACAAGACGTTCACCTGCAGCGCTGTGGATTGTGGGAAAGTTTTCCATTCCCAACACCAGCTGGACTTGCACCAGAAAGGTCACTACCGCCAGGCCGAGGAGAGCCCGTCGGCTGAAGAGGACACGCAGCCCGGCCCCTCCCTCATCCAGCAGATGCTCTCCGATCACTGCCCCGTCAAACGAGAGCGTTCCCAAGCAGGCCGGGAACCCGAGAGCGCTGGCGGTCCGAGCAATGAAAGGCTGCCGGCGTCCGCCGAGAACTCGCTGAGATCCTCCCCCCCGGCGGGGGAGACCCCGGGACTGTGGCGAGTCAAACAGGAAAGTGACAGCACGCTTTGCTCCACCACCGGTCGGACGCACGGTTTGAATCATCCTTTCATTCGTCCCGCGAGTTCCCACTTCAACGACCCAAACGGCCCCACTTCCTTTAATCACGCGAGCCCCCCCCTACGGAATCAACCAGTACCTCCCTCTGACGCGGATTTAGGTAACGTGTCACGCAGCCGTAATGCCGGCGTCCTGCACGGCCAGCCCCAGATGTTCCCCGGTAGTTTGAACCCCTGCTCGACGAGCTACAGCTCCGACTGCAACCTGCTGTTGCCGGGGCAACAAGGGCCATTGCGTAGAACAAGCAGCAGCAGCAGCCCGATGACATCGTCCCAGAAGTCCATAGAGCCGGCGCAGCCGCTTCCCCCAACGGTCTCCCCTCAGCCGCTAACGGGGAACCGGTCGGAGAAGTCAGGGGCGCTGAACGCCGGCCCCCCGCCGGGCCACCGGGAGCGCTTCCACTGTCCGTTTGAGACGTGCACGCGGCACTACAGCTCCCACAGGAGCGTGGTCAAGCACATGAGAACGATCCACGTGGACTTCTATGAACAATGGAAAGTCAATCGGGTTAAATTCCGCATAAGCTACGCCCCGGCGCCGACCGCCCCGGCGCCGTCCGCGGGGCCGCTCGCGCCGACCACCCCGGCTCAGAGCCAGCCGGCCGCTGCGGCGCCAGTACACGTTGTCCAGAGGAAGAACGTCATCCAGTCCCCTCCTTATATTAATATGGGTGTGAGGTTAAACTGTTCGGCCCTCCATTCCAATTCCCCGTGTCCCCACAAACAGACCGCGTCCCTCCTGATGGAAAAGGTTTTGAATCCCATCGTCCTCTCGCAGCTGGGAAAACACACGGCCGCGGGGAAGACGCAGTCCCACGGCTCCGCCGCTCCAAGTCGTCTCTCGGCTCCGGGAAGCGAGCCAATTAAAAACTGTGGCTCTTCCCAAATCTTTCCTTCCGGGATGCAAGTGGTCTCCAGCGGTGCCCCGCCGCCACTCGGTGTCCCATCTTGCTCTGTGATTGGCTCAGCTGTGAACACCGCGTCGCAGGGCCTGCAGTCGCCGATTAAGGAAACAGGATCCCGGCCGGTTTTGTCGTCTAAGTACATTTCCATGGAAACGTCTCAACCAGCACAAAACCACATTTCCCCTTATACGTCACCGATGCAAAGCAGTTTGGTCTCTGCCTCCAGGGCACCAGAAAAAAGCAAATCAATGCAAAGCATTACGCAGTCTAACCTCCCCCCCACACACGGTGTGAGCCAAAACTACAGCCAACCTCGAAAGGGCCCGGCCATCTCTGCAAACCCCCCTGAAAAACAAAAGAAAGCCAGAAGGAACACGAGGGCCAAATGGCCGGCTATTGTGAGGGATGGCAAGTTTATATGTTGCAGGTGTTTCAGACAATTCGACAGCCCCAACTCCCTCGGGGGCCATTTATCCAAAGCGACTTGTAAACAATTAGAGGAGTCGGAGCTCGGCACCGAGCTGCCGGCGTCCTTCCTCGACCTCCTCAACTCAGAGCAAGCGGTGAACGCGGCTCCGCCGCAGCCCGCCTGCAGTCCGCCCGCCGTTTCCCGGGAGAAGCCTCACCCGTCCGCAACCAACGAATCGGCAGCGGCAAAAGATTACCCCTCCCCCAATTATTTACAGGAGGACCTGCCCGTGTGTGACAACGGTGAGACCAGTGAGGACATTCTCAAGCAGATCATGGCTGAATCCAACCTGTCCGAGCTTTTCGTGAACACGCCTGCTCCCCGGTCATCGTTCCCAAACTCTTGCGTCTCCTTTTTAGCCGGCGAGCGCTTGCAGGCGAGCTCCGTGATCCAGCACACAGAAAACGTCCAGGTGAAGCCGGAGGGCGCTTCGTGCGGCGCGGCCCTTCACGCGCAGCCCGGCGACTTCTCTGACCCGCTTCTGAAGGAAGGGTGTCGCTCCGTCGCCAGCGCTCTGGCACGAAGTTCAAACCCAGCGGCCCGGGCGGGGCTACCCGATAGCCGGCCCGGTGCGGCAGCGGGTGGCGAGAGGGCCGAGGCGCAAAGGACGGCGCCCGAGCGCGATGTCAATAAGAGACTGCGGGAGCAGATCCTGGCCGGCCGCTTTCGAAAGACAAATCGCTCGTGCCATTCGAGCCACGCCGACCCTCCCGCCAACTCGCGCGCCGCGTCCTTCGGCCCGATGAGCCCTCCTCCCCCCGCCAACCACGGGCATCGTCAAATGTTCCGGGATTCGCAGAGTCTCGGACCCTCCGAATACCCTCCGATCATCCCGGGGACCGCTGCGGAAGTTGCACAGCTGCTGAGCACCGAGAGCTTCGCCGGTTTCAGAGAGGCCGCCGCCCTGCAGCCCGACGCCCCGGGCCCCGCGCGCCCTCCGCCCAGCGCCGCCGACGACCTCGAGCCCGGCCAGTTATCCGCCGCCCAGCAACAGTGGATGGCAGAAATTCAAAGCGCATTTGAAAGGCTCGACTTAGTCCGAGAAATATCCGAGCGGGAGCCGACACCCGCTGCGCTAAGTGCCGTTCACAAGACCTTCATTAAGCCGTTCGCCTGCGAGAACTGCGCGTTCAGCTCTGCGTCCAGTGAAGCGCTGTGGAGGCACCTCTCCAAAAACCACAACTACTCCATCGAGATGGTGAACGCGGTGAAGAAAAAGTACGGCATGTACGCTCCTTTCAAGTGTCAGAGATGCAACAAGCGGTTCACCCGCAACTCCAACCTGCGCGCCCACTACACCTCCGTTCACAAGTTACCGGCCAAAGAGATCGCCGACCTGGACGTAGTGCGCCGAGAGGCCAACGCTGCCGCCGCCGCCGATCTCCAAAAGCGCCTGGCGGCTCCGCCGCAAGCCCCGACGTCCGCTTCCCTCCAGGACGCGTCGCAGGCGTTCGCGTCGCTCGCCAACGTGGACGCAACTAATCCGGAGTTTCCAGGTGACGATCGCTTCATGGTCATCCAGCCCTCGCAGGCCGCTCCCACCCACAACCGAGCGACGAGTCCGCCGGCGCCGGCCCACGCCTCTGGGCTGTTGGCGCCGCAGTGGTCGGATCAGCAACGCCACGGCGGGACGCAGGTCTGCGGCCATTCGCCCAAAGTGCCCGCTCCTCTCGCAGGGGCCCCGTCTCCCGACCGGCGATACGCCGAGGCCCCGTCTCCCGACCGGCGGTCCGCTATGGCCCCGTCTCCAGAAGAGCCACCTGCCTTTGACGGGCTCGAGGCCGCGGTCAAGCCGAGCGCAGACGTGATCAGGAAGTCCAAAGAGAAGAAGCCTCACTCCAGGGCGGCCACGAGTCCCTACAGACCGTACCGCTGCGTCCACCAAGGCTGCGTGGCCGCCTTCACCATCCAGCACAACCTGATCATGCACTACCGGGCCGTGCACCAGTCCGCCCTGTCGGCGCTGGAGGTGAACAAAGAGCAGGAGCTGAGCGACTGGCAGGACGTGGACTCCACCACGGACTCCAACGAGGAGGACCCCGAGGCCGAGTTCCCCCCCATTGCCGAGTTCAGGTGCCAAGTCAAAGACTGCTCCCGGGTTTTCCAAGAGGTTTCCAACCTGCTGCAGCATTATCTGCAGCTGCACGGTTTTAGCCTGGAGAAGGTCGGCAGCCTCCTGTCCGCCATCCAGCTTGGCAAGTTCGCCTGCTGCCAGCCGGGCTGCGCGGCGTCCTTCACCGCCGCCTGGAAGTACATCGCGCACGTCAAGGAGCAGCACAAAGACATGAAGCTGGCCAAGCCGGAGCCGTTCAACGGCTCGTTCAAGTGCGAGATCGAAGGCTGCGACCGCACGTACGCCACAAAGTCCAACATGCTCAGGCACTTCATGAAGAAGCACGAGGACCTTTACCGGAGCAAGCTGAAGGGCCCGCCGATACAAGAGGAGGGGGTCAAACCCAACGCAAAGACTCTGCATTACCAAATCACCAAGACAAGCAACGGGAAGGAGAACATTGAGAGCAACAAGAAGATCCTCCAGAAGGCCAGCAACAACCGGCGAGTGAGCAAGCTGCAGACCAACCTCTGGACTAAATACGGAAAGCCCTCCTTGAAGTCGACGGTGGAGGCGTCTTCGCTGTGCACCAACGTGTTCCCCCTGCAGTACCCGTGTATGATCAAAGGCTGCGACTCCGTCATGCGGTCGGAGCGCAGCGTCCTGAAGCACTACGTGGGACACGGCCTGTCGGGGAAGTACCTGGAGCAGCAGAGGAGTCACTTCATCTTCTGCAAGAAGTTCCCCCGCCAGAAGTGCCGGCCCATCCGAAGCGACGACTCCAAGTCGGAGAACACCTCCGACATGTCGGACGGCGAGCTGTCGGCCGAGCCCGGCCTGGAGGGCGGGGTCGGCGCGTACGGCTACTCCAAGCCCGTCCTGCGCAAGAGGGCCTCGGCGCGCTCCCCCGCCACGGTGTTCGAGAGCAAGCTGTCCACGGACGAGAGCTCCAACGGCTCCGTGGTGATCAAGCGCAAGCGGGGGCGCCCGCGGAAACTCGAGAGGAAGTCGGTGAAGCGCAAGAAGATGCCGCGCACGACCAAGGTGGAGGTGGCGTACAGCCGGGACGACGAGTCCGACGACTCGTGCCGCGCCGGGAGCGCGCCGCTGGCCTCCTTCAAGCCCATGGGGTTCGAGATGTCCTTCCTGAAGTTCCTGGAGCAGTCGAATAAGTGCGAGCACCCGCTGGCGGCGAAGGTCGGCGAGACGTGGAGGAGGACGTGCGGCCTGAAGGACACCTGCGTCCGCTTTACCAACCGGCAGAACATGAAGTCCCTGAGCAGGGTGAAGATCGTGATAGACGGGGCCTTCTCGGGGGTCACCGACCTCATGCTGAGACAGCTGCAGGACACGCGGCCCACCGTGGTGCTGTGAACGCGGCGAGAAGAAAAGACTTTTGGTTTTTTTAAAGCGGAACCTCAGGACCAGAATGAGTAGAACTCTGCTGCAGACTCGTGCCCTACGTGTGAAATGTTCAACACATCCAGCTATTTAAAAAAAAAATACAAAAAACTTTGAATTATGCTGTATGATCTGTAGATTTTTTTCTTTTTTTAATGACTTATAGCATGTTATTTATGGACTTAAAAAAGGCTCCTTGGACATTGTTGAGATGTTGGTGACTTTTCGGTGTCTTGATAATCCCTGTGGGACGCAGAGACGGATTGTGCTGTTGTGTAGTTTGTGATTCAAAGGTGTTGATTATTGTGCGTTGCTTATGTCACCCGCTGCCACCAGCAGTCTTGATATTAAATGATCAGTTTTTTTACAATCAGTTTGACGTATTTTTCATCATTTTCACCATTTTTTCAGACGCACTGCATTCTGGGAGTTTACTGATCGTTGTGAACCCTTTTTGAGTCTTGAATCAAAAAACAAAGGCTCAAACCTGCAGTCACATGAATTCTAAAGGATACTTTGAATTAAATGCTATTTGCTTATCTGAGCTAAAGTTAGAACACTTTAAAGGGAAGTTTAATATTCTGGAAGATTAAATGTTTGGTCCTCGATACTAAGAAAACATTGTGTTCACTTTGAAGATGACAAAAGGAGAAGGTTTAGTGCTGTATATATTAATTTATTATTTCACAATATCATTGAATAACAATCTAAAATGTTAAATTCGTTAAAATAAACTGCTTATAAGAAGAACGATCAAATGTAATCTGCACGTGTCAAGTTGTGCTAAATATTACTTTAGACTATAAGCGGACAAATATAAAGCTAAATCATCGAACAATGGAATATATGTAAACTATAGCTACCATTTATGATAAGACCAAACAAAACGGTTTGCTCCCTTTTTAATATTCTAATTGATGTGATTGGCTAACGGCTAACCGAGCTACAGTGTGTGTGTGTGAGATCATTTAGAACCAGTCAATGACTACTGGTAGATACAGTTTAGATGGATTAAATGTACTTGAGTTGGTGTGGTGGGAGTCAATTAAGTCAGGTCCAAAAACACTGGATCCTACATTTCCCACAATGCAACGTTAGTTTATTATGATTACGTTCCCTCCAGAGCGTCAGCATGTTGAAATGAGGAATAAAAAGTGTGATATTGGAAGAAGGCCAACAGGGAAGTGTTTGTGTGACTTCCGCCTGGTACTTTATACTTTACAGTTAAAATGATTCGGTCTCTTAAATAGTAAATGACATCCAATCTGTTTGACACTTTACAGCACAGATGTCTATTCTCCCCCCCCCCTCCCCCCTTTAGGACTGGACGGTCTGGTTCTCAGTGGGCGGGGGGGGCCTGCGCGCCCCTCCCCTCCTCCACCTGCGGGTCCACCCTCTCCTCCACCTGCGGGTCCATCCTGTCCTCCACCTGCGGGCCCATCGCGGGCTCCGCGGACGCGAACCCGTCGCCTCTGGAGACGCGCGCGCGGGCCCGGCCCCCCGCGGGCACGTACCGCCGCGTGAAGCACTTCCACAGGTGCTTCCACACGATGTAGGCCAGCTCCGCCAGGTTGAGGACGATGCACAGCAGGGAGGTGGCGCCCATGATGTAGAGGAAGACCTTCTTCTCCGTGGCCCTGGCGATGAAGCAGTCCTCCGTGTTGGGACACGGGCTCTGGCTGCAGCGCAGGCGCGTGGGCACCGCGAAGCCGCCGTACACGTAGTAGAAGGCCAGCAGGGAGCCGGCCTCGAAGCTCACCTTGAAGACCAGGCTGAGCACGTAGGTGGCGAACAGCCCCCCGTCCAGGCTGCCTTTGTCCCGGTACAGCCGGCGGTGGTGCTTCTCCTCGCGGTGCTCCCGGTAGGCCACGTGCAGGGCCACCAGCAGGGACGGCGTGGACACCGCGATGAGCTGCAGGGCCCACAGGCGCGCCTGCGAGATGGGGAAGAAGTGGTCGTAGCAGGCGTTCTCGCAGCCGGGCTGCCGGGTGTTGCACACAAAGTCCTTCTGATCGTCCTTCCACACGTGCTCGGCCGCCGCCACGTACACCAGGATCCGGAAGAGGAAGACCACGGAGAGCCAGATGCGGCCGATCACCGTGGAGTACTTGTTCACCCCGCTGAGGATGTTCTCCAAGAAGCCCCAGTTCATCTTGTCCTCGTGCTGCCGAGGACACACACACACACACACGTGGGATCAAATGAAGGGATCTGTTTTATATGGACACACAGTTCTAATGAGGACCTGATCCATTTCTTACTAATCCGTCACCTTTAATACACATTAAAGATTATTTGTTTTAGGTACAAAAGTACGGATGCTCAAGTCTAGAAGACATTGAAGGACATTCACCATCTATTAAAAGTGGAATCTGTTTCTGTGTGTAGAACCACACAAACACAGATCTGATCTGATGGTGTATGTGCATTATGCAGCTATTATGGGGGGAGCAGTAAATAATAATCATATAACCATATGGAATATAATAATGTGGTCTTATAAGCCACTGGTGCATTAAGATTCAATACCAGAACTTGTTATTTAAATATATATAATACATCCTAATTATCAACGACTGAGCATTTGACATGTTTTTACAGATATTCGGTTTATTGTCTGTCGGACACAAAGCACAACGAAAGCGCTACGTCATCACGTGCGCGTGAGAAACTCTACATGTTGTATGTTATATGTATATATATATATGTATATGTATATATACATGTATATGTGTGAGGATGTGACGACTCACCGGCGGGGACCCCCGGGGTTCCTCCTCCTGTAGCAGCGGGTGGTGTCCGGCGCTGCGCTGCGTCTCCTCCACCTGTCTGCACACCTGCGGGAGGGGGGGGGCGCTGCGCCACACCTTAGCCAACCGCACGCACACGCACACGCACTCTGTGTTTGGTTTTCATTGTGAATTAAAAAAAAAAAAGAGAACTGCGTCTCCTTGAAATCATCTGCTGCACGTACGGGAGGCGTGTGTGTGTGTGTGTGTGTGCACACGTGTTGACACAGTCCACAAACATCCCCATGGAGTTTTTTCGGTATCATCCGCGTGCAGATTCCCCTTTCGGGGGCGCCTTTTGTTTGGAGGGAGGGGCGCGCGCACGCAGCATCCTGTGTGCGCGTGCGCGCGGCTCTTCCTCGCTGAGTCAGATCGCGTGTCCGCGCTGCTGAATATTTCACGTCCCGGTGGCTCGTGTCTCAAATGTCGCTCCGTCCCCGTTCGACTGGATTCAACACATTCTTACAACTAAAATATTAATTTATAAAGAAAAAGTACGTAGACGTCACTTCAATGTGTTGTTTTGTTTGTTTTGATGAAAACAAAATAGCAATAATACAATGTTTCCAAAGAATTTCAGGAAAATTCCATTCTTGAATAAATTTGCATGAATGTAAAACTTTCAGCTTGATTTATTTTTATTTTTATTCTGTTTTATTGGTGTTTTTACAAAGAACAGCAAAAAAATATTTTTTTTGTAAAGTTAGATAAAACATTTATATTATGTTACTGCATGAATTTACATGAATTTCTCTCTGAATGTTTGCTTTTCTTTCATGTGATACTAAATGTACCAAAACCGAGCAGGATTTGACAAACGGCGCCCCACAACACGGTGGCGCACGAGATTCGAGGACATGTGGTCAGATATTCAGAGACAACGGGGGACAGAAAAGTGGCTTGTGATTATTTTTCATTAGTCTGCGATGAAAGCACCGCTACGTCTGACGCTGCACAACGAGTTATTTTAAGAGGAGTTGACGACATGAGAGGAGCTGCTCTAAAAGGCAAAGCAGAGGAACCGGTTTGCGAAGCCGCTGATGATATGGTCGTCGTGGCGCAGGGGTTAGAGAAGGTGTGCTGGGAAGCACAAGGTTGTTGGTTCGATTCCAGGCTGCCCCATGTTCCACGTCGAAGTGTCCCTGAGCAAGACACCTAACCCCTAATTGCTCCCCAGGCAAAAATGTGAAAAAGCCATGGGTTTAAAGTGTAATGTAAGTCGCTTTGGATAAAAGCGTCTGCTAAATGACCTGTAATGTAATGTAATGTAATGATATGAAACTGGATCACGGCAATGTGAGGATGCAGTGGTGAGCCAGCTGTGCGCAACAGCTCTCGCATCTTTCTGCGGGATTCGACAAACGCTTTTCGGGACTTTGCAGTTATTGAAAAGGACATGTAGCTTTTCTCTTCTCCGTGGACCCTGATGATGCTCCTGCAGTGTGACGTCGAGTGACGCGGAAAACACCAGCAGTCTTCTCCTGTTGACTTTTAACCGGCAGCTGGACAGAAGCAGGTTCCCAGGAATGACGTCACTCGCTAAGAAGATGCAGATTCGGCTCCACGTGTGTGTGAGCAAACGTTCTCAGTCAGGAAATTCGCAAAGACCACTTTGCATTACTGTATAAAATGTTCATGAGGCAAAAATAATTCATTGAAATGAAAGGTGTTATAAAGTTTGTTCAATGTTATCTGAGTGGCTCATATTTGGTGACGTCATTTGAAAAATAAAGATAAATGTGTCAATGAAAATTGCTTTACAACAGTGTGTAGTTTTGTAGTTAAAAACAAAAAAAGTCAGTGAAATTGACCCGCAGGCATCTTCACTTTATCACAACGGCTCTGTGCAAAACGTTTACACACCCCTGGTTTAATTAAAAAGCCTTTCACCCAGGAACAGTAATACATTTATTTATATCTTATTATACATATATATTTGTAGAAGAGTATTTTACGTTGTCACGGTGACGTTGCAGCAAAGTGCCAGTTCCCGGCCCTCAGACTCACAGATGACGTCCGAAGGTCCCCGAGCGTTCAGGGGACGGGGGACGTTGGACACGTTCAGTCGGGACCCTCTGCTTAGTCATCACACTGCGCCTCAAGTATCCGCTGTGCAGAGGATTGTGGGTAAAAAGATTCTGCTAAATGTGACTGCAGAGAACGTCATGGGAGTGTCATCGTGCTGCTCACGACGACACACACGAGTAACGAGACAAACTAAATCTATTGCTGAGTAAATATCTTTATTAGAACTTTTTATTCAGATTGCACAACAGAACTACCTCATAAAACCACAAAAATAAGAAAAAAAAGTATAAAAAAAAGGTTCTATTGCGTTTTACACATTTCTTCCTGCTTCGGAGACTGAGGCCACCAGTCCTTCCTTTCTGCACCCGCAGCTGCATCTGCAACACACAAGACTTCAGTCAGACCACCAGGGTCACCTGACCTGCTCCCCCCGGGTGAGGAATCAAACACACCCTCACCCCCTCGCCCCACCCATATGGGTGAATCAAGTGCACCAGTCACCCGTCAGTGAATCGTTTGTTTTAAATGAAAAACAGCAGGCAGACTCCAAACGTTCAATCAAGTTGGTTCACGGAAACACAAACTCCTCCTTCTCCTCCCCCCTCTCCCCCCAAAGTTCGTTTCGCTTAGTACAATGAAGATAAACCACGTTCTAAGTCCCAACACCTGCGTTAGTGGAACCCTGAGTGCACAACTCGACAGACGTTACCCTTCTCTGCGCCTGCTCGATCAGGAGCATCGAAAACCCCTGCCAAAAACAAACCGGTTTACAAGGTCAAGACTACGGGACAGAAACAACCACATGGGAGGGACTCTGGACGGGTCTCACCTGGGTCTGTTCCGAGGCTGGAGTTATCGAAGAACTGCTTGGGGCAGGTTCTGGACAGCAGCTCTGAGCCTTCCCCCCCGTTGAAGAAACTGCTCTTGGGATAGTCAAGAAACGAGGTCACGGGGGAGTCCCGGGCCTTCCTGGGGGAGTCCCGGGCCTTCCTGGGAGAGTCCCGGGCCTTCCTGGGAGAGTCCCGGACCTTCCTGGGAGAGTCCCGGACCTTCCTGGGAGAGTCCAGAGCCTTTCTGGGGGAGTCCAGAGCCTTTCTGGGAGTAACCAGGACCTTCCTGGGTGAGCCGAGGAGGTTGGAGGTGTCCGAGGAGACGGAGAGGGGCCTCTTGGTGGGGTTCGAGGGCGACACGGTCTTGTCCACCTCCACCTTGCGCATCACCTTGAGCTTCATGGCCCTTCCCTTCCACTTGCCGATCTCTTCCTGATGACTGGACACCAGGCTGCCGGGACAGAGGGACAGATATCAGAGAGGGACTAAAAGGGGACCCGCGCATCCACTGCTCGGCCCGCTGCGCTCTCACCTTTCCAACTCGGTTATTTTCAGTCGAAGCTGTTTGACTTCCTCCTCCAGTTTGGTCTTCTCCAGCAGAATGCTGGTCTGGATCACCAAACCTCTGGGGTTGATCAGTCTAGCATGAAGCTCCTCCCCCTGCAGGACTGAATTGAAACGCGACCACATCAGCGTGAGACTACACCATCACTCCCAACGCGGCCTTGGATGAAGCGCAGAGGGCCGACTTACACGAGTCCTCTCCTTCCTGCTGTGATTTCCTCAGCGTCTCCTTCAGCTTCCTCACAGACTCCTCCTTTTCCTTCAGCACTGTGCTCATCTTCTGGATCCTGGCGTGGACAAAGACCTCGGGGTTAATGTCTCGTTTCTGACGTGACGGCGAAGCGTCTTTCGCCACCTTTCCGCACGTTCGAGGAAACAAAAAAAGGGCTCTTACTCCCGTTCATGTCCGTCGGATGCTGAACTCAGCTCCACCTCCATTTTGAAGAGTTTAGCCCGGAGTTTCTCCAGCTCGACGGCGCTGGGTGACGCGTTCTCCTAAAGCACAAAGACACCAATATCACAAAACGCCACGCGTGGAGCGCAGGCTGCCTCGCGGGCCTGCAAACGCTCAGACGCACCTCGGACTGCCGCAGCTTGGCCTTGAGGGTCCGGATGGTGCCGTGCTGCTCCTCGACTTGTGCGCGGCTGTCCTGCAGCTCCGTCTGCAGCAGCTGGGTGGCCTCTTTGTGGTTGGACACCCTGCTGCTGGCTTTGAGCTGAGCCTCCTCCAGCTGACGGATTTGCACGCGCAGAGCCTGACGAGCAGAAACACGCGGGTGGTCATCTAGACACGGCTCCCGAGAGCTTGGTGGACGTGAAAAGGACACGTGGGGGAGCATACCGCTACTTTCTCTTCAGTCTGCCGGAGCTGAAGCACGAGCTGCTTGTTGTCCTTCAGCACCTGCAGCAGCGCGGCGGTCTTCTCCTTCTCCTCCCTGAGCAGAGAGTCCGCCCGAGCCTCCTGCAGCTTCAGCTCCTCGCTCAGGCTGTTGTGTTCTTCTATGACGCCCTGCGGGAGTCAGCTGGGTTACGGGACGACTAGAGACCAGCAGCGAAAAAGGCCGCGCCGTTTGTTAGATTAGAACACTCGGCGACTGACGTCACGTCGGAGAAAGACTACCTGCAGGGCCGCCGTCCTTCTGTGAGCCATCGCCGATCTGAGCTCCACCTCGCCGCTCAGGATGCTGTCCATCTTGCCAAAGTTTTGCGGCTGGATGGGGTTGAGGGCCTTCAGCTGCTCCTTGAAGCTGGTCCTGACCTGGACCTCCTCCGACACCTCGCTGGAGTACAAGTCCCTCTTGGTCTGCAGCCTCCTCAAGACGTGGGACATTTTCTACCGATCAGAAAAGAGTCAAATGTTGGAAACATTACCCAGGAAAACAACCCAGTCCCATTTAGGTCAGCACTTCATTTTGGTAAATGTCTCCATTCAAATGGCTTATTTTTTCAGTGAATAATTGGACCTGGAAAACCTGTTGAAAGGAGTTTCCTGCCTTCATAGAATCTCATAGTTCATCCGTACGTTGGTTTTCATTTGAGCAAACCACTCTTTCCTCCCCCGTCATGCCAATCACCTGCAGACAGAGCTGCCTCTTGGCCAGCAGCTCGGCCTGCCGGCCGCCCCACAGCACACCGAGGTCCTCGTCTCTGGCCGAGTGGCGGGGCGTCCCCGCCCGGGACAGCAGCGAGTCCTGCAGACGCCGCTCCTCAAAAATGGCTGAATCCGTCTTCGCCAGATTCTCGAACTGACTCTTGTAGCCTTGCGCTCGCGCCAGCAGCTGCACCTGCGGGGGCCACGGAGCGGGGGACGTTTATCAGCTGATCCAGAGAGGACGACCCGACCAGTGTGTGTGTGTGTGTGGGGGGGGGTTGACATTCACCCTAATGTCACCCAGCGCCTGAGCCATCAGCAGCTGCTGCTGCCGCACGGTGTTGTAGGCGTCCAAGCCGGGCTCAGGCGTGCTGCTCAGCCGCTGGTGGGGTTTGTACTTGGGGAAAAGGTCTATGAATGTTTCGAATCTGCCGCAGGACTCCTGCAACGAAACGAGAGTTCAGGGGAATCACAGATACAGCAGAAAGCCTCCGTCTGTCAGAGCTCGGAAGTACGACGACAAATCCATTGCGACGTTACCTGGAGCAGAGCGTCCGAGTCCCGCAGCGCCGCCGCCGTCTCCTCGCTTCCACCACAGCTCTGATCCATAGCGCCCAACTGCTCTCGGAGGGCTGAGATGTTCAGGTTGCCGTCACAGAGTATCTGAAAGGAGGAAACAAGTGTAACGTACGAATGGCTCTAACCCGACTCGCTCTGCGTCGGCGTTTCGAAGCCAGGACTTCTTCCCCGTCTAAACTTTGCTCCAAACAAATTATATGAATGACTTTACGAGGTGTTTGAACCTCTTTGGAGATGCGTGGTGATCCAGTGCTGTAGACCTCGATCATCTCAGTTTATTAAAAGTGACTTTAAAGAAAGCAAACGTCTCAGGAAGGACCGTTTACAAACCTGCTGTGAGGCGCCGGCTTCAACTTGAGCAGAAGTTCGTCCCTCCCTGATCAACTGGAGCTGCTGCACCTGAAAAGCAAAAAGATCATCTCTTGTTGTTTGGATAAAACACAACAATCCCTCAGAGGACAAATGAAGACATTGTGAATACTGTGCACGTCTTTTAACACGAGCTTATCAACGGTTATGGAGAATAAGTGACCTACCGTTTGCTGCAGCTCGGTCTCTCGCTCAGAGTTCAACTGCGCCTGCTCACTTAACTGCTCCTGGATGGCTGAGATCTGCAGTGCGGAGAGAACAGACGTGAACACAGCGGTGCTTTGGCGCGTGAGGCCCATCGGATGACCGACGACAAAACGTACCGTCTCCATCTTGTCCTCCAGCTGCGCCCTGAGCTGCCTCTCCTCCCCTCTGACTCCCTCCAGAGTCTCCAGCAGCTGATCTCTCTCCTCGCTGAGAGACGTCACTCTGCACAGCAGCTTCTCCGTCTCCTCCGTGGACGTCTGAAGGATGGAGTCCTTCTCGGAGAGCAGACCGTCCCTCTCCGCCTCGACGTGCTGCAGCTTCTCAGAAAGAGTCCTCGTCTGTGGGGGAAGGAACAGTCAGAAGGGTCCACCTGCTTTGAAGACAGGTTTTATAAAAAGCACCTTGAGGTATCGGACACTAACTTGTTGATCCAGTTGATGCAGTTAAGGAAAAGATAAACGTGGTACTCTGTCATGAACTAAAATATCACAACAAAATAAAATGACTCTCAAAAACCCAACACAAAGCTGCCAAATTAGATATTTAATAACAGCAAAGTAGGGAGTTGGGTTTGGCCAAGATGTCTTTAATGTCAGTTGTTTTCATACTGAACGACTTATTTTAAAGAAACGAATTGAACCAATAAATTAGCACATCTCTGATAAACCAAAGTGGTGGCTTAGCGTGATACACCGGGTCCGATAATCACATCAACAAATAACTTAACAACATTGCATGAGAGTTGATCAATGAGGACTTTTAGTCGAGCGTCCTCCACCTCATTCCCGCTGCGCTGTAGTTCGGCGTCCAGCTCCCTCTTCTGCTCAGTCACAGTCTGCAGAGACGCCTCCAGCTGTGTGATCTGCTGAGGCAGATACGGGATCAGCATTCATCCTCCAAAAACATCCGAAACACAAAGAACCGTTTCTATGCTATGCAGATTAGAAATGTACGGAAAGGCTTTCACCACTAAGCCTGTCGCAAATGATTGTGTGCTGGCTCTTGTTTCAACGGGATCATTTTGCAGTTATTGTTGTGTTCCACAGTAACAGAAATTTAACCTAAATATGAAAACTAAGAAGGTCTCTCGTCACAAACCTCCGTCTGCATGGTCTCCATCTTGTCCTCCAGCTGCGCTCTGAGCTGCCTCTCCTCCCCTCTGACTCCCTCCAGAGTCTCCAGCAGCTGATCTCTCTCCTCGCTGAGAGACGTCACTCTGCAGAGCAGCTTCTCAGTCTCCTCCGTGGACGTCTGAAGGATGGAGTCCTTCTCTGACAGCAGACCGTCCCTCTCCGCCTCCAAGAGCTGCAGCTTCTCAGAAAGAGTCCTCGTCTGTGAGGGAAGAAGCAGCCAGAAGAAGAGTTTATTCAACTCCAGCTTCAAATCTAAACAGTTTATAGTTCAAATATATTAGAGACCAGAATGGGTCCATGTTTGCTTCCGGTCAGCTGATGTCATCCACACACACTGGAACAGGAAATAAACTGGGACTCATTTGGAAGGTTTCACAGCTCTGAAGGAGTCTGACAACTTCTCTCTTGCTGCATGCATCCCTGCAGATGAGATTTTCTGAAAGTAAAGCTAACGGAGAGACAAACCTCCATCTGCATGGTCTCCATCTTGTCCTCCAGCTCCGCCCTGAGCTGCTGCTTCTCCCCTCTGACTCCCTGCAGAGTCTCCAGCAGCTGATCTCTCTCCTCGCTGAGCGACGTCACTCTGCACAGCAGCTTCTCCGTCTCCTCCGTGGAGGTCTGACACGTGCTCATCTTCAGCGACAGAGCATCCCTGTCTGCTCGCACACTCTCGAGCTGCTCGACGAGGCTCTGTTGAAATGAGAAGATTTCCAACATGGAATCACGACATGGACCACGGAGCGTCCGTTTATTATTCTCCGTTGACATTTCAACCCACCTGGCGATCCAAGCCAGATTCCCTCTGCTCTCGGAGCTCCTCTTGAAGAGATGAAAGAAGAGACTCGGTCTCCGCAACCTAAAAATATAGAGAACAAATCGTAATTCAAAACGTCATGGAAGGGAACACAGTGCTGCAGAAAAGGACGACGTAAGAGTGAAACACGACACAAGGGACACACCTGCTGCTCTAGCTGAGCTTTCCTCTCCTGGAGTCTCTCCTGTTCCATGTTCTCCTGCGATTGTAGAAGGCTTTGAGAAGCTTCAGTCTGAAAATAGAAAATCATTTAGTCATTCATACAAAAACAGCTGCTGTTTTAACGCAACAGTGTGATCGCAAATAAATCCCATGAATGTTCAGCTGCCCCTCACCATCTCCGTGGCACTCTGCAGATCACCTTCCATCTGGTTCTCCTGCTCAGCCAAAGCCAGGAGTTCCTTCCTCTGGGAAATGATATAATCAAATTAACTACCCATGTTAACTTACGGTCTATAGAAGTAAAGCTGGTCGTCACAAACCTCCGTCTGCATGGTCTCCATCTTGTCCTCCAGCTGCGCCCTGAGCTGCCGCTCCTCCCCTCTGACTCCCTCCAGAGTCTCCAGCAGCTGATCTCTCTCCTCGCTGAGAGACGTCACTCTGCACAGCAGCTTCTCCGTCTCCTCCGTGGACGTCTGAAGGATGGAGTCCTTCTCTGACAGCAGACCGTCCCTCTCCGCCTCCAAGAGCTGCAGCTTCTCAGAAAGAGTCCTCGTCTGTGAGGGAAGAAGCAGCCAGAAGAAGAGTTTATTCAACTCCAGCTTCATATCTAAACAGTTTATAGTTCAAATATATTAGAGACCAGAATGGGTCCATGTTTACTTCCGGTCAGCTGTTGTCATCCACACACACACACACACACACACACACACACACTGGAACAGCTCTGATGGAGTCTGACAACTTCTCTCTTGCTGCATGCATCCCTGCAGATGAGATTTTCTGGAAGTAAAGCTAACGGAGAGACAAACCTCCATCTGCATGGTCTCCATCCTGTCTTCCAGCTCCACCCTGAGCTGCCTCTCCTCCCCTCTGACTCCCTCCAGAGTCTCCAGCAGCTGATCTCTCTCCTCGCTGAGCGACGTCGCTCTGCACAGCAGCTTCTCTGTCTCCTCCGTGGAGGTCTGAAGGATGGAGTCCTTCTCGGAGAGCAGACCGTCCCTCTCCGCCTCCACGAGCTGCAGCTTCTCAGTCAGCCTCTGAATCTGTCGGCAGAGTGGAGACGGTTATTGATGTTCTATTGAAGAGGGATCAGTCAGCATGAGACAGCAGGTTCACTCGGAGCGTGTTCTTTGTGTAGGATTTCTCAGCTCTCGCACCTGGAGTTCGATCTCTGCGTCGCCCTCCGGCTCGGCCTTTTGGCTCCTCAGCTCGTCGATCTCGTCTTGGAGAAGTCTGATCTTCTCCTGAGACGCCCTCAGCTCCTCCTGGTTCTCGATCATCTAAAAAAGAGTCGCACCTCATGAAGATGTTTGCTGTGCAAAGTCACTACAAAGCAATGTACGGTGACAAGGAGGAGGGACGTCGGGCTAAAGCCTTTTTCTTCTTTACAAAAGTAAATTCAATAAAACCGACTTGAAGCTCCAGTTTGGCTGATGCAAGTTTATTGTCTCAATATCTATTTTCAAGTCCTCCATAAAGAAGTATGATGTTCACTCAGTACGTTATGCTACATTTAGAGTCAAACAAACCATAAAGCGGAGTATTTCTTAGGGGCGGGGCTACCTTGTGATTGACAGGAAGCATTTTAGTTGTGTTCCGGGTACAAATCAATTATATTCAATTTGTAAAAGCTTTGCATATAATTCACCATACAGACAGATTCCCTGATATCTTACACAACAGAGTCAACATCAAAGTCCCTGAACACAACGCAGCTCCATTAACAAATGTTATTCACGATTTCAGAAAACTGTGACTGAAATTCAAGTTATGTTCAACCCCTGCTTATAAAGATCAATTGGAAGAAGAACTCACCAGCTCCACATTGTCTTGAAGGTCAGACTTAAACTGGCTCAGCTCCTGCTCCCGTTTCTCCAGACGCTCCTCCAGCTGTTGGATCTGAAGCACAATCAACGTTGTGCTGTCATCCGCTCCAGAGAACAGCGAGTACGAATGTAAAGAGAGAATCAGTACGTTCCAAAGCAACGCATGCAGTCTGTAGCTCAACACGTCGCTTCTTACTTTTAAAAGGGGTTTTTGTTCAACGTTTGGGGACAAATTCACAAAGTTGAAAGGAAAAGCACCCGAGGTGTGAGAATGAGAACAAGAGAGACGCTCTGACCTGCAGAGCGGAGCACAGGTCCTGCTCCTCCTTCAGCGACTGAGGCTCAGCGCCGAGCTGCTGCTGCAACTCACACTGCACCTGAAGGACCAGGAGACAACGAGAAGACAACTTAAGTGATAAACAAAAGCATGATGTTTAAGTGAAATTTTCGCAAAGGATAAAATGTTTACATATTTTCTACTATATAGAAACTATGTCCACATTCATGCAAACTAATACAAAGTCATAAGATTTGAAAATAGTTTCATTTTTACTTCACAGGGACGTGAACAAGAGCAGAATTCTTTTCACATCAGATTTTTGGAAAACGTTGAGGTAATATATGCTTTTTATTAACAATTTAGACAACATACTTGCGTATCATGATATGATAAAAGTTATTATTTCATAGTGGTGGTTCCAGCTAACGTCAGTCAGACTGTAAACGCACAAGTAAATAATTCCAGGTCTCAACAGGAGTTTCCCCCAAGAAATAAGAGAACATTTCAGGGGGAATAATTGGTTTATAGCCCCGTCTCAATGGAAAGATTTACACCCCGAGCGCTCACCGTCTCCATCATGTCCTCCAGCTCCGCCCTGAGCTGCTGCTTCTCCCCTCTCACCGCCTCCAGAGTCTCCAGCAGCTGATCTCTCTCCTCGCTGAGCGACGTCACTCTGCACAGCAGCTTCTCCGTTCCCTCTGTAGAGGTCTGACACATGCTCATCTTCAGCGACAGAGCATCCCTGTCTGCTCGCACACTCTCGAGCTGCTCGACGAGGCTCTGTTGAAATGAGAAGATTTCCAACATGGAATCACGACATGGACCACGGAGCGTCCGTTTATTATTCTCCGTTGACATTTCAACCCACCTGGCGATCCAAGCCAGATTCCCTCTGCTCTCGGAGCTCCGCTTGAAGAGATGAAAGAAGAGACTCGGCCTCTGCAACCTAAAAAAATAGAGAACAAATCGTAATTCAAAACGTCATGGAAGGGAACACAGTGCTGCAGAAAAGGACGACGTAAGAGCCCGAGTGAAACACGACACAAGGGACACACCTGCTGCTCTAGCTGAGCTTTCCTCTCCTGGAGTCTCTCCTGTTCCATGTTCTCCTGCGATTGTAGAAGGCTTTGAGAAGCTGCAGTCTGAAAATAGAAAATCATTTAGTCGTTCATACAAAATCAGCCGCTGTTTTAACGCAACAGTGTGATCGCAATTAAATCCCATGAATGTTCAGCTGCCCCTCACCATCTCCGTGGCACTCTGCAGATCACCTTCCATCTGGTTCTCCTGCTCAGCCAAAGCCGGGAGTTCCTTCCTCTGGGGACGAGAACGACCACATTCCATAATTAAGTATTAATGAAGTACAAACAGAACCAGAGTTTTGAGGGACAAGGCCAGTATTAATCCTTAGCTTTCCCAAGAAGAGACCAAAACCATCAAAAATAATAAAGTATCCTTTCCTTCTACGCAGACCTGGATTCCAAATGATATAATCAAATTAACTACCTATGTTAACTTACGGTCTATAGAAGTAAAGCTGGTCGTCACAAACCTCCGTCTGCATGGTCTCCATCTTGTCCTCCAGCTGCGCCCTGAGCTGCCTCTCCTCCCCTCTGACTCCCTCCAGAGTCTCCAGCAGCTGATCTCTCTCCTCGCTGAGAGACGTCACTCTGCACAGCAGCTTCTCCGTCTCCTCCGTGGACGTCTGAAGGATGGAGTCCTTCTCGGAGAGCAGACCGTCCCTCTCCGCCTCCACGAGCTGCAGCTTCTCAGTCAGCCTCTGAATCTGTCGGCAGAGTGGAGACGGTTATTCCACATTAGTCTGGATATTCAGATGTTCTATTGAAGAGGGATCAGCCAGCATGAGACAGCAGGTTCACTCGGAGCGTGTTCTTTGTGTAGGATTTCTCCGCTCTCGCACCTGGAGTTCGATCTCTGCGTCGCCCTCCGGCTCTGCCTTTTGGCTCCTCAGCTCGTCGATCTCGTCTTGGAGAAGTCTGATCTTCTCCTGAGACGCCCTCAGCTCCTCCTGGTTCTCGATCATCTAAAAAAGAGTCGCACCTCATGAGTGTACGGGACTTCCTATAAAAAGGAATCTACAATCAAGGAGGAGGGAAGTCTTTAAAACAGATCAAAAGAATAAGACTGTCTTTAAACAACAGTGTGGCAGAGGAGAATCTGTACTATTAGCAGGTACTGAATGAAGTATATTCCATGTCTCGGTTCTGGTGTAGAAGCATTAAGGAGAATCGTACAAGCGTTTGCAGCTGCTCCCTCTGTGCGGCCGTCTCGCTGGCTGAATCTTCCGGTTCTTGCTGTGCAGCTTCCAGCAGCTTGATTTGCGCCTTCTGCTTTCGATTCTTCTCCAGAGCCGTCCTTAGCTCCTCCTGATTCTCAATCATCTGGTTGTTTTTTAAAAAAAAATAGAAGAACAAATAGTTACGACACGTGGAGACCAAATCAACCTGCAGAGGAAATGCATTTTAAAAATCACAGCTCACCATCTCCACGTTTTCCTGCAGGTCCGTCTGCAGCTGGTCTCGCTCTGCTGTGAGGGACGTGATCGAGGAGAGCAGCTTCTCCGCCTCCTCTGCACAGCTCCTCTGCTCGGACAGGAGAGCGTCCTTCTCAGCTCGCACGCGCTGGAGCTCCTCTGACAGACTCTGCATCTGCCGGGTTGGACAGTCAGTACCGTGACAAATGATTTGTTTTAACCGCTTTCTTCGTCTACAGTTTCACCCACATGTTGATCCGATTCAAACTCCTTCTGCTTAGCGAGTTCCACCACATTGGAGTTCTGTCGGGTCTGCTCTTGGAGCTCGTCTTGAAGAGATTGTAGAAGAAGTTGTGTCTCTGCAGCCTAGAAATCATAAAGTATAAGAGGCTTTTTTTTAGTTTTAAAAGGATGAGAACAACATCATTAAATGTTTCAGATATATTCAGATGTTATGAATAGCAGTGTGTTAACGCACCTCCTCCACGTGTTCCTGGAGGTCCGTGGTGAGCTGGTCTCTCTCTGCAGTGAGACACGCGACCGCGGACAGCAGCTTCTCCGTCTCCTCTGCAGCGCTCCTCTGCTGGGACAGGAGAGCGCCCTTCTCTGTTCTCACATGCTGGAGCTCCTGCATCAGCTCGTTCAGCTGGACACACAAAAATAAACAGACTCACGCTTACATTTATGGGGTCACTACTTCATTGATGTTCAAGCAATCCAACAAGGTCCTTTCTGACTACTCTACTCTTGTTTGTATGCCGGTATTCACCGTTCATACCGGTGTTACGCCATGACAACTGATGTTGCTCTTCAGCAGGCAGCTACTTGTGTTACGTGTGTTGAGATTGAGTCATGGTTAGAACGCCGTAAAGAGCTAACGCGCCAACAGCTGTTCGCGTAGCCGGCGCCAATAATCTGTGCGCGACTCGCTCAAAGGCCGGACCCGAATGTCCTGCGACTCGCCCGCTTTGTCAAATGATCTACCTGATCGGGAAGAGTCCGGAGCGAGGAGAGCTCCTCCAGCTGGGCTCTGAGGGACCCTTCTGCCTCTTGAGACGAGGTCAGCTCTCTGCTCAGCCGGGCCGCCGTCCTCTCCAGCTCCAAGCTGTCGATCAGGTCTGCAGACGGAAAAACAGCGAATGCTCTAATCGGAGTTCCGACTTCATTCATTCCGCAGTATTTTATGAGCAGACTTGCACACATGCAGGAAAAACCTCCGACGTTAAAGACGTACTTTTGGGGACGTTTCCGTCGAGCAGAGTGGTGAGCTTGGTGTTCTCGTCGAACGCCACGTTCAGCTCCTTTTGGAGGTCGCTCTGCATCGATTTGAAGCGAGACTTCTCCGCCTCCAGCTGAGAGCGCAGTCGAGTCAGCTCGGCATCCAGCTTCTCGTAGCCGGCGTTCAGATTCACCTGGAGGGGAAGATCAACACGTATTACAAACCACAAAAAGACGCCGGACACGTCCGCCCGGAGGTCGTTGGTCTGTCGAACCCACTCACATTCATCTCCTCCACAGCGATGTTCTTACTGCGCAGGTGGGCCCATTCCTTCTTGGTGTCTCTGCTGAGCCCCTCGGCATCGTCCAGAGAGCGACGGAGCGCCGCCACCTCCTTCACCAGGTCCTTCCCGCTCTGAGAGGAGGAAACCCAACCCAGTCAGCCTGCACTTACTTACACTGTGATGAATACATCACAGTGGAGCAATGCTTTTTATAGAGTAGTATAATAGGTACAGGTGTACGGTGGAGAAATGACTTCAAACACATTGATTTGGCGACATCGAACCGCCATGGCGATAAAACTAAAAACTCATTAGGAAGCACATACCAGACTCTGAAGTTCCTCCGCAAACTCTGTTTTACTCTGGAGCTCTTTGGAAAGAGTTTCTATTTTGTTCTTAAAAGAAAAACACGTGCAAAATATTTAACAAAACTAATATTAACGAATATTAAACATCAACATGGACGAACTGTTCTGGAGGAATACTTACATTTAGCTCAAGGCGTTGGAGCTCAGAGGAGACGAGGTCGCTCTTCAGTTTAGCGATTTCATTTTGAAGCTCGCTCTGTGAGATCAACGGAGAACAGATAAGAAGCCGAACGCAGCGTCGTCCTTCGCCCTCGGCACCGACCACTTACCTCGTGCTCCTTCCGGAACTCCTCCTCGAGAGAAACAAACTCGTCCATCTCCCTCTTCTCCTCCTTCTCTTTCGACAGAGTCGCTTTCTCCTCTTCCAGGCGCTTGATCTCCTCCATGAACATCCCGAGCTCCTCCTTCAGATAGTCCCGCTCAGTCGTCGCATCGTCCTGTACACACAAAAAAAAAAAAACAGGACCTTTGACTCGAGACTAAAATAACATTAAATACATTCATTCAGGAGATAAGAGTAACAGGATTTTCTCCACGTTCAGAAGTGAAACCAGCTTGATTTGTGGGAGGAGTTTAAGTCACAGCCAAGAAGCTCCACTACCTTCTCTTTAGCCAGAGTCTCACACAGCTGGATGGTCTCTGCAAATTCTTTCTTCATCTGGAAAACAAGGTCTGAAGATTAGCACCGAGCAGCTCACAGCTTGCAGAAGCTACTATTCGCGTGTTCTTGAGGATTTCTCCATTTACTCGACAGACCAGGGAGCAGGTGTATTCAAAAAAAAAAAACACAGCACACCTGTTCATCAGCGTCACTCGGAGTGTGGCTCTGTTCCTCCAGCTGTTTCTCCAGGTCGGCCACTCTTAACTTCAAAAGCTCCACTTCTTCATTGGCCTCCTGCTTCTGCTGGGCCTCCGTGTGCAGCTGCAGCTGCAGCTCGACCTCGCCCGCCCTCTGTTCTGCAGTCTGCATCTTCTCCAGGGCCTCCTGCGTCTGTCGAGCCTCCGTCTGCAGCTGCAGCTGCAGTTCGGCCACAACGGCATCTAAGGTCTCTACTTTTGTCCTGGCCTCCTCTGTCTGTCGGGTCTCTATTTCCAGCTGCATCTCCAGGTTGGACACTTTCCCTGAAAGGTTGCAGCCACCGTCAGGAGACATAAAGTCTTTGGGGCTGGAAAAAACAGAAAAATAAACAGGTGATTAGCGTGAGGAACTGATATTACCTGCAGACACGCAAACTGCAGGGGTTTGTTCCACGTACAGCAGTTGGACTAAAGAGAACAAATATACGGTAAAGCACATTAGCCACACACACCTCTTCTGGATGATTGAAATATTAGCTGTTGTTAGAGTGAAAGCTCCTATAACTGTAACGTGTGAAAAAAAAGACACTCACCTGTCTTCGAAGCTTCGAACAGTCACAGAGCTCTGGCTCATGTCCATTTCATACGACGGCTCGTCAGCAATCTCCCAGCGAGAGTCAAAGTCCTCCTCTTCTGTTGAAACACACCATGGATGCATTTAACTCACTGTCAGCGTGCAGTCCACGCGGGAAAAGGGAACCATTAAGCAAACGGTCACGTGCACGGCGCATGCATTCCCTGCGCTCCTCCCTACCTTCACACAGAGCCGACATACAGGAGCGATCCGCTTTTCCCTTCCGAGTGAAAGTCTCTGCAGAGCTGAGGCCGGACGGACTGCCATCGTGTGCGGGCAGACGGGCCATCTTTCCTCCCCACGTCACCCTGCGTTTTGGCCTCTTCAGAAAACAACAGTAGAGTCATTACTACCACGACGTGTCAGAGGAAGCGGCACTCTACCGACAGCGTTCCTATGGCTGTTGTCTACCTTACGAACAGGAACCAGGTTGGAGCTGGAGACCAGAAGCCTGGTCAGGTTTCTGATGCGATCCTCTTGTTCCCTCTGCAGCTGATCCTTTTCCTGGAGCAGCTGGGAGAGAACCTCCTTCTCCGTTGCGGAGGTGTGCGTGTGTGAGGACACCTGTGGTGGTCACACACATGCACGTCGTTATAATGGGAGTCACAGGCACATGGCTGAATAAGAACAAGAAAACAGACACTTACCTCGTGAAGCCGTCGCTTGAGGTCTACAATTTCGTTGCGGTACCTCTTGAGCAGAGCCCCGTCATCAGACACCTCCGTCACATGGGGGTCGTTCTTCATTTTTTTGGCAGTGCAGGCAAACTGACACAAAGAAAGACTTTGTTTTCTCACTCTCGTACTTCATGTTTCAAATCCCAACTATGATTGTTGCATAAATGTGCAAAGGAAAAGAGATTATCTAATAAAATGAATAAGGAGACATTTGACCAACCTGCAGAGTGCTGAGCGTCTCATCCAGAGCGGCAGGAGTGATGGTGCAGATGATGACCGTTTTAGCGTTCCCCCCCAGGGAGTTCTGCAGGATGCGGGTCAGCTTACTGTCTCTGTAGTTGGTGAAACCCCTGAAGAGAGAGCAGAGGATCCGCGTTAACAAAGGTCAGCACTGCCCTTCGAAGTTCAACCAGGCGTCAACCGCCAGCTGTTAACAGTGAAGTGTGAAGTGAATCCACATTTATGGAACTTCATCATCAACAATGAAGAACCTCACTCATTCGTCTCATTAATAGGCCGGGCAAGGAGAATATTTTTGGAATTGTACTCCTCATCACAGGATTTCATTATCCATTTTAGTCAATTGAGGATAAATCACAGAAATGATCAGTTATGTACAAACAAGCAGACTGTTGTTTACTTACTTCTGACTTTCATCGGTCAGTTTCTTGATCACTTGGCTGAGTGTAAACAGGCTCCGATTGATATTGACACCTTCCTTGAAATGTGTGCCTAGAACAACAAAAGGGGATTATTGTAAACGCAGTACAGTCTGTAGTGTGCAAACAGTAAAGCACGTTGGCATCAGACGCCCTAAACCGCGCTTACCTTCAGCTCCCGTTTGACTTGCTCTCTCAGATCCAGCCAGATCAACTAAATTCTGCAAGATCAAGGGAGATTGCTGGTGAACATACAATCCACACAAATAAAAATAAATATTTAATAAAAAAATAAAAAAGCTATCTTACCAAATGAGACACAATAACGGCACCGTCTGAAATCTCCCCTGAAGCCGGTTCGCCAATTTCTCTGCTTTCCAGGATCTGAGAGGAAACCAAATCATGCAGGATTTATATTCCACAGAATCCGACGTTTCTTACTACTCGTTGTGCCGTTGCTCACCATCCGGAAAATGGTGTGAGAGCGGCTGCTCCGCTCGTTCATCTTCGTCTTTGCATAGTGCCGGTTTTCTGCGGGGGGGCAGAGAACCCGTCGGTTGTTGTCACACGGTGTGAATCCTGGAAGCATCAGTCTCACGTTCAGGGACCTCGGAGCTTACCTTCTCCTTTCCGGATCCAGGCCAGAACTTGGGATGTAGTCGTCACCAGCTCCTCAGTCAGGTCCGCCACGTAGATGTTTTTCTGCATGTTTTTCAAGGCACAATCACAATGATCATATAAAGAGGAAAGTAAAATCGTCTCAACGGTTTCAGGAATTCAGTAATCATCGACTTTAAAGTATGTTACAAAAGAGCGTTGGCCCACTATGATCACAGATCACCGCTTTTGTATTCAGAACTTGTTAAGTTTCATTAAAAAAAATTTTTTTCCCCCTTTAGCGGCTTATTTAAGCACCATCTAGCAGTTTTGACCAATGCTTCATTAAATATTAGTTGGGCTCCACATTGTTAAACCCAAAAGGTCGTGTTCTGTTAACCAGTTCCCTTTGAAATCTGAAAAAAACAAAACTTAAATGTGTAGAAGTTTGAGGCCGCACCTGTTATTACCAAGAGTCAGAACATGGTTATAAACAGGCCTCCATACAAACCATTTCCTTCAACAAAATACGTGATTTCAGATCTAAATATCATGATTGAAGGTTTGTTACTTGAAAATGTTAAAAACTAAACCCACAAAGATTCCATAAGGAATTCATCAAACGCCAACAAACCCGTTAGCTGGTCCACTTACATTGATGGTCTCTCGCACTTCCAGGGGTTTCCTCTTGCAGCTGTCAACGAGTAGATCACTCACAGTCTCGTTGTAGATTTCCATGTAGGAAACCCTCAGGAGGAACTCCTTCTTTGAACACTTGAGCAAAAGAGAAGTCCTCAATCAGACAAAGAAATCCATTCGACCAAAAACAACTGGAAAGTTTTAAAACCGGATTCAATTCCTACATTTCTAATTGTCTGGAAGACGTCGTCCACAGCCAGAGGAATCACCCCATGAATACGGTCGCCCCCCATCATGGTGAAGGTCTTTCCCGAAGAAGTCTGCCCGTAAGCAAATATGGTTCCTGTGGATCAAACGCAACAACAGACATACACAATAAACACACGGCTACAAAGACTCAATGGGGCAACACATTACCACCAGACAAGTCACCGTGCACCGTTTCTATGACATACCATTGTATCCCTTGACAGTAGAAACAACCAGCGGCTTTGCAATGTCCTGGTACAGCTGATTGGTCGTTTCGTCCGCGGTGAAAACTCTGTCTGTGAAGAACAGAGCAGGAAAGGTGAGTGTGCGCTCGGGCCGCGTCAGAAGGAGGCACCGAACCCAGTGACCACGCATACCAAAAACGAAGCTCTTTGTGGAATTCCCATCGTCGACCTGATGAATGGATTTCTTATCAGCCTTCCAAAACAGGGGCACAGGCTCGGCGCTCTCCGACGCGGCGCTCTCCCTGTAACAAGGACACGCAATTAAGAACACATGGACTTCTTGACAGAATAGTCAGCTGACAAAGTGGACTGTTGCTCTGTGAGAATTCATTTGTAGCTGAATTTTCTTCACACATCCTGGATGGTTTTGTGCGAGTGTCCAGTCAAAGTGCAATGTGTATATTGTATATAGAGACACAGAAGACAAATCAGTTTCTGTTAATTATGTGACACATAAGCCACGAGTACAGTACAAGTCAGAAGTTCGGACGCATCTTCTCATTGATTTGAATGAGAAGTGTGCAAACATTAGGAACATTTTAGACTGAACTGCATGAATTACTATAAGTTCTTGTTTCCCTCAGGATCACTTGTAATAACGTCTCTTGGTATTTCCTCTTCCAGCCATCGTCTAAATTCGCATCTATCTACATTATTTACATAACCCCATGTGCCTTCATAATACTGAACCGTCCCTATTTCTAGAATAATCATTAAATGTGCAACGAAGAGCAGAAGAAAATATTCCCAATATTCCCCCAACAAAAGGGAATTTGGGGTCGTGCCAACCAGGTCAAGCCTAAGCATGACGTGAATTATTTGATATATGCTACTTAATAAACATATTACTGATTTCAGAGGGTTGATCAGAACAACACACTGTTCATAACGTCACGTCAAGTGCTCAGTAACGTTAACTCCGTCGTGACCAATCGGACGCTGATAAAATATAATAAGTTACGGTTCAGCATTAACGTTAATTGGTATTTGCTATAAAAAGGACTCGCCGTTAACGTCAGAAATGAAGTGCTACTATTGGGAACAGTTAGCATTAAGGTTTCAAAACATGGCGTTAGCGGCTATCTTACCTTAAAACTAACGTTAGCTTGGAACTTGTACTCTTTGCTAACGTTAGCTGTCGGCACAAAACTTACCTCGCAATAAGCGGACGGACTCGAACGCACACTTTAACCGCCGACTCTTCAGTCATTTTTAGTCACCCCCTCAAGCATAGAATCCTGGGGAACAACTAATACGAAATCAAACTGTCTAACCGCACTTTGGGTGTTATTTTTTTGTCTTTGCTATTTAAATATCTCCCGCTTTGTTTCGATTGGTCGACGTCATCAGGTGGACCCCTCCATCGATGGTTTTATAAAAAACCCGATTGAGTTAAGTTTTAGCTGCATTGTTTTAAAAAAAAATGTATTTGAGTAAACATATCAGGACAATTTAAAGGGATTGGATCGAAAGTGTTTTATTTTTTATTTAAAGTTTCTTTACAGAAAAATCCAGAGACTATGGTAGCGACCGAGTAGTGACGCATCAGCTGGCGACCGTGTCGGATGTCGTCATCAAACCGCGTCTACTCCAGTGTGGAAAACACATGAGAAAGTGGTGATTGTAGTAGTTAGTTTAGTAGAAATTAGCCTATTACAGTAATTTAAAGAATCTTACCTGTTAACGAATCTTGACGACGTTGATTAGAATTCAGTGTTAATATTTTCCAACTGCGCGATCGCTGAAAAGTACACAAAGACCTTCTTGGAGTGCTTTATCTTGCTTTTCAAATGTCTCTGTTTGTTGTAAACAGGTAGGTTAGCGTTCATTCTTTTTTTCTGTTCTAGCTTTTACAGTTGTTTCCTTTGTATAAAGTTATATGATAATTTTTTCTTCTGCTGTTATAGTAATTCATATTTTTAGACCGAAACGCTAGGTATATTATATCAGAAACCTGTCCCATATAATATACATGATGTGTAACAAATGATGTGTAGCATATGGTATAACCGTCTGATAGTGATAATTTATTACCAGCTTGTATCCGCTACGATAAAGAGAAAAGCATGTGGATGGCAGACACCGCTTACTTTGTTAAAATACCCAAAGTAAAGTCTATTAATTAGTGTAATCACGTATGCTTTAATATATTTGGTTAAGCTCAACATATCAGCTACAATTTTATTTTAGAAGTTAAAACTCTAAAAATTCTAAGCTGTCCGTTCTCACCTTTCCCAAAATGTTGATGATTTTCTGATCCTAAAATGTAGGATGTGTAATATGTTAACAAATTAGCAATTTTATGCTATATCTCGGTTACATGGGTAGATTCATAAACCTACACCTTACATTAAAACATGTCTTTGAAGATAAACCTTTGACAAAGATGTAGCTGGAATTGTATAATTCTGCGGCCTACCATGTTGTTGATTAGGCTGAAGAAGTGAACCGATGACTCCGTATCATATCTCATTCTGTCAATCACAGATATCTTGGAGAGGAGGAAAATGAGAGTGTCCCGAAGGAGTCTCGCGCTCAGGCGTTACTGGCTAAACTGCAGCAGAAGGCCAAAGAGAAGCAGAGACAGAGTCAGACAGAGGAAAGGAAACGCCCGCTGAAAGAACGGACGGAAGAACAAGAAGTGAAAAAGAAAAGGAAAGCTGACAAGAACAGCGCTCAAGAGCCTGAACGTCGCAAAAAGAGGAAATCAGAAGATCTGCCTCTATTCAATGCCGTCTCTGATCATGAGCCTGTGGAAGAGGCAAAGAAGAACGAGGCGTGTGCAAACAAGAAACAGAAGAAGAAGAAAAAGGAGAAGTCATGTGTGTATAAACTCTGATGTTGACACCACACTTGACAATCAATTTACATTACATGATTGACGTTAAAAGAACCGCGATCAAACCATTTGCACGGCCAATATTATCAGCCATACTCAGCTCAGTGGCGGTAATTGACAGAAGTTGACAGAATGCTGTAAAGCGGTGAAACAGCAACATTTAGGAATGTTTTGTTATGTTTGAAAACGTTTCAGATGCTACATTTACAAGCACAACGTGGTAATTCACTTGACCCGGAAAAGCGGGGAATCCTTATTGTGATGTCGTTTCTGTAATGAACATGAGACCAAAATATGTCTCGCATGATTGATTGATTGGTCTTTGGATTTCAGCCAGTCCAGTTAAAGGTTCTCCCGACACTCCGGCGACCGGGAGAGACGAGCAAGAGGTGGGAGAAGAAGAGGAGGCACAGGCGGGAAACGTGACACTAAAAGAAACCACGGAGAAAACTCCTGCTCCAACTGGGTTCACGGTTCTGGGTGGATTCAAAAACAAACCGGTCCAAAAGGTACAGTGTCTTTGTCCGGAGGCAGTCATGGCATCGCCGACAGCGTTATTGTTCAACCTCTGGAGTTTTAGTGCGCGTTGTTGTTCTTTTGGCAGGTGCACAGAGTCCTGCCTCAGTGGCTCGCTCAGCCGGACGTGATTCACAGAGACATCAGAAGCAACCTGGTCCCCATCGCCGACGTCCCGCGACTCTCCCCTCTGCTCGTGAGAAAACTGCAAATTAATGGAATCCATCAACTCTTTCCAGGTGACGACACTCGGCGCAATGTCCTTATGTTCCGCAACAGCGTTCTGAAGTCCTAAGAGAACTTAATATTGGTGTCACCTTTTCGCAGTGCAAGCAGAGGTAATCCCGGCCATCTTGGAGAGCGCACAGCAGGGGCTTCTGATTGGACGAGGCGGCTACAAGCCCAGAGATATTTGTGTGTCGGCGCCGACGGGAAGTGGCAAGACTCTCGCGTTTGTCATACCTGTCATACAGGTGAGCGTCCCTCAAGCAATCCTTTAATCAAAGAATTCAAACTACGCGTAAAGAGTGCGTGTTTGAGGACGGAATGACTCTCCAGATCAAATAAAGACTTTCTCCACCGTCAGGTGCTGACGGAGCGGGTGGTGTGTGAAGTCCGGGCGTTGGCCGTGCTGCCGACCAAAGAGCTCGCCCAGCAGGTCAGTACCTTAGAGAACGAAGGTCTGGATAGGAAATAATCCCTCAATGTTTTGCTGTGTAGATCCTTGAACACGTTCTTCCTGCACAGGTGTGGAAGGTGTTCAAGTCGTACAGCGAGGGAACCTCTCTGAAGGTGGTGATGCTGGCGGGTCTGAAGTCCTTTGCTGCCGAGGAGTCTTCGCTCTCCGAACTCAGGCGAGTTTCCTCCGGTTGAAAGTCGTATTTAAACTGAAAAGAATGTAATGACAGATTGTTGTCTGTCTTTACTCCCACCAGGGGGCAGCACAGGAACACCTTCTAAAGTCATCACGTACAAGCTTTAACGTTGCATCGGGGGGGATGATTAAATGGACACGTATCCGATCAGGACCCACTGGAACTCATTCTGTTTGGGTTTTTCTTCCAGAGGGGGAATGAGACGCAGTTTAGCCGACGTCGTCGTTGCCACACCGGGTCGACTCGTCGACCACATCAACAAGAACTCGGGCCTGAGCCTGGAGCACCTTCGGTTTCTCGTGAGTGTTTGAAAACCGGTACAGCTAAAAAAAAAAAAAAACGGAACGAACGGACGTGTTCTCCATCTACCGACAGCCTCTCTGTTGTTTTATTAAGTAGAGTCTCTGATCCCATCCCAGATTATTGACGAGGCTGACAGGATGATTGACAGCATGCACCAGTCTTGGCTCAGCCAGGTGGTGAAGGCGGTGTACCGATCAGGAGGCGGCGCAGACCCCATGTGCATCTTCAGGCGGAGTGAGCCGGCACACGTCACGGCAGCCAGGTGAGTCTTGAGTTTTACGCAGAGTTCTTCTTTTAACCAGAAGAAAAGTGCCACATTTTATTAAAGGAAAAGTTCCACATTTAATGAAATGTGCATTGTCTTTGCAAGAGTTAGATAAGAAGATTGATATTAAATGTATGCCTGTGTGATCGGTACAGAGCAGCAGTCGGGACGTGGTTAGCGTAGCTTAGCATAAAGACTAGAAGCAGGGGGAGACAGCTAGCATGGCTCGGTGCAAAAAGTGGTTATATAATCAATAATGAATTAATCTACTGGTAGGCACATGTTTTAACTTTTGACAAAAGTAGGAGAAAAGAAGTTCCATCATTTTGTGAATCAGTTCAAAGTTCCTCGCTGCTTATTGTAATTCAACCGTTCATTGTCCGCTCCCCCGCTCAGTCTGTCTCCGCCTCAGATGCCGCTGCAGAAGCTGCTCTTCTCTGCCACGCTGACACAGAACCCGGAGAAGCTCCAGCAGCTGGGCCTCCACCAGCCCCGGCTCTTCAGCTCCATCCACAGTCACTCCGGCTCTGGCACGCCGCAGGCCTCCACCCAGACGCAAGGCGGCTTCGACTTCCCCCAAGGGCTGACGGTAGGAGGTGACCTTTGACCTTCAGGAAGGAGGCGGCGTCCTGTGTGACCACGGGGATTAAACTTGTATATACCTGTGTATATTTGTTTAATGTTTTTTAGGAGTACTACGTGCCCTGTACGCTGAGCAAAAAGCCCCTCCTCATCCTCCACTTCATCCTGCGCATGAAGCACAGTCCCGTCCTCTGCTTCACCAACTCCAAAGAGACCGCACACAGGTCAACAGGACAGGCCAACTGTCTCCATTCATCATTATATATCAGTGTATATGTGTCTGTACATACAGAGTAAGCGTAGCCTTACTGTGCGGACTTATTTCCCTCTTCAGACTTCATCTGCTGGTGCAGTTCTACGGGGGGATCCGGGTGGCTGAGTTCTCCTCCCGACTCTCTCCCACCGAGAGGAAGAAGACGCTTAAGGAGTTTGAACAGGGAAAGATCCAACTGTGAGTTTGGATCGACCAAGGCAGGGTTTGACAAAAAGTGACAAGCAAACCAACAAAATGTAAAAAAAAAAAAATCTGATTGTCTGCGTTCCTGTACAGCAAACTTTATCAAGCATTTCATTTCAAGTCAGATTGTTTGGTTGTTGAACAAAGTAGTCACCATGATCATAGACCCAATAAAGGGAATATGTATTTATATATATTTTTTTTTTCCAATGAGCAATGAATTAAACCAGCGCACCGTCCTGCAGGTTGATCAGCACAGACGCAGCGGCCAGAGGCATCGACATCAACGGGGTCAAATGTGTCGTCAATTACGACGCGCCGCAGTACATCAGGACGTACATCCACAGGTGAGCGCCCCTCCCCCAACGTCGGACCGGGATTACATACGTGCATCCTCTATCCATCGTGTTTTGCCTGAGACTTTGTCCTTTTGCTTCAGGATTGGAAGAACAGCGAGAGCGGGGAAGCCGGGCCTGGCCTTCACCTTCCTGCTGGGAGTGCAGGTGAAGCTCTTCCACAGACATGATTCAATATGGATGAGAGAGTACGAGCAACATAAACAGTGTGTAAAGTTGGTGGAAAACACAGCTGATGTGTTTTTTTATCCTCTTCCCACTCAGGAGAAGAACTTCCTTCAGATGGTGAAGGAAGCAGGAACTCCCGGGATCCAGAAGCAGATCGTTAAACCAGAGAACCTGAAGGGGATGGAGGCCCAATTTCAACTTACTCTGCAGGAGCTGGCCAACGCCATCAAGGTACCAGCTGACAATCATTCTTTAAATGTTTAAAAGGACTCGATGTCCACGGTTCAACAGCTTCCGATGCATATCTGGTTGCTATATCATTAATGCTGGACTCCGGTTTAATCATCACTGTCAATGAATTTGTCATCTTCGATGTTGCAGGAAGAGAAATTTCAATGAAGGAGCAACGCTGACAGAGTCTCCTGCGAGTGGACGACCACAAAGAGTTATATATGTTTAATAAAACATAAAAAGTCTGTTTGTGGTGAAGCTGTCTGTCTTTTAAATGAGCGAATGTTTCAGGCCGATCAATGAGAGCGTTTTTTTTAGCCCTCCCTCCCACCAGTGTGTCCCCGCACTTATAAAGGTGATGTCATCAGATTAATGTCATTCATACTGTGTTTTAGAGCCAGAACTACAGATTAATCCTAATGAATTGTCTACTTTCTGGTGTATATGTTATTTAACAATGTACAAAACGTAATAAAATATGCATGTTTTAGCTCTGGATACACTGATGATCAAAGTAGGGTTTGGAATTTTATACATTTTAATAAAAAAAAGTCAGAGGTCCCAATTCTCTTTCATTGATCTGATCCCGATTGGTCACGGCTTAGTTTGTTTAAACCAGGATCCCAAGTTAAGATTTTTTTTACTTAATTGGTTTTAGGTTGATCAACATTATGGATCTCACTGAACAACCATCGTAAAATATCAACTCATGCCTGCTTTTTGTTTTTCATCCTCCTCGAAATTCCGTTTCTACACATTAGAACATTTTAATGGTTTAATGGCTTTAAAAGTTTTTAAAGAAAAGATCTTCAGGTATCCTTTTTTCCATAGGGTTTTAATTTAAATCTCTCTCCCTCTCATTAATATAATACATATTGTCAGTCCCATTTGGAGGTCTTCCTCCTCATGTAGCTCTCTCCTTCGCTGTCGATGGCCTCGTACAGCTGCAGGTCGTTTTCTTTGGTCGCGTGCATGTAGCCCAGGTAGCCCACGCACAAGGTGATGGTCACCAGTCCGAACGCCATCACGGGTTTGTTCTGAAACACAACGCAGGCATTTATCAGTGAAGGCTATGGATGAGATTTTAATGCTGTGTGAGGGGCAAATATTACATAACTGGACATAAGCAGCTACTGTCACTCGGGCTGAAGATGAGGTCCATTGCTCAGCTGATTCTGCGTTCTTGCTCTTGGATATCATTGTCAAACATCGAGCCTCACCGGTTTCATGAAGAGTTCGGGGTTGAAGGCTCGGAACAGCGTGGAGGTCTGTGCGCCCCTCAGCCCGGGGGTCCTGAACCCTTTCTCCGGGGCGCCGTCCTTCCCTCCGCCGACCTCTTTGTCCGACATGTCCGGTCAACAGCTACGAACGGCGTAACGGCAAAACACGGAAAATGAGCATTGCCGACTTGTTTTCGGTGGTCCAGGCTGGCTCCTTAAGGCGCAGCCATGTTTTCAAAGTCAAAGCCGAGGGAACTTGTAGAAGAAGAGGAGGAGGTCGAGGACCTGGAATGTCACAGCGCCTCCTGGTGGTGGTGATCATTTTAAATTAATTCATCGTCCTTCCTCTTCTTTTGCTTTTCGTAGCGGTTGGCAAAGAGCTTCCGGGGAAATTACCTACAAAATAAAATAATAATAACTAAATCCTTAAATTAGTCTTGTTTTTAGTTTACAATTTTGACTATAATTTGATGATTCACACCACTTGATAAGGACTTCCTGCTGGGACGTTTACTTTGAAGGAGAGAGCGACTGAGTTTTGATTGGTTTCATTCTCGACGTCATCATGAGCAACGTCATCACGTTATGTTTGTACGTCGCGCGCGGGAGCTTTCGGTTATTAAACAGTCGCTCGAGAGGAACTGGGAGACAGCAGGTACGCGAATCTGAGGCCGCGTCAAAGGGAAAACGAACTTTTATAGTATATTATTATAGAAACTAAAGGTAAGACATACGTAAAGTATTGAACTTGTTTGCGTATAAGCGGAGTTTGGCGGGTTAACATTGCCGAACTGCTGAGCGAACTGATGCAAAAACTCCGCTAATGCTAATAAGCTAACGGCAAAACAGTGTGGGGCGTAAAAACTACTGACAATTCAAATAGATTTTTTTTTCCCAGTTTCACAACACACGCCGTATTGGTTGTGTATTGGATTCACGGGGCACATTGGGTTACTAGCGCATGTTGTGTATGTAAAATTAACTAACGCCATTACTGTTATAACTTCACGTCAAATGTTTAGCTCAAACCTAATTAGTCCAGGGATGCCAAGTGACGCAATGATGACAACCAGAGTCATTGTGGGAGAGACGGCGCCGTGATTCTCCGGTCTCCTCTCTGTTGACCAGGTCTCACACTCCGACCATGGCGATGCGGAGCGAGGCCAGGGTGGAGACGGAGGTGGAGGAGGAGGAAAGCTTCGGGCCGCAGCCTCTGAGCAGGCTGGAGGTTTGTATCCCGCATTATGCTCCACTCTGTGCCCCTGTAGTCGCCCCTTCCTGCCCGCGAGGGGGGCTTTGGTTTGGGAGGGGGGGGAGAAGCTGGCTGGGTTGACAGTCTCCACAACTCATTTATAATGCAAACATAAAGCTATGACATGCACCTCCTTATGTAAAGTGATTGTTTTACACTCCTGCATGTCAGCCAACACACTGATTCAATTATATTTACTAAAAAGTTACAAGTGATACAATTTAGGATCTAGAAAGCTGGATTCACCCGACTTTATATTGACCCAGTTTATTTTGGCCACGAGCAGTTCCTAAAACCCAACAGCGTTTTGCAGTCTTCTCTCTCCCGGTGGATTCACGTTGCAATGTCTCTGCATGCAGCAATGTGGCGTCAGCGCCAGCGACATCAAAAAGCTGGGGGAGTCTGGTTTCCACACCATCGAGGCAGTGGCCTACGCACCCAAGAAGGAGCTGCTCAACATCAAAGGCATCAGTGAGGCCAAGGCCGACAAAATTCTAGTAAGGAACTGCAGTCTCTGTAGGATTAAGCTGGTTGGACCGACCACCAGGGGGCGACTCCTCTGGTCCTGAAGAAGTCTATGAGAAAACGACTACTTCTCTCTTGATTTATTCCGTAAATAAACATTGTAAAGATGTTCATGTTCACTTATAATACTTTTTTAGGCACATAAAAAATACTTATTTAGTCAAATAGTTATTTTATTTCCCTTCCCCTCCCAGGCGGAAGCTGCCAAACTTGTGCCGATGGGTTTCACCACGGCTACCGAGTTCCACCAGAGGAGAGCGGAGATCATCCAGATCTCCACCGGCTCCAAAGAGCTCGACAAACTGCTGCAGGGTCCGCAAAGCCTTGTGAACGCAATGCTTACAGATGGTAGAAACAATCAAGTTTATTGTTTCATTCTCCACTTATTTGTTTCTCCTGCAGGCGGGATCGAGACCGGCTCCATCACGGAGATGTTTGGGGAGTTTCGGACGGGGAAGACCCAGCTGTGCCACACGCTCGCTGTTACCTGTCAGGTAGAGTCCAGTCTTACTGTGGAGAGACCACCTCAGTGTAGAAAAAACTAAAACAGAAGCCACTGGAATGTTGCATCAGCTGTGCAGAATAATGTGACACAACCGTGTCTTTTCTGTCCACAGCTGCCCATTGATCAGGGGGGAGGAGAAGGCAAAGCCATGTACATTGACACAGAGGGAACCTTCAGACCAGAGAGACTCCTCGCAGTGGCTGAGAGGCGAGTCAGCACTTTTATCTTCCGTTCTGAGAGATTCAACGGAGCCCAACTCTAAATGTACACTGGGAGGAGCTGTTGGTGGAACTTCTCGCGTCCTCTCCGCGTTTGCAGGTACGGGCTGGTAGGCAGTGACGTTCTGGACAACGTGGCTTACGCCCGAGCCTTCAACACGGACCATCAGACCCAGCTGCTGTACCAAGCCTCCGCCATGATGGCCGAGTCCAGGTCAGGCAGCACCGAATGTTTTTCGCCTACGCTTGAAATGCATTTGCTGATGTATGAGTTGTGGAATTGTACTAAATCAAAACTGCAAATGGGTATGAAATGAATACTAAAAGAAAATGATTTAAAATAAAAAACGTTGGGTGTGACGAGTCATTCTCACACTCCCTCCTTGCCCCGTGTGTCAGGTACGCCCTGCTGATAGTGGACAGCGCGACAGCTCTGTACAGAACGGACTACTCGGGCAGAGGCGAGCTGTCGGCGCGACAGGGCCACCTGGGTCGCTTCCTCCGCATGCTGCTCCGGCTGGCGGACGAGGTCGGTGTTCTCTAGAGGCCCTCGCTTTGTGTCCCTTGGTGGTTTGCTGCAGCGTGTTAAAATCGGCTAATGCACATGATGTTTAGGCTGTTTACTCCTTCTGAATCTACGCTGTGGTGACTTGGAGATGGCTTTTAACTATTCTAATCTTTTTGTGGCTTCCTCAATCCTACGTTGTGACAGTTTGGCGTTGCCGTGGTGATATCCAACCAGGTGGTGGCGCAGGTGGACGGGGCAGCCATGTTTTCCGCGGATCCCAAGAAACCGATTGGAGGCAACATTCTGGCTCACGCCTCCACCACGCGGTGAGTGACCGGATGCTCTCGCCGTACCTTTTGAACGGAGGAGATGAGACCACTTGGTACACGAGGCTCTGCGGCACCGACACTTAAGCACGAGTTGTGATACTACGATTTTGTTTTTAAAACCGTCTCTTTTCAATATTTATTTGTGCAGTCTGTATCTGAGGAAAGGCCGAGGAGAGACGAGGATTTGCAAAATCTACGACTCGCCCTGCCTGCCGGAGGCTGAAGCCATGTTTGCTATTAACCCCGATGGCGTGGGCGATGCCAAGGACTGAGCTGGCAGGGGGGAGGGGCTAAATGTTACTGTCACACCTTCGGACTCCATCCCAGACTAAAGGGAAGTGTGTGTGTCTGTGTGTGGCCTTCACACGGAGCGATGGACTGACGAGTAGTCCCGAGAGGAAAGGTTGTATGATTTGATGCCGACGGAGGCAGAGCGGATGAGACGGCCTGCGGATCTGCATCGCAAACAGTTTCACACTGAAGCACGTTAGAGACAGAAGAGGTTTCTCATAATTACAGGATCTATGATGAGCTACTGGTTTATAATTACCAGATATGCCTCATAAGTGTCTCAGTACTGATATATAGTACTAAAGATACTATGTGATAAGTCCTTTTATTTCTTTGTTGGCAGACATGCACCACCCGAGTTTTGTCTCAGTGGTAAAAAGATCTTTTGTGTTTGTTTCCATGGTGTTTTTGTTGAATGCCATCGTTTTGATTAAGTGTTGTTTGACTTCTTCTTCCAGCTCTACTGGTTTGTGTTTGTCTTTACGCGTCAATTAAATTTGTTTTGCCATTAAATTGGGTCATTTCTTCTCTGGTTGTTGAACACACAGCAAGACATGAATACAAAAAAACAATTTTATTCCATGTTAAACGAGGATCACTTGAGTGCATATTGACTTTTCATCGCAGGATTAAATGAGTTTCACAATAGCAACTGAAATTAGAATTGGAAACAAAGTGATGTTAGATCAAAGCGGCTTAACTTTCACTTCAGAAACAAATGAAAAAAACAAGTACACGGATCAGTGCAGATGCTTTAAACTCCATAATCGAATGAAATGAAGTTGGAGCAGAAAAGATATATTCAGAGTAGTACTACAATTGTGTCAACACATCAAAGACAATTTGGGATCGACCCAGCACAACTATCATAATACAGGGAGAACAGAAATTGAATTAATGGATGCATGAGTTAATTAGGTTTCCTCTTTGACGTAAAGCTCTCAGAACATCCCTGGTTAATGAATCTGGACCAGCTAACCAGCAGTCAGACATGATAAGCTATGTTTGTCAGTTAACAAGGCAGATCAATATTTAAACAAGAGATATTACAAAGACAAATCACAATAAACATTACTTTTAGCTCGATTAGAGAAAATAAATATACATCAATAAAGTCCATCTTTCACAGTGACAGAAGTATCCAATAAAGGGAACAGGGATGAGATCTGATTGGATGACCACAGATTGGCGGCCTGACGAGCCAATCAGGGCCATTGGCCTCATCAGTTGGATATAAGGACATATGAATATATAAATATATATATTTTTTCTTTCTTCTTCAGATGTTTCTGTCAATTAGGACTCGGAGCTGAGCCTCCAGTTTAGTCGTTTCATCCTACAAAGAAAAATGCACACAATTGGGGAAACATTGTGACAAAAAATCTCCACAACTCAGAATACTCAAAAGAAAAACAACAGAACAGAAATAGACTTTTGGTGGTCATCAGGTGGTCGTTGTTAAATGGGATGCTCTTACATCATCGGAGATTGTGGGCGTCTTCAGAGCCAGCGCAGTCCAGTTCGTGGCCTCAGAGATGTTTCCCAGTTCCTTGTGACACTAAAGGTCAAAGTTCACATCACGCTAAATGTCAGACATGCTGAGGTATAAAATCTGCTGCCACCAAACGTCATTTTAAGCCCTTAGTTTTATAATTATTATTACATAATATAGAGAAACGCACCAATAGTGTGGATATGATATTGGTTATGTCCGTGTTGAGGACGGCGTGTTTACCTGTGCGATGTAAAGTCTCACCATCTTGGAGAAAGCTGGACTGAGTTCCTCTGCCTGGAATATAACACACAAGTAAATCATGTAGTGATGAACGTTCGCTTCCACAACCTTTCAATTAACACACAAAACCAAGTATCCCCATCTCATCTTTTTTAAAACGTTGTCACAGTGCTCGTGACAATTATCTCTCACCGCACATGGCTGAATTTGAGTTAATAATAACTTAATCACCCCCCCCCCCCCGGAGTGGAAGTCTAACATGTGAAATGAGCACAGAAATCCCTCGTCATCTCAAATACTCTGGTACCTTGAGGAAGTTCTCGAGCGCGTCATGCAGTGTGGAGGTGGGGGGGCTCTGGTAGAGGGCGGCGGCCGCCTTCTTCTCCAGCCAGTCCAGAGTGGCTACCTGCGCACACACACACACACGTGTCACAAAACAACCTTCGAACTGGAGTGGCGGATAGTACGAGCGTGACCGTTTGGATCTTATAGGACGGGAGGGATCAATAAGTCAGACGCCTCTCACCTCGTAGCACCATCTGCCGAGCAAGTAGTAACACATGGGGTCGTCGTCTCTCAGGGCGAGAGCTCGGTCCAGATGCTCCTGAACAAGACAGAAGAAGAAAAATCAAAGACTCAACGTCCTCTCTTCTCTGAAGATGAACACGTTTGTTCCGATTTCTCTCGTGGTTTAATACGAGAGCACTGACTGTGTTTTTCTACACAATGGTCTGATGTAGTTTATCTGAGGATTTCTTTCCTATTTTAAGCCAACGGACTGCAGTTCTGTGCTTGAGGCAAATTCCCCTCAAGGACAGTAGGCAAGTCATTAAGCAAAATAAGTAAGTTGGTTATAAGTCAGTCAGTAGGTAAGTGAGTTATCCAGTAAGCATCTCAGTCGGTCTGTCAAAACAAACACTGTCTAGATACCCACGATGTGCACATGTGGTACCTTTAAGATGTTGCTGCTCTTCAGCTTGCCGTGCATGCTCTCGTGTTTGGAGGTCAGTCCTGTCAGCACAGCAAACCTGGAGACAGACACACACAGAGCAAAGGCGCCAGACGTCAGAATACGCATCGGCGGCAGCAAAGGCCCGAATGTGGAGGAAGTCCAGCGTGTTACTTTACCATTTGTGACACTCGGCGTTGAGGCCGTTCTTCTTCAGGGCCAACTCGGCCTCCTCCTGACCTGTAAGACCAGCCCACAGCTCAGTGACAGGAACCACAACCGTCACACCGGGTCACGATCCGCTGAGGCGGTCAGACACAGACCGTCTAGTTCCGTTTAGGTTGTGTATGAGACACACTCCCAGGGTCCTTGAGCAGCCTTTATGGTGTTGTTGACATGGATACTCCACTTTAGGTAAATGCGTTACACACCCTGATGACATGCAGGCTTAATTATTAACTTAAGTATCCATGACGACAATTGATTTGTAAGAAGTGGCGAGAAGTATATGCATGTTTTTGGTGTACTTTCCTCGAGCTGCCACTAGGTGTCACGTAGGAGTCAAAGCTGAAGGCTGCTGGGGTTCAAAATATATAAAAAATGTTTTCTGCCGATCAACAAAGTTATTTGACTGGTTCATTCTATCATTGTTTTTCTCAGATTTCATTCTCAGTTTGAGTCTTAACTTCTGTATTTGGGGTCGTGTGTGTCCATCACCTCGTTGAGCGTAGGTCTCCTTCTCTTGTTTGTCCTCAGTGGACTCGTACATGTCACGGTAAGCCCGAGCCAGTCGCCATAGAAACTCCCTGCTGTCTCCATACTGCCGACAAAGAATCAGTAAAAACACCAGTCAGCATCGATTTGGGATCTTTGCTTGCTCAGCTTCAAGCAGGATATATTTCATAGCCACATCATGGATAGTTTGCATTATGTATTCTTCTCTATAATGACACGGACCATAGTGTCCCTCACCTCTGCTCGGTTGTCCAGCAGCAGGCGAAAGCCCTCTGCCTTCAGACTGCCGTCTCCGGTGTGCAGGACGTCGCTCTGAGCCAGCAGGAGAGCCAGCTCCCCGCTGGGGACCTCCGTCACCAGCTGCAGGCCGTCCTCCTCCTCCTCCTCCTCCTCCTCCTCCTCCTCCTCCTCCTCGTCCTCCTCCAGCAGCCCTCTCTCCTCCGCTTCCTCCTCATGGGAGTCTTCCTGACGGAGGGTGAGGACAGTGGCACAGCTCCTGTCCTCGTCCTCCCCCTCGGACTCCTGCTCTGGCTCTGGCTCCCGCTCGCCCTCCTCTTTGTCCGTGTCCCGGTCAGTGTAGTCCGACTCGGCGTAGGCCGTCGAGTACCTGAGGCGAGTGCATCTTTATTTGCTGAATGACTCATTCATCTCCACCCAGGAGGATCATGCAGTCTGTCATGTGTGTCTCTGCTTCCGTCCCGTGGCTGATCTGCTGCAGCAAACTGGCTACGTGCTCTAGGACTACGTGTGGTGGCGGCGATTGAAGTGCGGGTGTGTGGTGCACACATGGACTCAAAAAAATGGCATTTACACAATTCAACTGAATTAATGTTGCTTTTCCCGTTGGCAGTTATTCCGGTAGCTGGAGCTTCGTGGAGTCTGAATTTGTGTCTCAGGGTCAGAGAGTCATGTACTATTAACTACACTGTATGATTAACAGTCTGTAATGGTTTTGGATGCCTCCAAAGAACGACCTCAACTTTTAAGCTGCATTGATCAATTGTGTAATGCAGCCTAAAAGTCTATTCAGGCACTAATACAGCAGCATGTATGGGTGCCGGGTGGCAACGCTCTGCTCTCCCTTCTGCTTTGTTAACATAGCTGAGGATCGGCCGTGTGATATTTAGTGCACGCGTGTGTTGGTCCACTAAGGCGGTTACAGGCGACACGGACGACGTACCCTCCTTCGCTGGTCTCGTACGCGCTGGCCACGCCCTGGCTGGCCGTGAAGTAGATGGAGCTGGAGCCGGTGGAGTCGGTGCGCTCCCTGTGGATGATGTGGCGCCGCCGACGTACCCGCTGACTGTCCTCCACGCCCTTTCTGGATGGGGGGGCGCAGGGGGAACATCTACAATGTGACCACAGCCTTTACATGTATATGCTCAGTGCTGTACAGTTTGGGTTTTTGTGACTAGAACACAGTATGCATGACAACAAACATAGGCATAATTTTATGAATAAGGAAAATTGGAACTTCCAATTAGATGAACTTGTCTCTGATGTGATGAAGTCATATAAATACATGTATCATTTGTGAGCCAGCTACGACTGGATTGGTGTTTCTGTCATTAGTAAATTGTCACCTTTTCCATTTTTTTACCGTATTTTTTGAAGACGACTTTTCTGAAAATACTATTAACTATTTGTGTATATTGTCCTTCTGACAACAATGTCTTTTCTTTATGTCCCAATCGGATCTAGCAGGTGTCATGCAGCGAGGGGACATTTCACCACCGGGACTCACTTGACATCCTGGATGATCTGCACAGCGATGTCCTGCAGGCCGCCCCTCAGATCAGCCACCTCTGAGCGCAGCGAGACCACGCAGTTCAGCACCTGGTCCAGCTGGGTCCTCAGCTCCAGCTGCTGCTGGGGGGACAGGCCTTGCACCACCGCCTCCACCGCCGCCAGGGCCTGCTGCTGGGCCTCCACCTCTGGAGGAGGACACGGAAAGAAGTTACACGCGGCGGTTCGGACTCATGATTCAGGCCCCTGACGCCTAACGCCATCTCAAACAGGAACGCGCACAGCTTTGCCTCTGCTTAGCAGGTGGGGGGCAGCAAGCGAGCACTTTCTTACTAGACGGGATATTTTATTCAGTGTAACGTGAGGCTGCCCCTGGTTTCCTTCCACTTCATTGTGCCTGAACCATCTCAAGTGACTCCTGTCAAGATATTGCTTCTCACCAAATCCTTGAGCTCATCTGTGGCAACTAACCTGGGATCCGTTTACTTTGGGTGATTGATCCTTCTGAGGGCACTTGCCTCACGGCTGCATTGTAAAAGGCGTCATTTAAAATGTTTAGATCATGAAATAAGCCTATTAGTTACTCATTAAATGCAGTTTAACCCATTGCCTCCAAGCTTTTTGTTGGAGGGGGGGGGGGTGCACAGATGTTCAGATGTCTTATCATCATGACTAAAGGGTTTATTAAATGCGATATTAAAGCAAGAGCCAAATCGGTCGGTCCCAGGGCGAACACCACCCACCCCGCGCATCCAGCGTGTCCCGCAGCAGCAGCTCCGCTTCCTCCGAACCGTCACACAGCCGGAGAGCCGGCCGGGCCTCCAGCACCAGTCTCCGGGATCTCCTCCTACTGATCTCCCTGAAGATCATGAAGGCGATCAAGCCGCAACCGGCCGTGGCTCCGACTGCGAGTCCGACCAAGCCGCTCCTCCCGAGCGGCGTGTTCATCTCCTCGAACCCCGCAGACTTCTTCTTTTAAAAAAAAAACCCACAACTGAACAAAAGAACAGCGATAACCTCCGTTACGGATGTTATGAACCTCAGGACATCTTGAACAGATCCTCAGGTCAATAGTCTCCGCTCCGCCTGAATGACGGTTGGCACTGCTAGCACGTTAGCTTAGGCTCATTAGCATGTCACCGCTGTAGCGTTCACTGGCTAATGATGACGATAATTAGCTTGATGCTACCGCTACAACTTTCCTATGAGACTCAACCGAGTTTATACGAAAAGAACACGCGTTGTGTGGTTAAACGGGGAAAAAAGGCGGTCTATTAACATCGTCACAAGGTGTGTAGATGTGTGTCGTCTGGCCGCGATGATGCCGTCAACGCGTATGACATCACTAGATCACATCAGCGCCGATGTCGCTTGAAAACAACTTCCGGTTCTACCTTACAAAATAAAATATTTTGAAGCGGTTATGAGGTTAGGGAAATTAAATAAATATAAAACATATAACACATAAACGTCAGCCCTTAAAATAGGGGAAGAAAAAAAATGGAAACATATTAAAAGGTATTTCCAGCCTACTAAGCAAAACTGGAGATAGTATTGTTAAATTGAACGTTTCGGTGTATCGTAAGAGTTGTATTATTTGTGCCTGGGTCAGAGTATTCATTTAAAATGTTTAAATGGCCGAGTTGAGTTTCCATGTTTGTATGAAGGTAATCTGTGTAAAAGAGGACGGTCACAAGAGGCTGTTTAGTGGATTTGAGAACGTGTTGGAACCAAATATTGGAAGCTAATTTGTCCTCTACGGCCCCCAAGTGGCCTCATCCGACCCTGCAGTTACTTTAACATCTGCCATTGATGCTGGGATGTTTATTTATGAACAGAAAGCCATGTGCTGATCACATGGTGTCTCACATGATTTGCTGGAGAAGCAAATAATATGTAAGAGTTTTGTTTGTGTTGTGCCAAGAATGTGTTGTGGAAATTACAATGCCGTGCAGGAAGAGTTGAAAATCCTTACAGCAACATTCTTACAAATCACTCTTTTTACTAAGACGTCCTCTGCATCTAACTATAACAAATACTCTATAGAATGCTGAACTCGAGTTTTGAATGACTCAGCAGCCTTTGTTTTTGATCTTACAAAGTTAAGTGAAGGACTGTTTTCAATGCAGTCGGGCCTGTTTGGTGTATCGACAGAAAGGTGATGCGTGGCTGCTCCTACACAGGAAAAGCTTGTTTTCAGAGGTGAGCAGATCAGCTGCTTATAAGAGATAAGACGTGTGAACTATTTCTTTTTGTCTATTCATTCATCATAAACATAATTTTGAACTGAAAACAAAGGACAGTTTGAAGCTGTAGGACTATTTCAGGGATGCCCTCCCATAAGGTTGAGCTTTTTGTGAGAGACATATTTTAAAAGAATGTTTAAAAATTGAAGCAGAAGAGATATCTGGACATTAGTTCCTGGTATGTGTACAACTCTAACATTTACCATAATGGAACACAATATGACCATGTATGTTTGGCATATTTTGGCAATAAATGTTTCCTGATTCCTGATCCTGATGAAATCACTAATTGGTTTTCTGGAATTCAGTTTTCTTACTTTTTTTACAACAAGAAGTGAAACAAGAACAACCGAACGCTGAAAACACAACCAACATGTTACAAGTACCGTTCATGGAAGCCAAGTCCACAACCTTAAGCCCATGAAACGTAAAAGTCAATACAAACAGCGATTGGTCAACGCCATTGTAGCGACCTGTCAGTCACAAGGTAGCCCCGCCCTCTGGCATACCTTGTCTTTTTAAGGCCCTTATCGTGACGTCGGCCACTAGTATGTTGTCTATGGTAACCGCGGCGGCCTGTCAATCACAAGGTAACCACGCCCCCACGTCGTACGCCGCTTCCCTCTAAATTACCATAATTCCCTGACTAAACATCACGTAGTTTTGAAGAAGACATGAAGCTGGTTTTATGATGCCATAAAACTTGTGTCTACGATGGGTCACCGAGGGAGGAGGGAGGAGGAGGTCCCCCCCCCCACGTTGTGCCCGCCCTCCTCCTTTGTTTTTCTCCGCCCTCTTCGGCTCGTATAAACGGAGGCGAGCGGCGGCCGGTCCGCGGGGTTAGCGCGGTCAGCCGTTGGTGAAGAGGCGAACAACATGGCGGAGCAGCACCACCGGCCCGGTTCACCGGCGACGCTGTAGAACCGCTCCGTGTTACTCCTCCTGCTCGGGGTCAGTGGCCACGTTTCTGGGGGTCGATTTGCAAAAGGAAACAACAGAGAGGAAAGAGAAAACCTGTCGCGCAGAAGGAGCCGTTAGTGAGGGAAGATGAGCCGCCGCGCAGCAGGTAGGAGCCGCCGCGTGAACGCGCACCGATGCAAACGTGGACACTTTTCATCACTGCAGAGTTTCCACTAAACTTTCTTTTTGTCCTTCTAAATGTGGTGAGGATTTAGAGGAAACTGAGCCGGTTTCCTTCCCCGCTGCTCAAACATTCTTGTGTTTTCAATAAAACGAAGAGAAAAAAAAATAATTTTTCACTAAAAATGTTTTTTTTTTCTCTAGACTTCCAGGAGTCGGTGCAGGAATCCTCCCCGCCGCTGCCCGCTGATCACATGCTCGACTCTGCAGCCGTGTTATTCCCTGGTAGCTATTAAATCCTCCACCTCTTAAATGTGGTTAGTTCTGAGGTTTATATTAAAGCTCTAAACCGCTAATTAAGACCTGTAGAGCTCATTAAGGTACCGAATAGTGCTGCATTAAAGTGTTGCATACTGCCAATAATCCTAGAACAATTCTAAATTGTATTGACAAGATTGACTTTTTATCGCGTTACCTGTCCGTACAGGTGCTTTTGATCAACACGGCTGCCCTCTGATCGTGTTCCCGGCAGACGAACAAGCCAAACTCTCCTCAGAACTCAGCCAAGCAGAAGTGGTGGACTTCATAAATTACTTTCTGTGTCTGCACAAGTACGTGGAGTCTACATCCTCGTGTGTGTGTGTGTGTGTGTGTGTGAGTGAGACTGGGATGGATTGATGGATGGATTTGTTTTCTCGCCACAGTAAGAGGCAGGAGAAGAGGAGTTTGGTGTCGGCGGTGGCTGATCTGAGGTCTGCGTCGCTCCAAACCACCAGATTCGTGGCCGAGACGCTGCTCCTGCTTGAGGTACTGTCCCGGCCGAGTGCCGCTGTGTGTGGATGACAACTACACCTGCAGTTTAAGGAACGTGTCCTCGGCAGATATAACGCTGCAACCTTCTGTATCGATGCAAAAAACAAAAACCACAACAACCTTGATTAGTCGTATAACCTGCAAAGTGCCTTTTCAGCATAAGAACAAGAGACCATCCAGAAGCATTTGGTTTGTACATGAGTGGGTCCTTATTGTGCACACGCGCGAGGATGCACATGATGTAACGCTTCACACGCCTTCCAATGGTTTGAAACTATTACACTATAATCGTTTGCAACTGCTGGGCCGAGATGTGGAAGACGATGGGCCGGATGGATGTAAACAAAGCTGGATCTTTAGATGCACATGAGCTTAATTTAAGAGCACTTTATTTTCCAATTTGAGCAGTTTTTTTATATTTCATTCAAATGTTTTATTCATAGAAAAGGAGTGCAATGTTGTTTTGAAATCTACTGAAATTACATTTTATATGAACATTTTGTTGTAAGTTCTTTAATTCATTCACCACACGCTTGCACTCAATGAGGGGAAAAACGTGTTTTAAGATCTCAATGCAACTCAAGTTTGGTTTAGACAAAAAATAAATACTTGATATCTTTGTCTGGGTTCACATGACTACAGCACTTACTGAACTATGCAGGTTGTGGGATGAATAAATCAACGCTGAGTTCATGTTGGGAACAAACGGCTCCTGACTAAAGATTCTGTTTGTTTTGTTGGATCTGTGCCGGATTCATTTCAGCTTTTGATATGTTATTTCCTGTGTGCGAAGTCCAACTGCAACCACAGAACTGAATCAGGGCCGAGAGGAATGTCCCGAGCGCCTTCCTCTCGGCTGCTGAAGGATGGAGGCCAGTATTATTTTATTACCGTTTCATAGTGAAAGTATTGTATGTTCACACAGAGCTTTTGAGAAACTAGCTTGGAGTTGCTGCAGTTGGCTTTGTATGACTTATGCATGCAGGACTTGCGTCCTCTCTGCACGCAGTGCGGTGACGCGCTCACCTTGTGATTGCCCTCTTGACTAGCTGGAGCTCTTTCTTGCAGCATTTAAGTTATGCAACAAGTGCTTTATAGTTTCAAAGAGCCATAGCCTGAGCGGTTCTTCAAGGCAACAAAGTGTGGAAAGTCTGTAGTCGCCGTAGAGGTCCAGTGTGTGGGGGCGGTCACATGCGTTGCTGGTCACATGCTGGGTTATTTAATGGTAAAGCCTAAATGTTAAATTGCATTATGTGCTGCCCTTTTGTCACTAAACTCTCGTCCTCCCCAGAAGGAAAAAGTTTATTTTCTTTGTCCCTGGCTGCTGGTGCTGATGTCAGCAAGCATTTTGTTTACAGGTTTCATTTTTATTATTTGTATGCACTCTAGATGGGCTTTAACATTGCGCTTGCCTGTAAGCCTCCCTGACCCCCAAACGGCCTTTTCAAAAGTTTAACTTTTCACTGAGTGTCAATGGGTTTTGGTCATTTTAGGTGGAAACTCCTTTCCTTTTAAAACTGCCCCCAATGCTGAAGTAAACCTGTATTCTCTTTAATATCCACCAGGGGGCGACTCCTCCGGTCACATAGAAGTCAATGGAAAAAATCACATTTATTCCCTCTGTAAACATGAGTTTATGATCTCAAAGTCTTATAATGCTTTAGGGCGGGGCTACCGCGTGCGTGCGGCGTTTTTTTTGTCAATAGTCAAAAAGGCTAAATGTAGGCTTAAACAGCAGAATTAATTAAATCAGATCACTTTCTTTTACTTTCCCAATCTCTAGCGGAACAAGCGGACCGTCCACAGTGTGTACATCGTTCAGCCCAAAAAGAAGGACGGTGTCAAGCTGCTGCTGAAGCTGCTGGCTCCCTCAAAGTCTCACACGGCCTCGTTCAAGGTGAGCGAAGCGACTCATACTGAAGCTTTTTTTGTTTTTGTTTTGGCTCCGGTAGATAACTTGCATCTGATCTTTGTTGCAGAAAGTGCTGCTGAAAGAAATCCCCGAGCTCTCCAACCACATTGACCGAAGCCAGCTAACGGCATCGTTGGGCGGCTACCTGGTCTACTGTCACCACAGTTGGGTGGCCTTCATCAAGGTCGTCCCTTCCCTCAAAACACGCGTTGATGCAAACTTTAATAGATAAGGAATTTCTTAAAACAGAAATCCATTTGTCAGATTTTATCAATTCATCTTTTTTTGTCGCTCATTTAATCTCACGGTGGTTTTGGCAGCCATCCTCCCTTTAAAAAGTGTGTGTGTGTGCGTGTGTGTGTGCGTGTGTGTGTGTGTGTGTGTGAAATTAAACAATTTATGAACTAATTTTGGCATTTGCAGCTCTAATCTGTTTGCCAAGATGATATTTATTTACGGTTGAAACCCGTGTTTGGGCCTCTGAGCGAATCAAAGACTGTATCATGAATCTGTCTTGTGATCAGTCGGAGGGTTTAACACACAGTCACATTGTCCTTGCCGGCTGTTCCTGGGTTCTCGCGCTCGCAAATGGCCCCCGCACAAACCCCACGCTCTGCCAGACGTGCAATGCCGAGGCCCAAAATATTTACTCCGACTAGCGGTTCTTTGTGATGGGGAAGGCGCTCGGCCTCCCTCAGTCAGGAGAGGTTTTCATGTGTGAATCCATTCATGGCGTCTATTGTCTCGTTACCGTGGTGAAGCTTGAGCGAACGCATCGCGTGGTCAGCTGACCTTATTAGCAAGTGAAAGGAGCCCCGTCTCCTCATTGCATTATACATTCATTCATGTTTTTCTCGGGGGCATTTTGCCATGATGGCCGTGTTCATTAACCGTGGCAGCTCTCTGCGTGTAGGAGACCTGTTTGGGATGCGACTACATGAACGCTGCTGCACCTTCGTGTAGGTGGTGAAGTAAACCTCCCAAAAAACAATTAATTGTAAAACGATACTCTAAAAAAAATATAGGATATTTTGTTTGAAGGATCATTTATTGTTATTCAACAAAGGGATGCATTCACATTTTGACTTTTTTTTTTTCCTCTGTACCGTCTCTTCTCTTCGCAGGAGATCAATGCGTTTGTTCAGGAGTTTCTGTCCGTGGTCCAGCGGTTGCCCTCGTGCATCTCCACCCTGCAGGCGCTGTCCAGGCTGCCTCCGCCCTCCACCTTCCACGAGCTCCGACACTTCTGCTCCACCAACGAAGCCAAGTTCCAGCAGCTGAGGAGGTCGGGCTCACAACTCCTTTCTCTTCTCCTCCCGTGGGGGGCAACGTCTGTCTAGTCGATGGTCTGATTCTAATGATTTGACTAAATGGAGAATAAGCATCTGACTTATTGCTTACTCCCTGTGTGAACTGGGCCGTTTATTTTAAGTATCAACAAAGTGTAGCCACTCCCAGGTATAGGTTACATTTTGTCTTCCATCTCGTCATTTGCATGTGTCTTTATTTCCCGTGTTACTTGTTCAGCTAGTTTTTCCACACCGGGAAACGAGATACAGTTTGCACATTATTTCAGATAATGTTTTCTTTCGCGGCATCTTAAAACTAACCCGTCTGCCCGTTCATGTCTTCAGGGAGCTGGGCCTGGATGAACTGCTGAACCACTGCGAGGGTGTCGCGGAGAAGCTACGTCACCCCGAGAAGGAGCCGTGCTACCAGGCGATGGCCGGCACCGCCCTCTTCACCCACACCGCCTTCGACATGCTGCAGAACCACAGCAGGTACGGCGCGCGGTTCCAGCCTGTTGTCTTGATCCTCTGTACGCCGCTTCCCCGCGTTGCTCAACGGCCAAACCGCGAGGGGCAAAATGAAGTTTGTGCGGCCTTTGTTGGCTAAATGTTTTATTTGGCTTAGCAGCCGTAGCTGGCGCTTATTGGTAACGTGCTCAAACACAAACATTTATCGCCAAGACTACACTGTTACAGCAAAAAAACGTCATTTGGATTTTCATCGTTTGAAGAGGTCTTTTGTGTTTTACAGAATAACTGCTGCTATGGAAAAAGTGGAGCTTCTGTGGCAGCAGGCCTTTTCTAAGGCCCGCCTCCAGTTGCAGATGTTCCAGCTGCGAGAGGACGCCCTGCAGGCGAGTCTGTGCTTTCACGTTTTAAACAAGCCGCGTTTGCCTCTTAAATTTCGGACTGCTTCCACGAACCAAGATGTGTTTCCTCTTTGTGTCCAGATCACAGAGCAGATCAAGACTCTCCTGCAAGAGAAGCTCCAGCCTTACAAAATAGAGATCGCCAAGGATGCTGCGAGGGCAGTGATGTTGGTGTCAGAATTTGAAGTGTCCATTCACACTCCTGCAATGGTAACGATTTTACTGTTTGGTTTCATAGCGATTCCTCTTTATGATCTACGTGTTTCCTATCGGTACATTGAAGTACTGTGATTGACCTCCATCTCTGAATGACTCCATCCCTCCTCCCTTACCAGGCCCTCGTTGGCAGCGCTGAGGATGTGATCCACGCAGTGGCGGAGGTCCTTCTGTACGACGGGCAGACCAGCGAGCGCTGGGTTCTGGATGTGGAGCGGCTGAAGGAGAAACTCTACTCCGCTGTGAACTTCATCCTCCGAACCCTCAGAGCGGTTTCCAGCTACCACAAACACTACAACAAGGCAAGTCCTCCACCTCCGAGGACCTTTTGAAAGTACTCATTGACGTTTAGTCTCCAATCTGAAGTTTTTCTAAATGTCAGTTAAACTATTCTATAGTTTCAGTTTCAAATTGATTCCTTTTTGAGATGGTTAATTGCGCTGAGAGACTCCTCCTCCATTCCTTCTATGTTTTTATTTTTATGTAACAAATCTGCCCCACGATCTAGAAACCTTGTAAGTTAAAGTGTCCCAAACTCTGTTCCTCCCGCAGGCCGACAGCTGGTACCGCCTGGTCCTGTGCGAGAACGTCCTCCAGCAGCTGCTGTCCGGCGTCGCCGGAGACGACGTCCAGAGCAGGAACTGGGGGACGATCCCTGCGTGGAGGTACAAGATGTCCTCCTTCCTGAAGACGAATCCACCTCCAGATACGGAGGAGTTGGTCCATCTGGCTCATCTGTCCAAAGCCATTCCGGATGACGAGATCCAGGAGGCGGGCAAGCGGATGTCTCACAGGTGAGCGAGCGCATGGAGCCTAATGTCGCAGCAGAAATCTATGGCTTCTTTGTTTTCAACGGTTAGAAGTACGCTTGAGAGCCTTTCTCACTTTGTTTTGGAAGCGAGTGAACCTGGAAATGTTTATTAAATGAAGCGCGCCTGTCTGGAAGGTCTGTTCTCTGCGTTGGCGATCTAACCAGAGAAGTAGAAACTGCTTCTAATGACTTGACCCCTCCGATGCAGTGATAGTGACCCTTTGGCCGGCCGTTGATAGAAACGGTGACATGATTGCCTGGAGTCGTACCACCTTCAGGAAGTAGATGATCAAACCACCTAAGCATTGCTTTTAAATCTTCAGGTGCTTGACCCTGAGGAAACTGCTGATGACTTCGGGCCCCGTGGCTGTCGGTCACCTCCAGCTGGCCTTACAGTGGCAGTACGAGCTGCTGCGGCGCGGCAGCGTTGGCTCCTCCTCCTCCGCCGACGGAGCGACCGAGCACGTGCAGGACGTCGACCGAGGCGGGAAGGAAGCGAGCAGTCTTCTAGAAAAGTCTGCGTCTACGGTTTCCGCGTTGTCTGAGGGCAAACCCCCCTCCTTCAGCTCCTTCGACTCTGGTTTCGATGGCGCCGGCACCAACCAGCCGGAGGCGTGTGGGGGCGGGGACTGTGCGAGACGCGCCGAGAGCCAGCCTGGGCTCCACCAAGAGAACGGCGCCGGTGTCTCGGGCGGCGAGGACCCCAGAGAGGAGTTTGACTTTGGCTCCTTGGGGAACTCCTCCAGGGCCAGCATCCGTGTCGTCCCCAAGGCGGCCGTGGAGTCCCTCAACCTGGAGATCAAAGTGAAGCGCTCGGCGCCGGCGCCCAACAACCCCTGGCTCAGCTTACCGATAGACGATCTGGAGAACTCGTACACGGTCACCATCACGCAGAACCCGACGCCGCAGAAGAGCGCGCTGCAGTCCCGCGAGCCCGCCGACCCCGACCAGCCCGACGGGTCTCGAGATCAGCCCACGCAGACGGAGGCTCTGACCGGCACGCCGCCCGCGCGCCCACTGAGCGCGGACTGGAGGATGCGCCCGCAAAGCAGTCCAGAGGATCGCCACATCCTCTCCAGCACGATCACACAAGGAGGAGACGGGTCGGTCTGCACCACGGAGGGGATCCCTACGCTCCTCTGGGACTCGTATGACCTCCGCGACCAGAATCCGGATGCTGTGGACGGGTAACGCGTCCGTCAAACAAGTTCAATCACTTGAACATTCTACACTTGTTCTTTCATACTGATTTCAAAGATGTTTCCTTAAAACATTGACCGTTAAGTTACTGTTTTAACTTTACAGTCAACTGAAAATGTATTTGTTTGATTGCCTCAGTGTGCTGGATGTCTCCCTAAATGACTGGGATGTGAAGGAGCAGGAGGACCTGAGGGCAGTGGAAATGATTCTGGACCGGGCAGATGAAATCCTGGAGGTAAGAGTTTGAGTAGAGAAGCAAACGATTGACGACATTTAAAGGGCCGCAGGCGGGGAGGTTTTCACTGTGTGCAAAACAAGGGTTCTAACGTCCGAAGCCCGAAGTTAAAACGTCGTCCTCCTCAGAAAGAGGAAAACGTTCTGGCTCAGGAGGCGGTGCTGGACGCCCTGCTGAGGTCGGAGGAGATGCACCATCAGTGGCCCCCGTGGGACGGTGAGGACCAGCTCGGTGCGGTACGTTTGGGTTGCCTTTTTAATATAGATAAAAACGTTATACTGTTTAATAGACTGCAGTATTCAGCACAGGCTGTGAACCTGCGTTCATTGTGCCTCATCGGCTTGTGTCGATGTTTTAAAGATGTCGTCCAGTGAGCTGGCTGAAGCTGGTGTTCTCGGCCTGGAGGATTACCTCGGCCCCGCAGACTCGGACTACCTCTGTGAGCCCAGACCAGCTGGATCTGCCAGCGAGACTGACGCTGCCACGGGGGATTTTCCCAGCAAGCCGGACCTGCGGACGGAGATGAGGAAAGTCCAGATCCTGGAGGAGCTGATTATGGAGGAGAACCTGAAGATCCAGGACCTCCGGAGCTGCGACGGCAACGCTGAAGAGGAACTCTATGTGGGGGAACCTCTGGATGCCAACGGGCTGTCGCGTATGAGCGAGGAGAGGCAGGCTTTTCAGCTACAACTGGCAAAGGAGAAACGGGAGGTGGAGAAGCTCGAGAAGAGTTTGGACAAAGAACGTAAAGCGAAGAAGCACAAGGGCCAAACCAGAAGGGTTGTGAGATGTTCTGTAATGGAGAAGGCTAGAAGTCAGGATAAGGAAGACCTCTGGCTGTGCGACGAGCTTTTAGCAGGTAGCTGTAGATCACCGAGGACACATTCAACACCTTCGGTCCAGAAGGATTCTCAGGAAACCTGTAAAACTGAAAATGTTCCAGCTGTGTCTGGTCCCGATGTTGCCAAAGACGCTACACCAGAAGACACTGATCCACCTCCAGATTCCCAATGTCAAGCTGATTGCTCCCCAGCATTTATTAAAGCCCCCTCAGATGTGAAGGAAGCCCCGGAGGAGGTGCTAATCCAACATCCGGGTTCTCTCTATAGGAGCAAATTTGACAAATCCTGTGAAGATGCGTCGTCGCCCTCTAGAATTGAGCCAGATGTTGCCGCGTTTGACCCGGGGGGGAAATCATACGGCCCCCTCGTTCCCGAGCCAAGACCGGCTCCACTTCCTGTGAACCACGACACCGTCGCTGAGCACGAACCTCCTCCTGACGCAGAGCTGCAGGATCCAGCTCGGCCCGCCGGTGCCTCTGATCCCGCTTTGGTGACTCAGCCTGAGGATGCCAGTCAAACCGTAGTCCGTCCAGATGTGGAGGAACGCAGCAGCAGCCGCAACAACAATAATAACCATGTGCTCACAGAGAAATGCAACGTTTCATTGGAACACTTGTCTGAAATAACCGCTGAATGTGAGGAGGATGCATCAGAAGAAGATGCAGAGGAGGACCAGACTGTACCTGCTGGTGGGCAGTCGGCTCCCCAGCTGCCCCCGGGCCGACCTCTGGGCTTTGACCCCGGTGGAAGAGATGAGCAGAGCGAAGGCTTCGCTGTTGGCTTTCAGAGCTCGGAGGCCATGAGGATATCGGGCTCCGGGTCACCTGGGATTCGGGCCCAGCTAAACATCAACACGAGAGAGGTACGCGATCTCCTGTAACGCAGCAGGGCATCCCCCTTATAACGTGGTTAGCGTGTGCGTGCGTGTGTGCGTGCGCGTGTCATAAAAGTTTGAATATCGTGCCGTAGGGTTTAGACCCAAAAAATGTTTTCCTCATTTCATTAAAGAAAAGACAATTGCTTTAACTTCCTGGTCGTGAATTGTGCAAATATTGATAAGCAAATAACACTTTTGCGGCAAGTTTACACAACTGTGTTTCAATCAAATCTTAAGCTTTATGAAACTCTTATTCCGAGCACATCTGTTATTGATTAATCTCAAACTCCACCTCGACTCCCATGTTTAAAGATATTTTGAAGGCTTTTGGCAACCAGATTGTGTTTAAAGGACAAATGGACAAACGATGCAGAGCCTCGTCTGCGTTGTTAGTTCGATTCAGATGCATATTCTCATTGTGATTGCAGATGACAGATTTCAAGACCCCCATCGTCCTGGATACGGGGTCCGGTTTGATGAAAGCCGGATTTGCAGATCAAGACCTCCCAAACATTATATTCCCAACAATTATTGGAATGCCAAAATACGAGGTAGAATTATTTACCATTTGTTATTGGCTATAAAATAAGTTATTGATATAATAATGACGTTTATTTGCCTCGAGCCGGCCTTTCTGATCAGAAGGTTTTGGGTTTTTGTTGCAGGAAATAATGAATGGGAACCTTGAAAGAGAAATCTACATTGGACATGAGGCTCAACACATGAGAGGAGTTCTGGCTCTGAAACATCCCATTAAGAACGGGATCATTCGCAGCTGGGATGACATGGAAAAGGTGAATCTAAGTGACGCAGAGGCCAGATGACACGCGTTACTAGGAAAAGATTGATTTTATTTCCCTCAAAACAAATCTGCAATGAGTAATTTAAGACTGTTTCTGTGTTGTTGTTTTTTTGTGTGTTTTAGATTTGGCATCACACCTTCCAGCAGCTGAGCGTGGATCCAGACGATCACCCCGTCCTGCTCACCGAGGCGGCCATGAACCCCTCGCAGAACCGCGAGCGCATGGTGGAGATCATGTTCGAGTGCTTCAATGTTCCCTTCACCTACGTGGCCATGCAGGCGGTGCTGGCGCTCTACGCTGCAGGGAGGTCGACTGGTGACTTGACTCATTTCTGCATTTCACTGGATGGATTTACTTGTTTACAGCCTTACTTTCCTGCTGCGGAGGATTCCTCCTGATGTGTTGTTCTGGTTGAAGGTGTGGTGTTTGACTCTGGAGACGGAGTCAGCCACAGCGTGCCTGTGTTCGAGGGCTACTGTCTCCCTCATGCCGTGCAGCGCTTCCCTCTGGCCGGTGCGGACGTCACCCTGCACCTGAAAAAGGTATTCACTTAGTTTGGTTAAGCAATTCATGGTCAGTGATGTCATTGGATGTCTCCGCTAACAGAGTGCGGATGAAGAGATTGAACATTCGGGGCTTTTTACTTATTTTTCTATCCATCTTGGCTCTTGCTTTGAAAACTTAATAAAAAAAAGTCTGTCACAAAAGCAGCGTGTGGGTCTGTAGGCGTGACCCTTTGCGGTGCCCAAAGCTTCTGCAGGAACAAGGGGTGAGCATGCGCACCACGGCGGAGATGGAGATCGTGAGGGAGATGAAGGAGAGCTGCTGCTGTGTGGCTGTCGACTACGACGCCGAGCTGAGTCGGGGGGCCGACCCCTGCAGAGAGAAGCATTACAGCATGCCGGACGGACAGATCGTCACACTCGGCACGGAGCGGTTCAGGTGACTCTACTGAGTTTTACATTTTTTTTTTTTTTTTTTTTTTTTTTTTTTTTCTTTTAAATAACAACCTTCCAACAGACTTGTCAAAGAAGAGTTCTCTCACAACCGCCTCCTCGTTCCTGCAGGGCTCCTGAGATTCTCTTCAAACCCGAGCTGATTGGACGGGATCATTACGGGATGCACGAGAGCATCTTCAAGTCCGTCCTCAGCTCAGACATCGACCTGCGGCGCTGCTTCCTGGGAAACATCGTGCTCTCGGGTAACTTTTGTTCTTTTTAAGCAACCACATAAGAGCATTAACCGCAGTGACTGCGGCGAGTAAATCCATTAAAAAAACTCCTCCTTTCGGGTCACTTAATTCTCCCACCCCTCCTTAACGCAGGCGGGAACACGCTGCTGCCGGGCCTCCCCGAGCGGCTCCGGGCTGAAATCAGAGGGCTGGTTCCCCCCGACGTGGGGGAGAGCGTCCGCGTCACCACCCCCCAGGACAGGGACTTCTCCGTGTGGAGCGGGGGGGCGGTGCTGGCCAACCTGCCCACCTTCTGCGACGCTTGGATCAGCCAGGAGGAATACGAGGAGCACGGGCCCCAGATTGTCTTCAGGAAGTGCTTCTGAGACGGGCCGCTTGACGCCATGTCCCCCCCCCCGAAGTGCAATCGCGTACGGTGCCGTTTTAAGGCTTTCATGTATTTGTCTTGAGTTCTTTGGAGTCTGTTTGACCTTCGTCATCACTAGATTTTATCTACTAGGATCCAACAACATTATCGATGAAATCTGTTTGTCCATGAAATTCATGTCAGTTGGTGTCCGAAAGAACCTTTTATTTGTCTTAAGTTTCCCTTTTTGGGAAAGTATTTCTGTCTCGAGACTTTAAGAGCAAGTGTGTTGATGTTTGTGGTTTAAGGGACTAGAATTGAAGCTGGCCTTTGAGACTGTTTCAGGAATAAGCTCACAAAGACAACTCGATGTGCCGACTCCAAATTATATATTAATCTAATATCAATTTATAAAGTGTATTTATCCAACAAGTTAAAGTGAATGTGTTTTTTATGTGATATAAATGGTGACTGTTGCGTTCCTGTTCAGTGTGATGTTCAGAACAAGGATTTTATTTTTTGTATCGCTGCATTATATTGATTATTGGGGCCACTCGTAGGAGAATTATTGGTAGAAATAGTTCATGTTTTTACTGTTAATTAATTTCCCCTCAAATTATTAACTTTTATTTTAAAAATTGTAGAATTTTTCAAAAGTATTTCTTTCCTAGTTGTGATGTGGCTTTTTTTATAACCTATATTGCTTTTATTCTTTTGCAAACAGTCCTTTTTATTTCTAAAATCTTTTATAATATTTATACATCGCAAATCTTTTTCCCGTCAGTGGCCCCAATACTCCTGAAACGAATCGAATCAAGACGTGATTCTGCATCAGTATTCTGCAGTAACGTGAGCTGGAGAGGAGAATCTGTTCTCAGAATAAGAAGTAAAGGGTTTTGTCACCCACTTGTCGATCCTCCACTTGAGTGAACTTTTGGTTTTGGGAAAGTTGGTATGAGGATTTTAATATGAGGAATGAGTGCCGCCATCACTTGATTAGTCTGTTGGATGAGCCGATGATGTTAAATGCTACTGCTGCATGTGAAGAGTTTCGTCCATTTTCTGAAGTTGAAGTTCTCTTTAATGTTTTCTATTTGACTGCACTGTTTTAATACCTTCCGATCTGATAAGTGTTTATTTATAACACTTGCACAGTAGTGTTGATATTTTTGAAAGGTGTTCCAATGGTGCCAAACTGCTGCATTTATCTCAATACTATTGATTCCAAAAACCCACTTTCCCAATCCTGTGTATATTTATACTTAATCGGTTTTATTGGATTGTTCTGTTTTGCATGCCGTTATTTTGTTGCATGTGATTTATGTGCACTTTTGCATGTTTTCCTTTGGCTTTATGTGAAGTGCCCCTTTAAAGGCATGGCGTTTATCGTGAGACCTTAAGTTCATCTCTTAACTGGAAATCTACACTAAATGTGACTACTTCTGCACACAATACTCTGATGCACTCTGTGTGCCTTGTTTACTTGGTCTCCTCCTGAACGTACCTGAACTGTCTGGACTCGCAATGTTTCACCAAAACCATGATGTTTCTGTCATGTCCAGTTTTTATAATAAATATTTTTAAATCTATTTTGCGTTCCTTTTTTGTTTAACAGGCCTATGGCGTGTTGTAGGGATAATTCACAATATTTCACTAGCTGAAGTAAAAATGTTCTACCACTGCTAATGTTTGCATTTAGTGTCAAACATTGAACAGTATGTTCAAGCTTTCATTGACTGCAATACAATGTTGAGGAAACGTTCATATGCTTTAAAAACTCTTTGCGACTTAAACATAATGAGGTCCGTATTCTCTGCATGGCAACAGGCTGGCAAGACAACAATGGTTGTATATTACATGGGCCTACAAAGTAGTTCTAATTCAATGTATGCTTTAAGATAATTATTCCGTGTCCCTCCTGAATACCAGCAAAATTAATTTGAACATTTTAGCAGTATTCCACTATTACGAATGTTCTTTTTATTTTATTTTACAAGCGCTCTAAAGTAAAAATTAGAGCGCCAGGGTCTGTAATAATTGAACCTACTGCCCAACATTACTTGTCATTTTTTAAATCTTCTGAAAATGATTATATTTTGCCACATAAAACTCTGGGTTAACGCAGTATTCAATAGACACTTTGATACTTAAATATACTTAAAACCAGTGTATTTTCTGACACGGTAAAAGTCAAACGGACCGGAAGTAAACAAAGCCCCAAGCTGTTGCCTAGCAACGGTCACTGGCTACACCGCGAGTGACGCGTTTCTGAGTCAAGTTACTATGGCAACCAACTGTCAACAAACTTGTGAACGTAGTTTGAATCGGTACTGAATAATAACTAACGGTAAATCTTAGTTGAGATAAATTGCATTATGTCGGAGGGAATGTCCAGAGCCTCCGCAGAAATCGTGATTGAAAACATTATTCGCGAAATATCGCGGGAGTGCGCAGCGAGAGGACACGCGGCGTCGGACTCTTTGGTGGCTTTTATGGTCAGTGAACCGTAGCTAGATGCTAGCAGTTGAGCTAATGCTAGCTGACAAACGTTAGGCTAACATTTAATATAACGACGTTAGCGAAAGTTAGCCGGATGCTAATGTCATTGCTATTATAATGCTAGCCAACTTTTCATATATTTTATATATATTTCATTTTTCTAAATGTGCTCAGGTGAAAGCTGTGATTCTGGACCCAAGAAATGGGTTTAATGTCGATCGAACACTGACAAAACAAGACGTCCAGAAACTGGAAGGGGTGAGTTACTGTTTAGTTTCCTCTGGGAATCAAATCATGTCTTCAAGAAAAAAAACACAACATATCTATTTTTAATCAAATCAAATCAGTTTTAGTATTTATTTATTTTATTTAGTATTTACATTTGACATGTTCAGTAAGTTTTAACATTGACTGAAATGTTATGTGTCAACGTGAAGTTAAAAAAAACTTGCACGCTGACCTTGAAGAGCAAACCTGTTTTGTTTCCTAACCTCCATCTTTCCTCCATCGTTTCTTTCAGCTGTGTCTGGATAAACTGATGGAAGAGTGCAGCCCGTCACTTGACACTATCAAGATGCAAATGTATTTTAATATGAATTACACCTCCCGACGTAAGTGTTTATAAAATCACAACAGGAATAAACCGAATTATCTTTCACCCGTGTGAAAGATAATCCCATGTATTAGCTGCGTTATCCCTATGAATGACATGTTTGTGTGCAACGACACACGTGATGTTGATGATAACGCATTTTTCAATATAGTGTGTTGACTTTGATATAATGCCGGTCATTCAGATGATGAAGTTAAGTCAACATTATTTGAAATACAAATGACCATCTGTCTATAATATGAATATCATGACTAAGCAGGTACCGCTGTGCACGCAGGTGAGTTTCTTGAGGAAATCCACCGTTTGGGGGAGTCGAGGCTGGGTGTGGTGAGCAGAGAGATCACCGACAGCAGAGGGAAAACATGGGAGGAATTACACGCTTTGTACAATAAAATCATCACCTACATCCAGCTGCGGTCCGGCATTGACTCGCCCGCGGATGACAGCGCCGTGCGAGAGGCTGCAGGTTCGACTTCACTTTTTTCCATAAAAGCCTCGCGAGCGAAGACAGAGTCAACAGTCGTGCACATTTTCTTGACCTCTCGTCCTGTCGTCCCAGCGGCCCTGCAGAGCGTCTTCCCTCAGACTGAACTGGGAGCCTTCATGGTGCTCTTAAAGAGGGACAAGGAGCAGCAGCTCAAAGAGCTCTGCATGCTCGTCACGGGGATCCGACTCTTCAACAAAGCCGGCAGGAGGTCAGGCGAGGAGGCCGACCTCAGTGAACTAAGTACGGGGCACCAGGCTACGTCACTGCGTTACATTGCAGACAGTTTGACAGAAAGGGGGCTTAGTGGAACATTCACATTAAAGCTTTTACAATGTTTTTTGTAATTTTTATTGGACCAGAAGACAACGTCCTCTACTGCATCCGGTACTGATGTTACTTCCTCCTACGTTCTCTCTCCGCAGTGCCCGCGGTTCTCACCGTCGCTCTCCCAGTCACCGCTCACAGCGTAGAAAAGGAGCTGAAAGCGTCACAGACTCTGGCCTGGAAATACACGGCCGTGCTGGAGAGCCTCACGGAGTGTGACGGTCCGCCCGCAGGACGGGACGTTCCCGTTGTCCTGCTCAAACAGGCGCTCTACAACGTCAGGCAGCATGAAGCCTTCCTCAAAATGTTACTGGTGAGGTAACACAGAGTTTGTGGCAATGCAGCCGTCATCTGTTACTATTAGAGTGTATGTTCAGATCATAAAAAGCACCAAGTTTTGCAGCTCACTGAGTAAAAGAAGGCAGGCGAACTCATGTCTCAGAGGGAAATGGACGGTAAATAATAGCTTTGTTTGTCTTACTCATTTTTTCCAGTCTGATGCGTGTGTGTGTGCCGAGCACGTCGAGACCCTGCAGGCTGAGCTCTCATCACACATGAAGCTGCTGAGAGAAACTGTGCAATCAAAGATGGCCGTACCGACTGCAAAAGTTTTCGTAAGTGGATTTCTCCCTTCTGTTACATTGCTATTTTTATTACTATTAGATTTTTCCCCCCGCAGCTTAATTTGGGTCCCGCCTCACATTGTCTTTTAGCCGCTTTTCAAGTCTATTTCAAAGCTGTGGTCCGGACTTCAGGATGAGGGCGAGCTGCTGAACGTCCTCTCCAACATCGCGCTCAACCTGCAGCCCTTCGTGGCCTCTCAGGCCAAGATTTTCTCTGAGGCGCCTTTGGACGTCCTGCTGGAGGCCTCGAAGGTGAAGACAGACGAGCAGAGAATGGCCGAGTCATCGGGTATGGAAGCAGTAACACGGTGTGCAGCTCGCTTTATTCTCTCCGTGCCAGGAACAGGAGCACGTCATTGCTTTACGAAAGGCCTGCAGGGTCGTGCGTAGCGGCTTCACTTCAGATATTAGTTCAGGAGGGAATTATCTAAAAGATTTGCAATAGTCATCTAGTTTATTTTATCAATGTGGATGAGGCCTAATCCTCAGGATTTAAGAACGAGACTTCCCCTTGAGCAAGAATAGGTTAGACACTAAACTAATAATCTCTGATAATATATTTTTTTCCTTTCCCTTTCGCTATCAGACACTCATAATAACAATGTGAGCCATGTGCAAAAAAAAGAAAATATAACAAATAAAGCAATCTCCCTTAAATGTTTTTTTTTGTTTTCCTCAGACGAGCGCATCGTCCCAGCCGAGATGCCCACTCAGCAATGGCTCCTTCCTGAAACAACAGCCGGTTTCTGCCAGCTGCCCCTGCAGTACAACGCGGTCTGTGGCCACACTCTGGCGAGCAGGGACGGGCTCCTGCTCCCAGGTACCTTGTTCCTTCCCTCTAACCTTCCCACCGAACACACACACGCTGATGACGAGCGTCCTCGATGTTGCAGGCAACCCTCACATCGGAGTCCTTCACCACGAGGAGAAGTTCTACGTTTTCAGCTCCAAAGAAGCTGCCCTGAAATTTGCCGCCGGTCCAGGCGCCTTCGTTACAGAGGTGGCGGAGAAGGCCAAGCAGTTCCCCGAACTCATTCGCCTCCTCGAACTCCACCAACAGTTTTCCCGCGTCAGTCCTTACTCAGAGGTCAGCAGCCTCTTCCCTGTGGAGTGTCCCTGCGTTTGGACAATTTGACGTTTGCTCCGTGTATTTCTTTCTCCTCTGTGGCCGACCTTTGCTGCGCACTGACCTGTCCGTGTGGATGGTTGCAGATTCTGCTGGGAGAGACTTCGCCGGTGAAGCCCGTCACCAAGTGTGAGAGCGGCACACAGACGGACGTCCACCCGGCGGGGACGGGCGTCGTCCAGTCGTACGAGTGGAACGAGTGGGCGCTCCGGAGGAAAGCCATCCAACTGGTGAGCCGGAGAGAATCGCGCGTGAAAACAAACACGTCTTATATGTATGCGTTGGTTTTTCTGTCCGGAATTCCAGGCTGATCTCAGGAGCAAAGTGACGCACTCGGCGCAGACGGATCTGAGCCACATGAGGCGGGACGGCGCCACTCAGACGTGGCTCCCCAAGGACGCGGCCTGTCAGAGCAAGCGGGACGGGGGGAGCAGCGTGCCCAAACCTCAGGTCTACCTGTCCGGTCTGAGGGGACAGAGGGACGGACGCGTGGTGAGGACCAACCTGACCAGGTCTGTGGATGAATGACCGCGGGGCCCAACAGACAACAATGATAGAATAATAAAGTCATTAAGAAAGAAAATGTTTGCTTACTTCTACAGAGGATGTAGAGCAATGCGCTTCATAAATGAATGATCCTGTGGTTCAGTGCGGTTTGTCCTCCTCTCTCCTTCATCTTTCAATATTTTAAACATCACTCTTCTCATTTACAGTCTATGGTGTGTTTGCTGTTGTGAATCTGGGTCTAATTCTATGAATTACTAGAGCTTATTTTTAATTCATCTCTTAAAAGCCCTCTGGCCTACTGCATTCGCAAGAGATAAATAGCATATTTGTGTTATTTATATATAGGATTCTATAGTTCTTAGAATAAATATAAATATCTACTTCTGGATGACAAATCATCAGAATCTGATAGTTCATAAAACAGTTCAATGTGTTTGTGTATTGTTCATGCACACTTGTCTCACAGCCTGCTGCACATAAAAATCAATATTGTTATCTCATATTTTGTGTTAATATATTAACAAAACTCAGTAGATATAGGTAGGTTACCATGGGGACCGTGGTTAAAAATGACCCAGCTTCGTGAGACCAGAATCAAACCCAAACGTAGTGAACGATAATGATAATAAACCAGAATGAGGTCTTACCTCTAAATGAAGCCACTGAACTGTAACTAGCCGATGAGAGCTTCTTTCCTCTTGTTTTTTTAGGAGCGGATAGAGATTGTTGTTTTCATTTTGGCAGTTTGCAACGATTTCACTAAGCGCTCCGTTTATGTCCACCATGGCTGCCCGTTCGGCTTTGTCTTAAATTTGGCATAAGCCACGACAGATGTCACAGCAGACTTTACGTAAGCTAAAAAGGCAACAGAAGGACACAATTTGAAAACTGGACGAGTAAAAAAATGTCCCCCGCTGATCCAAAAAACCTGACCGGACTGATCTCTATCTGAGTCAAGTCAACAGCCTGACAACAACTAGTCTTAATAAAAAGGTATTTTAATCCAGAATTCTGTACAACTTGCAAACTACATGATTTAACATGTTGAGGAGAACATTAATGAGAGATGGAGATAAAAGTAGAAAAAAGTGAGATTGTCCGTGACTACGACAAAGTGTACGTTCAAGCATAGGAGGAGCAGGTCAAGTGATAAAACAATGACATATAACAAAGAATGACATATAACAATGGAACCCTGAAGATTTAGCTAAAAAAAACCAACATAATTTACAATTCAAACAGCTGCTGTTTCCATGCACACTTACCCATGATTCTGTTTCTTAATATTAACGTTCACATTTAACAATGACTGGGCACGGTTACCAAAGTCCTCCCTCAAACAAGCGTCTCCACCGATAGCACCAGCAGACGTCCTCTGCTACACCGGCTCAGCCTGTGGTCAGAATAATCCAATTCCTCTCTCGTGCTCCGCGTCCGTGTTTTTCTTCTTTTAGGAAAAGGAAAAAATTTAAATAGGATCTTAAGAAAAGAGGTAAAACTGAAGCACTTTTTTTGCGCTGCCTTCATCATTTTAGGTATTAATTGACGACAGGAACGTTATCTCTCAATGACAGAAGATGATAGTTTGTCAATAACCTGCGTACACAAAGTACGCAAAGGCCATCAGACGACATCTCACGCTGTTTTTTCACCGCGACGACAGCATCTACTTCTTTGAATTTGAAGACCGAAAAAAAGCCCACGGTTCCGCGAGTTTACCGCGCGAGAGCGTCCCGCATCACGAGTAGATGGACCAGTAGATGATGTTGAAGAGGACGTAAGACCCGGGGAAGAGGACCCGGGAGTACTTGTCTATGACGTGCGTGTCGATCCACACGTTGCTGTAGGCGCTGGAGCCGACGTGGCCGGTGACCTGGTCGCTCTCCATCGCCAGCTGCACCAGCATCCTCTCCCGCTTCACCCCGTTGGACTCGGGCAGGCCGTAGTTCCCCGTCGTGTTGGCCTCCACCTCACTGTAGCTGGCGGACATCATGCCGGGATGGGCCAGGCCGCAGGTGCACGGCAGCTGCAGGTAGACAACGGCTACTTTAAAGGACCTGAAGAGGTCGCTGGAGGTCAATAGGAGCTTTAAAACGGTGACTAAGACAATGAATGACTGCTATGAATGTGACATCGCAACGATGCACGAAAAAAGATTACAGAATTCAAATCGAATTCTTTCACCTGAGAAAGTTTTTGTAATATTCAATTTGGCAAATTAAGTTTACCTGCCTTCTTGAAATTCGGATTAAAGGCCTCGACAATGGTATTCAGGGTATAATTGTCTACAATCTCCTGCTCGTAAGCTAGATGCTAATCAACATGCTAATGTTTTCACCACTTTCACCATTGCCTGCATATGATCACTAATTAAAACAAAGCACACGCTTGTGGGAATTTGGTGATGAACCAAAGCATTGGACAAATGTTTTTTTTTTACCTCATAGTAGAAATTAGATAGTAGGATTCGTCCTCTGGGGACCGTGAATATCAAAGACACACAGGGAAACGCTCCGGGATACTCGCCCTCTCTCGGAGGAGCCTCTCCTTGCGCTCTTGCAGAGTGGACAGGTAGTTGACGGCAGCGTACTCGATCACCGACAGGAAGACGAAGACGAAGCTGACCCACAGGTAAATGTCCACGGCCTTGATGTAGGACACCCTGGGCATGGAGGCGTTGACTCCGGTGATGATGGTGGACATGGTGAGCACCGTGGTGATACCTAGGGAAACCGACGCCATTTCAGTTGCCAAGACTGGATTCAGGTCCTTGAAGATGTTGGACGGCCGATATTGAAGTCACAACGAAGCACAAGCTGAAGGTTGAGCTGAAAAGCAACTTATCTGAGCGCTGTGTGGTGCTGTTGACGTTTTTAAGTGTAACATATGCAGAGCGAACTGGTTGAAATGGCAATTTCATTTTTATATATAGATTTATGTGGATGCGGCTTTCGTCAACAGCCCCTTCCTATGAAACGGCTTATGCTAATCGCTAGCGCTAATCCTAATCGCTAGCGTACACATATCAAAATGTTGCATGTATATTTTATTGTGTTTTATCACTGTAACAGACCCTTTACAGGCATAACAATAATCATATCGACAGCCTGCACGCTGTATCGCCATGAAATGACAACCTGTAAACCGCCCAGATCAGCAGCTCCAATTAACCTTTGCACAGTTCACCATAAACACAACGGAGACATTTCTAGGGATTATTCTAAGGACAGCGGCCGCTCCGCCTTGTCTGCGCGTGGGCGGAGCTTTACCCAGCGGCACCCTGGCGGGGACGGCCCTGCGGTCGATCCAGAAGGACACCCAGGACAGCATGACCATCAGGGTGGCGGGGAAGTAGGTCTGCAGCAGGAAGAAGAAGACGTGGCGCCGCAGCGTGAAGGTGATGTACAGACGGTTGTACCAGCCTGGAGAGGAGGAAAAGGTCAGAGGTCACGCGGGACTCAAGGGGCCCGGCCGGCAAGGCGAGGCCGGGAAATGGAAACGCGGCCCCTGCGCGTCCCGTCTGACCCGTGCTGCTGTAGAAGGCCAGCCTGGTGGTGGTGTGGAACTTCTGGATGAGGAACTGGGAGAGGGAAATCTTCTCGTCCGTGTTCAGCGACCGGTTCCCTTCCTTCCAGTACAGCATCAGGTCGTCGTCCGTGTACGCGTCTGAGAGAACAGAGAGAACAGGCCGAGCGTGTTCGGCACAAACAGTCACACGTTCCTTGATTTGAGATATTTACACAAACACGACAGGAGGGGACGTCGCTCACTGCTTCTGCAGCTAGGCTGGGTCGGAGGAGAGGAAACGGCCACACGGACTTTGATCACGTCACTTACAGCTCTCTATCTCCAAGGAGCACGTCTGCGTGTCGAGAGGAAAGCGGCTCAGGTCCATGCTGCACATGGATGTGACCGTCACCCTGCAAAGAGAGGACACCGCCGCGGCGATGCACGAATAAATGCTTCCATCAGCATTCACTCAATCCGTGGCGACTGAAACATCTCAAATATTTTCCCCTTTTTCTAGAGCGGTGCTTTGTGAACTACGTTCTCTCCTCGAAGCCACGAGGCTCCGGCGACAGAAACGGTTCTTCTACACTGTTTTTGCATCACAGGCGGGATACGCGCCGGACCTCCAGCAGAGCGTCACGCTCCCACAGTTCGCGCTCTGCAGGTTCAGCAGCGATTTGGCTCCCAGCAGAGACGATAAATGAAAACACATAATCCAGCTCATAGGACAAGACGCTGCATCCTCACCCACCAATCGGCCTTTGGTCCGCGAAATCTCCAACCAGCGCGGATTAACCCCCCCCCCCCCCCGACCCCGTGATCAGCACGCCGTATACATCCACCGCCCACCATCCGGTTACTTTCCCCCCCCCCCGGTTACCCGACAGCGCTGCGACGCGCACGCCGTCGGTAGCGAGCTGCCATTTGCAGATGTTTGATGTCATCATTGTAGGACTTTTGCTTCCTGTTTCCGGGGCTGTTGGGTCGCCGACAACCGGAGGCAGATGGCCAGCGGCAAATCTCTGCCCCGACTCTGTCGAATGCGCGGATTACGAAATCGGCCATCTTGGCCCCGAACATGCCGGCGCTCGCCAGAATGACGATGTCGGTCTTGGCGGCCGTAATTGGCGGGAAGTTATCCCCTTAAACGCACGTCGTGTACTGCGAGGTACCGCATCCTGCTTCAGGATCTGCAGCTGCAGAAAAACACACATCTCAAATGCGTCGCGTGTAGCTATTCGTAGTAACTACAACTACAACAATTACAACAATGACAACATTACAACGGCCACATAATGTTATTTTTATAATCCAACGCTAGTTGAAAACATACAGATTTTTTAAGTCAGACGTATTTTCACACTAGACATTTGGGCCAAATATCTGAATATTGGTAAACTATAGGGAAAGACTATAATGGTATATCCTACATCGAAGGCCTAATATCACAATATTAACAAAGGTGTAATAAAAAGTGCCCCAGTGAGCCATGAAAGTGTGAAGAGTTACTGAGATTTATACCGGATTCTCCTCTCACTTCAATTTCCGTGTCCAGGGCTTTAATTTGGAAAGCATGTGATTGTCTTTTGTTGTTTTTTTAATAGAGGTTGACATGGAAATGTTCATTTATTCCTGAGTAACTCTCAGTCGAGGATTACACAGTAGAGAGTAAGAGATCATACTAATGATGCAGTAAATTATGTTTAATCCTTAGATACATATAAATCTAAATCCTGAGCTACACTTAATCTGTTGCTGAGCAGCATGAAGCTAACGTCGCTCTCTCACCACTTACATCACTGTTATGTGTGTGTGTGTGTGTGTGTGTTTACCGGAGGCTGTAGAGGACTTTTCCGTCCGGGTAAACCCGCAGCATGACGTTTTCAGTGGTGGTGTCGTGGGTGAAGGACTTCTTGGAGTGGACGAAGAACATGTCGGGCACCCAGATCTTCTTCACCAGGCGGCCGTCGAAGGTCATGCTGAGGTTGGTGTTGCTCTTGAAGGCCAGGCGTTCGTCCTTCCAGTAGTGCCTCAGATACAGCGTCATGGTGAAGTCCTGGGACGAGGAGACACAGGCGTCACGTCGGCATCTCACACCACCTCCGCGTGCTGCGGACTTCCTACCATGTCCACCTCCGAGATGGCGTCCAGACTCTCCACCTGCACGTCCACTCCGACGGGGACCGCGGGCCCTGCAGAGAGACACCGAGCTTCAGAAAGGAAGAACCAGCTGCTTTTCTGCTTCTTTACAATCACATAAAAAAATGTTGCCTTTCCAAAATAAAACTCAATCGTTATTTGCTCATTTTCCTCAAACTGAAACCGCTGCTTTTTTTCTATAAGTCTGTCTATTTTCCATCAAATCTTCCTTTCACAGCAATTATGTAATGAAAATGTGGGATGAGGGATCTTAATCCCAGGTCAGTGCCTCCTTCACCTCCTCCAACCTCTTAATCAAGTCCACAGCAACCCTCCACTCTGGTTCCGGACACTTATTGCCCACGATGCTCCATGTTCTCACTGCGGAGATTTGTTTATCTGGAGGTTGTGACTCCTTTTCATGCTTCTGCTTCAAACGCCTGTGAGAAGTCAGGAGGCACGAAGAGGAAAGCCGGCGGTCCTTACCTCCGAATCCTGGTCGCATGGTGAAGTCGTGGTTGTCTATCTTCAGCAGCTGCTCTGACTTCGGACCCCAGACTTTAGTGATATCGGGACTCCTCTTGAAAATGGAGCTGGTGGAACTGTTTTGGAAAACAATTCAGTTTTATTCTCTTAACCACTAAACAGGACGTTTGTGTCCCTTAGATGAGGTGAGTACACAAACCATCGGTGACTTCATGCGGTTTATGGACTCACTTAAAGTCACCGAGGTGCAGTGAAAGTTTAGCTTGCAGACGCTGAGCGTGTGAATGTGAAAACGGATACTTGGGCCTGGTCTCTAATCACCGCCTCTACCGAGAATCAAGGTCTCGCTGGTAATAAGCGCTTCTCTGCGGTGAAAACCAGCCTGTGAGTTTGTGCGTCGTAGCTTGTTGTTGTGTGAGTCGGTGCAGCACATGCAGAATAATCTCATGACTTTTCCCGATTCTGAGGGATAAGAATGGATTATATTGGGTTTAGTAAAATAGACGGAGGCGGCCCACCCTCCAAGATACTGCAAACAATGGTGTGATTAAAATGTTGACCATGTGCCTCTAAATCCAGGATGCTTTAATCTCCGCTATCATATCCTCCCTTCCAGCCCCTGTTAGCGTTCTAATTGGACCAAATAAAAAAACAAAACAGACGTGCGTCATACCTGCTATTCCTAAAGCGACGGGCTCCTCCCGTCAGAGGCATTTCTCTTTTCAATCTGAAACAAGGAATAAATATTGGGTGAGTGAAGCTCGGATGAGGGTTGAGGAAGTTTGAGACGTGGCTGTGAGGTTCTTCTCCTTTAGATTAACAGCTGAAGTGATGGACCCATGCAGAGTCCAGCAGGGACCTCCGTGTGTGAGCAGGCCCGCTGGTTGTCGCCGTCCCGGTGGGACTGATTAAGTGTCTGATTGAAGAGGGAGCGAGAGGTCACGGGGCCGCCGGGGCGCCGTCTGCTTCGAGGATACCGAGGAGATTAACTTCAGATTGCTTTACATCACGTATTGAAATGAACAGTCCGCTCACACCAAAGCTGCACTCAGAAACCAGTTAAGCGCAACGGTCTTCTTCGTGATGGATGTCGGACCCTCATCAGTTTGTGAGGGTCGAGGGCGCCGCGTAGCACCGCAGGGCTCTATCCTGGGTCTTCTCCACTTCCGCTCATCCGTCATATTACCAACGATCTGCCTCCAGCATGTTTTGGAGCTTCTGTCTGAATGTACGCTGATGATAATCACACAGAATCCGGTCGCTTCTCAAACGATACGAGACTTATTCCAAAATACCTGACAGGTGAAGGTGCAAAGATTTATTTCCATGCTGTGATTTTTGAGCATATAACTCAACCAACCCACCGAGGTGTTTACTTGAATGAAAGTCAATGGGTGGAACTCACATGACGACCCACAAAGATGGAATTCTATGTTGTTTTTGCAGATAAGAGACTGATTTTCTATTTGTGCTACAGCTCTACAATGTGCTCTGCCTCTCACATTTGACCTTTAAACCCACCAGAGGATTTTTTTTCTCCCTCTGGCAAAGTAAAGTCAATTTCCAGTCATAAGCTTCTCAAATCCGTAACTGTATCCTCTGACGGATGCGCAGCAGAAACGCAGCATTACGCGCTACACGTTTGTGTTTTGCTGAAAGTGACATTTGATTGCTGACCTTCCTTCCGCTCCTGCTGACCTTCCACAAAGCCACAACAATAGCAATAATTCAGAAAGCACATTAACACGCTCAGATTACAGGTTACGTAATCAGAGTGAGTGATTTCTCTAACCAGGCACACGTCACCTTTTGTTGGAGAGCTTTGATTACCGAGCGTGCAGCCGCGATTGGGTTTGTGATTTCACATTTACTCAAATTGAACTGTTCATTTTTCTGCTTATTTCTTCAGCGATATCGTTTCTAAATTCAGTTGTTGAGAACATGGCCAGATGTACTAAATCCATAGTGGCTCTTTGAGAACATGAGACTGATGCTGTCCCTAATTCAGAATAATTAATAACATTACATCATCGTGACAGAAGCCGGGGTGACAAAGGAGGGGAAATTCTATTACTGCCCAAATGCTTCACCGCCATGTGCTGCTTTCACCACAATGACACAAACAAAAGAGCTTTTTTTAATGGAAAACAATCCACTAACAGTCACAGCTTAGAAACATAACAGATCTTTTGTCGCCCCCCTAACATCCCTTCTGCACGTTAGAGGCGTTAAATGACTCTTTCCAAGGTCAACAAGGAGGCTCACGACGTGCAGACACTCAAGTTAGCTGTCAAAATAAGATATAGATGTATGAAACATGTGAGATGCTGTGAAAGAAGTCAGCGTTGGAGGCTTAAACAGCAACAGACCTCAGATTGCGTAGAGCTGTTGTGTGATTGAAAAACAATAACCATGTAATAATAAGGCCGATCGGAGATAAATGATCACGTAAAACCAAAGCGGCTCATCTCAAATTTAAATTCGATGAGGATCATGTGTGAGCCTGTAAGTGGACCTTGAGTTGTTTTTACCAACTGCTGTTTTCAGGGTAAAGAATGAACGGTTAGATTCAATATAGCGTAATCTGGAATAGTTGTTTAGTATTTATTTTGGGAGCCGTTGATCTGCCACTTCATTATCCCCCCAAAATAATAATTAGTGGGTAAAATCCCATTGCTTGATATTTCGACTGTTTGAATTAAAGTGTGAAGTGTAGGATTTTACACAGCATCTAATCACTCAACCGCATGTTTTTTTTTCTCGGCTTTGCGCGTAATTACGCACCGGAGAAGTCGGCCCCTCGCCGCGCGCACAGTGAACTGACCTGACGTTCCGGCACCGCTGCAGCGTTTGCCCCTTCGGGCGCGTCTGCCCGGACGCGCCGGTCATCCACACCAGCATGAAGAGCAGCACCACGTCCGTGTGCATCGTGCCCAGCGCGCCGGCCCTCTCCAAAAGCGCTCACAACCGCAGCTCGCTGCCGCAACTATTGCCGCACATGACGCGCACTGCGCACTCGCCTCCCGCCGTACACATAGTGAGAATGTATACATGGACGTCACGCCGTTTAATCCCACAGATCGACGGGGGGGAGGGAGATAGTGAGGGGGGGGGGGCTATATTGCCTAAACCTGCAAATCCTCCGCGGATTTACTCCCCGTGTCCGCGCAGGAACGCACCGCGCGTTTTCCGGGGGTTTCTTCTTCTTGTTTGTTGTTTTATTCCCGCCGGGTGCTTCCACCTGAGACACAGCGATGCCAGGATGCGATCCCGTATAATTAAACACAAAAAGGTGAATCATCAGAGGTGGACGAGGAGGAACGTCCCTGAAACGTGGTTTGTGATTCCTGGATCCTTTGGAATCAGATTTGCAGTGAAACACACTTTAGGATATGAGTTTTATAAAGCACATCCCTAATTATAAATGTGTGTATTCTATAGGAAGTTACGTAACCGCCTCTTAATCCATCAATCAGATGCCAGCAGAGTGCCTTCATGTCACTGAGGTTGTTTTTCGATCCATCACCATATGTTCTCTTTCCTGCATTTCCACCTGAGCTTCATCATGTTTCCTTGTATCATCTTCATCTCTAACATCTCCTGTTAGAGGCGGGGTGAACCGACCACATTGATCATTAATTAATGAATGTTTGTTCATTAATTAACTCTTAGACAGCCATCAACAGAAACCAGTTATTTGTTTATTTAGCCACTATTTTACACATGACAGGTATTTTAAGAGTAACAGAAAGTGACATATGGGCACACCACTGTTTACTGTAAAATATGTATTTTGATGGAGAAGACACAGGAAAAACACACGTGTTTGTGACAAAGCGGCATTCTCTGTAATGTCCACTACGGGGCGACTGCGTAAAAGTGTGTTGAGTCAAAGACAGAGAGAGACTTCTGGATCAGAGAAAAAACGGTCAAAGACACTGAAGGTCAATAGAAAAGAATAAATAAATAACAATATGAAACTTCATCAGCGGATTACTGACATTAAGAAAATTGTTTTTTGTTTTGAAAGTTTTCTGAAATCTACAGAAGCGACAAAGTAGTAAAACATACATGTGAATCCACAGAACTACATGTTTTTTTTTAGTAAATTATATTTATATCAATGAAATATTATACATCTTATCCAATCCGTGAAGTAAAGTCGGTTAAATATATATTTAAATGTGATAATCTCTTCATGCAGTCTGTCAATTTAACCAGCAGAGGGCAGCAAACACTAAACCTTAAAACTTGGTGGAGTCGTGGGAACAATCCCAGTGATCCCATTAAAACCCTCAAGGACTAAACGGATATCATGTTATATCCCATCTTTAATCCCGGATTTTAACATCCGCCTGGTTTCTTGCCCCACAAGATGAGAGGGTAAATGTCAAATAATCTACTTATCCCGTTTTGTTTAGTTAAAAAAATGTTGATTAAAATTAAAGGTGTGCAGTCATTTTATAATCAAAAGTCCAGATCTATCCTCTTACATGTAGTAAATACTTATTACTTATAATTACCTATTTCATTGGAAAGATCGATTCCTCTACAATCGATACCTCAGAAACTACATTCAAACCAAATCAATCTAGATTCGTAATCGCTACAGGTAAAAGGAAAAGTGTTTAACAATGAGGTGAACTGTTGCTTTAATGTCAATGTTTCTGTGTTTCTTTTTATATTCCAGGCTGAACACCGATTTTACATCCTTTGTTTCCTTTTTTTTTAACGGCCTGCGGGCTTCCCTTGTTAATCCTTTGTTTAACGGCACAATGCTATGAATTGTGGGTAATTCCCTCAGGCAAATTCTGCTGAAATGCAGACTCACACAATGGGCTGCAAATCTCTGTGAGAGAGCATTGACACCACTCGACGACTCGACAGGGAGACCGAGGTTAAACCCTCAAAGTGAGCCGAAACGTCGGCCATCTTGAAAAACAGAACTTCTTTGATAAGTGGATGGAACATACTTTACTAAATGAACATCATGCCATGTTGAAGAAGATTTGAGAAGAAGATTGAGACAATGAACTCTGTTTACTGAGGGAATAAATCAAGAGAGTAATTTCCTCATAGACTTGTATGGGACCAGAGGAGTCGCCCCCTGCTGGTCACTACAGAGAACGCAGCTTTAAGAAGCATCAGCTCTACTTGGGAGAACCGCAGGTTGACGCCTGTCAAAAAGTAATATGATGACGTCCCCACTACCTTTTCCTAAAGACAACCATCTTAAAATACAAGACGTGCTGCGTTTGTCAGCTTCTGTTCAAAGCCGTTGCGTCGTAAATGATCACAATCATAAACTTTGTGCCGGTTTCTTTCAGCAACCAACAGATTTAAACACACGCACACACACACACACACACACATACACACACACACACACACACACACACACACACACACACACACACACACACACACACACACACACACACACACATGAACACAAACAGAATTAATCTGGATTTGGCGAGTGGAAGATTGCTGCACTTGACGGAGAGCCAACCTCGGGACGTTACATAAAGCTTTTTTTACTCCCCTCATTAGAGGTTCATCTATACAAACGCCAACTGTCGGGTGATCATATGGCCCCGGACGCGTCCCAATCAAACGGCTTCGCTGTTAACGACGCGTGGGCCGGGAGAGGAGCTGCAGATCGGAGCGGAGCGTCGTGCAGCCAACGTGACGGATGTTGTTCTCACTTGATGCTGGAGAACGATGGTGTATGTGTGTGTGTGTGTGTGTGTGTGTGTGTGTGTGAGAGCCGGCGTACACAAACAAATCTGATCTTCACGGATAATGTGAATCAAACAAACATGGACGCCAGATACATTTGAAATAGTTATTTAAATACGAATGAGAAACTCTGTGTACACGGAGATGCTCTCCATCGCTGCCCTGCAAACTAATTTGACTAAATTCTCTGCAGCTTCTACGGTGAGATGTCCGACGGCCTTTGAAGGCGTCTGCACTTCACAGCTGAAGTATCAGCTGCTTGGTCCACTAATGCGCACTTTTACTGTTCAGGGGTAATAATACGGTTTAGCTGTTTACGTTGTCGTTGTCCTGTGAATGTGCTGCAGGCATTCTCGCACACTTAGCTGTCAAAGAAGTTGGGTTTATTTTCCTTCTAAAGAGTTTAATAATAAGACACCTCACCTCTGCAGAACTCAGCTTAGTTTCTACCTCGTTTGATAACCAGCATGTGTCGAATATGCACCTCGTCTCTGACTCGACACTCATTTACATTTAAAACAACGGCCTCATGTTTAATGCAAAGGAATTACAGATGCTTTGTAATAAAATATGTATTGTGGCTGCAAGTAGAGGCACCGGCGGCTGTACGTACACCATGCAGCGGAAGCACGGCCGAAGGCCAAAGGTCACTGGTCTGTAAGCTGCGTCCTTCTGCGGGCTTCGGCCTTGAAGAATTGTGTTTTGAAACGCCTCCGGCAGTCCATACGTGACCGCAGCGACTGACCGGGTGTGGTGTGGTGTGGTGTGGTGGTGGGGGGGAGGGAGAGGGGCGGTGAATCTGTCCACACTGCCCCTTAGCCGCACACTGGTGAGCCCCGGCACCACCTTTGCCGTTGCAATAATATCTTCTGAATTACTCCCTCTGTCCGTGTGTGCAAAAGGTTTTGCTTTTTTTTAAAATTGGGGGGGGGGGGGGGGGGGGGGGGGGGGCTGTGGGGTGAGGAGGGCGAAGAAAAGCCCAGACTTTTAGACGGATGAAGGGTGAAGACGAGGCCTGGAATGCTGCTCGCTAATCATCGACGACTGCTGTTATCTTCTACCGGGGAACTCGGGCGAAGGTTCGTGCTGCAACGTTGACGGGAGATGATTATTTCAACTCCCAGCTCGTCAAATATCCGGCCCCTCTGTGTCTGATACCGAAGCTTTCAACTAAACTACAAAGTCACCCCAGATGAGCTCGGAGCACCTGACATCGAATCAAGTGTGAGACAGTCCCTCTCAGTATCTCCTTCTATTCATCTCTCCATATAGAAAAGCATTGAGCTGCATCCAAAATTACATTTGAAGTTGCAAAACGGGATTTTTTTTTTTTAAAGATACAAGATATTTATTTTCAATGAGGGGGTTAAAAATACATCACGCCCCCCCATTAACCTCCGTAAGCTCTGTAAACCTGCTCTGTGAGTCCCAGGTTTCTGTGCATTGCTTCATAACGCTTACTTGTGATCTCAACCTTTGAGTTACTTTCACATTATTGTTAAGGGCCAAAAAAGAAAGTGATGAAACCATCCCCTGGTTTCTCCTGCCGCGATCAAGTCTAAACATGAAGATGAGGGAAATCATCAATAGAGAGAAACGATACGGGCAGACAGTTGCCAACGGCGTCTCCAGGGGCAACGGGAGATTTCAAGCCTCTGTCAGACTCACAGAGAGCAGAGCGACTGGGACGCGTTGGACTCAGATGAACATTAAACAAAAGATGTGACACGGAGTACCTCATCTGTTCTCCTCTGCACCTGACTTCACCCGGAAATGCAACAGCTTCCATCAGAACAGAGGAATATGTAGTTTAAATGGACAGAAATGTTGTTCCACATTAGAAATGTGTGCAGAATGTTTAATTCTGAATGAACAGAATCCATAAGCCTCTTTCAGGATAAGAAATGTCACCATAGGCATACGTTGTTATAACATTATAGAAAAGGACCATCTAGCAAATACAATGCATGCTGGGAGGTCTGTCATGTGACTTTGAGAGTTTACAGAGCAGTCAGATGTGAAGAAAAGAGACTTTAATGTTGTTTTTCTGACATTACAAAACTAGAAATACATTAGCAGAACTTCTTTACTTTGTAATAAATGTAAATTTATAAAGCGCATAATATTCACTGGTAGACGTTTCTAAATTCAGCCATGATTACATTTGTACAATTAAATATTGAATTATTCATAATATTCTAATAGTTGATTGTGATTTTTGTTGATGTTTTTGATGAATAGCCCTTTCTAATCGCGCTTAAAGGTCCTAATAGCACGCATGCGCTGTCGTCGATCTCTCCAGACGAAGAGGCAGAAGAAGAAGAGAAGCGAGCCAATAGGCAGTCACTTCCTGTTTACGTTCCTGAAAATGACGTCACGAGGACAACGTTCATCAAACAGTTTCCAAACCCGAAACAGCCGATAACTTGAGAAAACACTCTCCAATACGACCGGATACCAACATATTGTACTTTAGCGGAATACCGGAACACCGGGGAGAGTCTTCGACCTCCGGTGTCCGCTGTCTTGCTCGTATTTCAGGACCGAAGGAAGCTAGCCGGCTTTGCTAACCACAGCGAGCGTAAAGTAGCGTTAGATAGCTTGGGAGCTAGCCAGCGAGTTAGCAACAGAAACCCAACAGCACTTCATCGTGAACAACGGAGTGCTAACATCTGCTGCTATGGAGAATAAATATAACCTCAAGAGTCCAGGTAAGCTCTCCTTATAATGTTTAGTTCAGCGAAACGCACCAGTCCTCTGTTTACATTTTCCCACTACTATAAAGTTGCAATTACAGATTGTCATGAGTTAAATGTAAATTATTGAACTCACATAAGCCGATCTTAAATATACAGACTCTTGGTCTATGTCTTGGTGCCCGTTCTCTTCCTGTGCTGAATGAGTACGTGGAGCTCAGCTGTGTACACGTTGTGTCTTCGCGTGTCCTGGTCAATCATTGACTTGTTTTAGATGTAGTAGAAGAGGACCTATTTGTAATAGTGGTGATCTGCATGGCTGTGGATTGTTTATTGGGCGACATCTAGTTTATTTTCCCCAACAACAAGATCCTAATTGGATGCAACACAATAACAACACTGTTTTCAATGCACTGCTGCTTCTTTGGTAATTTAAACAAACATCACTGCAGTGGAGAACAAACTGATGGCACGTTGACTCCCTCCTCCGGTTTCCGATCACTGGATGTCCTCAGGCTTTACAGTCAAAGGCCGTGTTGGTAATCACAAATATTTGAAAGGAAATTCTCACAATGAGGGAATAGAGTTCTCTGAATGTGGCTGCCGTAAGACCGTAATTAGCCAATTCATCAACTGGCCCTGAATGTAATGGTTGGGTTTTCTGCTGCATAGTCCATCCAGTTGGGTTAATTTAGGTCTGGGACACGCTGGTGTCATCGTGACAATGTATGCAGCACAGTAAAAATGTTATACAGAAACCAAGGTTGAATATCCTGCAAACAATTTGAATTGGCTGTAAAATATTGACTAAAATCAAAACTTTTTTAATATAATTACTAGACATGTAAACAGTGTTTTTATCAGTGAATTATTTGTACCAATTTGATTCAAAATCTTCTTAATACATGGTTAAAAAGTAATGGTATTAATATGCATAAAGGACTTCATTGTGTGTGTGTGTCATCTGAGTAAAAACCTATTGTAATATTGCATATCTTCACGGTAACATGAGCATTGAGGTTCATGCCACGTATCACAAGTACTTCCTCGATATTTGCTCTGAAGGTGTACAGCTTGCACTCCAAGGACGCACACGCGGATCCCCGTATGCAAACACATGCAGGTGCTCCGAGCTCACAGATGCATGAACGATTTGTTTAGAGCCAGCGGCCTGGAACAGTTTCAGTTTGGATATTAAGTGTTTCAGAATTCACAGAGTTAATCTCACAGGTGTTTCGGTTTACAAAATAATACAGTTCGTTAAACTTTGATGAATTTGCAGATTTCTTTCTTTATAAATTGATTTATTTGGTCCATTTGGTTCCAACAAGATCCGAGTGAAAGGATTCAATGAAGTGTATCTGGTACTTCCCAGCTGTTAGTCTGGCAGAATGTGCAGCATGATCACATCCACAGTGCTGTACATTCTATCTTTGCAGTGCACGTGTGCTGTGTGAAACATTCATATCCTCCCTCCCTTTATCTTTGAATACCAGACCAGGTCTTTTCTTTCTAAATTCGGGGTCCGTCGGTCAGACCAGCGCTCTTCTGTTCTTCTGGATTTACATGTTTAGGTGAATGCGGTGGAAGCTGCGGCTACATAGAAATAAAGAAGGCTCAGACTTTGGAGGATTCCTCTCCTTCTTTTTTATCCCTTTTGTTACGTAAGCGTGTCTCCGCTTTCCCCTCTGGACCAATTATGAGTCATCGTACCCAAACACTCAAACTACGTGTTACATAAGAGGATTTGGCGTACGGAGCTTATCGCCTTGAGCCAGTGACCTGACCTCTGCAAACCCAGCGGAGGCCAAAGGCACTTGTGTGTGTGTGTGGGGCGGGGGGGAACGAGGAGGGGGGGGCTTTTCCTTGTCATCTCTGCTTACTGTTACCGGAAGCAAAAGCCAAAAAAGGGCATGGGATATGGAGCACTGGAGCGCCCGTCACGGTGCATTCAGGGTCCGTGGCGTTAAGAGGATGCTGTGCCGAGCCCTGGGTTTGCCCCCCCCCCTCCCAATTCCTCTTACAGCTCAGCATCCCTCAAGTACAGTAGGTTCATCCTGGACAAACGTGCTGCGTACGTTCATGTAGCCGAGCAGAAGGTGGTGGTGGTGCGGAGGTCCGGGTGGTGGACGGGAGAAGGCTCGAATTTGGTATTGAGATCATAGGGCCGCTTCCTGTCAGTCGATTAGACCACTTTTTGCCCATTTTGAAGATTCCATGAGAGAGCGAACCAGAAGAAGCTGGTCCACGTTCAGCAGTCTCACCACGGCGGATTTGCTACAAAACTGCATTCATTGTAATTTGCCGTAATCGTCCTTTTAGGATGAGTCAATAACTTGCTGTGGATGTCTGTGTAGACGGACCCATGCAGGGATCACACGCCCCCCCCACCCCCCCCTCTCTGAGGTTCGGCCCGGACAGCAGGGCACGTTGACCCGAGGGGGGCGTGAGCGTGATGAGACTCTTCCTCTCTCCTCTGAAGGGCCTGTCCGGCCCCGATAGCCCAGCTCGCCCCCCACGGGGCACCGGTGGATCCGCCGAGTGGAAACATCTCGCCTTGAAGATGGAAAGAGTCTTTGAACCTCGCTGCCGATTTCGGCTTAAACTTCCTCCGCCGGCCAAACCTTTTCCTTCTGAACCGTTTTCTACAACGCCGGATTCTAAAACACAAACATTTTAAAAGGGAAGGCAAATAGAAAAAAGGGGATGTTTATTTCTTCTCTAGAAAGGACATTTATATTTATGATGATATTTTAAATGGGCTGTTGTGGATTTTTCAGTTTAGTTATTTACATTTTTCCCTTTCGTCACACGTGATGTTTCACTGCTCCTGGCCGTGACGAACACTTTAGCTCCGGCTATTGTTAAAAGAAAACCTGCTTTCTAATCCCGCCTGCAGGTTTCATGGAACAGATTAGACAAACAACAGTACGAGGCGACGGGTAATTTAGGAAGAAGAGGCCGCGCAGAAGCGCCCGCGGTCTGTATTCTCTGCACTGTCTGCCCCCCCCCAACAGGGCCGACACGTCTGCGGACCCCAGCCAAAGTCTTTGTGAGTATTTTCGGAGATCGCGCCCCCCCCCCCACGCTGTCAGGACAACTAAGCCCCCACACCGTGCGCGTTGTCGCCTCCCGCCCCGTGCCGAGTCGCGAGCTCCCGGCCGCGGCCGGACCGGGCGATTCATCAGCGGCGCGCCTTTCGGGTTGGGACTGTCAAATTCATTTTCAACACGACTTTAGGGACCCGCGGGGGGGGGGGGGGGCCGAGGTTTGAGCGGGAAGCCGTGTGCGACAGCTGTGGGTAATTACAGGCCGGTTCGTTAGTAGTTATTTAACACACTGAACCGCCCCGAGTCGCTTTGACACAACTCCTGTAGTTGAAAAGCAGGCGGCATCAGCAGATGTCCCACCTGCACCTGAACGCACCTTTCACAGCCGTGATGACCTATAGCTCGACCCCTGGAAGTGAACATCGCACCGGTTCCCTCTACAAAAATAGCCAATGTGATTTTGGATTAAAGCAGAAAATATGTTCTGTGGCAAACAAAGGATTACAAGACATTTTCAGCAACATAATCTTCACAAATAAACGAGAGCAGAGGGAATATGTTTTACTTAAGCCTCCCGCTGAATGCACATTCTGTCTGTGAGTTTCTCTCGCTCACTCCGAGCCGCCGTCGCTCTCGTTCTGGTGATTTCTCTCAGTGCCAGAGGGGAGGGGGGGGGGACATAATGTTCTGCACCGCAGGTTAAACATTAATTCTGCGAGTAGCGGGACATCAGGCTGTGTGTCAGCGGTGTTTACGCTCGGCCGCGTTGGTTTTGTGAAAAACGAACTAGTGTTTTTTTTATTTTTTTTTTTAAATGTTTGATGTGTTTCTTCTGAGGGGTTTTTGTGGATCAAAAACGCCAACAAAGTGCCGTTGTCATGGTTACTGGTCTCTGTTTGACCACACAGTCAATGCAAACACATTAAACCAAAGTAGGAATAGTTTTAAAATGTGTGTCCAGCTCCTGATCATCTAACTCCATATTTGGACTCGTTCCCTCAGTTTAATGGTCTCAATCTCTAGTTTCAAGTCTTATTCATTACAGCATCCATTTTCTGAATGGAAATAGTGCCTCTTGTTGTTTCTATTTAATACACCCCCCTGGTTGTCCTCAGGTCGTCCAGTGTCACTGTGTGTAAATGACACAAAGTGGTGAAGTTGAACATGTGAGCACATCACATCCACGCCTCTGAGAGTCACGACCTCCGCGGCCCCCCCTCCCCCGATGATGCAGTCGAGGGAGGGTGGAGGGGGTTCACCTCAAGGTCAGAACGTGTTTGTCCTCTTTTTATCTCTGGCTTTTCCAGAGCGATTCTGAGCTACATCATCCAAAAGCGAAGCTTTTATTGTTGAAGCTTTGAAAATAAAATGAAAAATAATGTTGAAAATAATTTGAAAATAATGTTGACGTTCAGTGTGGAATATTTCAGGCTCTGCTTGGATGTGGATCGGCCCGATGTGATCAGAAGACTTGAAACTAGAGACCTTAAACTTTCGTTTCACTGCGGAACCGGAGGTTTGCAGGCTGCTTCACACTCGGGTTCAACAAAAGGGTTGAAACCTCTAATATAATTTATATATATATATATATATATATATATATATCCCAACTATATGATGATAATTTAGATGTTGCAGTGATAACTGTTCATATTGTGTACGCTGTTTTTTGTGCGCATCCGACCAAAATAAATATGCACAATTTGCGACTTTGTCTCCACTTGAAGGAGAAATGCAAATTGAAAAACGGAGTCTCCACAACAAAACGCAGTTATTTCACTGTGGTGGAAATGCAGCTCGGCTCCTCTGTTGAATTATGGGTTGCATCTCAAATGTGGGCAATTTAAATAATAGAAAGAAAAATATATATATATATATATATCTGCTCGAAACACAATGTTCAATTTTCGGCCCCCTCCCCCGTGTGAGTCCACTGTGGGATTACTGGGTCTCATCTTCTCAGAAGAGCCTCGGTCCCTCGGGGCAGAACTCTGGAGAGGAAGACGAGGTGTCTGGTCCCCTCTAAGCTCCGTCTTCATAGCTGTTTGTCCCCCCCCCCGTGCTCCTCTTCCGTGTTCTCATTTCACAGTCTGCATTCACAGCTCAACACCCCCAGCGCACACGATTGGATTCCAAACCAATTTTGCCTGCGAATGCTTCTCGGTTCTTTTCTTTCTTTACACATTTTCGGCCCCGTCTTGTTTTTTTTGACCTTGAGGCCCCCCCCCCCCCCTCGGATTCTCCTGTGGCCGCGCTGCGAGGCCTCTGTTAGTCAGCGTTACATCTTCACTCCTCCGCCCCCACCATCGTCGGCTGGACCCTCTCACCCCATGCGGTGATGAGGTTGCTCAGATTAATTTAGCAGGCCCGGGTGTGTCGTGGGCGGGCGGCGTCATGACACCCGGGGTTAATGCCGCCAGATGTTTCTCCTCGGCACACAAACTCCCAGTAAAAACCGTTTTCCTTTTGAAATGTGCAGATAATCCTCCTCTGGGGCTCATTAGGACGACTACCAACACTCTTTATTCTGATCCGCACGACAAGTCATGAATAATAGTTTGTTTACAGTCAAGCTGCCGTCAATAGAGCTCAGCACCTGCGTCCTGAGTGACTCATTCCAGCTGTGTGAGTGTGTGAGTGGAGACAAAACTGCTGCGGCGAAATTGCACGAAGGAGCCTTTTTTTTTTTTTTTTTTTTTTACTGAATCAGCACTGAACACGTGAGCTTCATCTCTCGTTTCCTTTGCTCCCTCTGAATAACCAGCGGTGAAGAGGCTGATGAAGGAGGCGGCGGAGCTGAGGGACCCCACGGAGCACTACCACGCCCAGCCGCTGGAGGTAACCCCCCCCCCCCACCGCACCCCGTCCCTCTACAGGGTGTAACTCCCGAGCTTTAAGTCTGTCGGGACGGCGTCTCCGTGCATGAAGCTTTTCTCTGATACGAGTAAAACCCACCGTCTGAAGCTGAAGATGTAAAGTACAAGAAGTTTCCCTTGGATGAAATTGTGTAGTTTTGTAATGGCACATGGGAATACACACACACACACACACACACACACACACACACACACACACACACACACACACGTGCGGTTTGTCAACAGCAAAGTTAACTTCTCTTTCTCCGCCCCCCCCCCCCCCCCCTCCCCTCAGGATAACCTCTTCGAGTGGCACTTCTCCGTCCGCGGGCCCCCGGACTCCGACTTTGACGGCGGCGTTTATCACGGGCGGATCGTGCTTCCCCCGGAGTACCCCATGAAGCCCCCCAGCATCATCCTGCTCACAGGTGAGGAGCCCCCCCCCCCCCACACACACACACACACACACACACATCTGCTGTTCAGACGTCTGCTGCAGATCTGAGCTGTTTTGAAGGACACCTCCTCATTGTTCTTTCAGCGTGCGTTCATTGTTTCATTTTGTATTCCCGCTGCGCTTTGTGTCAAACCTCCGCGTCTCGTCGGCTCGGCGTGAAACGCTTTCTCTCTTTCTTCCAGCGAACTTGTTTTATTCACTGGTCTCCTCCCACACACACACACAAAGGCTCTCACCTCCACCTTCTTATTGCTTCTTTTCCCCTCCCAGCCGAATGGAAGATTCGAGGTTGGCAAGAAGATTTGTCTGAGCATCTCTGGCCACCATCCGGAGACCTGGCAGCCGTCCTGGAGCAGTGAGTTCTCCTCTAATTAGTCCACAGCGGCCTCCCTGTCGCGTTCTGTCATCTGCAGAGCAGGAAACAGGTTTTCTGCCCTCGTGGTACATTGGTTTCTCTCATTGTCTCCTGGAGAGGGTTGATTAATTACTGCTGTGCCTTGTTATCGTAAATCCAATGACCTTAGTTCAAATATGAAAGGCGGTATTCACAAAAGCATTAATCGGGCTTCCCGTTGGTCAGAGAGGCATGAAGTAAGATCTCCGGTGCATTTCTCAGCTTTCAGACGTCTGCTTGGCTGCCATCAAGAGGCTAAATGTCACCACTGAACTTCATTCATGAAGATTATTTTGCAGAACCAAATGTATAAATCTGATAAACGTTTATTTGCCAAGAGTTTATTTTCTCTTATAATCCAAAATCCAATAGAAAATCCCTCTGGTCTGTTTATCTGTTTGTGGTTAAAACTGTTTGCATTCAAAATGTACTCTTGTGTATTATAAATGTGTTATTATATGAGCTGCTCACACACACACACACACACACTTTACAGATTAATTTGTATTTTTCCAAACCTAGAAAGACTTAAAACGTTTATCATAGCAGACTGAACGCTATCAAAGCCAAATGTGCTGCTGCTTCTTCCTGTATCACTTGAAGGCTGCACTCAACTTTCTGCTTTTACTTTGATTCATTTTATTTACTTCCTTCAAATAAGACCGAGCGGAGTCTAATTTATGTGGCGGGGGTTTTCATCTCAGACCACGCTGCGACTTCATAACTCGACAAGGTGTGTAGAGCGCTGATAACACCTGTCAATCATCCCACTGTGATTTGGGGGAGGGAGGGGGGGATGTTGTTATCACCACAGAAAATAAATGCTGCATTTCAACAGAACGTGCAAAACGGGGAGAATACTAGATGATCCTTCAAGTCAGTCGGGTATAATGTGATTCCGGGTGCTTTTTATTCGTGGTATTGGGGACCGAAGCGTGGAATAACGTAGACACACACACACACACACACACCTGTGACCTCGGCCTCGTTGTGCCGGCTGGACGGAGGCGTGGCCACAGACGCGCGGCGGACGTCCGGGGAAATCCCGGCCTTGCGGCGGCGTGTCATTTAACCCTCACCTCCTCTTTGTTGCTGCTCCTTCCAGTCCGAACCGCCCTCATAGCGATCATCGGATTCATGCCGACCAAAGGGGAGGGCGCCATAGGATCCCTGGACTACACTCCGGAGGAGAGGAGGGCCCTGGCCAAAAAGTAAGATGTGTGTGTGTGTACAACGTGAATGAGGTGATGTCATCTTGCTCGCTGTCAATGGCGAAATTACACGGATGATGGTGTTCAGGCAGCATCAACACGCCGAACTCCACCCAAGCATGTAATGTAATCGCCACCTGAGCCCCCCCCTTCCAAATGTCCCCTCCGATAAGTCCCAACAAGTCCTGGGTTTGTGCTTTGACAAATTCATTATCGCCCAAATACCCGGAGTTACGTGAGGGGGGAGTAACCCCCCCCGGATGTTTCATTAGCACGTGGAGATGAGATGGACGCGCTTTGCTATAAATACGAAGATGCTCATCTTCCCTGGAGGAAGAAACCGTTCTTTCTTTTCACTCGGGCTGGGACAGGACTCTTCTGTTGGTTTTCTTGTTGGGGGGGGGGGGGCAGGGACATTCTCATTAGTTGTTTCTGTGCTCCTCTGCTGGAAAAGGAGGCTTCTGCACAGCGAGACTGAGATTCTTCAAAGTACCGTGATGAGGAAGCCGCCGGAGGTGTCGCTCGGCCTGTGATGTCAGCGGTGAAAAGAGGGGGGGGGGTTCATGAATGGATATGAAATGTTCAGTTAGTGGCGTCACCGTGGGGACATTTCATTGTCAGGAGACGAGCTGTCGCTGCATGTGCGCCGTGATATTAGCTGTTGAAAGTGCTGAGGACACAGTGGACTGACTTGATGGTCGGGACGCAGGAGGGACTCAAGTTATTTTCTGGGTTTTTGTGTTTGACTTTCTCCCAGTTAGAGTAGTTTGAGTTCAATTAATTCGTTATTGGTAAAAGTTTCTACACTATTTAATATTTATTAAATAGTTTGCTCGCGCACACACGCATTTTCTCATCACTTCTATTGAACCGCCGAAGTCGCCCCCTGGTGGACGTTAGAGAGAATGCAGCTTTAGTCCAAACAGACGCTTCCGCCTGCTCCGAATCCTCCGATCCATCTCACGGAATAGTAACAGTAAAAAGAACCAGTCGCTCGGATCGATGCCGCTCTCCAGTTTAGTCACTTTTTTCCGGTGACGTGGTGACTGCAGGCGAACGCCCATCTTCCTCTTCGCGGCACGTGAACAGAATCCAACTTTCTGTCCGACGAAGACACTGATTTGGATCATTTAATACTATAATTTATCCCCATGAGCGCGCTTCCCCCTCCTCTTCACATTTAACATCAGCCCATCGGCCGACGCAAGAGGCGGTTTAATGTGTTGCATCCTAATGTGGAGCTGCTGCCTCTCTTGGAGATGTTGTTGGTTATCTGAACCCTTTTAGCAGGTATCTTGCATGTGAATGCGCCACAGGTGTGGCAGGTTACAAAACAAAACGAGGGAGACGGCCAACCAAGCGACGCACAAACACACCGTGTCTACACACAGGTTTGACGCTGGGGTTTCTGCCAGGTAGAAACATGGGCAGCTCAATCTAATCTTTGCAGCTTCATAACCGAGGTGCCAAGTTACCGTTTGGCCGAGCGTCAAATGACAGTCATTTTTTTCCCTCTGGCACACGGATCAGCGAGCGAGGACACGCAGGCGACCAACTTTTGTAAAATGTAACTTTCAAGGGCCCGAATAATTCAGAGTCCTTTGTGTGGTTTCTCTCTCTCTGTTTGCGTTGATGGCGGCCGGGCGGCAACCTGTGATTCTGTCGAGTGACGCCGAGTGTCTAGAAGACGCACTAATTAACAACTAAACATGGGGAAATATTTCATAAAATTTGATTTAAAGAGACTTCAGAGATCCACAGTAACCCCGTTAAAGGATAAAAGGCACGCAACACGTCTCACAAATTATTTGTGAAAACGACGATTCAACTCCAGTGACCTTTTTAAAAATTTAGATCTTATAACCTCCCTGTTCCCAGTCGGCCTCCCCGCTGCCAACGAATCCATCAGTGATCTGATGTCAGAGCTAACGGACTCGGACTCTGATGGTTGTGTGGTCGGTGTTATGGATGAACCACTTTAACAGACAAATCAGCCGGGATCTCCCGCTCTATGGAACTGTTTATTTCCTGTGCCGTGACCTCTCCGCGTGCCGCCCGCAGGTCCCAGGACTTCAGCTGTGAGGCGTGCGGCTGCTCCATGCACTCCGCCCTCATGGCGCTGACCCCCAACAGCAACCCCAGCGCAGAGGACCCCGCGGCCACGGAGCTCGCCCAGCAGATCAATTTCAAGGTACGCCACAGCGGAACACCACGGATCCCTTGAAACGCCCCGAGCAGGGAAAAGGTCTGTCATCCATCACACGGGGACGATGTCATCGATGTGTGTGTGTGTGTGTGTTCACGCAGGCGGACTCCAGCTCCTCCAGACAGGCGAGCGAGAGCGGCGGAGCGGAGAGCGAGACCTCCGCGCCCACCGAGGGAGACGCCCCCTCACCTGCAGGAGGAGAGGGGTCCGATGAGCCGCAGCCGGTGGGTGTTCCGCTGTTTCTTTCCTTCGGCTGCACATTCCACCTCCACGGCGAAAACATTTCAAGAGGTTATGAGAAAGGTCCAGACCAGCCTCTGGCTGAATCGAATCAGAGCGAAGGATACGTCTCCCCCCGGGGGGGATTTCGGCTCCGACCTACACAATAATTTTGACATCTCGAGCTAAAAACTAAGTGACTTTGGTGGATTATTTGGTGGTTTTTGTACACACGTTTTTTGTTGCAGCGCTAAAGCTCCTTCACGTCACCGTGGTAACGGCCCGCTCCCCCCGCAGCTCTCCGTCTTCGGCCACTCCAGTAACCGTTCCCTGTCTCCTCCCCCACAGGCGGAGGCGCCTCCAGCCCCGGCGGTGGCGGAGGAGCCCCGCCCCCCCGCCGCGACCCCCCCGGCCGGCGCCGGTCGCCCCCTCAGCCCGCGGCAGCGCCGCGCCCAGCAGCACAGCCAGCGGGCCCCGAGCAGGCCGGTCTTCCCCGCCGCCCCCCGCCCGCCCCTGCAGGAGGGGAGCCGCGCCGGCTCCGTGGTCCTCATCGTTGTGCTCACGCTCTTCCTGGTTTTCGCTCATCTTCCGCCGGGTCTACCTGGCCAACGAGTACAAGTTCGACTACGAGCTGTGACCGCGCACTCTGCTGCCCCCTCTCTCTAGTCGACCCGCCTCCCTGCTCGCTGCCACCCAAACAGAACTATGGTCAGCCGCCGTGGGACTGGGGGAGGGACTCTTCATTCCTTCACCACAATACCTGCGGGATGACTTTTAAGTTCACTCTCTTCAGTGTTGACTGTTGTTTTTAATCTGGGAAGCTTCCAGTGATCACATGCCCCCCCCACCCCCCCTCATGTAAATGTACCGAGGATACGACTTTAATTACAACTATAATATAAGATGTTAACAAGATTAGGGGGGGGGGGGGGGAAAGTCACTAGGCCAAAATAAATTTCCGTTTGGGCCCAGACTCCTCGAGGCTCTTTTTTAAACCCCCTATCCAGTCTTTTTGGTCTTGTGGGGGTGTTTGGTATGAATATAACGACAGAGTTCTCCGGCTCCTCCAGGGTTCAACGTGATCTTCTTTAGACCAAGTGGGTCAGACAATTAATTAGTTTCCCTCCAGGATAACTGAAAGGGTCACGTTCAGTTAGTTTTGTGCACGTGCAACTCTCAACAGAAAGGAGGAGGAAGCGAGATGACCCGCGCCTTAGCGCTTCCCATCGGCAGCTGCGAATAATAAAAGCAATGCAGCGGTGAAACGGGTGAGTTACTGGAGTCACTTGCACCCCGAAAGGATCATTTTGTTCATTTCTATCATACAGCAACGTTGTGACTTTAACGGTCAAATATTAAATATATAGTATATAAATATACTCTACATTTATATAAATATAAATTCACTCTACATTTATATAAATATAAATGTAGAGTGAAGCCAGAGCTTTGTGTGTTAAAGCTGCGTTCTCTGTAGTGACCAGCAGGGGGCGACTCCTCTGCTCCCATAGAAGTCTATGAGAAAATGACTCCACTTCTCTCTTCATTTATTCCCTCAACATTGTAAACATGACTTTATCGTCTCAATCTCTGGTTTAAAGTCTTCTTCGGTGCAGCATGATGTTTTTAGTAGATTACGGTCTGTTCAGAGTCAAACAGACCACGAAGCAGGGGACGCTTTAGGGCGGGGCTACACGCTGACTGACAGGTCGCTGCAGTCTTTTTGTCAACTTCCTCGGGGGTCCAGTGAAGTGCGTTTTAAGACTCGTGTATTCGTGGTGTTACGGTGACGGTACTAAGAGAGCAGAACGGAACATCTCATTGAATTCTCACGTTTGATTTGATTTTTTAAAAGAACATGATACTCGTGTTATTATATATTATATAATTATAGTAGGTCTGCCGCATGTGTTCATTGTTTTTTATTATCTGATGCACAAAAGGAAAAGAGCAGCAGCTTTTTGATATTTGAAATTGTCACCTGGCGCCTGCATTTCTGTGTTTTTCCTTTTACATAAATAAAGACATTTAACGACACGGCTCGCTGCAGAAATCACCCAGCAGAAGGCAGGCGATTCATCGTTTGGCGCTCAAAATATCCGCCTCTTTATTTGCCTCCTCCCTCCTCTCCAGATGGCTATTTTTAACAGGAAGAATAATCCCTGGTGCTCATTAACAGATCAACGCGCACTGCTCCACCAGCGCGCGCGGTGACCGCTGTAATGTGGCGCCGGTAAAGCGACGCTCCCCCGCGCGCCCGGACACGGTATTATGAAGCCAGCTGATGGAAGCACCTGGAACTCCTGGCCGGTGTTTCGTTCGGATGGCGAAGCACTTTGTTTAAAAAGCGTGAATGCAATCGAATTGTGTATTATTCAAGCTAAATTGCCTCCATCCATTTTTGTTTTGTTTTGTTACAAAATTACTGGAAATCGTCAGTATTTAATGAGTTTTCGTTTTGACCAAGTTGCTCGTGAGGGGACCTTGCTCCACCCCCCCCCCCCCCCCTCCCTTTATGAACCCATCAGATCAGGTGGAAAATATTATGAGTATATAAAAGCCAGGAAGATGCAAAAGGAATTGAAGAACATCTGTTGTGTTTTCTTTCTGGCTATCCCACTAAGGACAAACTGCCATGTCTCAGCAGTGTGTCTGCATCTGACTCAAGAAGGGTAGAGGGGGCGCACGGGGGGGGAGTGCATGTGGAGCTGATGCAGCCTGCCCGCCTCTGACCTCAATAAGAGATACAAGTCCTCTCTGGGAGATATATGAGCGAGCTAATCAGACTACACCATACCCTTTTTGCTCCCTCTATCCTCTCTGGGCCGTGAAGCATTTGTAAGCCCCCGGGGCTCGCTTGCACTCTTTCTCTCTTCCTCGTTTTCGAAAAGAAAGATGGGAATCTTCGCCCCTTGCGCCCCGTTTCTGAAAAAAAATTTTTTTAGAAGGATTTTATTACTGATGAGACTGGCATAAACAATTTAAATCAATTATCTGCACAGCGGCCGTCGTAGCAGTTCGCTTATTGACAGCACAGTTGTTATTCTGCAGTTTTTATTAGTTTTTTTAGCAACATTCAAACGGTCTTGGAGACTTTGGACTAAACTCGCAACAGACTTTTCCATTTGCATGAGACTTGATTTGGACTCGCCACAGCCGATGTGACACCCGTGGGGAGAGTCGAGACCTGATTTTCACTTTCCCTGATTGCCTCACACCTTTTCTTTTCAGCATCTCCCCATCACATCACCTTTAGATTAACTTCCCGACAGAGAGCCTTCTGTGTTAAATCTACGACGTTACATTTGGACATTTCCTGAAGGAGCTAAAGCGCATCTATCTCCACAAGGTTTGTTGTCCAGCCCCGGAAACCTTCAACATGGGAATCCGTTCTCGTGTCAATCACTCAGCACTCGGCACTCACCCGGCTTTGTCAACATGCTTCGACTGGATAATACTTTTTAATCTCTTGAGATCAAAAACACTTGAAGTGACGGGACAGAATGTTCCTCAGCGTGCACAAGGACCCGAGTTGAGAGCTTAAGGACGTCGGGCCGACATTAATACTTCACAGTTTGACGGAGGTCAAAGGTCGAGAAGAAAACAATCACAAATCAACATCTCATCAGCGAGATGGCGGAGCCGGCAGCTGCTGGCCCACTTTGTGCTCCGTTCCACAGAGATGTGGTCCTTTCAGAGAGGAAACCCGGGCGTATCCCTCCGCCAGGTGCGTCCGCAGCGCAGTGTATCCCTCCGCCAGGTGCGTCCGCAGTGACCACTGCTGCCAGGTGGGACTGAAGTAACCCAACCACGATCGGCTCGGCCCTCACACACTCAGGAGGGTGTGAGCGGGCCGCCAGTAGTAAAGTGAGGAGTCAATGGTGGACTAGAACCGTTAACCTGTATCGGAATGTAAGATTAACATCACTTGAGTCCACTCGCGGAGATAAATAGGAGTAAACGGAAGATGAAAGGAGGTTAAGGCGCCGGCCAGTCGGCTGAGGAGCTTTCACGGGGCTTCTAAAGCTGTTTCACATCATCTGAGAACCCCTCTCTCGGGACTCCAGGCGGTTGAAGTGGAATCGGACCCCCGGAGCGAGCCAGATGCGGAGGTCTACGCGGTTTGACTGGATGCCTTTGGGCCACGCTGTCCTACACTGCAAAGTAAGCGTAATAAAGAATCAAAGCGCTTCCTTTATGAACAATATCAAATCAAGTGTAAAATACGATGCGTCTTTGAAACCAAGGAAGCTGCAACAGGAATTCAAGACCCCCTGTTGTGTTTTCTTTCTGTCTATCCTCTGAGGACAAACTGCCATGTCTCAGCAGTGTGTCTGCCTCTGACTCAAGAGGGGGAGAGGGGGGGAGGGGGGGGAGTGCATGTGGTGCTGATGCTGCGTGCCCGCATCTGAGCCAAATAAGAAAAAAAAGCCCCTCTGGAAGACCAATCAGCGCGCTCATCAGACTCCACCATCCCTCTCGCTCCCTCTCTCCCTCTCTCTCCCCGCAAAGCACTTGTTCGCGCACGGTCTCCCTCGCACTCTTCCTCCCTTCCTCGCCTCCGACAGGAAGATGGTACCGCGCACAGTGCGCCCCGCACCGGAACCGAAGGCGTCGCTCACCGACTCGCTGCGGGACTTCTGAACTCTCCACCATGCCCGGTTACGCGCGGCTCGCGCTGGTGCTGCTGTGCCTGGTGGCTCTCGGGGAGTGCAGGAGGCACAGAAGCAGGAAAAAGCGGTGGTCCGCGCCGGCGGACACTCACAAGCCCGGCAGGTGGGTACCGATCAAACAGGCGTTTTACTGACGTTTATCAGCGCGGCGCGTTTACGCACGACTCTGCGCCGCATGCGGAGTGCTGATCTCCAAGAACATCCAGGATGCATCCGGGCTGCATTTGATTTTTAGTCAGGTTGCGGCTATAGAAGGAACCGTCACATCGGTATTTGTGGGTTTATTTATTTATGGGATCCAAACCCGCCTTCGAAAACTTCTGCTGACAGATCCAGACGGCAGATGGAATCCTTAAACGCACTGTGGTGTCTTTGGCCCGAGGAGGCGCTGGGAGAGATCAGACAGCAGCAGCAGCAGCAGCTGGGGTTCTGTCCTCACGTAATGTGCTGGATTTATAGTACGAAACATGCACGGATTATTCCATTTCGTTTTTTAAAAAGGACTTCAGCCAATTAGTGAACTAATCTTCCTATTGTTTCCTCCTGCCATGGTTTTGTCTACATTTTGGGGGTTTTGTCTCTCAGTTAAACTGTTAATTGTCCAACAGTCAAAACCCCAAAATGTTTTATAAAGACAAAAAAAAATTTGATTAAATATGTATTTTTTAATAATAAGGCTACTAAGAAGATAAGGAATATAATTAAATTTCCCACAAACCACAGCAGAAAAAAATCCACAATACTCCACTGTATCGATACCTGTGTTATTAATTAATACCTAAAGTTTTAATCAAAGTCCCACATTTTATGTAGAAAAACAAATGGTTTTAAAATAAAAAACGCACTTGCTTGAAAAGTAAATTTAAGAACAGAAAATTAAAATCAAGGAAAGAAACATTTACATTATAACGTACAGGTACGACAAATCTAATCAAATCAACACCTCCACCTCCAACCTCCCAGCTCTAACTCCTCTCTCCCTTCTGCTGCTTCCAGCCCTCTTTCCAAGAAGGTCTCGGATGGAACAAAGTCGAAAAAGGTGAAGACCAGCCACCTCCTGCGCATAGACGAGCACGACTTCACCATGAGGCCCGCCTTCGCAGGTGAGTCCTGCCATCTTTGGGGGGGGGGGGGTTTGCGGCTGCAACCACGTCTGTGTTAATGTGGGAATATTATCTGCTGGGTCTTTAAAAGGCGAGCAACAAGAGGTCAGGGTTCAACCCTTTTGTTGAAGGTGAGTGTGATGCAGGTGGCGACTTCAGGTTCTGCAGAATGAAGCCTTAGCAGAAGTTGCATTCTCTGTAGTGACCACCAGGGGGAGACTTCTCTGGTAGCCTCCAGTAGGGGAACTCGCCCTACCCGAGGCTTATTACCGACAGACCACAAACGTCCACTTGTTGTCCACGGTTATGTGGTGTGAAGTGCACGTTGATGCCCAGCCGAGTGGAGGAAGTTGGTTTATTTTCCGGCCCACGTCATCTCAAGCGGGACCTTCGATCCACCCGATCAGAAGTCGCTGTATGAGCCATGTATTCGATTTGTGAGGGAAGTCCTGTAGGCCTCAGAGCAGGTGGTGTGTTGGTCAACGTATCCTCATGCAACGTTTTGTGGGATGGCTCACGAGAAAATTACTCAAATTTCCAGCAATTGATGGCAATAATCAATCCATGTTGCTGAATTGGAGAAAGAAGGAAACCGTTTTTGGCTGCGTTTTAAATTTGTGTTCCAACTGTTACGTGTACTGTGGACACAAGAGGAAAAAGAGTTACTCTTTAAAAACACCAATACTCAAGTAGAAGTAAAGTTAGTTATTGACACAGCTGATTAAATGATGCCGTTGAGGAATGAATAACTAATATATATATAATAATGATAAAGTGAAACGTTTTCAACTACAAATGGCCTCCTACACCCGAGCTTCGGCCGTTACCACAGATCCTTTAGGGAGCATAAACTACGCTTTAATCTACCAATCGTCTAGTTGACAAATAGAGATGACACTTCAAAGATCTGCAGTAACCCTGTTTAAAGAGAGAGGGCGAGTAGACGATTGAAGCCAAAGCGTCAGTGTCGTCAAAGCTGCATTCTCTGTAGTGACCAGCAGGGGGCGACTCCTCTGCTCCCATAGAAGTCTATAAAACAATGACACTAATTCTCACTTGATGTATTCTCTCAGTAAACATTGCAAACATGAGTTTATGGTCTCAGTCTCTAGTTTCAATTCTTCAATACAGCATGATGTTCATTTAGTAGATTATGGTCCGTTTAGAGTCAGTTCGCTGGTGCACTTTTTTATTTCTAACTTTTATTCCTTTATTTTTAATCTAACCCATAGACTTATATTCTAACCCTTATATTATATTATTTAATTTTATTCCTCTTGCACTACGTTGTCTTATCTGTCTTGTTGTCCATTGGCAGTCTGCTGTTATGCACCAACCGCCAAGTCAAATTCCTAGTATGTCTGATATATTTTGGTAATAAATGTTTTCCTGATTCCTGAAGAAGAAGAAGAAGAGTGGGACTTTCTTACTCAAACGTCATCACGTGTGTCCCCCCCCCCTCATTCCAACCCCCCACGGGGTCCTGAAGGACCCGACACAGAACGCATCCTCTCACTGGGATTCTCTGTTTCTAGCCGTAGCAGCAGTGGTGTCTAATGCCGTCTAATCCAGCCGGGGTAAACCAAGAGCGGTTTTGCAGTTGCTAATCCATGAAAATAGGAGCAGTGCAGCATCATTTAGTGAAATGGATAAGTTGTTTTTTCTGCCCCTCTTCCACACATGTGTTGAAAATGACGTAAGGATGGTTCAGTCAACTATCGCACGCCCAGAGCGACTGCAGGGGACTGTCGATGGATACCTGCAAGGTCTTTTTAACTTAACTGGGAGTTAGCTTCGGGAACAGAGCGCGGCTCAAGCTGACATCACTGACTGATCACTCACAAGACTAGCGAGGTGATATAAAATGTATTCAGACAGTTTCTCACTTCCTGTGGTGGAATCTTTCCATTCAGATAGTTTGGGTTATATGTGTTCATTTGTAGAGAGATGTATGATCCCGGTACTAAACATACAGAGCAGCAGTTGATGTTGATATTGATCTTGTAATATCAAAAACTGAATCACACTGAACAATTTCCTTGAAGGCTGCAGCAGTTTTTCAAATAATATTTGACGGTATTTGATGCTTTTATTAGATATTGGACAGTGTAGACATGACAGGAAATTGGGAAAAGAAGGTTCCCTGACAGACATAAACTGGGATACAGATTCTTATTTTAATGAATTAAATCCTATTTATAGTTAATATTATGTATCAATTAATTTATTTACAAATGTACAACATAATTTTACCCATTTTAATATTTATTATGCATTTTTATTATATCAAACCTGGACACATGAAAGTCTGGGACAAGTCGGTTCGTGGTGATTTGACTAATTTGGCGTAGAATATGCGCCACCTTCTTATCAGAGTCCTAACAGAAACGAAAAGGGCCTCGAGGCCCGGGTCTCGTCGATGGGCCCTACATGAAATATTCTGTACAAATCTATTTCTCACACTTCAGACTTCCAGTGAAGCGGTCCAATCTGGGGAAATTCATGATGTTTTATGGGAAAATTATGAGTAAGCTGCAAAAGGTCTGCTGTGCACATAATGAGCACTTGAAGGAACAGAGGGGCGCCGGGGGGGCAAACTCATTCTCCTCAGGCGGCTGTTGGATGAAAACAGCCTCGGGGAACTGGCCCTTTATTTCTTTATTTCTACTTTGCTGGATGCCTGCTCAGAAAGTTTCATTAGTTTAGCTTAAAGCAGAAAAACTCGACAAAAACCTGCCTCCCCGAGGGAAATATTCCTCCATAGCTTAATTTTAATATGCCTGAACATATACTGGTAAACATTGGAATAAAAGTCCCTCCCTGAGACTGAAATCCTTTCAATTTATCACAGTTAATGCTCCCCATGTATCCCACCAGTGTAACTTTCTTAATTAGACAAGTTATGAAACGTCCCCCACAGGGAAGTGAAAGCCAAACAGTGATTCTAACAATTAGCCTAATAAAAAATTCAGTAGCTGGATAATTCCCCCACAAGTAACTAATAAAGTTCAGATCACATCGTAAATGCATATGGATTGGGTGCTTTTGTCTTGGCTTCAAACGCTTCGGCGATTATTTCGTTATAAGTAGTCAAACGTGGCGTTTGAACGAAATGTTTTGGGGGAACTCTCTCGCCCTGCGGTTGGCCTCCGGGCCGTGGCGTCAGCCTGGTGTCACGTCCACCGAGGAGATCGAGCCTGGCTGGACTCCGGCCGGTGATGCGTGACATACGGCGTGCGAATACGAGCGGCGAGGACGCTCCGCCCGGCAGCTGGAACTGGGCACTGAGTCGGCGTCCCCTCTTCCAGGTTGCGTAACGCTGGCAACACTCGCTGCCCGCTCAGATTAGTGCTACAGCCATCAATGTGGCTTTAATACACCCGTGGCACAAGAAGGAGGGGGGGTGCTGCTGGTGATAAGGCCGCTAGGATCCTCGTCTATCTAACTCAAGAGAGCCACTCTCCACAGAAGCTCCCCTCCCGCTTCGTCATAGTCGATTTAGTTTATAGGGGTTCCACAAGGTTCTATACTGGGTCCCGTCCTGTTCCCAGTTCGTATTATGTTACATTTAAATTTCACATCGACACTCTGAATTCAGGGCATGACCTGAATTATTGCTATTTTAATGGCAGCTGAATGAAGGAATGTGCAGACATTGGAAGAAAAAATGGGGAAAAAGGTTTTGCATCTGATGTTAGAACCTCGTCATCTTCCAGGAGATATCTATATATCTGTTTTGATCTTCCTGGTTCTGAGTAGGTACATTAAAATTAAACTGTGTGTCAAGTTTTCACATTAATATAAATCTTTTTCAATATAACCAGGTCACACATGCCTGATCTTCTTATTCTTTAAGTCTCTTTAAAACAAACCGAGATAGTTAAGGGGCCTGAAATATTCCCTCTGATGTGTTTCTGTGTGATGTGTGTCTGTGTGTCTGTGTGATGTGTGTCTATGTGATGTGTATCTGTGTGATGTGGGTCTACGTGTCTATGTGATGTGTATCTGTGTGATGTGGGTCTACGTGTCTATGTGATGTGTATCTGTGTGATGTGTGTCTGTGTGTCTGTGTATCTGTGTGATGTGTGTCTGTGTATCTGTGTGATGTGTGTCTATGTGATGTGTCTCTGCAGGTCCGGCCGTCCCCGTCGGAGTGGACGTTCAGGTGGAGAGCTTGGACAGCATATCGGAGGTGGACATGGTGCGTAGCTTGGATGTGTTGAAGCCGTACGATACACACACTGAGTTCAGGGGAACAGCGGCTTTCAAATGGATGATTTTTAAGGGTTCGTTGAAAGAACAAATGTTTGAAGATCCTCCCGGCCAAACCTGGATGGTTCTAGTCACCACATTTGTTTCAGTGTAATGGAAACTCTATTATTGCTTAAACAATTTATTGATTCATTTGAAGCGTTAAATGATTGGCCACCTATGTTGGTGATTGATTGACCACTTTGAGATATTCTTTACAGAATAAAAGAAAACATCTTAAATGTGAGTGTTTTCTGTAAACTGAATATCTTTGCACATTGGAAAAACCAAATCCATTTGATGACATCTTATTTGACATTTTACAGACAAATTAACTAGCCGGGTAAACAAATTACTGCCAGATTAGCTGAAAATGAAAATAATAGTTATTTGAACTGCTCTTGTTTTTAGAATAAATTCTCTTTGGGCATAAAACATACATGACTTGGACTATTGTCTAGTCTCTTGAAAGCAGACGCCAACAATCCACTCAAAGTAATGAGAACGTGGGGAAAGTCTTACGCGTGACGTAATCTTCAGACCCACTATTCCAGTGGATTATGTTACTGGTGACAAACATAACACAAAAAAAATCCGTGACAGCCGTGGAAGTCGCTGACTTTGACAGATGAGCTCAAGCTGCCTGGACACATGGGGGGGGAAGCTCCCGCGAGCCAATGAGGCAGGAACCCTCGTCATTAACAGCACGACAATGAACACATGAGCACAACCGCGGCTAAATTTACCGTGACGGGCGTCGTCTCAATCCAATTTTTTAGATTTGACTCAAGAGGAACATAGACACCAGAGCCCGAACATAGTTCCCAGTAATCCGCCGGCCCTTCATCAGATATCCGTGTTTGGTCTCCTGCGCTTTGGACGGACGGATGAATGTAACCTTTTAGTTGTAGTCGTTTAGCTGTTGTTCTCAGTTGGATTATCAGAATCAGATTATGGAAGCTCAATGGCAGGAATTGTTGATTTTGCTGAGTAATGTAATTAAATCAACCTTCTGTTCTGCAACCAAAAATTGGATCTGAAACCGCCGTCCTGATGTTGTGTAAGCTCCGGTCTGCAAGGACAACCGAGGATTACTTTTAATTTGGAACCCAGTGTGTATTTAATTGTTTTTTTGGGGGGGTGGTGAATGATTCCGGACGGCGGCTGCTCTTAATGACATTATGTCATATCGCAAAGCTGCAGGAGGTTGAACACCAAACAATTTTATGCTGTTTGGTTTAGAGGTTAGTATGGACAACGTTTTTCTAAATATATCACTGACTATATTTAACTCTGCTATCAGTGTACCTGAACACGAGGAAAGAGTAGAAAACTAACTCAATGGAATCAATCTGCAGCTGGAAAGACTCCAAGTTACTCCTCCGTCGTCGCAAATGAGATAATCAACTTTTCCTTTCAAGTATTTCAGGGATCATGCAACAAGAGGTGTCACAAGAACATGCAAGTAGTAGCTTGTTGTTTTTCACATAAGAAACATGCTTGAATTGGCGTGATGAAGAATGCAAAAGGCGGCACAAAAACAACTCTCTGGGCAGACGGGATCTCATTAGAAATGTGACCTCGGGGAAACACCGTCCGTCGGCTTTGAATATGCTTGAGCACCAAACACCGTCATGTCCTGCTGCTTCCGTGCTGTCCCTCCGTCAACTGCAGCTTGATCCGGGAAGAGCGGTGCAGCCGGGTCGACTTCCAGATGTTGGGTCAGCCTGTGGCCCTATATGTCCGGGGACACAGTGTCTCCTTCCTTCCATCAGAAGTTCCGCTGTCTGGCTTTAAGAGATTCATCTTGCAAGACCCTCAAAATCAAATTTCAAACAGCTAATATGCTTGCAGTCATATAAAGAATTAAGGATACTTTAAGATCACGGGACACTCAAAAACCTCTGTCATTCGTAAACTTACTACACTCCTCGCTGGCCGATTCAGAGCTGCCGATGAACTCGTCGTCTTACGCAACATCAAAGGTGATTTTATGGTGAGGGCCAAGAGCACATGTGTGTGTGTGTGTGTTCTGCAGCCATTATTCCAAACTGATCTGGTCTTATGCAATGCCACGAGGAGAGCGGGATAGAGGCTGATCTCTGCAGCCGAGGGGGGGGGGGGGGTGCATAGCAACAAGGGCTGGAGGCGAGAAAGAGCGGGTACTCTAGGACCAATGGAAGCTGGGGATTGAGTGCAGTTAACATATGTTCAGCACCTCTCTTGACCGTGTATGTTAAGTAATCACGCAGCACTTTAATCCCACAGGAATTCAATAAAGCAAGAGAACCTCATAGTGAGCCTTTACTTGTCGAAACCCCCCCCCCCAACCTCCCCAGGACTTCACCATGACCCTGTATCTGAGGCACTACTGGAAGGACGAGAGGCTGGCCTTCCCGAGCGCCACCAACAAGAGCATGACCTTTGACGGGCGCCTGGTGAAGAAGATCTGGGTGCCCGACGTGTTCTTCGTCCACTCCAAGAGGTCTTTCATCCACGACACCACCACTGAAAACATCATGCTGCGAGTGTTCCCCGACGGCCACGTCCTGTACAGCCTGAGGTGAGGCTCCACCCCCCCCACACCCCACCACCCTAAACCACCCGTGATGCCGTCTCAGGGCTTTTTCTCTCGCTGACCAAATTTGACTTGGCAGGCCGCGTTGCTGCATGCACAGAGCTGGTGATGTTTACGCTCTGCCCCCCCTTCCCTCCCCCCCAGGGTTACAGTGACTGCTGCATGCAACATGGATTTCAGTCGTTTCCCTTTGGACTCACAGACGTGCACGCTGGAACTGGAGAGCTGTAAGTACACCACCATGCACCACCAAGAACACAGGCTGCGTAAGGCGTCTTTGTGGCATAGCAGACTTTTAGCCGGCAACATCTTGGCCTTTTGCAACCAATGAACAGAGGCGAGATATAGACGCTCTGCACGCCTCTGATAGCAACCTGCCAATCACAGCAAGCCTACCTCTTGATGTGTCTACCAGAGCCGCATACGTGTCTGTCCAAACATGCTCACTTCTGTTTGCTGGTTGCAAAAAAACGGCAAACGACGGCCAAAAGCTCATAATAGAGGCTTCGAATACGCAGTCGATGAATATACCTATATATCTCACGTCATAGAGTCCATGTTTATGCACACCTGGTGCATCAGACATGGTTAGAATAAAGGATGCTTTCGGTTGCAGGACATCCTCACACACTTAAGCGCATATCCTGTCTCCATCCTTCAGATGCGTACACAGACGAAGACCTGATGCTCTACTGGAAGAGCGGCGACGAGTCGCTGAGCACCGACGACAGGATTTCTCTGTCCCAGTTCCTCATCCAGAAGTTCCACACTACCTCCAGGCTGGCCTTCTACAGCAGCACAGGTAGACCACGCAGAGCCGCCCTCAGCGCGCTACCTTTTCTACAAGGCTGACACACCCAACAGGACTGCTCCTACAGGAGCTCCAGAGACCTCCGGCTCACTGTTTGGCAATTAGTATGCAGTCTTTTTTATTCCGATATTAATATGAACCTAAACAGAAAAGCACCTTAGACGTATCCCGAGGCCCTGTGTTGTCGAGGGGCTACTTGTCAGGATCTGCTTTTAGTACCAACAGTTTTAATGATGCTTACATGGTGCACATTCCTAAAAGAAAGTCATGTTTATAAAAGCATTACCAAGTTGGAGAACACTCGGGCTCTCTGCTGACGGCTTAATCACGACCTGATATTAAAGAGGCTGAACTAATTGTGTTGTGACATGAACTTATGTCTAATGCCAAATACTTATTTCTTCTTTGCACTGTGCAAGAACATTTAATGTTCCTGTAGCTTTGCAAACTTTTCCAAAGAACAGGTCTTTGGCTTTTTAAACCAACGTGCTCCTTTTCTCTGACTCCAGTGGTCTGAACTTCCTCCTCGGTGCAGAAACCTGAACATTGTTGTATCTTTATTTTCCTCCCCCCCCCCCCCCGTGGCAGCGCTGTGTGGGATCATCTCAAGGCGTTTGAAAGCCTCATCCCTGTTTGACACTTCTGGTCTTCTCTAAGCCACTTCAAAGTCAAATTTATTCCAAATGTTATCTGTAATCAGGGCTCTCCGCGGTCCTGAGCGGCACGGCTGAGTGTTGTACTTTTGGTACCTTTTAGTTAGCGACGGAAATGACCTGTAATCAAGTGTTAAGGAAACGTTTATCATGTTGCTTGCGTGAAGATAGCCGTTTCCATGGTAGAAAACGGTGCTACTAAAGGAGTGAAATAGTTACATATATTAATAATATTAATAAATATATAAAAGCTGAAAGCTGGTTCTGAGTGAAGCTTTCAGTAAAAGCTCTGAAAATAATTGTTTGGCTTTGCCCAATGAGGTTTTACTCAACCCAGTGAGATTAGCACTCGATCCAGAGAAAAGCCGTTCCTCTGAGAAATGTTTTTGTAACTCAGATACTGGAGCACTAATGTGGAAAAAAAAAACACCTTTTGGGCTATTTTAACATATTTCTCGTATTCCCCCCCCTCACTGTCCTCTGGTACCTTACTTTGCTCTGCGTCACAAATGTTTTTATCCGATCCAATTATCTCTTCTCCGTTTAGATGTTTTTCTGTTTTGTTTTATAGGCCAATGCAGATTTCCATCAGCCCAGAGCAGATCAGTTCATTCCACCTGGCTGTTGTTTGTTCTAGTATCACTTCTGTTTTCCCTCTGAGACATAAAAAGAACAAACACTCGTTATTCTGCCTCCCCTCCCCTCTGTCTCCAGGCTGGTACAACCGTCTGTACATCAACTTCACTCTGCGGCGTCACATCTTCTTCTTCCTGCTGCAGACCTACTTCCCCGCCACCCTGATGGTCATGCTGTCCTGGGTGTCCTTCTGGATCGACCGCAGGGCCGTCCCCGCCAGAGTCTCATTAGGTAACGCGACCGCCGCCCCGCTCGCCCCGGAAGCGGCGCGACCTTGAACCGGGAGCACGACCCGGTTAGCACAGCAGAACCCCAGAGGCCCCCAGAGAGAAATGTCCAACATTTAGGGAAGATCGGTGCATATCGGATGTCCGCGTTGAGTATGGAGTCAGGACGTGGTTAGCCTAGCTTAGCATAACCTTTACCAGCCCCGGTGAAGCTGTTCAACTCCTTAAAAATGACCACATCAGCATGTTTTTCTTCCCCTTTCCCTTTTGTTCTCTGTGCCCAAGGTATCACCACGGTGCTCACCATGTCCACCATCATCACCGGAGTCAACGCCTCCATGCCCAGGGTGTCCTACATCAAGGCCGTGGACATTTACCTGTGGGTCAGCTTCGTCTTCGTCTTCCTCTCCGTGCTCGAGTACGCTGCCGTCAACTACCTGACGACGGTGAGGGACGGTAAAGACCGCAAGCTCAGAGAGAAAGCCAGGCAACAGGTACCTTCCTTACAAAAAAACACACCCCCACGTCTCCCAAAACGGCGCCAATTCACTACTCATTCCATCGGGATTTTCTCTTTTTGCTCAGTCGGCAGCTCAGACGCTCCCCTGCACCTGCGGCATGTCCCACGCCAGGACCATGATGATGGACGGCACGTACAGCGAGGCCGACGCCAACAGCCTGGCGGGGTACACGCGGGGCTCCATCGTGCCCGAGGACTCCTCCGAAAAGCAGGAGCGCATGGTGGTGCGCCTCTCCATGGACAACGAGGCCGCGGGGACCAAGAAGAAGGGCCTCCGAGGCTTCCGGATCATCCAGAACACCCACGCCATCGACACCTACTCTCGCATGATCTTCCCCGGCGCCTACATCCTGTTCAACCTGGTCTACTGGTGCGTGTACTGCTGAGCCTGGAGCATTGGAGGCGAAGCGGGACAGAAAACGGAGGAATCCTTTTGGTCACCTGAGAAGATGGAGGTGGGGATTGGGAGGGGGGGGGCAGCTGTTTCTACTCTGCACGTTCAGGTGAAGCGACGTGGATGGTAAAAGCATCTCAGAGGCTTCCGAGTGTGAATATCTCAAAAACTGTGGCCCGCGTGTCCCGGCGGGACGGGACCACTTTTTTTCTCCTGCTTTACATGATTACATCACGAGCTCATTCTTGTTCAATCCCCATTCAATCGAGAAGAGAAGAGGGACGTTTCCCAGCTCGAATCCAGCGGCTTACGGAATCCATTAGATACATTCTTGTCCAAAAGGGTTTAAGTCCACAAAGGTGAAAACAGTTCTGACTCTTTGTATCTCACTATTCTTTTCATGAATAAATGTTGTGCAGTTTGAATAATGGAAACTGCTGGCCACGATAAGCTTTCAAAAGACATTTAAGCGCAAGAGAAAAAATAACTGTTTTAGGATTATAGAGCCTCCCCCCACCTCGAAATCTGCTTACTATTAAAAAGCCAGACCCCAAAAAGAAAAGTGACACCATACGAATGTTTTAAAGCGTTTGTTGCCAATCTTCCATTTGTCTGCAGCTTTTTTTAATATATCATTTATGGACACTTTGGCATTAAAGCCCAGAGGCTCTGAAAGCGATAAAGGCTGCGCGTCGCTTGATGCTCCTGTGACGCACGGTCAGAACCAGCAGTGTTATTGGAAAAAATGCTGCACATTATACGTCTTTTTGTATATTACCCATAAAATACTATGATAAAAAAATGAAAGTTTAGCTTATTCGTTATGTGAAATTGGTGTCATGCAAATCCATCACTCTGTTGAAGTGTGGACTGGTGGACAGAAGTAGTGACAGCTGATGTGACCTCTAGCCGGCCAAGTTCGTCACTTTAACCAGTCGCGTGTTTATTAATCAATAGCTATTATTCTTTTGTACATTATCATCCTGTATCTGGAATAAATTAAATTTGACGCTGAAAAATCGAAACAGGCTCGGAGCAAAGGAGCAGAGCCTCTTCGGGAGCCAACGTCGACGCCACGCTACTGGAGACCCACAATGCATTGCTGGAGCCTTCGGAGCGAAGGGAGACCCGGGAGAACTAGAACCAGGACTGGGAGGGCCCTGGTGCACAGAAACACTACCACTTCTGTCCACAGGGGGCGGCAGACTCACAGTTCACTACCGAACATTGAAGTAAAATGTACATTTCTTTGTAATGTTTCGTTCATAATGTGAAGGAATGGTAGTTGACCGGTCTGGAATAAGACTAATGATGCTTCACATCGAGCTGAAAAACAAACCATGGACAAACAACCCCAAAAAGTTTCCGCTATTGTGTTAGCTGACAGTTGGCTACTTACACAATTGGTAGAAAACGATCAACATTAATGTGGTTTTGGACGACACAAACAATATTAGTCAAATTGTATTCTCCTGAGAAATAGCTGTTTAATGGAGCGCGGCGCGTCGGTGTTGTGGCTATTTTAAGTGGCGGAGCTTTGCACATCTGTCCAACTGAGACTATTGGACTATTAGCTCTGACTGCGAGTCAACGCTTTGTTCAAACCAGCCAGACTTCTCTGAACACGCTGTTTCTTCAAGATAAGACTTAAGATAAAAGTAAGAAGAGCAGATTATTTTGGCTGTCGTTTCCTCTGTAACTTTGGGATCTCAGTAACAGAGACGTCCAGAGCAGATGGCTAATGAGGCAGTAAGTGTGTTAAATACCAGGCTGTCTTCCCTTAACAGCACCACAGAAACAAATTTAAAGTCTCGGTAAATGCTATGTATTTCTCGTGGACTACTGTTGACATTTACGATGATTCAAGCGAAGCCGGGATTAAACCGGATCCTCCTACCGTATGGGGTCGTTAAAAGCACTCCACACCCCTGTTGCTCAGTGAAAGTCTTTTCTTTATTCATGTATTTACAGCATCTTCATTCACTAACTTTTTTTGGAGTTTGATATTTATTCATCTATCTTTAGTGCAGCGATGGATCCATATGCCTATAGACCTTAAGTTGGCAAAGATGCACAAAACGGGGCTTTTACAGAAACGGCTTGATGCACGCTGCAGGAGAGCATGTGTATTTCTTTGAAAGGACTTCATAACACAGGAAGCTTTACTTGTGATTTGACCGCCTTAACTCTTTTTTTTTTGTATACACCAACATGTGTTTTTGTTTGTTTTATTAATTTATTCGTTGCGTAAAATGAGTGACTGCGTAGTTTGTTTTGGAGTTTTCTGATCACAAAGCAGTGTTTCTAAAGCAGATTCCACCTAGGACGGAATACAACATTCTAAATCAGTTGTTTGATGTTTTGTGAAATGAACAAGGCGAGAAAATGTAAATTATACATCAAACAGAAATGTACAAGAGAAACCTGACTAGAGGCCGCAAGTGAACACGAAGTCAGAGCAATAGACTCCTTTTCTGTAAAAAGACAGGAGGTCGCTTCTGGATGGAGCGTAGATGGAGGCAGAACAATGTTCTCTTAAACCATCGTGGCAGCTTGTGTAGCTCCAGCTTTGGCTAGTTAGCCAACTAGTTTGTCCAGCTCCAGAACTTGTCAGTTAGTTAACTAGCTTGTATATTTCCAGGACTTGCTAGTTAGCCTACTAGCTTGTATATCTTCTGTACCTGATAGTTAGCTTACTAGCTCGTCCATCTTCAGACCTGTAGCACGTGAAGTAGCCAGACTGCTAGTTAGCTTGCTAACTCTTCTAATCTACTGGGGTACAGCAAATAATCATCCATTTAATAGTTAAACCTATTAGTAATATTACTATACTTCTCTCTTTAAATGTAGGTATGTAGTTGTGACGTCTGAGATGGTTTAAACCATGAGAAACTATTTTATGGCGAGCTGGCGAACCACCTGTTTGACCTTGGCACAGATATGAGAGCGGTAATAACTTTGAGAAAAAAACAAACATGTTTTGCAATATGTCAAACTACTCTTTTAAACCAAGGTTGGCACTTGCTTAGTAATCTTTTCAGTAACCGACAATGCGCTTCAGCTTCAAGGCAAACATCACTTGCCACAACTAAAGGCTATTTTCTTTTTTTTAAATGTATTACAGGTACATATTATTTTGAAAAGAAACTCCCATAACAGCAAATTTAGAAAAAAAAAAAAAAAGAAGCTCGCTTGCGGATCCGTCTTCTTCTAAACTTTCATCCCTTTCACTTCATCTTCAGAAAAAAAAAAATTCAGAATGTAATGCTCTCACGGCAAATTTCATAAATAAAGACTTTCTTTCACACGTTTAAACGAGTCCTGATTTTTAGCTTTTGAAGGTTCCACGTATCCGACTTGAGGCCACGACGTCGTCACTCCGGTTTTCTAATGACAGCGTCATCTAAGAAGCAGCCGTACCGAAAAACATTCACAACTTCCAAGAATAATGTATTGGACACAATCTTCCTGCATGACGCACATCTGTCCTTAATCCAGATTTTAGAGCGCACTCTGGGTCCATCTAATCCCTAAATAAACAAATCACGACAGATTTGCCTATGCTACCACTACTTAAAAATAAAACAGCACTGCAGCAAGTGAACTGATCCCACAGTCCAGTCCTTGTTGTTCATTAATGCATCTGCTGCTTGAAGGTAACCCACTGACTCATGTTCTAATACGTCTGGCTGTGGCTCGTACCCGGGGGCACAACCCCATGACGTCCGCTGTGGCTTTTAACATATTGTGTCTGGGATGAAATAATAAAAAATAAAAAATTACACACGTTTCTTTGAAAAGCCCCCCCCCAACCGCCCCGGACAGTTTACAAATCCCTCCGTGTGCAGAGCCGACAGCTCTGGGTAGTTTGCTTGGACTCGAGCAGGAAGGAGATGGATCAGATTTGATGAGCCTGAACCTGAAGTAGGGGTCATGGGCACCATTTAACGGGTCACCATCAGCGTTCACTAAAAGCGTCTGTGACTGATTTGATGCTCTGAATGTCGCCCTCATAAACGAGGCCTACTCAGGTAGAACGTTTTGGGACTGGGAATATCCGTTTCAGTCACTTAGACCCATCTACGAGCAGAAATCCAATGAGAGCAAAAGCCAAAAGAAATAAATACGAAGGACCAGTAGAGAAATGTGTCATCTCCTCCCCTGTTAATTTAATGGAAGTTATCTTACTTACTTATAGAGACAATCTATTCATCAACATTGGTGGGCAGTGTATGGTGAATTTATACCAATTCACAGTCATTTAGTTAAAGTGTACTATTATTATATATTTGACATTTTCACCATGTAGGTAACTGAAAACAACGGGACGGTAAGAAAATGTTTTTCACAGACTACCGAATGAAAACAGCAACGTCAGCCGTAGCCGATTATTAGCCGGAGCTCAACAGTTGGTGTAAATTCTGTCATGTGAACTCCTTCTGAACCCTGAACTGTAGGAGTGTAAAACGCTCCGTGGGGTTCTGCTGACATCTGCTGGACATCCTGCTGGGAAAACCATGCGTCCACATCGACGTGCGGAATAACTGGCACATTTTTATGAATGGCATTTACAAACCAGGGCAAAGTTTTTATCTCTCTAGAAAAAAAAACGCCGCATTTTGCAGGGGCTTAAAATATAAAGGAAAAAAAAGAGTCATCATCAATGCACCATAAAAGCTGTAAAACCACCTGATATTAACGATAATAGAGCGAGTACAACGATGCGCGTGGTAGCGTGAGGCCAGTATCTCTAAGAGAAATTCTCCTGTAAAGAAGGAAATGAATAATGGAAGAAATAAGTAGAGCACATCTCTCCAGTTTTTATTCTCTCCTGAATAAAAACACTTCCAGTACAGTTGGTATTGTGTGATAAGTAGTGTATTTTGTTAATGTTAGCAAACATTTGATGTTTTTCTCCCTCTTTTGGTTTCCTTCCACTCGGTTAATTCGCCTGAAGATAATGTCTTTAAAGGGAACTGACTGAAAAAAAACAAAAGGAGAGACACGCATTTGAAGACCTTGAGATGCATTTGAAAGCTCCAACAAAATCACTTAAAAAGTATAAAAGCATTTTGAAAACAGTGATTTAAAACTAACTATATCAATTCTAGTTGCAGACTATGACTGGCTTGTTCGGAATAGTTGTTAATGCCATTTAAATGTTATACTACAGTAAAGCACAACAGTTTCTATGACATTTTAGCAACATACTACACTATGAAGTAGTCTATAGTATTTGTTATCATATTGTACTGTCGCATTTTTATGATACTTTTGATGACATTTTTTGTTACAATTTGTATGAGAAGTTACAGGACACCACGTCAAAACATGAGACACGTCAGACACACACACACGCCTGTTTCTCATCACCAAGCACTCACCTGCGTGCACCCTCACATCAATGCGCCCCCTGTGGTCAACACCAGATCTGCACGTGTAGATTCCTCCATGTATTTAAATGAGAAAACAAACAGACTAAATGTTGGAGGCAGAAGGAGACGAACAATTCACTACATATTTAGCCAATAGATGAATGTGACGATGGGCAAAACCCTTCCAAAAAAGATGGAGGCAGGGCAGGGAGGAAGAGGTACAAGCCAGTGGCCTCCACCTGCTCCGGCTTCGCTGCGATGTAAAATGTCTCTGTTCGGGACTTCTGCCTCCCTCTGCCTGACCTTCTTCTTGTGGACCGTTAAGGTCTTCAGGCTCTGTTCCCTCTCAGCGCTCACCTCGAGTTCCTCCCTCTCGCCCTCCATCTCCTGCTCCTTTCGCTTCCAGCCACAGACTTTCTGTTTCAGGCCCCCTGTGACTCGAACCAGAGCTCTGCAGCTCGCACGCAGGCCTCCTTCTGTCTCAGCAAGGTTCTCCCTAAACTTTGCCTCGAGGTCCTCCATCTCGTCCGTGACCTCCTGCTCCCTCTGTTTCCAGACCTGGTTTCTCTGGTTCAGTTCCGTTGTGACCTGAACCAGAGCTCTGAACCTAGCATCCGGCACATGGGTCCTACGCCTCCCGACCTCCTTCTCCTCGCATTCCCGCTGGCTCCTCCGCTGGGCCGCTTCCAACTCCTCCGCCTTCAGTTTGAGGCTCTCCTTGAGACGGGCGATTTCGGCTGCGGATTCCTCCTCTTTTCGCTCTTGGAGCTCCAGCCGGCTGCAGGCGGAGGCCTTTTCACTGACTGAAGCCTGCTGCAGGTGAGTCAGAGACTGTACTTGTCTGTCAGCGCGCGTGAGAGCGCCTTCCAGATTGAAGTAGAGAGCAGGAAGTAGGCCTCCGGGGACCCGCACGCCGTCTCTTCTGGCCATGGTGTGGAACATTGTCCGCAGCCCACGGAGGATCATCTAGCGTAGCGGTGATCAAAGAACTGTCCCGTACATGCTTTTTGGAGTAGACTGAAGCCCAGCAGAGGTTAAACCCGCCAGTTCCCCCCGATAGACCTGACAGACACAACCTGGTCTTGTTGAAGTGAATCCTGGAATGAAATGTTTGGTTTAGAATCTAAACTTTAGAAGCATCCAAGTTCCAGAATCAGACGCCCGAGTCATCACATTCTGATGTCATCACATCCCCAAAGAGAAGCACAGTCGGTTTCTCATAGACGTCCAGAGGACCATGAGGAGACCACCGTGTGCTCCTCTGGAGCTCCTCTGGTCCTCCAGACGTCCCTCGCTTGATTTATTCCCTCAGTGCACTTTGTAAACATGAGTTTATGATCTCATTTAGTCTTAATCTTCCATACAGTCAGATTTACTCAGATTTTGGAAGAGAGAGACCCACGCAGCGGGGGAGTGAGAGAAACTAACGAAAGGGAGAGACAGCTTAGGAGAGAGCTAGGAGAGAGAGTTAGGAGGGGGGAGAGGAGGGGGAGAGAGAGTCAGTAAGGGGGGAGAGAGAGGAGGGAGAGAGCGAGGAGAGAGAGTGTGGAGGGGGAGAGAGGAGGGGGAGAGAGAGAGATGAGGGGGAGAGAGAGCGAGGAGGGGGAGAGAGGTGGGGGGGAGAGAGAGATGAGGGGGAGAGAGAGCGAGGAGGGGGAGAGAGAGCGAGGAGAGACCAGTTGAGCGAGGAGGGGGAGAGAGAGAGGAGGGGTGTGAGAGAGAGAGGAGGGAGAGAGCGAGGAGAGAGAGCGAGGAGGGGAGAGAGGAGGGGGAGAGAGAGAGATGAGGGGGAGAGAGAGCGAAGAGGGAGAGAGCGAGGAGAGAGAGAGCGAGGAGGGGGAGAGAGAGAGGAGGGGGGAGAGAGAGAGAGGGCGAGAGGAGGGGGAGAGAGAGAGAGAGAGAGGAGGGAGAGAGAGCGGAGGGGGGGAGAGAGAGTAGGGGGGAGAGAGAGAGGTCGAGAGGAGGGAGAGAGAGATGAGGGAGAGAGAGAGGAGGGGGGGAGAGAGCTAGGAGGGGGAGAGAGAGCGGATGGGAAGAGAGAGAGGAGGGGGAGATAGAGAGGGCGAGAGCGGAGGGGGGGGAGAGAGAGAGAGAGAGAGGGAGCGCGCGCGCGTTTGTTTTCACTCGAAGTGTCTCTCGCTCGACGCGCAGCTCGCGAGCTTGTCGGAACTTAACTGTCGCGTCGCTCTTCGTCTCCGATGTGAGTCTCTCTTTTCCTTATTTGTAATTGACGTCATTATTTATTTGTTTTGTTTAGTTGTTGTCCTCGTAAACACCGAGGTTCACGCGCGTCGTTGCTTGGCGAGCCCGCTGACTTGAATTAAGGTGAAATCAGGGCCGTGTTCTAATTACGAGGGTTAATGTGAGCTAACGCCAGTGGCCGCAGGCTCCTAGCGTAACTTTGATTTAGCTTTAGCATTAAGCTAACGTGTTCTGGTATCGGCTCAATTCCACCTGGACTCTCTTACTCTCGCGGCCGTGCACTTCGCGTAACTTGTATGTTGTACTTGTAAAATGTTCATTTTAACGTGACTTTATTAATTGATAATGTCCATAGAGAGAATCCCTTTAAACCACATTGAATTTGCCTCTTAAACGGATCTAACGTTAATTAGATAAATATGCTTATTTTGAGCGGTTGCAGAAATATGATGATCGCGAACATTACCAATATTTGTGAGAACAGCCCCCCAAAGTTACTTTACCTCCAAACAATACATTACGTTACGAATAAGTAACTTCGGTTGTAGCTCTAACGTTAAATAGAAATACAACAAGTAGGCATCAGATTCAGTGTGTGTGTGTAACGTTATATGTGCCTGCAGGGAAAGGCCCTCGTCACCGCTGCAGCAAATCAAAGAGTTGAAATGCCCTCAGACTTCATAAAGCCACCGTGTCAACGTGTGTGTGTGCTTTTCACCACTGAACGACCTCACCGAGATGTTCATTATAATCATGTAAAACCCCACCAGGGAGATACACACGTTACTGCATACAACCCTTACAAAATGCGTCTCTATTTCAAGGGCTTCGGTGCAACCAAGGGAATATGTCAGATGTGTGGAAATAGGAATAAATTAAGGAATTGCTAATTATTCAGGACATTAGGTGCACAACAGCGAGTGTCTGATGCAAATTAGGCTACAACCCCTACAAAATACCCCAGAAATGTGAAATAAAGTAGGCTTAAGTGAAATCTTCCCTGCAGCTTAAGGCTTAACCTAAATATTTAATGCTATAAGGGTTCAAATTGCGGGTATTTAACGGTTAAAGATATGAGCTTCTTAGGACAGGCTCGCTTGTAATGTGTTATAATGATAATTCCTCAGACCAATAAAGCAACTCATACCCCAAGGAAGAAAGAATATGTTGTTGTAAGCTGGTGATGAAGAATGGGATTTGCTCATGAGGCTTTAGTGTCATTAGGCTCTTTACATTTTAATGAATTCCACTATAGAGATTGACCCAGTGAGATGAAGTAAAAAACAAAACAAAACAAAAACTTTAATTTATGCAGGGTTTATGATTAACTTATGTTCGGTTGGTTGTTAGTTTTTCAAATTAAATGTTGTTCACTGAAAAACTAAATCTTGTATCTCGGATGCGATTAAGATATCGTCCGTACAAATCACAGGGAAAAGGGATTCCAGTGTGTTTTAAGTGTAATTTTAAAGGACTTAAGCAGATGTTGATAATATTGTGAAACAAAGTAATTTGGGCCGGGATAGTTGGTACATAAAATATTTCACACTGTCCCACGTCTACGGCAAGGAATACCACTTTAATTCATGTTGTAATACTTTGTTTTTTTTTAATGCTTTTTTATACTGAGCGGCACAAAAAGGTGTCAGACTAAAACGTCACCGTGAGAATCTATTGAATCTGTGTGAGATTAAGTTACACCGATGAGTCACCCCTTCTCCCTGATTCCTGGTCATCCCTCTTGTGTGTGAGGCAAACGTCTTTTCTCCTTCCCTCCAGGAAACACGCAACACAGTGGTTCTTTTGTTACTGATGGATTTACTCGCCTTCATCATCAGTCAACGTCATCTAATCCGCCGTCAAACTGTTCAAAATACACAACAAATGTACACGATGAGCACAAATTCCTACTCCGTACAAACGTTTTTTTAAACACACAAACACAAAGGTGGAATGGGATGATTGTCTACAATATTACTAAATCTTTAAGCATCTTCCAAAAATGAGATTCTCTAAACAACACAGGACGTAAACATAGTTCTTATTAGAAACAATACTCCTCAAAATAAGTCTCTAAAGTAATTTGTTAACAAATAACATAAATAGAAACCGTGGTAGTTAAATCTAAGGTTTAAAACTGGAGCGTCTCCTCTGTGGGTTCACACCAGCTTCCAAATAAGAATTTTTAACAAGAAAAAAACTCCTGACAATGTAAATTGTAGATGGAGATTCAATCGTTCTGTGAGGAGCCGATGAATCCACCCACGCAGTTATGAGGACGAGCGACCTCACCCGTCCGTCCGTCTGTCTGCTCCCGTCCCCGAGGAGCTGATTAGCCCGGCACAGTGCTGACGGGGTCAGAGGTCACCAGGTGTGTAATGGGCCCATAATGAGCCTTGGTGGGCCACAGGGCTGGCTGGGTGGGTGGGAGGGGCGCTTTACATGCTCCAGAAACTAGATACTGTATGAGAGGAGATGATTAGATTTGTCTGTCAGATGGGGCAATGGAGCCTTATGTGAGCATTTGTTCTCAAGTGGAAGTAAAGATGATTTGCTAATTCCCACGAGGCTTTCCTTTCTGTGGGACCGATTGCCCATTACAACATCAAATCTGTGGTAATAATGCTGTGTTTCAAGGAGATAATATCAATTTAGAATCAGATTTCCACATCAGAATTATGGGTCCAGTTTAGCTGCCAGTGTGATTTATTGATTCTGTGATTTTTGCGCCGATGTCACCGCTCTGGTCCCAATGGAGGGAATCGCTCTGTGGGGGGGAAAGGAGCTCTTTAGTCTTTTGCATTGCAGGGGCTCTAAATCCCACTTAACCCTTTACTGGTAACTTGAAACAATGTGGAGGCAGTGATGGATGGATGCTGTCTACCGGGAGCACTCTGTGCAGCAGGGTGCAGCCTGTACTTTGTGTGTGTTGTTGGGGTGGAGGGGGTGGGGGCGGGTGTTTGAATGCCCCGCCTGACAGCTGACACTCTGCTCTCTCCAGCTGGAGATGAGGCGCCACGGGCAGCTTCACCTCCTCCTAATTTGCGCATGTTTACGCAACGCGTTCTCATCCCGGCCCGTCACACGCTGACGCTTGCTTGGGACCCTCGGTGTCACTTTGTAACACACCGGGAGGTTGGGCAGGAATATGAATCATTACTGAGTATATATTAGGAAGACATGGGAAATGAAAGCCAGCTAACTGGGACTGAAAGCTAGTGGGACGGGCAGTTTGCTCCCCTAACGACCACATGTGGTGCTGTTGTTGTTGTGGTGAAGCCTTTGCTGGTCTGCGGGCCACGGGTGGTGACCTCTTTGTAAAAGTACCACCAAAAAGCTGGAGACACAAGCACAAGGGGCCTTTTCTGCTCGGTGCCTCTGAACAATGAAAGGAGGGGGGGGCGTTGGGAGGTGATTACGGACACCAGACTGGCAAGGGGCTTCAAACTCTGAGTTATTTTTGTGAGGGTCTTCTTTGTTGTGCAGCTGCATCCGTTAATCCTGTCGCACTGCATTCAAACAGGTTTGTAGATTGTATGGAGCGTAAAACCAGAGAGCAAAAACAGAGTAAATGGAGGATATTTGGCACAGATTCTGGCTCATTTATTTCAGTTACATTACATGTCATTTAGCTGACGCTTTTATCCAAAGCGACTTACAATAAGTTCATTGACCTAACACAATTTTCAATTATTTTCAAATCATGGTCACTTTAATTTGAGAAAGGGTGGTGAACTCCCATGATGCAACGCTACTTCTCTACATTAAGATTCAGGCATAATTTCTTTAAAGAAATGGTGAGAAAAAAAATAGGCCAACTTCGATGTAACTGAGGATTCTGCAGCGTGGCTGCAAAGACGTTGGTGTTGCTTTGTTAGTCTTACCACCAGTCGTCTGCAGATGGAAGAGAAACCAAGTCCAGGGTCGCGTCTGAAACTATGATCCCTCTGTCTTCATATTGCACCGGCGCGTTGATAAGATGTTCTGGTTGTAACGTCTAAACAACGCTGTGCTGCAGACGCCACACAGAGTTCCTCCTGGGAGCTTTTCACTTTGCAAGGCCAACTTCTTTCTCATTGACACGTCTTTTGATAAAATGTGCATGGGCACAATAACATTTTAAATATTTCACTATTCATGCATAAGATGTAATAACTATTCTTTACCGTCACAGCTTTGTTAACCTCGTCCTTACCTGTTGTTTCATTGAGAGAAATGCACAAAAAAGATTCTTCTAATCCTGGTTTTTAGGGTCGTTTCAATGTCCTCCCCTGTACAGCGATGCGACTTGTACTTAATGCACAATGTGTTGTTACATTTAGTCTAATGTTTAAGTTAAGCTCTGTATTATTTATTAATGGCCATCACATCTGGATCAGCTGTCTCTTGTGTGACAGGAGGTTTATTTCCAGCAGTGACCTGAGGATTAGCAAACAGAGTATCGGCCTCCCGCTTCTCTGGTGATTAAACAGATAAAATGGAAAATATGTGTGGCTGTTAACGGCGCCTTTAAATTACGCCATGGTTTATACGCTTTTGTCCAAAAGACCATAATGCACCTCAAAGATGTTCGTCCTCGTACCATTTAGTTTTGTGTGAAGAGGCATCTATTGTCACGCACAACCTGCGTCACCAGCTCCCTCGTGGCCACCACGTCCCCGCCTGTGGTTATACTTCCACTTATGTCCCATTGGGTCCACCGTAGATGTTCCTGCAGCGAGCCAGCGCTGGAACAGATCTTGGGATTAGTGCGGGTCAAAGTATTGTTTTAATCTGGTTTTAGCTCTCCGTCCCTGACTGGTGCAGCAAAGACAGATGGCTGAGTTTTGAGTGAGAGGGGGGGGGGGCTCCATTCAGACCACTAGCTTTTCACACACACACATTAAATGGTCATGTCACTGATACCCCACATCTACAGTATTGGGTGGGGGAAATAGCTGCACTGTTAAGAGCAGTGGAAGGGAAGCTGCCACTTGTGTCTTTGTTGTTCCTTCTGCACTCAGATTCACTAGACGTGGGGAGACAGAACACCCGTTTTTATCTTGGAATAAAAATGAAATCACAGGTGTCTTTATCTTGGTTTCTGTGACGATCAGATCTGAGTGATGATTTATTATCTTCACAAACCTTCTGGTCTTAAACACTCTCTCCTGTTGCAACAAGGAAATCCAACTAACTCCGTGCGCTTGTTGTTGTAACCTCAGCGACACCGTACGAGAAAACACACAAAGGCTTCTTTCATGTGTCATTCAGCATTTGGTGGTTATTGTCCCTCATTTTTACTAACAGAAAAAGGAAGCTATGAGCTGAGCTGCATCAGTAGAAATAGTGTGTGTGTGAGTCCATGCGTAGTACCGTGGGAGTGTAAAGTAACAGGCCTACTTCAATGGGGCTGTGAGTGCTCACAAACTGAGGGAGGAGATGACCCACATAATGGAGAATGCGCTGCAGGCTCCCGCTGAAGGTAGTTTTAGTGTGTTCATGCTCTGCTTCAATACACAAAGGTAACAGACTCACAGTTGATGTTTATTCTGTATCGATGTGGATCTTAGGATGTGACCTCTTGTAGAGTTTTGACATGTAATGAGACGCCTCAAGGAATTTCTGAAAAGATGTTGGTGCACGTCTTTGAGGTGTCTTTCAGAGGTCAGGGACTGCGTTGCATCACTTCTTGGTTGGTCAGACCTGATGTCCTCTCACCCTCAAAGGTGTTGGTGATGCACGTGATGGTAGGCGGGCACCAGCCGTTACATTCCTGGCATACTTCGGATATCAACTGCTTCCCGAGGTCCCAAAGGATTCATGGTTGTCCTCTCACTGACTCCGTGTTACTCGTCTGATTTACACCTTGTGAAGGGCGGAATTCAGAGCCCTCGTAGTTTTGTTTTAGCTCGTATACTTGCTGTGCCAGTCCTGATTATATATAATAGGTATAATTGACCTTCAGTTCTGGGAATGTGATGTTGAAACTCCCATTTGGGAGAAATGTGCAGGTGATTGTGAATGAGTCGGTGAGGTCAGAGCAGGTATGTCGCTGAGGTCATCGAGCGGGCGCCGCCCACCACAGCTGTTTCTCTGAATGAAGCCCGTCACAGCTCCAGCCGGCCGGACCGCAGGACTCGACTTGTCCGCTATCAGAGAAGCCCAAACCCGAGCAGCAGCCTTTGATTAAATACTGTTTAAACAAATGGAGAGGCTTGTTATGCATTATGGGATGCTGATCGCTCCGGGAAATGCTGTTTTATAAACTTAAAACATTCTACTGATGGAGTCTGACTCTGTGCAATGTTGTGTTTGTCTAATAGTAATGGTCCATTAAGTATATATTGTGGTATTAATCTGACAAAGGAACACACAACATGAGACGGCCGGCTGTATTCTGTTGACCTCAGACTGACCCAAACCTCTCCCTCCATGTTAAATATGCAAATTAGGCTGTATAGTAATAATCTTTGGTGAATTTATGAACAATATGCACAAATTGATAAAGTATAAACATAAAAGTCCTTCCACCTCCCCGATGGGCTCTCTCCCCCCCACCACAAGGAGTAAACGTCTGCGTGAGAAGGCGAGCCGGTTAATAAGTATTCTCCAAGGCCTCCCTGAGCTGTGAAAAGAGGGTTCGGCGTTTCTGGTTCTTGAACTGGAGTCCTGAGCTCAGGAGAAAGGGGTTTGCACAAAAGGCCGGTTGCCTAGCTGCCTGCGAGGAGCCTCGCTGCCGCTGCCAGGCCGGCTTTGTGTCTGCAAGGTCTCCGACTGAACGGCATCTTCTGGAGAATCCACTGGAATGCAGTTGGGGAGAGGATACCCCCTCCCTACCCCCCCCTTCAGCTTAATGTTATTCAGTTTTTCAGCGGGCAGTAGGGAGCCATTCACAGGTTGCCATAGTTATTCACAACCCTTTTTCCAGCTCAATTGAATTGACCTCTGATGGGGAGGTTTTCACGCACTCCCCTCTGTGGGCTGGTTCCAAATTGGCTGTTTTCAAGGATGTTTGTCGGACTGCAGAATCGCCCATAAATACTTTAGACGTGTGGAAATGTCTTGAGTCTAAGACGGATAATGGAGGGAGTAATCAAGCACACTGTCTTGGTTCGGACTCCCGAGCCTTGGCATTGTGTGTATTTGTAATATGAATATTTGAATATGTTCATTCTACCCAACGTGATTATTATTAAATCCGCGGTGTGAGATCTCAATAAAATACATCTTTACGGTTCCATTCACGCTGTAATATTCTTGTGCTTTAAAGTTGAAACTCTGCTCCAGTAGTGATTTGGTTGGTAGCATCTGTGTTCCGTGGTGGAGTTGGGCTGGAGGGGTAATGTCTTGGATTTAGTTGCGTGTGCCTGCGGCGTTGACGCCGTCCTGTTGCTTTCATCCGCTCCGCGTGGCCTCGCTGCTCGCTGTGCTTCAGCGATGAGACACGCCGTCATTAGACGGACTGTCATCACAGATTAGGCTCCAGGGATCAGATGGGATGTGCCTCTTCCTCTTCAGTTGGTGTTTTCACTGTCTCTCCCGCGTCCTGCGTTCGGCTCCGGTTACCAGGACGCTTGGCCTCCTGGAAAGCAGCGACTGCAAAGTCCGGATCCACTTTCTCAGACTGCGTTTTTAAGACGAGCAAACTCCCTCATTCGCTCAGTTACAGGGGAGTTTACAGCAATTTATTTTTGTCGGCGCATGAGAACCCTTTTGCGTCATGCACTCGCGGTCACATGCAGGGATCTCACACCAACATTAACCCAGTTAATTGAGGGAAGCTATTGGATGAACACAAGAATGTGAGAACCTTGACCGAAGCCCCGCTGTGGGAGAGAGAAGCAGCCTGCTGTGGTTACACGGCCTCATGGCTGAGAAGTTGAGAAAAGTGCATCTCTGCAGCCTCTGATTGAGAAGACCACCCAATTATGACAGCGAATGAAAGGTGGGAGGCTTTTCCCCACGAAACCACGAGCAAAACGGTGCCTGTTAGTCTCTGGTTACTTCAAATATATTTAATCAAGTAACTGTACTGAAAAAAGTAAAAGGATCATTTAGTTTAAATGTACTATTTTTGTACTTTAGGCTACAAAAAAGTCTGCACCTTTTAATCACTATGAAGCTCAGAGACGACAAAGTTTTTCTTGACCTTCTCGCATGAAGAATCCACTTGTGTACGGAAACATCCTCCACAATCTGCTCCGGATTCAGCTGCTTTACTCCCTCCTCCTCAAAGCATAATGGAACCAGTCCGCTGGACCTCGTTGGTCCTGCTGTGCTCCTCAAATAGAACGAGTTTTCAGCTTCAGGGATAAACGGACTCACCTCACAAAGGTCACTGCTGGTGTTAGCACGTAGCATGTTAGCCAGACGTCGCGTGCGCCTGCTGTGCATTGGTGATGCATTAAGTTGATCAACAGTCAGGGTGCAACAGTGAACGTGAGCACCTGTGCGTTTGTTTCGTGAGTGAGTTTATCTCCTTCCTGTTGCTTCTGTCTCATGTCATTAATCAGCAATTTTAAATTTTATATCTGTGAAATAAAAAATATATTTTAAATAAACCACATGTAGTAGAAGTAGACTCGCTGTAATAAATATTTCTTTGTTAAAAGGTATTTCTGTAGCATAAATAAATGTATGTAGCTTGTGTGAAATACAAAAGTGACATGGAATGTTTTATGTTAGAATTTCTAAATTCAGAGGAAATATAAAACTCCAAATACACGATAACTTATAAACTCCACATTTGACAAGTTATTCCCTTTCTGTTGTGTGAGGCTTAGTGAGCAGAAACAGTTCCTGTTTTACAGCCAATAAACATGCATGGGTCATTACATCAGATGTTTGCAAGCTGAATCCTCATTTTATAAAAAGACACAACCCTGTAATAAATGCTCGTATAGTTGGGAGTTGTCACAGCACAAATAACATCTATAACAGATAATATTGGCTCTTTAATCACCCATCCTTCCTGTCCCAACATGTTCAGAGCGTCTGTTGTTACCTGCTAGTCTTATGATGCTGGATTGATAACAACAGAAAAGAATTTGAGATGAAAGGAAGCCACTGTCAGAACTGTCAGTGTCTTTACTGCCACTAAATGGTTCACCCTGTCTCCCCAAAACACCTTGTCTCTCTACTGAAATACAAATAATAATGAACAAATTGTAAAATCTTCTCCTCATACAATAATTGTTATTCTGAAGGAACTTCTAACTTCTAGAGAATTATTAAGTAATACATAGATATCCGTCAAAATTGAAACCAAACAAAGGAAAGTTAGAGCAGAGATTTTGTGCAAAATACTTTTACTACTACATACTACATTTGAGGATTTTTGCAAGAACCGTATGTTTCTGTGATGTGTCTGCTCAGGAACCTCTTTCTCGCCAGTGACCCTGGTGAAGCCGTATTTCCTCTAATAGCCCTCGCTGTTAACTAAGTGGTTGTAAAGATCCACGAGGCCGTGATGATCCCAGAGGTCACAAGGGGTCGTTTTATTACAGGGACATCAAGTCTGGGGAGAAAAGGCTCTTCGGACAATACAAGGAGCAACTAGTTAGAGGAAACATCATCACGCGTCCCACAGACTTATTACGGTAACACACGACGGCAGCGGTACAACGCAATGTGTATTTCAATGTGATGAGGAGTCGCTACTATTGAATTAAATGATGCAGTACAGGCTTAGATAAACATTATGTTTCCCTCTTTGTGGCACACGTTGTTATTTCTGTGCGGATGTGTAGAACAACGTGTACAGTATGGATGTGCCCCCCCCCCCGCGTTCCTCCCCGTCTTCCTGTTTGCACAGTGTTTTCACGCCATGTGTTTCCTCTTCTCTTCCCAGCAGCGGAGAGGATGAAGGGGAGGAATCGCGGCGGTTCGCGGGGTTTCTAACCAACGTGAGCAGCAGCAGCAGCGTCTCCAGCTCCACGTGTGCAGCGGCGCTCGCCATGAGTTAGACGGACCCCCTTGGACTGACCGCCGCTGCTGCCTCCGTCCCTCTACCCCCCCCCCACCCACGCCACCCGGAGCCCCCGCGTCCGAGTGCGGCGGCTTCTCTCGCCCTGCTTCATGAGCCAGCAGGATGCGGCTGAGGTCCTCGCACTCTCCGAGCGCCTCCTCATAGCGTCGCACAAGGGACAAGCCGACAATGTGGTCCAGCTCATCAACAAGGGCGCCAAAGTGGCCGTGACCAAGGTGAGTGGAGGGGGCGAGGGGTCAACCTGTACTCAACAGATGGAAACAAAAAGTGCTTCCATTCCTTTTTAATTGTGTAGAGAATGACGGACACGCCTCAGAGGACTGCACAACATACGACGTCCTAAAAGGGGGGAGTAACACTCTCCCATCATGGACTGAAGAACAATAGATATGTACAAAATGATGAGTAGTAACTAAGTTAATCCACATGACAGAAAGGATACATATAATGAGACTAGTACTGTGAATAATAGCTCTGATATTAGCAGAATAAAATCTACTACCACAGCGTAGTGGAGAAAACCAAGTAATAATGGTGGTAAAAGCAGTAATAGAAATATGACCAATGATGACGGTGTGAGCAGTGGGAGTCATGCAGGCAGGAGCAGCTTCAGATGAGCTCAACAACAGTGAAAGAAACCAAAAACGGGGACATGTGATATCTGGAGCTTCATCTCTCTGTCAGCGGCGCGTTTTACAGCGTCTGCCTCCTCTGGGTGTCGTTTGTCCCGTCGTGTCCCCGAGCTGTGTGACTCATCCAGGTGCTCTACTGACGATCCAGATAGCCCGCCTGTGTTTTTTCACTCCCGCTAATGTCTTTACTGCGACTTTGTTGTGCGCGACCAAGTAAATATGGCAGTATTTTCTGTTTACGGAGCAGATGTCACCTGCGCCTCTCGGTTCAAACGGAAGCAAGCGGAGCACGAGAGGCCGAGCGGCTCTGGAGCTTTAATGGGAACTAGTGATTTCAGAAGCTCCGCACTCAGTCAGCGTGATGATGTGCAGCCAGCGTGAACGAGGTCGTGAGCACCGCAGCAAGTTCATCATTGTGAGGGGGGGGAAAAAAAGTTCAATATTGCTTTATTATCTATATGTAAGCAAATAGACGTATTCACTTTGACGTGAAAGCTTTCAGGCTCACGTATTAAATCATCGATTTCTTGGTGTTTTTATAAATATTCTGTCGGATCCCTGAAACGAAAAAGCGAGCGAGTGCTGAATAATATTCATGTGTGAATCCTTTTATCTCAAATGATTATTTTCGCCCGCCATGTGCTTCGCAAAACCAATTTCCCACGGGAACGCCGTGGCTTCGTCCCGCAGCGGCTACGACAACATCGCGCGTGCTGCTCCGATGATTTTGTTCGGACCAGCTGTTATTTGGGTATTTTGGCCGGGTGCCACGATGAAAACTTAATCCAGGATAAAGGGGGCAGAGTTTCATACGAAACATTCCCCTGCTCGGGAAACGGAATGCGGGAATAGTTTTCAGAAGGCTAATGCGATGAAGGGATTGAGGGGGAAAACGGATGACAGGGGGGCTTTAATGAGGTCGGTAATGAAGAGGAAAGCGTTGTGAGATGATGGTTGAGACCTCGTGGGTTCCCAGGTTTCCAAGGACTGTGGGTTTTGTCTCGCATCACTTACATTGGAGTGGATTTGGTCCCTCTGCAGGTATTATTGACGGGAGCCAAGAGCCAATTCTTGATTACTAAATGGAGATGGAGAACAAAAATGTCAAATATGTTTGGACAAATTTTTTACTTTAACATCGAAGAGTTCTGAGATTCGCCTTTTAAGATGAAAGATGAGATGTATTGATCCCCACGAGGGATGTAACTTTACAAGAGCATACGCAGACAACAACTGTGAAGTAAAGTGACACCCAAAGTACCGAGTGCCTCTGGAAAAAAGTGTGTAGACCCCCCCCCCCCCCCCCCTCAGGCCGGCTGTTTACCTGAGCTCGGCCAGTGGCTCCTCTCCAAGGTAACTCGATCTGAGGGCCGCGTAAATACAGAGCCGCACCCAGACAAAGCACGTCTGAGATAATACCGGGGGGAGGTGGCGCGGTTGTGTGGGAACACACATTTGATCTGTTATTAAACCGCGTTTGCTCAGTGGAACGACAGATTAACAGGGATCACCTGACTTCCTGCTCCGTCTTTCTCCTGGATACAGTTTGTTTGGGATGTGATGTTCAGGATGTGCTCAGAGCTTTGATCCCGATCCTCCCAACCAGTGTTGTTGTTATGATAATTATATATCTGTAAGAAGGAATTTCCCCGTAGTGAAGTTTCCTGATTTCTTACTATTACGTTAAGTATCTGATCACAAGACGTTGGTGTCCGTTTAATATCTTAATGAGTCGCTGCACAGTATGCCCAACATAGTCCATGTTTTATGACATAGAGAGAAACAATAAGCCCACTCAAATCCTGTACATTATAATATATTTTATTCATAATATATGTATTATATTTAATATATTATTTATAATAAAAACAATTCTCAAAAAATCATTCAAATGGGTGTGTCTAGTCCAGTGACCTTCCTGCTTCAGGCTCCGCCCACAGCGGCCTGTGTTGGCAGGATGCGTAGCCGATCCGCCCCTCAGCCGATTCTCCTAAACCGCGGATTAGGTTTGTTTGTTTTGGGGGGGGACTCATTAGCGAGGGGATTGTCCCCTGGAGCAGCGTTACTTATCTGGCCCCCTGGAATCGTGACGCAGCGGAGCTCGACCTTCGGGGACCTTGCGTGAGTACGTTTGCTTCACCGTGTGTGTCTTGTGTCCCCAGTATGGCAGGAGCCCCCTGCACTTGGCCGCCTACAAAGGCCACATCGCGGTCGTGCGCATCCTGCTCAAAGCCGGCTGCGACCTGGACATCCAAGACGACGTGAGTTCACCCGCCCGCTGCGTCCTCCACGTTTCCACTTCCGGCTCTCGCCCCGCTGTCCTGGTCGGCCGTCGCCAGTGGATCGCTTATCCTCTTTTTCCTTTCAGTTTTGTTCCCACTGGAGCTTTATACTTGTAGACGTAACTGGTCTGATGACCTCCAGTGGCCTCGAATGGGACCCTCTGGACTGTCCACTCGTGGGGTTTCCCTTTCCCGCACATAGTGAAAAGCGAGGCCAAATTGACTCCGTGTGGTCAATGAGCTCGGCGACCGGCTGCAGTACGCCCCCCAGGACGGGAGGGAGCAGGAGGTGCAGACTGAGTCAGGAGGAGGAGAGAAGCCAAAGGAGGAGGAGGAGGGCGGGGAAAGAGCCTGGAGGATCAGGGAGAGTGAAGGAGGTTAGCCAACACCGCTGCCACTGAGCTGGTGGAAATATGCGCCCCCCCCCACATTCTTACCCCCCCTGAACAAACTCCACTCCTCCTCCACTGCTGCTGCCCCTTGGCTACTTCTTATCTAAGCTCTGAATGACCCTGCTCGTCTCCCGCCGCTTCCTCCTCCATCTCTCATGGAAACCATTGCTCCTTCCTCCAAACCTGCTCCCTCACCACTGATCTGCTCTGTGTGCTGAATTTAACTGTAAACTGTTTGAGACGACCTGCTGTGGTTTGTTCGTCTTCTCCGCGGGACGTTGATGTTAACATCGTCTCGGCTTGAGTCGGGGAGGCACAGGGCTCTTTGAGTGTGTCAAGTTTGCATTTACTTCGACCTGCAGGCAGACACATGAACGGAAATCCTTTTTTAAAGGAAATCGTTTAACACAATTTGGAGGAAACCTGTTTGTGATCTTTCTAAGGGCTCAAAATGGTTAAATATGGACCTTTTAGTTATCCTCGTTTATCAATCACATTTCATTCATACAGCACCAAAAGTTCTGAGTTACAAAAAACACCTGTTTTCGTTGGCTACTTTTTTCTGTACTATTTTTTTGTCAAATGATTTGAACAGAACACAAAGTTTTGGTGTGTGTGTGTGTGTTTCTGTTGGCAGGGGGAGCAGACGGCGTTACAGCGGGCCGCCGTGGTGGGAAACGGCGACGTCATCAGCGCTCTCATTCAGGAAGGGTGTGCGTTGGACAGACAGGACAAGGCGAGGATCAAACACACACACATGGAAACACACTGGAGGAATTTCAAAGCAGAATGAAGAGCGCATTAAAGCATCTGATAATCAAAGAGCATCTACTTAGCCTCGAGTCCCAAAAGAGGAATAAAACTCCTAAATGAAGCATTAATAAAACTAGATACATTTAGATTGTTTAATAAGCGCTCGACAGATGCCGGTGGGATTTTGTTCTGAGCGCATTCTGCTCTTCTCTGCAGACCGTGTACATAAATGGAGCACACGAGACAATAGTTGTGTGATCTGTAGCTGTCAGCTTGCTTTAGGTGCTCATCCCTACTCGGCTTTACGTTGCCCTTCGGTCAGATAACTGAAGCTGTTATCTACTCTACAAAGCCACCAAACAACAACAAATTCTCTCCTCTCACAGTTTATAAAGGAGGCTTATTAGGAATTCAGTCGCTGTAGTTTCTCCGAAATGAAGATTGTGAGACACCAGAGTTACAAAATAACACCCAACGACACGCCGTGTTCTGCTTCATATGTTACCGTTTTTGTCAAAGGAGTCAAAGGCTTTGAGGAGAGCTACGATACGGAATCAGTTCCCCGAAAAAAAGGGCTGTCTGACCTCAAGGTCAAGAAGGGAAAAGGTCCATGAACAGATACCAATCTTGATATGTGAAATATGTCTTGTTGCTGCCTCCGTCCACACCACTGCGTTCCTTTGCTCCCTCGTTTGTAGTCAGTCTATTTATTGTAAGTACATCGTAAAACCACACACACAAGTCGTAGCTATCCTGTTAATGGCGTCCCAGTGGATGTACAAAAATAATCCAGCAAGCATTAACGTGCATGCTGATTAAGCCCCTTTCCACTTGAATCCCTCAGTATTTGTCCAAAGTGAGCAGACTATGTGGAAAACCTTTTCACGTAATGTCAAATTTCGTCAGTTTATTTGAAAATCCAGGAAAAAAGATGTGGAAACATCAATGGATCACAATGTGTTTACTTACCTATAAAGAACCAGCCATATGTTAGGATACGTTCCGGCTGTATTTTTTTGTCCATCCCTCACCAAAGTGCACTGCTTTGGTAACAACGTCGGCGTCTGTCCACACCTACTGCTGTTCTCCTCCATGTGGAATCTGCATGGTTTGAAATGTGCTCTTGTCTGGTCAGGACGGTAACGCGGCGCTCCATGAGGTGTCCTGGCACGGATTCAGCCAGTCCGTCAAAGTGCTGGTGAAGGGCGGCGCCAACGCTCACGCCAAAAACAAGGTGATGCTGCGCCCTAGTTCTCGACTTTCCACCAATGGCTATGAACTCTGTAGGAATCCTGCAGCAACTTGTGTGAGAAAATAGATCCTAGTAAACAAAAGTAAATGATGACTTTCTGCTTCCAGGCAGGAAACACAGCTCTCCACCTCGCCTGTCAGAACGGCCACGCTCAGAGCGCCAAGGTGCTGCTGCTGGGGGGCGCCAGGCCCGACAGCAAGAACCACGTGAGTCTCCAGCCGGTCTCCCGTGGATACGCTTATTAGCATTTAGCGAGAGAAAGATGCTTCTCTTTGGAGTTAGTGGAGAAGGGAGGAAGTAGACAGTGGACATTCACTCATCAATCCTTGTGTGTTGAGTGCTCAAGGTGTCACATGTCCACTCGCAGTGAGGAACCTTCAATAAAAAAACATGAGCAGTGCAGCTCCGTCGTTGGCCGACGCCACAAACCTGTCTGTTGTTGATCCCTTGAACACGCTAAATGCTAAATGTGTTTTCCAGGCGGGGGACACGTGTCTGCATGTTGCCGCCCGCTACAACCACGTGGCGGTGATCCGCATCTTGCTGGGAGCCTTCTGCTCCGTGGCAGAGAAAAACCAGGTGAGTTCAGATCGCAGAGAGTCCAACACGGCGTTGGTGCACAGTACCTTCCACTGTGGCATAGTCCCTCTGCAGGAACATACGTGTCTCTGGTTGAAGTGATTATGGAAGCATCAGACAAGCTAAGAAGGGTCCACACTCAGACCGAAACCCATGTGTGTGTGTGTGTGTGTGTGTGCAGGCTGGGGACACGCCGCTGCACGTGGCAGCTGCTCTGAATCATAAGAAGACGGTACGCCTGCTGCTGGAGGCGGGAGCGGACAGCCACATCTGCAACAATGTGAGTTCCTGCAGCCTCTTTCCACGTCGCTGATGCTCAGAGGAAGCGTTGGTGCTCTGGCGAGTCAGCACACACTTCTGTTGCTTGACCTTGATTCTTAATTTAATCTCAAATTGGTTAATTATGCATTAACTCTGGTTTGCTGCGTGTGAGCAGGCGGGTCAGACGGCTCTGGACCAGGCCAGAGAACACAACAACCCAGACGTGGCTCTGCTGCTGACCAAAGCTCCCCAGGTAAAACCAGTAACTCCCAGTCTCCCCAGCAGCTTTAAACCACATGCATACAGAGGCTCCTGCTACATTCTGTCAAATTCAACAATTCAACCAAATACGCAGCGTTTCGTCCACTAAGATGCTTCTTTCCAAAGAGATCTGAAAAGTCAAATGGTATTTTTCTGAGAAGAAGATTGAAATCTTTTGTTCTCCAACATCAGCTTCCACAAATCTTTTTATAAATCAAGGCCCTCATTGTTCGTAAAATGTATATTGTATATTTATCCCTCGTGTTTCATATAACGCAGCAGACACGATCATTCAGCAGTGACTCCAGTCCAGACGTTTGTTTCCTTCCGCGTGAAGGTGCAGAGTTTTGTGCGTGGCAGGAGTGCGAGGAAGAGGAGGGAGAAGATGAAGGCGGAGGGCAGAGCTCAGTCTGTGCCCAGAGACGAGGCGCTGCCCTGTAAGGTAACCGCTGCACCGCTGTGTTTGTAGCTTGATTAAAGGAGAAGAAAGGAACGGGAGGATCTTTCTTTTAGTTTTTCTTTAAATTCACATACATTGCTTGCAGGACAGCGCCGCAGACGACAGCCAGAGCAGCGACCGACCCGCCTGCAGACACGCCGACGTCCCCGAGACCAACAGCAGGGCGGCAAAGAACAGGAAGCGGAAGGACAAAGTAGGTCCCCTCTGTCGGAGGAACTCGTTTGAATCCACTTGTAGAAGTTCAGGACGTCGTTAACCTCGGACCTTGTGACCGCTTCAGCCGTCTTTGTCCGAGCCGCTGCGCCGCAGAGAGACCAGGCACAGCGACGGCGTACGCAAGAGGAAAAGCAAACCGCCGGGAGCCGACATCCCTCCACATAACTACAAAGCCTACCAGCTCTACACGCTGTACCGCGGCAAGGACGGCAAGGTCATGCAGGCAAGTGCCCGAACCGCCGGTTACGCGTGCGCCCGGAGAGGGGAGCTCGCCTTGAACGTAACTGTGCTCCAAGTGTCACTGTGGCCCGATTAGTGACTGCGGGGACAATAAATGTGCATAAATACTTGTCTGGTCTCTGCTGCACACGTTGCGTGTTTCCTCTTCCGTTTACACGTGCGCCGTGTTTCAGGCTCCTCTGAACGGCTGCCGCTGTGAACCTCTCATCAGTAAACTGGAGAACCAGCTGGAGGCCACCAAGGAGGAGATGAAGACCGAAATCCACACCGTCCAGGACCTGATGAACAGCAAGATGGGCCAGCTGGACCGCAAGAACAAACACCAGGTAGCGCACGCCACGCTTTGCTCCAACTAATATTTACACAATGAGATCCTGGTTGAATCCATATTTATAATGTGGATTTAATGGCTAGAGGTGCATAATAGACCAGCTATGACAGCCTGATTAGTTCAGTGAAGGAGGAAATCATGAAGTAGTTAGTTGCTGCAGCACGGACCTCACATGAGTTTCTGCTGTGTGTTCGCTGCCTCCTCGTGTTTCTAGTTGAGCTCATGCGGCGTGCGACTTGTTTTCATCCGTCAGATCCGAGCTCTTGACAAGATGACGGTGGAGCGAGTGTCTGCGGAGAGGACCGAGTGTCTGCAGAGGATCCAACAGCGGGCCCTGCAGGAGAGGCTGGAAGCAGAGAAGAGCCAGGTAACGCCAACGACCAATCACAGGCTCTGCAGCTGATGACGTCATCTCAGACCCTCACGGCTTCAAGGCCACTTTGGTTTAACTTCAGCCGAGCAGATGATATGGCTGACATCTTGGCATAAACGTAACAGCCCGCGTGGTCGTTTTGCCCTTCAAGCAGGCGTCTCTGGTCAGCGAGCTGAAGACGTGGTGTCTGTCCAAGCTGCACAGCGGAGAGCCCGACGCCGGCGGCAAGCTGCGGCGCTCCTCCTCCGCCGCCGAGGGCCTGAGCGAGGAAGCAGCCGGCGTCACCGTGCTGCCCTCTGGCCGGGGGGGCAGCCTCCAGGGCCCGGAGCTCCACGACGGCCCGGCTCCCCTGGACTCCAGCCGGGGGGAGTCCGGCTCAGCCAACCACTACTTTGTGGTTCACGTGGAGAGCTCGCCAGGTGATCTTATTCTACCCGAGACGGGCGGCACTGCTTCGCTCTGCCAGGCGTTTATTAAAACAATGAATTGAGGGGAGCACCAAGAGAACACGTTTGTTCTGCAGTGGACACGAGCGAATGCGCCGGCAAAACCTTGGCTGTTCTGCCCCGATGCTGTAGAAACGGTGAAAAACTTCAGATTTACATCTTTCCGACTGTCCACGAACACAAGTGTGACAGGAAAGCTGCAGATAGAATTCAATTTGATCAAATACATTTAATGTGTCTCCCTTTGCAGTGACCAGTACTGTAAAAAGAGTTTAATTGTTAAGGCCACTCTCACTCCCCTGAACCTTTAACAGATGGTGACAAGGCTCCCGCTGCAGAGGTCAGCGCTCCCGCTGCTGCAGAGATTCCCGCAGTCCAGGTGGTCCGGCCCAAGGAGCGTTCCGGGATCTGTGCCGACACCCAGAAGAAGAACCAGGACCTGCAGGACGCCGGGCGCGAGGCGAGGGGGGGCAGGAAGTGCAGATCCAGCAGCCTTTCTCCGGCCACAGAGCGCCGCTGCGCCACAACCGAGGCCGGGCTCAGAGGGCGGGACCAAGGGAAACGCCACAGGAAGCACAGCCGCAGCAGGACTAAGTCCAGAGGGGCCGCGGGGGTCAGGACTCTGGAGGTCTTTGGGGACCAGCCCAGTGAGCCCTGCTTTGCTCAGGAGAGGGACAACATGCACGCACAGGAGGTGACCCAGTACTTCTTCGAGGCGGTGTCGGCGCAGATGGAGCGCTGGTACGAGAGGAAGGTGCAGGAGGCGCGCTGGCAGGCGGATCAGAAGGCTCAGGCCGACCGGGACGCTCTGATGGAGAGGATCGGATACCTGGAGGACGAGCTGCGCATGCTCAGGACTAACAGACACGACGACCGCTAACACACACACACACACACACTCTCCATGTGAGGTTCCAGCGCCGTCGGCCTTTGGACAGCTGGAGTGCAGATCTGTTTTCCTTCTGAACCGGGCCGAGCATCCCGGAGTACTGAAAACATTCCTCACTCAGTGCCCTGTCCCACAAGGGCTGCCGAGTGCAACTTCTCACACTAATGCATCATATGAAACACGTGCACATGTTGGGAGGATAAAAGTGATCCGTGTAGCTCCATGAGACGTGTGTAGAAGTTTACGATGTAACAGTGTCTGCATGTTGACGTTAGAAGAGCAACTCTGATTATATGAGCATGTAACCGTACGACACCTGGAGGTTTATTGTATTGAGGCTGCCCATAGAACACGTTTGTATATATAAGCAGCGACAGTAATTAACATTTTAAACAACCCCGACATTATTTGGACTGAGCAAGACACCCAACTCCTAATTGCTCCCCGGGGACACAATGTAAAAAGCCACGGGTTTAAAGTGTAATGTAAGTCGCTTTGGATAAAAGCGTCAGCTAAATGACCTGTAATGTAATGTAATGGTAGTCATGACCTAAAAAAGAAAAGCTCTAATTATCAGCTCTCTTCAGACTCCATAGATTTAAACTAACAAGTCCACACGTGACATTTACCGTCTCATGGTTCAGTGGAGAAGGGACACGTCTCCACACCGAGGGTCTGTTCTCACTCAGTACTACGTTATTGATCAATAGGTGACTTCTGGTTTGGGGCTGAACCAGCGGAGGATTTGAGGACTGTCCTCATTTTTTCCACAAAAGGACGCGGATCAGCTTCCAGCAGGCCGACGTTGAAGATGAACCACGAAGAAAGCGCAGCGTTGTTTTGTGGCGGTCGTGTTGGTTGGTTGGTTTTACACACATGGATGTGAGCAATGCACTGCGTGATTACGATAAACATTTTGTATAAAAGATTCTGAATCTGTTCATTGGTCCCTCTTTGTTACGTATATAATTTACATATTGAGCTGTATTTGTTTCTGTCCTTTTTTCCCACATTCATTGACATTTTATGAATTCTAAAAAATTCTGACATACTATGAACTCAAAATAAAAAAGCAAACTGTTAATTTACTAAGACTTTAGACGTGCTACACTGGGGTTAGAAAGCATGTAGGTGTATAGTGCGTCATTGCACACCCTGATTTCCTGCAGCGTCCTTTGCTGCCCCCCTGTGGAGAAACACCAGAACACAAAACTACATTCAGAAGTTCTTGTAAGCTGATGTTTTTATTCTGTTCTAGAAGTAAAGTCGACTTTACAAAAATAACATTTTCACTTCCCGAAAACAACTAAACATTCTGCTGTTAATGGCCAAAGTTTGAGCGCAATTATATTACTTATGTAAGTTGATAAATGGATGCAAAACATAACCGAAGAAGTAGAATTCATTAAAACGATTACATTTACATATTAAAGAGTCAGTTTCTGTATTTTAAAAGTTAATTTGACACACGGTGTCATTTGGTCAAAGAAAGTAACGTTAGCAGCTAAATGAAATATTATTGAATAATGTAACAGTTGGATGGTTGACAACTAAAAGGATTTACCTTTTTTTAAATGAACACCAGTTATTGTTCTGGTAAACAATGTAACATACAATAAAAACAATATTTGAATGTTTCCTCTTGGTCCTTTCAGTGAAACCTTCACAGTACGCGGCTACGGAGACATTTACAGAAACTAACTTAGTTCCTGAAACGTCTTCACGACTGCTGCTAAACGGTCCGTTATTTATTTACAAACACTCGCTGGGAAAATCCTGAAAGTCTTCCAGTTGAATTCTGCAGAGTCCTTGAATACGAACCTTAAGCCACATCGGCGTTTCCTCTTTGAGGAGAGGAGCAGACAGAGAATCCTTCCTGACGGAGTAACAACCCTCCTCCACCCTCACAGGTCCATCCCTTCCCCGCTCTCACTCCGGGCCGACGCCGCGTCGGTGCCGAAGTACCGATCCCCGAAATTACCTTTTGGACACAAAGACGAAGAGGAGAGAAAATAAACGGTCTGGAGGTGGATTCACTGAGGAGGAGGAGGAGGAGGAGGCGTCGTCCTCACCGATGCCCGGGATGATGTGGAACTGGTCGTTGACCTCCTTGTCCACGGCGGTGGTGATGATGCGGACCTCGGGGAAGGCGTAGGCCACCGAGTGGACGCCCGTCTCCGCCATCAGCAGGGACAGCAGGAAGATCTTGTCCTCGGCCACGTCGTGGTCCTTCAGGAGGAGAGAGAGGAAGAGCTCGCCGTCTGATCGCCACAGCCAGCGGTTGATTAAAAATCGACCTACCAGCAGCACTCTGACGGCCATGAGGGCGGCCGCCCCGGTGGACACGGTGCTGTCCATCAGGAAGACGTAGTCCTCGCTGATGTCTTTGGGCAGGCGGAGGTAGTGGAGCTGGAAGACGTCACAAGAGATCAGCTGAAGTTACCGGTCGGTTATTGACGTCACGGGAGTCGTCTCTTCTTCAAACACAACGACGGTCACACGGACCTCCGGCTCCTCGGTGTCGTGGTTCGTCTGGATGAGGATCTTTCCCAGTCGGATGTCTTTGCACACGGCCATCAGAGCCGGCTCCATCGTCTCTCCGGCTCTCAGGATGGAGACGCCTGTGATCTACGACACAAACAAACAAAAACTCAAACAAACAAACAAAGACGAGCTGGTCAACAAGCAGCTGGGCGCGAGAGGAGAAGCAGCTTACTCTTTTACCGCTCAGCCTCTTGCCCTCGTAGACGCCGCCCTGAGGCGTCTCCACGGATACCGGCTGGACCGGAAGGAAGAGGAACGTTACACGTGAGGACACGACTCAAAAGAGGCGACCTCGAGATAAAACCAAGACGCCGCAACGCAGACGCAGAGAACCGCCGTTATTTACATCGTAACATTTACAAAACGGTCACCGTGAGCGGCAGGAAGGAGAGCGCGTGCTCGATGAGAAGCCTCATCAATCTCTTGGAGTAGAAGATAAACTCGTCTCGGTTAGTGTCCTTGTTCCTACGCGTGCACACACACACGCGCGCACACACACACACACACACACACGCGCAACAACACACACACACAACAAAAAGAATGACAGCAGTTTGAGGCGTGATGGTCAGAATGTCTGGACCTCTGCAGGGTCTACATACCGCCCCCTCCCTCACCTGATGATGGTGTGCATGCCGTGGACCTGCGGCGTGCTCTCCATCACGCTGAGGGTTCTGGGTAACGGCTGACCCTGGTGAGCCGAGGCCAGAGCCGACCTGTGGAGTCAGACGGGTGATTAGAGGCGATGCTCGAATCCCTTCGTTCTTTATGTTGCTCGTTCTGAATCGCCAGACAAAAGACTTCTTTAGAAATGGAAAGAGACGGTTTCAACAAACCCAAGAGGTCAAAGGGCATCCAAACCAGAACTGTCCCAGACAAGAAAGAGCGTTTGAGCAATGAGCACGAGGATGCAGAACCGTCAACCTGCGGCTGCAATTTGAAAAAAAAGGATCTCTCTCTTTTTAACGAAGAGGGACGAAGCAGGAAGTAACAAGTCTCTGTGTTCATTAATCAATGTGTTTTCACATTAAGACAAAGTATTTGCGCAGATCACAGAGCGAGGAAATTCACGATGATCAATCAGACCCGAGTGAAAGGCTTTCTGGGTGAAATGAGCAGAATGATCAGACTGATTTGTTCGTTAATCAGTAGAAGCTAAAAACGAGACTCTTATTGATTTTCTCTGTGATGAAACGAGGTTGAAAGTATGAAGAAATAAAAACGAGGCTTCATACCTCACAGTGATCTCACGCTGGAAAGGTCACACGCCATCCAGCCAGGCGAGGGGGGTGAAAACATGAGGGGAAGAAAAACACCCAATAAGTCCACCTGCAACATGAAACCCCGCCAAAATAAAAAAGGCATAAAAACGTTTGAAGCAGAACTAAATGTTTGTTTGTTACGATGCAGCATTAATGACAAAAGGCAGATTGTGGTGAAGCTGAGCATCATTTGTTCAACCAGCAGAGGAAGGAGAACTGTTTCAAATCGATATGAAGCCGCTCGCTGAGTCCCAACAGGACTCTTTACCTTCTCCAGCTGGCTGTGAACGTGCTGAACAATCAGATCCAGCGCCACGAAGTTCTCTCCACCTGCAAACAGGACAAGGACTCAGAGACGCCGTCTCATGTGGAGCCGTCGTACGAACGTCCTGGTATGACGCGTGCGTCCACCTCTGGGCACCACGATGTCGGCCGACTGCACCGTGGGTTCGATGTACTGCTCGAACGCCGGCTTCACAAACTTGTTGTACTGTTTGATGATGCCGCCGATGTTCCGCCCGCGCTGCGAGATGTCCCTCTTCAGCCTCCGAATGAGGCGGACGTCCGAGTCCGTGTCCACGAACACCTTCATGTCCAGCAGCTGGTGGACAGAATAGGACGCAATGACTGTTGGATGGAAATGAAGCCAAAATAAAAAGGGAACGAATCAAGAGAGTAGAGTCATTTTGTCATAGACGTTGTCGGACCAGGAGTCGCCCCCTGCTGATCTCTGCAGAGAATGCAGCTTTAAGGCGGATCCAGATGTTATTCTCACCTTCAGCAGCTCCTTGTTGGCAAAAGCCAGGATGCCCTCAAAGATGACAACGTTTGCCCCGTACACCTTTTTCTGTCAAGAGGAACGAATATAAAAAAGAAAACGATAGAATATAATATAATATAATATATTGAATACTATAAAATCAATATACTATACTGCTCCAACAAACACGACTGTTACATTTCACACGGTATGCTAACTTTTAGAAGCGGTTGCCGGGCAACCAAAGAAGCGCCGGCTTTTGATTGACTAAAAACATAGCTGCTATTTTTATTGGCCTTATATTAAGATAAAATTCATAGATAGTTATAAGTCAGCCTGATATTTAAATATCACTAACAATCACTAGATAAGTTGTTGGATTGATGAAGCACTTTTTTTCACTGGTGGTACCCGAAGGGATGCCAGTTCCTCTCAATGGTTGCCGATAGCAACCCTTACTGTCAAGCAGATATAGTGTTTGTTGCTAAATTAAAACAGTTTAGACTTGAATTTTTGCTTTAGTAAAAAATTAATATTATATATAGCATTACATTAATTTTATATAATTATAATGTTATTACATTAATTAATAAACCACAGTTATTGGCACCGATAGAAGATCTCATGATTAAAATCTCACTCAGTTAAGTGGGTAAGTTAAGTATGTTAAAGTCATATTTTACTTTTTAACCTGTTTGATTAGGAACTATTAAGCGGTCGACCATGACTTCCTGTTTCACTGGGGTGTAAATATGAGGTGACACAAATCCCCTCAGTCACTGTTGACTGTTAAGGTTATGAGAAATGAGAAAGAATGAGAAAGACTCGAGAACACAGCGATAAACGGACCAGACAACGGACGCTCGGCCTCTCACCCATTCCTTGCGTCTGCAGTGGGACGTGAAGTCGTAAACCGGCACTTTGATGCTCTTCCCTTTCTTCAGCTTCCGGAGGACGGAGACCAGCAGCTCGAAGTCGAAGGCGTCGGGGTGATCGAAGTTATACTCGTTTTTGGCCGCGAGCTCCTGCTCGTCTTTGTTCAGAACCTGAGGCCACAGAAATACATCATCGTGTCATAACATACATGAAGGATACTTCATCATAATGTCACACATGGAGGATACTTCATCACATCTTGAGGGGGGGGGGGGGGGTTACCTTGTAGAAGGAGTCCATGGAGAGCAGCACCACCCAGGGGACGTCCAGCGCCTCGATGATCTTATTGGCTACTGTGGTTTTCCCAGAAGCGCTTCCTCCACACAGACCTTCAGGGAGGAGCACACGTTAATGGAACACAGGGCTGGTGACGTGTCCGGTGTGACGGGGGGGGCGGGGGGGGGCGTGGCTCACCGATGACGAAGGCCTCTTTGAAGGTGGTCCCCGTGACGTTGTACCAGGGCGGCCTGCCGGCGGTGTAGATGGTCCGCTTGTTGGTCCTCAGCAGCGGAGGCTCCGTCTTGGACTTGCTGGCGGGCTGCTTCCTCGGCGATATCGACGGGGTCAAAGGGCAGCGGGGCGCGCGGTCCGTGGAGTCGTCTCCGCTCCCACTGGGGTGGAGGACGGGAAGTCAGACTCTTTCATGAGTATTCTTTGTGGGGGAGCCGTCAGGAAAGGTGGGGCTCGTTCAGAAGCAGCACTAAACACTGATCAGGTCTAATCGTGGAGCTGAAATGCATCATGGGAGGTTTCTGTACACGCCGGCCGCCATCAGAAATGCCTCTGAGCTCATAGCGGCCCCCGTGCTGCTGCTCCGCGTGCAGGCGATCACGTCTGTCTGCACTGTCCTGCAGAGGGGACGAGGGGGGAGACGATGCTGCCGTCTCTCTCTCTCTTGTCCCCCCCCGCAGTGAGGTCTCTGCTGTCGGTGTGGTTGAGGGGGAGGGAGGGGGACTCGCCAGCCCTCCCCAGGAAATCACACCGTCGCCCCGCACGCAGCGTGGCACAGTGGGGGGGCACCGCTCACATGAGTAAGGCTGTCATCACTTGGCGGGGGCCGCTGGTAAAGGTTTAAGACGCTCTACTACTATTTTAAATAATGTTTATCTACAGAGCTGATGAATCCTCTCTGCGTGCTTTAAGGATCCACTTTCCATAGGCTGCTATTTGCATATGTGAAGTCAATTATTAACCTAGTTTTGTTTTTAAAGGCTTTGGAGTATACATGTGAGAAAATGACACATCAGTCACACACAGTTAATCCTGTTAATGACCCAGCGATGACCAGAGATGAACTAAACACCTGAGCCCTCAGTGTTAGCCTCAGTGTTAGCCACGCTAGCATTAGCTTTCATCCAATCGTATATCAAAGCTAATAATAACCAGCCCTAATAATGAACACGAAGCACACTGAAGGCTGTTAGTAAGTTATGCTAAATCCACGATGAAGTGCTGCCACTGTAAACGAAGCCCGGACACTTATTTAAGGATTCGAGCAAAGACAGTGTGAGGAGTTATTTTAAATTTCCCTCGTTTGTCCAGCTTTTGTTCGCCGCTGCCACGCGAGCACTGTGCGCATGCGCGGAGTGCTAAATGCTAGCACCGTTAGCCTGCTAACTTGTGCCGCTAACAGCGTGCCGGAGGCGCGCGGTGAGCCGCTGACGTGTGAACTTCATTTTTGTATTGATTCATGTACCTGTGGGATCTGGACCGGACCGCTTCTACCCCCCCGCCCGTCTGCTGCTCGTCCGGTTTGACGTTACAGTCGCCGCTCTGTGTCTCCATGACGGCTCTTCCAGCGCGGCTCTGCAAACCAAACAGGGGGAGCGCCATGACGTCACGAGACGTAAACTCACGCACAACTTGTGGATGTCGGAAAAATGACAATTGCTCTTTAATTGTAATTGTTTTTTTAAGAAGTGTGGAATTTGTAGTACATGTTTGATTAAGTGGAAGAAATTCAATTCAAACGTATTTAGATCACTATGTGGGATTGTCACTCATGAATGTAGATGTAGTGGCTTCGGTTTCTTTCAAATAATTGTGCCAATTCTATCAAAAGATACTTTTTTTGAGTTTCAGGTAGCTACAACACAATACTCGTGTTTAGTTTAAACGGACATGGCTATTTCGATTAAAACCAACATGCAAATGCTCAATATTTATACTTTGACTGTAAATTATGAATCCATACAAAAATACATTTGTCCCACTAGACAGTGAACGCCTCATCTGCGTGGCTGTCATTGTGATTCATGAGCAGTTATTTAGAGACAACGCTATATTACTTAAATACATAACATAACATTACATAATTATAAGTGTTTTTGTAACTACCATGGGTTAATGTCACGTTAAATATTGATATTTTTTTCCTTCTCCTTTGTATTTTTTATACGTTCTGTTGGCTGAATAAATATACATTTATTTAATCGCTTGAGATCGTCATATATCTGTCTATTTAACCTTAACAAGTATGTGTAAATTGAGCAGGCTCTGGTTAGGAATGCTAAGGTGTACCTGCATTTTAAAGTGGAAGCAGAGGATTATGGGTAATGGGTTGTCGATGGACAAAATAATGCTAATTTATTTGAAAAGTACATACATGTTCAGCTGGCTTTTTTGTTTAATTTAATTCAATTATTGAAATGAAAGGTAGGTCTTAGATTGTGCCCTTTGGTTTTGGTTTTGGTTTGAGCACCTGCCCCCAAAATGTCTGTGCACGTGCCTGACAGTGAACGTCACATTGTCACATTTAAAAAGTGTCCATAGTCCAATTTTGGATTAATGCTAAAGCCACTTTTTGATTTTAGGTCTCAGCTCACGGCAATTCAATAAAGGAATTTGTGGCATCTGAATAATAATGATCAAAGACTTTAAAGAAATATAGTTGGTTTGTTTAATTTGAAAAATAGGAGGAAAAATCGACCAATGAGAATCTCCAACTGAGTCTTTTTTAATGGTGTAACAAATGTAAACGAAGTGTTTTCTAAGTGGATTTGAATCAGAGTCGATGTGGATGAAGCAGGAACATAAAATGAGCGATGGAGGTAAAGTCTCTGCTGGACAGAAACAACGTGAGGACAGCGTTACCTTCTGGGTCATCGAGTAGAACCTAAATAAAGAATATGGACTTTCACTGGTTCCCTTAAACAAAACACAACGGATGAGTCCATATCAAGCACATTCTTATTTTATTTGTTTCATATTTCTCATCAATAAAAGTGACTTTATTAAGGCTGACAGCTCGTTCAAACCCAACAATGTGAATCAAACACGTTAGACAAACAGCAGACATGTAGAAGAAGAAAAAGAGACAAAGTTTAACCTCAAAGGAGCATAATTCATCATGAGAGCACGTGGATGACGTCACTCCACCGTGTCTTTCATAGCAGGAAGAAGTTTGAATGTCAGAGAAACTATTAATGAAAACATGTCAATATAAACCCTTTATCTTAAAATGCCAAATAAAACACTGTAACTGACGTCACAAGGTTGATCTCCCGTCTCTGCGCGTGGATCTAGAAGCTGTGGATCAGAGTCTGACAGAAGCTGAAGTTTCTCCAACGTTTTCATAGACCACTGCACCTTCGTCTCCATCTTCACGCTGCACCTGTGAGCAGCAACACCTGAGACTCTGAGACAAAGGGAGCAGATGAAGCAGCATCAGTGCTGAAGACGAGAAGAAGAATCCCTGTTATGTTGGACTCACTCGGTGATACAGGCCTCACTTTATTCTTCTTATAAACTAGTGAATCATCACAAACACAGCGTTTGGTTTCATGTTTTAAACTCACGGCGTTGACGTCCATCCGGGTTTCTCTCCCTGAAGGACAGAAGCATCAGTTTCATCTTAAGTTTCCTGTGTGTGAATGTTCCTGATAGAAGTGACGGCATGTTCTCACCTTTAGATCTCTTCCATGTGAAGAACAACACAACAAGAACAACCACCGTCGCTGCAGCCAGAATGATGAACCTCCACCAGCCTGCAAGTCAGAATCCAAACGTCACAAAGCTTCTCTGAGAGATTTTAAAAACACCAGGAGCAACATGTGGGACTCAGACATGTGGACGAATGACTCTGTGCAGACGTGTGTCAGTCCGACATTCATAAGTCATGATTATTAATATAACATCCACAACAAGGAGAGAGAGGAGGTCGTCACTACCTGGTGGTGCAGGTGGTGTAATGTTTCCCTCCCCCGATGGGCCTCCTTTGGTTTAGTGGAATACGATATGAAACACAGACACAAGAAAAGCAGGTGAAATAAATCAGTGTTTACTACCTGAGGAGACTGAATGAGGAATAAAATGATGTCGTCTTTTCACAAACGTACCTGTTTGTTCACATGAGAACTGACTGCAGGCTTCAAACAGCAGAGTTTTTCCACTCTGATTGTCTCTCATTTCACATCTCAGTGACTTATAATACTTTGACTTCTGATGAAGAGGAGCTTTAAACGTCACATTGGCTTCACAAGCAGCGTGTGATGTCGTCACATCAGTGTGTTTGCCGTCATAAAGCCACTCTGGTGCGTGTTCACACTCAGAGAATCTCAACACAAAGCAGGAAAACACAACCGAACCCCCGTAGTCCTTTTCCTCCACTGGTGAAGATGTTCATAATGTGAGAAAGACAACAAGAGTAACATTAACTTCTTCATCATTTAAATGATAATAATGTTTCAGTGTGTGGACAGTTTGAGCTGAAATGATTTAATGTAAATACTCACTTGTAAACACGTACAGAGAGACCTCACCATCTGGACCTTGTAGTCTTCCTCTTTCATTAAAATCTCTGTTGGTGTAACGACCAACATCTTCACCTGAGACGCTTCTTATAACCAGAGAACAGTTTGCTGTCAAACTCAGTCTGTTGGTTTTAGCTTCTGGAATCAAAGCGTCATTATTAATCTTCCCAAGTGTAACCAGCACCACAGTTGATCCACTACGACTGTAAAGCCAAGTAGAACCGTCACATCTGTCCTGATCCACACGGTTAGAAGGCAAAGTGACGTCATCTCCGGCTCTGACGAGGAAGCGGGGGACAGGGGGGGTTTGTCCTCTTACTATTGACACATATGAAAGAACTGAGGTAAGAATACAGATCTCTAGACTCCAGTCACACGTGATGAAGACATCGATAACAAACAGCATCAAACGTCCTTTCGCTAGAGTCCAGTGGACACTGGACATGAAGGTGGACGGTTGGACTCTCCTCACGTTGGTGGAACAGTTGCTGTGTGTTTGCTGTTCTTACCTGCAGCCTGAAGCAGCAGCAGCATCACACATAAAGTCCTTTGAGTCCCTCTGAGTTCCACCATGGTGTCTCTGCTCCTCAAGGCGTCTGACCGAGTGCTTCTTCCTCACAGATGCAGCTTCTGCTTCCTCTGGTTGCACAGCGTCACTTCCTCGTCGTGCTCATAGAGACGACGTGTCGGAGCTCTGAGGATGAGTTTCTTCCTCTTTGCATCTTGTGGTTGTTTCCTCAGAAGTGAAGAGGAAGCGTTGTGGTGAGAACGTGTGAGAACAGCAGCAGCTCTGCAGGTTTGAGCCTTTAGTGGAGACCAGATCACGTGAGGACTCAGCATGCTGGTTCCCTCCATAAGGGATCGTGTTCATCAGACGTTACTGTGAGGAACGTTTGATTAGTTATTAATCACTTAGAGATCAGGACTCATGCAGACTCTACAGAACCGCTCTCAGTTTGGTCCTGATCCGGCTTCACGCAGCTTTGAGCCTCTTTGTGTTTCATCACAGGACTCTTTCCTGAACATGAAGCATGCACACATGTCATGTGATCACTCTGACATCGTTCTGTTAACTGTCGCCACATTTAAAAAGTGTCCGTAGTCTAATTTTGGATTAATGCAGAAGTCACTTTTTGGTTTTAAGTCGTTCCTCTTTGCCTCTTGTGGTTGTTTCCTCAGAGGTGAAGAGGAAGTGTTTTGGTGGGAACGTGTAAAGCCTAGTTTATGCTTCTGCGTTTTCAGAGCGACGCAGACGCAGGACCCTCTTGAGTCCTTGCGGGCATCTCCGCAAACCCCAGTCGAGGGGAACAAAGTTGTGGAGGAAAACACGGGACAAATGTGTCCTTGATGCAAAGCAGCAGTGGCGATGCACGGGGCAATAAAGTCTATGATAAATAAACAAACAAACCAACAACTTCCACACACAAAGACGTGACTCTCTAGGTTGTCTTCAACAAAACACGTTACTCCGCCTGTTGTTCTGGTGGTGAATCGCTCTGCAACACACGCAAGACTTTTAGAATCAACGAGTGCGTCGACGCAACGACGCAGACGCAGAAGCATGCGCCAGAAGAGCAGCAGCTCTGCAGGTTTGAGCCTTCAGTGGAGACCAGTGGGAAAATGTTTAACATACAGATAAAGTATCTTCTAGTCTACTTCTAATAATTTCTACAATAAAATAACTTTTTTTATAATTATATATTTGTTTTGTATACATCGTTTAAGTCCTATTTTATTTATGTATTTATTTTTATGAATTTAATCAGTGTATTTTAAAAGGGGACAGATTGAAGAAAATGTAAACAATCCTCAAAGCTGCGGAGGACAGCGCATGCGCAGTGGTTCCACTATAATGCCATATGTCCTGAATGCTTTCATCACCTCACAGTCACATGAAATAGCAAGCAGTACTGCAGTGACCCCGGTTCAGTTCATGATGTTTATTTGAATTATTTAGCAGGTATTAATTGACAAAGGACACATTTGAAAAGGTTTTTAAACAGATAAATATTTAACTTTTTTTCATTATTGTCAAAGCCTGCGCACCATCTTTAAAGGATACATCTGTTTTCACTCAACTAAACATCAGGCTGAATTCATAATCCACAAATGAAGAAAGCTTTCGATGTAAAAATAATCTTGACAAAAAATATTAGTAAGTAAAAAAAAGTGAAGGGGGGTAATGATTTTACCAACCCAACAACATATTATTTTGATCCTTGTGAGTAAACACAGTGCTATTTATTAATTGATTATTGATGCACCCACCGGGCCCCTGCAGGTCCGTCCTGCACACACACAGCAGCGGCCACGCGCCGCGTGTGCGCGGCTTTCTGCTGCTGCAGTTCGAGGCTACAACTCCAGAAAAAAACCCTCCCTCAGAAAACTGTGGTTCCTCCTCCGGTCCTCTCCACCATGAAGGGTCTGATCTGTGGGAGGACTCCCCCCCGCGTCCAGTGAAGAAGACCAGGGAGAAGGACCTGCAGCATCCTCTTCATATTATATTCATTTATAGGCTTCTTGTCTTTTATTATTATTTAAATCTCACACGGGACACCGACCGACTGCGGGCCGATCCAATGGAAAATAAGGCTGCAAATTCGGAGAAGTCTCAACTGATAAACGAGAAGAGCGCGAGGATGTATTCTCTCAAACTGCAAAGGTGGGTTTTTATTTTAGGGTTCGTGCAGGGAGAATAATGCTGCAAGTTACACGTTAGATGTGGCATGCGACACAAAAATACATTCATAAGAGATACAACAACACATATTTAATAATGTCACGTTAGATAAGAAGCTCGGGTTCTCTGTCATTTGTGTGCAGAAAGTCACTAATTTAATGTTTTTAAAATGCATGTGTGCGTATATGAACCGCACGGCGGGTGCAGTCGTTACCGGGTGCGCGTGAAGCGCGCTGCCGCGCGGTTTTGTGTGAATGAACAAATTCATTTGCACGCTCGACTCGTTTGTGGACAGCTTGTGACAAATGGCCAGTTCACCGTTCACCATATATATATATATATATATATATATATATATATATATATATGGTGACACATATAGGCAGACATAATAACCTTTAGGAAAATGCAATTAAATAGCATTTTAATTAATACAAATAATTTAAACAGTGTTTTAAAAATACACATAATAGTGTAAGTGTGTATTTTCATAAAATACACTTTTTAAAGGAAAGTACCATTCAATGAAATACAAATGATCCTGCAGGTTTTTCATGTCGCAAATAGAAATGATAAATATTCACGTGTGTTCGGCTCTTCTCACGTTGAACAGACACCTGTGCGCGTTCACACATCGACACGGATCGATGACTTCGGAAATATCGGAAAAATAAACTCCATCTGGAGAGGGATGCTTCCTCCGTCCGCGTGGGCCTCCCGGTGTCCTTCGTGACGCCAGTGAGCTCTTGCACGCGCTCGTGTCAGCTGATTCGAACCATTAATGGATTTAAGGCCTCTTGAAAAAATATCTATCTTATCACGCGCGCAAAAACATCTCTTGAAAACATCTTTTGAAAGTGTCAGAAGAAGGTGGCGTGCAAGTGACGCGTGCTTTCAGACGCGTGCGTGCCTGTTCGTGCGCGCTTGAAAAAGGGGACGTGCATATGGCATCACATTTTGGATTTCATGCACCATTTGCACCGCGCGCGCGCGCGCGTGTGTGTGTGTGTGTTTGTGCGTCATATTTACATTTTCTCCAGCTGGCTTTAAAGGAAGTGACATCACTCTTCAAGGCCCAAATACGTCAGACATAAAATCGTTTGTTAAGAATCGGACTAATCAACTGGAACCACTTTCCGACGAGGCCTTGTTTGTAAAAGGTTAATAACACGTTTGTAATCCTTTATTGATGGTTTACACATTGATTATTAACGCTCCATGGAGCAGTAACGAGCCATTAAAAGAGAAAATATATTTATTTATTCTGAGTCAAATATTCTCACGATTACTCAGTAAGAAATTTACTTGTAAAATATTTTTGACTAACGATTAATTCCCCACTTGGATTTGTTGGTAAACTTAATCCACCATTAATCACCATAATTCTCTTTTTTTAACATGTGTACAGAAACAAAAAGCGTGAAATAATCTGTGTGAGAAGGCGACATGATTGATAATGTTATTAATAAATTGTTAGGAGTTTATCAATGTCGAGCTCATTAATCCACTCACCCTATTTGTTGGATGATGTACTCACTGTTAATCCCGATATTTCTGGCAGCACTTGAAGGCAGCATAACTGGCTGGGGGGGGGTACTGGGAGTCTGCCAGGAGAGGCTGCTTCCCTGATGATGAACCAGTGAAACCAGTCGGGCCTTTTGATGGACGTCGGTCTCCAGTCTGGTGCAGAAACGCTCCACCGGTTTCTACATTTAGACGTTTAAGATTCAATAGGCTCCGTAAAGGTAATAACCGTAAAAAAAAGGCCTCAGTCACCTCTGAGGAGACGGGTGATGTGGTGGAGTTGTTTTTAAAGGGAAGATGATGCACGAGGGACTAAAAGGTGGAGCTCACTCGTACGGTCGAATGAGGGCATCGTGCTCTCGTAGTTAGAAGGTTACGCAGTGATGGTTCCCTGTGTGAGTCGTATCACAGGGGAGACATTTAAAGTTCAATCACAAAGAAGACTTTTAGGGAGGAGGAACCATGACGACGTCGGACCTGCTCTGCCACCTGAATTAAATGATAAATCGCTCACACAAAACCAACAAATGACCGAAACGAATGCATCGAATTCATGACGTCAAACGCGAACGACAAAAACTAGTCAGGAGCCAAAAAGAAGCAACCAATGTGTTCATGTGTTAAACACATATTTAGATAAAACATCGAGACAAAGTGAGAATAAAAACAAGATTTCTGATGCTTTGGGTTGTTTTGTTGGGTTAATTTTAATTGAAGGTAAATCGTCACTGAAAACTGTTAAACAAAAGAAAACTCGCAAGTTATTGATATTAAAACCTGTTTAAAATGTGCACAATTAGAACATTTGAACGTTGCTTCGAGATTTCAGGACACTCGTGTGTGTATATGTTGTATGTATAGGGGTTGTGTGGGTGTGTGTGTGTGTGTTCTCATGTCTCAGTGGTATAATTGAACAGAATCTGTTTTCCACTCGGCTGATTCTCTTCAGTTTGGACGTGTGTGTGTGTGTGTGTGTGTGTGTGTGTGTGCGCGCGAGATAACGGCTGATCGTGAAACACTGGCAATCTCCCACGTGAAGTGTGCGACGTAAAGTGTGCGTCTGTGTGCGGTTATCTCGAGTGAGCCCAGATTAGTTTTTTCCACCTCATTAGCCACATCATCACAGCTTCCCCCTCACTGCACAGGAGCAGCAACCTGGATACGTGTGTGTGTGTGTGCGTGTGTGTGTGTGTGTGTTTTTGCTCTGCTCCCATGATTAAAACGTAACTGGATATACTGGTGTGGTGAAAGCTGACGGGGCGTTCTCATGATAGGAACATTAAACACCTTTAGGCGGAAAGTCTGTGTGCAGATCTGCAGCAGATGTACTTAATGTGTTGAAGGAGGAGGAGCCCGTCCTCGCCCACACAGCCCTGCTGTCCTGTTCAAGCTCATAACAATGAGCATTTTCTTCGGGAAGCGATTCTTATTTATTTTGATTAAACGTGAACGGTGAAGTGTTAAAGTTCAGATGGAGTACATTTTTCTCTTTGTCCCTGCAGCTCCTCCCCCGACCCCAAAGAGCAATACCCAGAGTTCCCCTTTAAGAACGGGGGCGTGGCCGGCGCCGTGGAGCTGAGGAGGCCCGTCGGCGCCCACTGCCACGGGGCCAAGGCGCCGGCCCGTGACGAGGGCGCCGACCGGCAGCTGGCCAGGAAGAAACTCTACATCGCCTCGGCCGTGTGCCTGGTCTTCATGATCGGAGAGGTCATAGGTGAGAGTTTGGAAGCCGTATTATTCGTGAGCTTTACAGTCGCCCCCTGGTGGTCACTACAGAGAATACACTGGCCTCACGTTACTTAGCAGTCCCTGGTTTCCTGCAGGAGGCTACCTGGCCCACAGCCTGGCCATCATGACCGACGCGGCTCACCTGCTGACTGATTTTGGCAGCATGATGGTGAGCCTGTTCTCCCTGTGGATCTCCTCCAGACCGCCCACCAAAACCATGAACTTCGGTTGGCACCGATCAGGTGAGAACGAGAGCGATGGAACTTCACGTCCTCCCTCAATTTAAAAAAAGGTAATGAGGACTCCCGCCTCCCCCCCCCCCCCACAGAGATCCTCGGGGCGTTCGTCTCCGTCATCTCCATCTGGATCGTCACGGGGGCTCTGGTGTATTTGGCCATCGAGAGGATCGTACGCGGCGACTACGAGATCAACGGCCACGTGATGCTGATCACCTCGTGCTGCGCCGTCGTCGTCAACATAATGTGAGCCGGGCGTTATGTCGACGCTGTGAAGGCGGAGATTCTTAAATGTTTTGTTTTTTTGTATCGGTAATTTCTGAATTGACTTACGACAGTTTAATTTCTGCATTCTCTCCAGTGACCACCAGGGGGCGACTCCGGTGGTCACATAGACGTGGAGTTTCTAGTTTCGAGCAGGAAACACAAACACCTCCCCCCGATAATCAACCCGTGGCCTCTTCTTTCTGCAGCATGGCCTACATCCTCCATCACTCCACCACCTTCCACGCCCACGGCACCGGCTACCACCCGATCGACGAGGGCGGCCAGAGTCCCGTCGGCCACGGCCACTCCCACGCGCTCCTCGGCGGCCACAGCAACACCAGCGTGCGCGCCGCCTTCATCCACGTGGTCGGCGACCTGCTGCAGAGCGTCGGCGTCATGGTGGCGGCCATCATCATCTACTTTCGGGTCAGATATAGATCACGTTCGTGTTTGCGCGAGACTGAAACGTTGAAGGAAATAATCCCAATATGGTCTCTTGGGATGTGCGTAACTGCATCGACTGGTTTACGCTCTAAATACTTTCATATTTTACCTGAATATTCTGTGGAAAATCAGCTTTTGTACCTTAGAAAGACGCACTACGATGTGTTGTTCTAAAAGGCATCCAGAGTGTGTATCGTGAAAGAGTTAAACATGCAAGATGTTCCCTCTTTCTTTCTGCCCCGGGCTCTCTAACGGCCGCCGACTGGAAAAACGCCATCTGACGCCCGTTAATTTACTCTTCAAAAGCCTCTTTTCACTCTTTCAGCCCGAGTACAAAGTGGCAGATCCCATCTGCACCTTCCTGTTCTCCGTCTTTGTCCTCTGCACCACCGTCACCATCCTCAGAGACGTCTTCAGGATACTCATGGAAGGTGCTTCACCCGGAGCGCCACTTATTTGGGAGACTATTTAAAATGTTTAAGTTGGGAGAAAACCTACCAATCCGTCCATGCGGTTTCCAGTCCTCGTGCTAAGCTAAGCTAACTAGCTGCAAGTCGCAACTATGTGCATCGACCTCCTCAGCTGAACTACGCTTCACTCAGAAATGCTTTCATTGTGTGTGAATGCTGCAGGCTCCCCTAAAGGAGTGGAGTTCAACTCGGTGAAGGAGGTGCTGCTCTCCGTGAAGGCCGTGAAGTCCATGCACTCTCTGCACCTGTGGGCTCTGACTCTGGGCCAGGCGCTGGTGTCCGTGCACGTGGCCATAGGTGAGACGACGCAACCGTGTGCGACCTACACACACACACACACACACACCTGCACACCGCAGGGGTCTAACTCGGATATTCTTATTGTGGTATTTGTACTTTTTCCTTGAACGAGCCGAGAGGAGAAGGAGGTAAAACGTGGGACAAACGTAGCGGATCAGAATCTGGTGAAACCGGACTCACGGCTTCGTGTTTTCTTTCTGCTCTGTCCGGGTCAGAGGACGGCGCCGATGCTCAGTCGGTGCTGCACGAGGCCACCGACCTGCTGCACACCAAGTTCGGCTTCCACAGCATCACCATCCAGGTGGAGCTCTACTCCGAGGACATGAGCCACTGCTCCCACTGCCAGGACCCCAGGGACTGATGCCCCCCCGACAGGCGCCGCTGTCCCCCGTCGTCCTGTTAAAGGAGTGCAAACGCTTTTGGGTTTTTATTATTTTGTGTTTGCGATTCAGTCACGAGGCGGCGGAATCATCCACGTGTCGCCACGCTGACGCGGCGCTGGGCCTTCAGTGGCCTAAATCACCACTATTGACATAAAATATAAGAATAGACAATTCAAGTGATGCAGCAGAGATGATATTTGTGACACGATGCAGCCTCTCCCGGTGGATTGAAGCAAATGCCGGTTGAAAACACTGCCTGACGTTTTGTATTTCTTATAAATTGAGGAAAACTGCCAAATGAAGGACCACGTGAGTACTTTATATATATTGAAGCTGCTACTTATTTTCTACAGTAATTTCCCTGATTCCACACTAAAGTAGAGCATGAGCCCGCGTTAAAGTGTCAGCGCGGAGCACCTGGCGTCCTACCGGGGACACGTGGATGAATTTAATGTCTCAACCTCACCAGGAGGACCGTCTACACCTCACTGCCGTCTTTGATCTGATCAGACATGAATCTGCAATCATTCACCGTGAGCTCCGGGCCTTCAGGCCAACAGGACACAGACCAAACCGCTCTGCGTCTCCCTTTAAACATCTAGCGTCCCCCATCAATCCGCGCTGAATACAAGTGTTGTACGTCATATATCCAATAATGAATCATGGAATCGCTGACTTGAGTCTCTGGTGTACCGTCCTTCATTCGGTTTGATCACCTCACGCCAAAGATGAGGAGACTACGTTTCAAAAGGTTGCAAAAAACAATATTTAAAACACCTTTTTTCCGTTTTAGGTGGTTTTCTTTTATAGCTTTGAAGCAGTTATTCCTGCTTTCTCTTTTCGGTCGGTCCTATTCTGTTGAGCGTTGCTTATTGATCGGTCTGTATTGATGAGCGTCAGACTGGAAAAGCAGTCGGCTGCTTCTGCTGCGGCCCGACGTTCTGTTCTGAGAGCAGAAACGATCACTTTCAGCTTCAGGCAGTCGATCATCTCACGGCTCTCATTCCTGCTTCAGTGTTCCCGTCTCCCCACCAGCTGTCTGACTGCTCCACCAGTCTCATCCGTCTCACCGTGCATCCACCCGATCCTCCATCCATCCACCCGATCCTCCATCCATCCATCGTCCATCCACCTGATCCTCCATCCATCCATCGTCCATCCACCTGATCCGCCATGCATCCATCCACCTGATCTTCCATCCATCCATCGTCCATCCACCCGATCGTTCATCCTTCCATCGTCCATCCACCCGATCCGCCATGCATCCATCGTCCATCCACCCAATGCTACATCTATCCATTGTCCATCAGTCCATCTTCTATCAGTCGTCCATCCACCCAATCATCCATCCATCGTCCATCCACCCAATCATCCATCTTCCATCAGTCCAGTCACCCAATTATCCATCATCCATCCACCCAATGCTACATCTATCCATTGTCCATCTTCTATCAGTCGTCCATCCACCCAATTATTCACCCAATCATCCATCCATCCATCGTCCATCCACCCAATCATCCATCGTCCATCAGTCCAGTCAGCCAATTATCCATCGTCCATCCACCCAATGTTACATCTATCCATTGTCCATAAGTCCATCTTCTATCAGTCGTCCATCCACCCAATTATCCATCATTCATCCACCCAATCAGCCATCGTCCATCCACCCAATCATCCATCGTCCATCAGTCCAGTCAGCCAATTATCCATCGTCCATCCACCCAATGTTACATCTATCCATTGTCATAAGTCCATCTTCTATCAGTCGTCCATCCACCCAATTATCCATCAGTCATCCACCCAATCAGCCATCGTCCATTCACCCAATCATCCATCCATCCATCATCCATCCACCCAATCATCCATCGTCAAACGGCCCATTATGTGTTGTTCAACAGGCCAGACAAGTTGAGTGGTGGAAGGTCAGAGTTCATCCTCTGGGGAGCTGGGATAAGTAAACCCTGAGCCGGTCGGTGTCAGTTCACGCTTAACAAACAGAATCATTGGTAAAACCTTTGCGGGCATAAGAGAAGTCGACACGCCTGTAATAAAAGCATCGATGTTGTTGGACATTTGTACATCGTGAACTCTGGGCCGAACGCTTGCATGGTTGTTAGCTGTTATTCAATGTCGCGTGCGATAAGACGTCTCCTCGTTCGACGGCCAATCAGAACACCCCGCCGAGGGTTAATCAAAGTCAAGACTCCTTTAAAACTCTATATTTTCACCAATTTTACTGTACTGTATTTTTAAATACGTTTATTCCTCTTGAAATACTGCAAAATGAGAATATGTTATGGCCCCCGGCGGCAAAGTTTAAAGTGAATTTAACACCATTTTACTGATAAACTCTTCATCTTCATTGACTTTCCTCTCGTGTGTTCCCTGTGGAAGCGTCGTGTCTGAGAATGCCGTGTCGTTACTGCACCTGTGACTGTAAATATGTCAAATATTGTGTTTTCTGTGTAAATACACGTGTCCCTCTTGTCCAATCGGTCCTGTTTGTCTCTGTGCTCTTTGTTGCATAAATCCACATCTCACATCCGTAATGTTTGATATTTCATTTGTATGTATTTTTTGTAACGTCAAATAAAAGGTGATGGAAAGCTGCTGATTATTATTATTATTATTATAATGATTGGAGAGAAACCTCTTTTATATTTAGTTTTAGCTCTCGAACCGCTACGAAGATCGTTTTCAAAAGCTACTTTTCCGAGGACTCAAACGTTCATTGCAAAAACTTTTTATTAACATTTAAAAAAATAGCAATAGAGAAAAACAACAAACGAGAAGTGGCGGCACATTTTGATGCTTTTATAACTATGTTTGAAATTCATAAGTTAGCAATAATGACGTCATTCATAAGCTACTTTCCCGCCGCTCATTAATCGGCATTGGGACCGTCGATGACATTCGGGAATTAAAGTGAAAGACAAAGGAAACTCTTCTCAAAGCCCCTAATTAAACTTAGAGGTCAAGTATTTAACGCAAAGTCTGAATTAAAAAGAGAGACTGCTGCGTCTGCAAACAAAAACACATTATTTCTCAGTTTTTCAAACACTGGAAAATAAATTAGCGCTTGTCACAAAACAGCAGCTGCTCTAATTAAGACAATGAATCAAAACCTGTGAAACACCAGAAAAACAGCAGGAACACGGCAACCGCTGGAGAAAAGAACCATGAGGAAAAATACATAAATGTGTCATTAAGAAACATTTCATCCAGCAGCAGATTAAAAAGATTTCAAGTATTTCCCTTCAGTTAAAAGCCTGAGTTGCTCCTCACATAATAAAATGCAAAAAGCAGAGATGCGCTTAAATGAATAGTTCACCCAAAAACAGAAGTGATTGTCATCGAGTGGAGAGATGAAGCTTCTGACTCGGTTTGAATGTTTTTCGTGGAGATCTGTTGTTCTTTCACTGTGAACTTTTCCTTTGTGAGATTTTTCTTTTATTTTAAACGCAGCACAGTTCAGTTTAAAAACATCAACTGTGAAGTGGGAGAAGAAAATTGAGGAAAAATCTTTCACATGGCGTAAAATAGGAGACAAGATGTTGTGGAACAAACGTCGGCCCGAACAGCGTCGCCACGGCAACCGACTAAAGCCGCCGCGTTCTACTGATTAAACAGTAAATCCAAACCTGTTCTAAAAAAAACGCACGCCGAAAAAGCTCAGTCCTCCACATCTTCCTAAGAAACATCAGTCTGATTTTCTTCTTCACCTGGTAACAGATTATCGTGAGCGGGAAACAACAGAGGCCACAATTTATGAATGCATTCACTTTTTTTCTTTATGAATCGCCTCCCTGCCTCGTTAGCCCCGCCCTGCAGTGATGTCACAGCGTACCGACACGCCCCGAGTGTGCACTTGTACGACCCCGTCGACCTCTAGACGCAGAGGAACCAAAGACTTGTTGCAAGGCCGCGTGGGTATCATTGGTGTCCTGAGAGCGGTTGGTGGTACGATACTGAATGTGTGAATTAGATTTCTACTACTTCACTTTTCTCAGACACGTTTGCAACGTGCAAAATAACAGAAACTCGGGGCGCTCAGCGAGGCACTTTAACGCCGCGGGCCTTTGATGGTAGAACGTACTTCGTTTAAAAAGGCAGAGGAGGAAACTCTTCATCGACCAGGAACACTTTCAGGCAGAACTTTAAGAACATCGCTGATCTTTTGGATGAAGCTCGTTTTTTTAAAAACATGTGCTGAGGGAATAATACTTTTATTAATCCCCACAAGAACCCTCTTCCGCGGGCCGGCCTGCGGGTGATCCACCTGCGGGTTGGGCCTCCTGTTCACGAACGGCGTCCTTGGGGGAGTAGAGCGCGGCGAACTGGTCCCGGGTCTCACCGATGATCTTCTCCGTCTGGGAGCTGACCATCGCCCTCAGACAGTTTATCCTGACCAGCCCCGACTGGCCCGCCGACGCCACCCAGGCGTGGGAGCACATGTTGGGGCTGAAACGCACCTGGAGGGGAGGAGCAACAGACGGCGAGGTCAGCGGAGGCGAACAAACGTGCAAAGCGGCTCTCGCGCTCCGAAATCCGTCATGGACAAATGTGAAATAGTTGCCGCTGTTCGCTGCACTCAACGGCGACCTCGTGGTTCCAGTCTGAGGAGCTTTGATCTGAAGTCAGAGGACGCGTTTCATCGCCGCGGCGTCAGCGCGCGGGCCGAATACCGGGGTCGTATTTATGCAACCTGAGTCCATAGAACGTGGTTTCCCGTCCACTCTTCCCTCCCCTTATTCCGCTCGTCACCAGCAAACATCCCGCCTACATAAGCGCCTCCCCTTCAGATGAAGACGAACCCCCTAATGTCCGTCATCCCGTCCCGGGGACATCCGCCGCCCTGACGTCTTAAAACTGCTGCCCATATTATACTCGAATGGCGCCCCCCTCCCCCCCTCCATTCCACCCACATTTTTCTCATTTTACACATCATTACATTCTGGCCGTCTTTATTGCTGCTCATCAGAGGACGAGAGAGAGAGCGAGAGAGAGAAGGGCAGGTGGGGGGGGATCTTTCTCCTCCTTGTTTGTGTGTCTGTGTGTGGATACCTTGTGCAGTGCAACCAAAGGCGTCTCCTCCACCTTCAGCTTGGTCTTAAACTCGGTGGCCGCCATGCGTTTCCACACAGCTCGCTTCTGGAACCCTGCGAAGGTCCGCTGGAAGTCCAATGATCACAAACATTTTATCATTACATCCTAATAATTAACTATAATTACCAAGAAGCTGTTTGAACTTTCACAGTTTTGTAGGTTATTGCTTCAAACTATTTTGATACATTGGGCGATTTATTTCACACAATTCAAGAAGTGATGGACGACGGCTGTAAGTCCCGCCCATCAATGGCGGACCGGCCAATCACAGCGCAGTTGAAAGGAGAAACCAGAGACCCGTTTGTTAATTTACCCACCGGGTCGCTGTCGGTGTGCTGCAGCCAGCTGCTCCTCGCCGCCTCTTTGAACGTCGGGATGCGTAAGGAGGGACATTGGTCTCTCACAGCTCCTCCTCCATCTCCTCCTCCCACACCTTCTCCTCCGCTCTCTTCGGCCTCTCCCCCTCCCTCTTCCTCCTCCTTGTCCGGTTCCGTCTCTCGGCGGTCTTCTTCGGTGGTATCGTGAGGCATCAGAGACGTGAAGTAGACGGGCTGAAGGACACGTTAATGCGAGCGGCTGTTTAGCGCTCCAGTCGCGAAGCTCCTCTCAAAGTGTTTCTCGGTGGGCGGTGAACTCACAAAGCGGCGGTCCAGCGTGCGTTTGACCTGCACGGGGACGGTGCCTATGTGGGGCAGAAGAGAGAGGATCACCTCGCCGAAGTCGTCCGCCGTCGCTACGCTGTTCAACCACTCGGTGTACGATATCGACTGCAGCGGAGAAGAAAAGACGCAGATCAGCAGTCAGGCGTCTCTTCTGTCCCCGCGTAGAAACCGGAGCTTGTCCCACATATTCATGAGGAAGTACACATGAACGACATAAAACTCTCAGGTCGAGACTCCCGCGTCTTCCCCCCCATCGACGGCTCACACTCACCCACACGGTGCCGGTCCGCGGGACCGCGAAGAAGGTGTGCAACTGGTGGTCCATGTAGTGAACTCCCTGTGAGCCGAACCTGGAGGACACACAACAGATGAAAACACCCCCCAAGTCTCGGCGTCGGCGGTCTGCGGGTAGAGAGGAAGCAGCCTTACGCTGCGTACGCGCTCTCCTGCGCCAGCAGCAGGCCCGGTCCGTTCAGGGGCCAGAAGACCTCGTTGGTCAGGTAGCGCTTCTGCACCATGATGGGCTGGTAGGGACGCCTCAGGTCCCACTTCTTCACGTAGCGGTCGTCTCCCGCCGTCATCAGCAGGAACCTGCCGGTGAATGACCAGCGTTTGTACGACTGTGAACCTCATTGAAGCTGAAGGTGTATCTGAGCGACGAGCTCATACATTCTGTGCGCGACTTATCTTCTCATTCCACCTTCGTGGTTCCACCTTGTTTTCTTTAATGAGTTTAAAAGGTGACATCTCATATTTTCATCTGATGCTCGGTACTCAAAGAAAGATCCTCAGCCCTCGTGCTGGCGTCACATTGGTGTGTTTCGCACAATCACCCACATTAATATTCCTTTGTCGTCGGCACCTTAAAATGACGACATTGCAGATTTTTTTTCCCGCCTCCACCGGAGCGGTTTCAATGAGACGCACCGACGGGACGGGGCGGGCTGACTTATAGGCCAGCGATGAAAGTAAAGAGACGCAGAGCATTTTAATATTAAAATGATCCTCGCAGTCCGTCCATGAGAGCATCAGGGACATTTAAAGGTGGAGTCTAACAATCCTTCCTCTGGACACCAGAGGGATGAAAATGATCATTATGCATGAGTGTTTCGTAATGAAGGACGGCATGAAAGGTCGGGCTGACGGGTTTAAAGCTGCGATGCGAGAATGAAGGAATTAATTAATGCTGTTGCTGTAACATTAATTAATGTTAATGCTGCGATCACTAGACTGTCCTACACAGGTCTCACCTGGAGGCGGGGCAGAAGGACAGCGCCCGGACGGCGTTGTCGTGAGCCATGAGGCACCGGTAGGGCAGCAGGGTGAGCGACTCCGACTCCCGCAGGCGCAACAGGGCCGACTTAGTGGACAGATCCCACAGGCCGACTACGCCTGGAGAGACAATGAAGACACAAAGCTCGTTGGGACACAGAGAAACACCCGGGAAATAATTATAAAAGTAGACTTAAATACGTGAGTGATGTTTGCAGGAGAAATCCATCCATCAGTGACCCGGACACAAAGAGCCTGACAGACGAACCCGAGGGCGTTCAGGCCCTTTGTTCGTTCTGCCAGAGCGTCTACAAGGAATCAATCCGTACCGTCATAAAAGCCCACGGCCATTATGTTGTGGGGCTTCTCGGGCAGCCAGTCCATGGACAGGATTTGGCCGTTTTTTTGGTGGGGAGGGGGGTTCAAGGAACCCAGCCTCAGGGTGAGAAGCCCCTCAGCCTGCAGACAACGAGGGGGGGGGGGGGGGGGGTCCATCAGACGTCACCGCGGCAACAGAGCGAGCGGACTGCATTGGGAAGTTCATGACATGCCGCGCGTGCAGAGTTTATGGAAAAGCATCTTGGACCTGGAGCCTACCTGGTAGACGGGAAGCTGCTCTGCGTCGCTTTCTGCAGAGAAACAAAAAAAACACGAGCGTTATACAGGGAACAACATGCCATGTGCATGAGAGGATGCCGGGAGACGGGGTGATGGAAGGTGATATAATTAAACGTAATATTAAAGAGAGATTAGAAGACTTAGAAGAAAGGAGTGTTTGGTTTAAATAATTCACAGGAATCGTTCTGTTAAAGTGGCAACAAATAATAATAAATAGAGTCACATGAAGTCTTAAGCATTAAAACCAACCCGGACATCTGAAACCCAAATGGGAAAATAATCTCAGCATTAAAAGGCCTCGACTGGAGACTGATAACAGATCCGTTCTTCTGGTGAAGATAAGACCCCCCCCCGCCCATGAGGATTGACGCAGTCGGGGTAAAAGGTGTCGGCTACTAGAGCTGAAATTCACGGCTTCTAACAGCAACGACCGCTCAGCGATGCATCTTCTTTGTCATTTCAATTACAGATCCTCGCCTGATGGAGAGCGGCGCTGGAAGTGATGGGCCTTCAGTCTGCTTTTTTCTTTTCACCCCCCCGATGCCTTTTTCACCCCCCCCCCCCCCCTCCAGGCTGCAGCTCTTAACAGCCGCCTCCTCACATTCATTCTGGTGACTGGACAGACAAAAGCCATTTTTAATTATCTGTCCAAAACAGGCACTGTGCTGCTGCAGAGAAACACACACACACACACACACACACACACACACACGGACACACACACACACGGACACACACACACACCACACAAACCCATCCGAGCCTTTCACCTTTAACCCGCTGGGCCGAGAAGCTTCTCTTGTTTCACTTGGTGAGAAGCGGATTTACCCGGTTCAACGTTTTCACATTAAAATAAAAAATAAAACAATCAAAAGTGCTGCAGCGTTCTGGAGGTTTAAGAGCTGCAGTGTGCGTTTCCATCCGGAAACGGTGACATTTGGGCGGAGGAGGTGGAGGAGGCTGACGAAGCGTCTCTTTGGAAGCTCGTGATCCAAAGCTAAATGCAAACCAAACTGTAACTTACGTTATAAAATATTAGAGCCTGTGATCCTTCAATCCAAGGAAGTTGTGTTTTTGCATATTTTAACTGTTAAAAAATGTAAATATATATTAACTGCGAATGCATTTTAAATTGTTAAACAGTTAAAGGAATACAAATTCTGCCCACTTGATGTGGAATAATTTAATTGTATTTCACAGGCTACATGTGGGGATCTACGCCTGTGAGGGTGGAGCTCATCCACAACGCCATCACACCGCTGACATCAGGCGAGAGGACACGCCCCCTGACACCAGCCGGACGGACGCAGGAAGCGATTCAAAGAAATGTGCGAGCGACACTTTGATCCAGACTGGTGCAGAGTGGTTTACTCAGAAACACACACACACACACACACACACACACACAAACACACACACACACACACTTCTGTGTGTGTGATGGATGCGGTCGATAAGAACGCCATTAATCTCGTTCATGCAGCAAAGCTCCAGCTTCTAGAATCTCAGCAGATACTCACACACACTGCGAGTGAGTGTGTGATTGTGTGTGTGTGTGATTGTGTGTGTGATTGGTAAACAGTTTGTTGGACCCCCGAGCTCTAAACAATCCTCACGGATGTTTTTCCTTCATTGATTTTGAGACCCGTTTGCTAAACGACGTCCGTGTCTGATGTGATTAATACGCTGATTTTAGACATAAATCAAGTTGTGTAGAATAAAAAATAAGAAAAACGTAGTCTGAACTCATCCTCATTAATTGATTAATTAATTATTAATGATGCCAAACATTCTTTGGTTCCAGCGTGGCTGAGAATTATCAGTGTAAACTAAATATCTTAAGATCTTGGTTGAATAGAAGCAGCAACACTCAAAATAGTTTCTCGTCTGGAAATAAACGTTGTGTTGCAGTCACATGACTCACGCGAGCCTCGGCCTCCGTCAAAAGCTCCTCACCTCCACCCGTCGCGGCCGAGCGTGGGCGAGACTCTTTGGGCGGAGACACGGCGATGCAGAAACACATTAAAAGATGGAGCCGTCCTTATTGTACTTATATTCTTCACTCGGCGGGAGCTTTTTTTTTTTTTTTACCGGAGGAGTGCGACTAAGTCGCTGCTTTACTGCGGGAATCACTGACTTCATACATCGCCGCCCCCTACTGGCCACACGGCGCACTTCATCTCTTCAGTGTCACTGCTGTGAAGCAAAAGCCCTTCGCCATTGCTGTGATGTTTGTAAAACGCCGTTTAAGCGCTCACCGGTCGGCCCCTTGCTGGCGTGCAGAGCGTCCGGGTGGGGCAGGCTGTAAACGGTGACCACGCCGGTGGAGGTGGCGACCGCCAGGAGGCCGAGCCTGGGCAGGAACGGAGCCTTAAGCCAGACGGGGGGGGGGTATAAGTGCTTTTAACATGCAGAGCAACGGGTGTCTCGTGTTGCAGGAACACGTCTCACCTTCCTGTCACAGCTGGGCAGCTCCCAGCCCCCCGCCGGACACCACTTCAGGTGCCAGATGAAGCCTTTGTCCTGCGCCAGGCCGTATGCCAGGGCCGGCTGGCAGTCCGGGCTGGAAGACAGAACGGTAGTATTGACAAAAGGGGATTTAGCTTTGGATTGAAGAATCAGGAATCAGGAAACATTTATTACCAAAATATGGCAAACATACAAGGAATTTGTCTTGGCGGTTGGTGCGCGACAGTAGACAGACAATAGAGGTGGGAACCTAACTATAGATATTACCTACAAAAGAGACAGACACAAATATAAATTAAATTGGAAATAATAATTAAGAAAATATATTCACATTTAAAATAATAAAATAAATAGCATAAATAAAAATGTAATAATTTAAATGGGGAAAAAACGTTTTAAAAAAATAATGTAAAAAATAAGAAGAAAGAATGAATAAATAAATAAATACAATGGGGTAAAATAAAACAAAATAACATATATTTTTTTTTTTTAAAGACAGGTAATATAAAAAAGACATAATAATAAATACATAAATTGAGTAAAAAACAATCAAAATTGTTTTTAAAAAAAGGAAGAAAAAAAAAAGACCTTTGGTTGTACTCCAGCCGGCCAATCTCCCACAGCTGAACGATTCCCTTCCCGCTGTGCGTCCTGTTGACGCAGTGCCGGTCGTCCATCCCCCGGTGGCAGCCCAGAGCCACGTACTGGGAGGCCGGAGCCCCGTCGGGTGTGGGACACCACTCCATGGCCCAGACCGGTCCACCCGCGTACAGCAACATGTCCCAGCGACCCGGGTGAGTCGGCGCCGCTGTGAACCTGGCCGGTGACGTAAACAGAGCGAAGTGATAAATGATGATATGATTTAATAAATGCATCATTGGGAGGCATCAACAATCTCCTCCTGGTGCATTTTGTAAAAGGCGTAAAAGGTGTCATTTTAAGTGCTAAATCACAATTTAAAAGTATAAACTTAACAGCGCGCGTCCTTCTAACCTGCCGAGTCTTTGCAGAGGCGTCTCCTCCTTCACGCCTTCTCTGGACACCCTGAAAGCAACAGACTGACGCTCCTGAGGCAGGAAGTCCTCCAAGTCACTGAGGAGCACACGGGACACACGCACCTTCAGCGGTTACTTTACTTCACTCCTCTCAGAGCAGATCGGCGTATTTTAGCTCGATGGGTGAAAAAAAAAAAAAAAAGCAAAGGGTTCAAGGTCGACTACCTGAGTGGAACGAGGTGCCAGGTGCTGGTGGAGGGGATCCACTCTGGGAACACCCAGCTGCTGTAGTGCTCCTCCCGGCTGGAAATAATAACGTCAGGGATCAAACACCTGATTTTCCACAGCTGTAAGCTTATTACGCTGTTATTGAGCCTGTGGTTCGACTAAGAGACAACAGGAAGGAGGGAAGCTACTCACAATTTCTTGGTGATCTTGGTGGCTTCCCAGACCACCTTCATGACGTTGGTGGTGAGCCCGTTGGGCGTTTTGGGATTGGGGCCAATCTGCAGGAGACGTTTTGGTTTATTTTCCATCTTAAAAGGGACACTGATGATTCATGACTTGGTTCTGATTGGTTGTGATAATAAATAAAGTGAAGAATCCAGTAACCAGTGAATGAAAGAGGATGCAGGTTTTATCTAAACGCTTATCGCTGCCTTGTGGTTAAAATAGAAGAACGTGATCACAACCAATCAGAATGAAGGAGAAGACTCTACGTACATGTATCCTGGAGGCGGGAAAATATCTTCCATCCTCCTCCGATTCGGAGTTGGACTTCTCCTCCTCCTCCTCCTCTTCCTCTTCGCCACCTGGATGGAAGTCCTCATCTTCTGGAGCCCCGCTGTCAAAGCGCTTCCTCTTTCGGCCTTTACTCCCTGCATGTTAGAACTTATTTTGATACGTAGTGATGGAGAAATATTTTTGCATATTACTCTTTTTTTTTTGTCAATAACAACACGACATGTTACGCTCCGCCGTACCTTTGCCCCCTTTGAGGTCTGTCGGCTCCCCGGACGCGTCCCCGGGGTGGTTGAGCACTTCTTTAGCCAAAATGTGGAGGTACTTCAACGCCCTGGGGAGACATTTGAGAACACTTTCAACCGCCTCCTCCTACGTACCTGAACGCGCCCGCCGCCTCCCCGCCTGCGAGGTGGGCGCGATTAAACGAATCGCCCAACTCACGCCTTAGCCGCTCCTCTCCGCTGGCGCCCGCTCGGCGTGGTCTCCTCCTCGGGTTCGTCCGCAGGCGCCTCGCACGGCGGTTCTGGGACCGGCTGCTTCCTCACGTACTTCCTCTTTGTTTTCGGAGTTCCATTTTCCAGCTGCAGGACTCCTGCAACCGCGCCCCCCCCATTGGCGGTGGGAGTTTTCTTGGCGGGGGTCTTCTTGGCGGGGGTCTTTTTCGCCGGGGTCTTCCTGGCCCTCGTCACCTTTTCAGGAGTTTCCTCTGAGGGTTCATGATCAGAATCCTGAGGCGTCTGTTCGGCAGCGTCTCGTCCCACATCCTGGATCTGCCGTGGGGCGTTCTCAGTCTTTGGCGGACTTTTAAAAGCTGCTCCTCTTCCTCTTCCTCTCCCTCTTCCTCTTCCTCTTCCTCTCCCTCCTGCTGCTGATAACCTCCTTTGTGGTTCTTTTTTGGGACTTTGCCCATCAGACGGTGAATAAGTTTCAAAATCGGAATATTTCCTATTTTTCTGTCTCTGTCGTCCTTTGGAGCTCGGTGACGAACACGGCGGCTTGTCTTGCTCTGCGTGGAGAGAGACGTCATTGAGCGCAGGAGTACAGACGCGTCTTAGCGAGACCAAGACTCTTAAAGTGTTGTTATCATGTTACTCCCACAGGCTGCTTCCTTGCAAAGAGAATCCACACACCGAAATATAGCAACGCACGCGTAACATGGTGCACAAAAAAATTCATGCTCTTGAATAAGCATTTAAATGTTGTGGTGCATCACCTGGTCCAGGGTCAGTGGGATCCATGGGTCCTCGGTTTCGGGGGCTGTGCAGGTTTTCTTAGATGCCTCCTCATCTATGGAGCAGATTTCTCCTCCTCTGGTTCTGCTGTTGCTCATAAAAGAAAACGAAATAAGACACACGTTAGCATTTTCATCTTCATATTTCATCATCCTGCCTTAATGGTCCAAGCCGACTGAGCCAAAGTTTCCCCAGCGGGTAAATGACTGCATGGGAAGTTTTAAAACATTCAGCGTGGAAACCCGGAGAGAAGGAGCCAGGCGCATTGCCCATATGGACTCCACGACACCGGACCTCTTTCGCTATTAGGGCCGTTTAACGGTTTGTTCCGTTCCGAGGTTTGAACCTCAGTGATATGAACTCAGATACTTGACAGATATTCTAGTGTTCGGACCCCCCGTCGGTTCGGCGGGTGTTTCAAACCTCATACGTGCAAGTACCAAGTTAGAGAGTCCTTCACACACCGCAGCTATCAGGCTAACGCCACCGAGCTAATGCTAAGCGGCTAAAGCGGCACCGGAGCCCACGTCCGCGTTAAGTCATCCAAACCCGCCTGAAATCGGCCGGTAACCGACGGGACGTTTCGGGTCAGCCCGTTAAATACTCACCCCGCGCGGACCTCGGGCTCCCGCCTCGGTGGCGGAGGCTGAAAAACCTCGCACCGTATCCGGGTGACGCTCGCAGTCTGGGCCGCTCGGGATCGAGTCCCGACCTCCGCTGCCGAACGCTCCGCGCCGCGGGAGGTCGACGGAACCGCGGAGACGAACCGGACGTGTCGACCGAACCGGGGTTCTGTCTCGAACCGGTAAAACGTGGACACCGCGCAGGCTGCTGCCACTGGTTTCGGTCGTCAGGAACTCGCTGTCAGCCCGCCGTCACACCGCCATGTTGCTGTGCCGGGCACGGGGAGCCACACCGCCCCCTGCCGGCGCAGCGGGCCGCCGCGCCGGGCGACAAACCGGGGAGGCGCCGGTTCAACGCCGGGGACCCCCAAATACAAAAAAAGTACTAAAAGTACGAATACAAAACATTAAAATAATTATCTGGATTGAAAATTAAACGTATTATTAATTTCCAATTCCAATGCACAAACATCCAAAAAACAAAAATCAAACAAACAAATCTATTACAGATGCAAATGTCGTTTATCTCAACTATAAAAAATCACACGATCAGGTTTGCAAGATCAACTTTTTTTAAAGACCAGAATAGCATTTTAAAAAGATAGCTATGTTATTTGATACTTCAGTAGTGAAGACAGTTTATTTTTCTTAAGGTACTTTGGGTTGTTGGGAGTAAAAAATACTTTTTGAACTTATATTTAAGTAAAATTATTATTTAAAGGAATACTTGGATTGAATTGAATTGAAATTTATAGCGGCATTGTTTTTAGTAAAGTAACGGTGAAAGTGTATTAACACATTATTAAACATGTCAAATATATTTAAATATTTAAAATAGTTTTAACATGGAAATATTAATGAATAGTAATTTCAAAATCAGTTATACCTTCCATACGTTGTAATTTTATGTTCATATTTTTATTCTATTGAAACGTACGTTGGTATTGTGTTATCTTTTAATCCTTACGCATTGTTTTCTAACACATCAGATGTTCACATGTTGTGCTTTTTACTGACGACACAGAGCTCCGAAATAAACAGGAATTAAAACTTTAATCATCTTTGTGGTTATAACAATAAAAAAAACAAAAAAACAATACTAACATATTCAATGTACAAATTCATAACATAAATTCTGCTGGGATTATAACTCGTTATAACTCGAATATAAAGTATGTCTCTCACAATGGAAGAAAAAAAAGATTAAGTGCTTTATTCGTTTATTTAAACTCTAGATTGTGTTCACTTCCTGGATTTAATAACGTTGGCGTTTTGGTTCTGTGGCAAACAGAAGGGGACAAAAAGGGGAAATCTCCCCACGTGGGCTCTAAATCACAGTTAATTTCTTCTCCTGATTGTTAGAAATAAACTCATAAAACCTGTAAATGTTGTATTCTGAAAAAAGACATACCCACTTGAATACTTTCATGTATAGTTAAGTGGTCTCTGGAGGATCTGGAGGGTCCTCTGATGGAGGTCTATAGAGGATCAGGACTAAACTGGGACTGGTTCAGAACCAGTTCAAAGTTCCTCACAGTAACTTCTTGTACAAATACTTCCCACGTTTTCTACTTTAAACTCTTCCATAAGGTGTCTGATGAGGGACATGGAGGTAAAATCCTTTCATATAGTTAAAGGTAAACAGATTAAAGTGTTGATGATGAATACATTTTTTTTTAAGTGCACCACAGAATGAAAAACAATACATTCATAAAAAACGCAAATAAGACATCAACCAATAGTGTTAAAAGGTCACAAATAAATGACTGAGGACCACGACCATACTTCACTTGAGTAGATACAGAGCACATCAACATCAGGCTTCATGCTGTCAGCCCGCCATAAATAAACCTTTCCTCCATCACAACACGGACTAAAACCCTCTACGGCTCTTTGATTAGAGGTCTATGTTTTAGGAGGAGCTACATCCTGCAACTTCTATATTTATAACTATAGAATAGAAAAGTGCTGAATGAATGGAGTCCATCGGTTTACCGCTCGCTGGGCGGACGAATCGACTCAACAAAGCTTTAACCGTTAATTTACCGCGATAGACATGAAGCTACGTTGTATTCACTGTCAAAAAAAAATGCATTTAGTTAAAATCTCAAAATGTAACCGGATGAGATGAGACTGAAGTCGGTGGTTGGCAGGGGGGAGGATGAGCACGCAGGGCGAAGGTGTACAGATCGTCCTCAGCGGCACAAAATATGTTCACAGAAACACAAGTGTAAAAAAGTACGACAGAGAAATGAACTTTAAACATGAAAGACAGGGAATGTTCACGGACATTTCTCTAAAGAATAGGACACGTTAAGAAGATAAAACGCTACACTACGTCCACTGAAACGCCTCTGGACCCGAGCGTGTGTGTGTGTGTGAGACGTCCCCTCGAGGTTTCCATCGGCGTCTTCTGAAGAGGTTCGAAGACGTAAATAGCAGCTCTGTCTTTTTTTTCTTCCCTCGGTTTAAAAACCGGCTCAATTTTTTCCTTTCAAGTCCCTTGAGCCTCCCCACCCCCGGGGGGGCGGGGCCTCCGCGGCGCCCGGGCGTCTCGAGCTCCACTGGTCGATCGGTCTCTGCCTGTCCCGCCGCTGCTCCGCCGGTGGGCCGCCGCAAACGCCTCCACCTGCACCGAAGGCAAAGCAATCCCTCCGCCTCCCATCGGCGTTCCCCCTCTCCCCCCTCTCGCCCCTCCTCCCGTCCGCCATCACGCCGCCTTCCTCTTCGAGTTCTTCGAGCTCCGCCGTGTCCATCTCGATGGGGGCCTGCTCCGGTCCCGGCCCCCCCGGCTCCATGTCCACCCACATGGGCCCGGGCGGATGCTCCACGGGGGTGAAGTGGAGCACCCGCTGGTGCAGCTGGGGGTCGAGGCCCTGGTGCTCCGGGTGGAGGAGCTGGAGGTGATGCATGGGCGGGTGCTCCAGCTGCAGCTGCTGCTGGTGGTGGTGCTGGTGGTGGTGATGGTGCTGCTGTAGGTGGTGCTGGTGCTGATGGTGGTAGTGATCCACCATCTGTTTGTCCACGTTATGGACCACCTTGGGCTGGTTTTTGAGGAACTTCTCAAACTTCTTGGAGGCTTTTTTGTTGGTCACAAACCAGTCCTGTTGGAACAAGGAGGCGGGGTCAAAGACATGTGTTGTTGTTGTTGTTGTTTGTGTGTGGCCTAAATGGCGCTCAGCTTGAACTAAGCGGTTACCTGTGAGTGGACGGAGTTGATGTGGTATTTCACGCCACTTTCGGAGTTAAACTCTTTATTGCAGATCAGACATCGGTATTTTCCAGCCTCGAAGTCGCCCTGGAACGAGATGCAGATGCAACAGACTTCACCTGAACTCCCATCGACCCGTTTGTATCATCACATCCACCTATAAATGGCTTTCAGAAATCATCAATATTGACGTCACTATGTGCAGTTTCTTTTACTCGTCATTCTTCCAAACAGTAAAAGGAGGAGAAAGGCTGACGTAGGCTGACGTAGGCTGACGTACCCTGGAGCAGAGTCCCAGATGAGCCTTCAGTCCAGACACGCTGGTGTAGGTGGAGCAACAACCCTGGAGGAGGGTCACGCACTTTAGGAGAGAGACTTAAAAAGGAACACTCCCTACTAACTTGATTGAAATAAGTTATTTAAAATAATAACAGTAAATTTAATTTCCCTTTAGTGGTACGATGTTGTTTCCTCCCCACGGCGTCAACACAACAAACGCACGCAGATACACAAACGCATGGATAAAAGGGCGTGAGGGGATGGAGCCCTGCGCTGTTCTCCACCTGGTTGGGGCAGTGGACCTTCCTCTGCAGCTTCACCTCGTTCTTCCACTTCCTCAGCACCTCCTGGCTGAAGGCCGGCAGGCCCGGCCGGGCGTATTTCAGCTGCGATAGAAAACACACAACCGCGGTTACCACGGCAACGGCCCAAGCGCCCGCTCCCACCCCACCCCCCGGGGAGCCTTTCTCACCTTCTTGTCGTCGGGCACCAGGTCCGACTGGAACTTCCTCTTGGGCCAGTCCTTGGGCAGGTCGTTGTTGGCGATCTCGGCCAGGTGGAAGTTGGCCACCTGGGCGGAGGCCCGCTGCACCCGCCCGCTGGCCGTCCTCTCGGGGTCCGCCTCCCTGCGGGCCTCGTCTTCCTCGCTCTTCTGGGGCGTCTGGGTAAGTGGGGGGAGGGAGGGGGGGGTGAGGAAACGGTTGGAAATCGTCCGAGTCGGCGCGCGCGAGATGAAACGCAGGACTCACGGGCGCGTGCTCGGATTTCAGGTGGTATTCCAGCCCGGCTTTGGACCTGTAGGCCTTCCCGCAGTGCGAGCAGTTGAGCAGCATCTTCTCCAGCTCGGACTCCTCCTTCCCGCACTTCTTCGTGTGGTACACGTAGCCCATGATGCTGGTGAAGGCGGCGTTACAGCCCTGACGAGAGGACGAGAGGAACCGTTTCACCCTGGATTCATCCTGTCGGACTTGAGTAAATCTCAGTTTTATTTTACCTCTTTGGAGCATTTTAATTTGCCGAGTCTCTTCAGGATTTTACGCAGTTTGTCTTTGATGGCGCGGTCGTCCAGGTCCTTGGCGTCTTCTGCAGAGGGCTGAACGGAGGGGGCAAAGAAGCCGAGAGCTTCGATCATCCACAGCAGTGACTGCAGAAGGTCGTGTTCCGTTGCTCCCGTTATTTCTCCCCCCGAAATGTTTTATTCCCACTTTATTTCATTCGACTCATCACAACGCGAAGACCACGAAGCAGGCGAGGGGGGGCTCTTACCAGATGGCTGTGGTCCGCCATGACGTGGTACTTCATCCCCGTGGAGGACTTCAGCTGCTTCCCACAGTGCTGACAGGTGAAGGGCAGCTGCACGCAATTCACACACAGCGGACGCTTTAATCTGAGCATTTCTTATTTTACTGACTTATTCATTATTTTAGAGCTCATGTAAATATCTCAGGTGCCTCCTGCAGTACTCTGAAGCACCTCCAGGGGTAACGGTGCACTGAATTCTGCTCATGAGACGTGTGTACTCGAGGGGACACTTGGTACTGAGGAAAAGGATGCGAGTCCTCCGAGTAACTCTGCTCTTCTTCTGCACTTTAAGGCGTGCGAGTCGTCTCGTGTTAAAGCTCACTGACGTTCCGCTCACCAGTCGGCAGTTCTCCATGTGCTTCTTCAGCCCCTCCACGGTCTTCCTGCTCACGCTCTTACATTTCGGGCAGGTGACTCGGCCTTTGGCCACGATCTGCAGATGCCATTGCTCCTCTTGACTTCCTGGTGGACCCCGACAAAATAAGGACGATTCGTTTTACGTATTTTAAAGTCGCGCGCGGACGGAGGCGAATTTTGATCAGACGAAGACAACGCGGGCCGGAGATGGATTCTGGCTCACCCGGCGGGTACGCGGGGGGCTCCTTCTTGGTGGAGATGACGGGGGGTTTCTGGTCCTCGCTGGGGGGCGGCGTCGAGGCCTCACCGGCACCATCCCAATCTGAAATATTTACATTAGAGGAAATATTTTGTTCTATCATAGAGACAAAAGCAAAAATCCATCTTTTTAATTTATTCCTTTATTTAAGAAATGCTCTATTTGAGTAAATAAACGTCTCGTGTGCGATTCATCCTTTCAGAATAAAATACATGTTCTAAAAGAGATTTATATTCAAATATTGCTCTACACATGAGCTGCTCCAGTTTCGTCCACCAGCAGGAAACGGGAACGCTGTCAACACTTCTTCTTCTGAATGAGATGTGACTGATAACAACAAACATGTTACTCACTTGAGTCTCCGCCGTCTGGGGGCCGGGGGAAGACGCCCACGGGGGGGTCTCGCTCCGTCTCCACTCTTTGGACTTTCTTCATGTTCAAGTCTTCAAAGTCAACACAGAAATACTCCACATGTACAAATGCTTCACTTCTCTTATGAATGACACACACAGGGAACATCTAGCTTGTGAGGTACAGCTACGTCCTATTCATGTGCTTATGAGCACACAGGAGTGTTGCATTCAGGGTCCAGGTTCCCTCTGATTGGTCGGATTCTGTATTCTACCGTTAGCTCTGTGTTGTTCATGACCGGAGCGCATTTACCTGTGACCTGCATCACCACGTACCGGGTCTCCAGACGGGCCCCCTGTCTCTGCCGGCGCCGCCCCACCCTTGGTCTTGGCTCCGGCCGCTCCCCCACGCCTGCTCTGGCCCCCGGGAGGGCCCCTCCCTCCCCGGGTCCCTGCCCGCGTTCCAGACCTGGTCCTGGCCCCGGTCCCTGTCGGCCGCCCAGCCCTGCTCGGGTCCCCGGTCCCGGCCCGTCATCCAGGCCTGGTCGGGCCCGCCGTGGCCCCGGTCCCTGCCCGGGATCCAGGTCTGTTCTTGCCCGGAGTGCGGCGCTCGGTCCCTGCCGGAGGTCCAGACCTGCTCCTGTGGTCGGTCCCGCCCCGGGGTCCAGGCGTTGGGGCCCCGGTCCCTGCTGGGGTTCCAGCCGGGGTGCTGAAGTTGGGGCGCCGCCCTGCCGGCCTCGGGGCCCTGAGGCCACGCGTCCTTCCCCGCCAGTCTCGGAGGCAGCCTTGCAGAGGGCGGAGCCACGGACCCGGGGTCCGCCCCATTGGCCAGGCCACCCGATGACATCACTGAGCAGCTAGTGGTCGGGTAGTCTACTGTTACCATAGAAACACTCTGGAGGTCCTCATACCTGGTTTAAAAAACAAACGCAAAACATCAACACTTATTGTTCCACTAATGACGAAGAAAAGTTATTTAAATGGAAATTTAAATTTTTACAAATAAGTAATTATTTCAGTATCCTCACGCGGCTCTAAACGCTCACCTCTTCCTTCCACAAGTTATCCTCGTCTTCAGGGCGTCGGGGGCTTCGGACTCGTCATCCTGAAACATTCCAGCAGAGCGCTGTGACGAACCACAGATCCATGTGCACTCAAACTACTCGTCGCGTTGTTCTCACCTGAGGAGATCCCGCTGAGTTCAAGCCGCAGCTTCTCTCCGCCAATCGCTGCACAACTGATGGGAAGCAACGTTGCACTTGAGTTACAATCAGAGACGCAGAGGGGACGGGAGCTTTTCAGAATCAAACCTCCGTACCTTTGGGTTGGGACTGGGACGATTTGCGCTTCCTCGGCACGTACAGAGGCGACATGTCCCCCCCGCTGTGTGCCGGGTCCATTCTAGGAGGAAAAACAGCCAATAAAGACGCATTTTGTCAGTGACATCAGTAATTATTAGTGTGTTATATTCTATTCTGTTACCGCTTGAGCTTAACCATTGATACTCAATACATAACCACGGCCAAAAGATTATTACAATGATGATGATGATACATTGTTATGACTATTTTTACATTTATGTTTATTTTGCTGCCTATATTTTATTTTCTATTATTTACGTATGTAGAATATATGAGCTTTACTTGAAACAGTATTCTTACAGTTGTGTATGATTATGAAATACGCTGCACCAAGAAAATAACATTATTATATAATAATGATATATACATAAATACAAGTGAAAAGAATGCAGACTACGTGTTTTTAATTGTGTATTTCTGCGTTTTCCCTCTTCTAGAAGTTTAAACTCGTGTATTTGTACTTTTACCTCCATTACGTAAACAATGAGCATATATTCATATAAATACACAATGAGCATGTGTTTCACCCGCACGTTTGTTGTGTGCGCGCGTCGTCACGTTGAAGGCCACCGACGAGAGGCGTTCAGGGAGCCAAACAAAACGTGGTTAAAGTGAGCGACGCGTGAGCATATTTATAGTTTTCCACCGAGCTCTCCGGCAGGTAACGGTCATCCGCGCGTCCGTGTGAATTAAAACAACATGAAGACATTAACGGGACATTTGGAGGACGACGCGTGCAGCCGGAAGCGGAACCAGCTCGGCACCCGAGACCCGGTGACCGGTGCTCCCGTTGTTCCTTACCGGGAGGCGGGTCGGTGGAAGAAAAACGCAACGGCAAGCCTCCGGTTCTACGGTACCGTCCCTGCGCAAAGACGGTTAGCCTCCATGTCTGCGGAGTCCCCCCCCTCCCCTCCTCCCGCTCCTCCTCCTGCTCCTCCTCCGCTGCCCCCCCGGCAGTGACCCCTCCGAGGGAGGGGCACCATGAAGGGAGGCGCCGGCGGATCAAGCTCCTGCGATGCGGGCAACGAGAAGACGAAGCTCCCACAGCGTCTACGCGCGAAGGACGCACGCCGGCATTGTTGTGCACTCCGTGCGTCTCGGGAGGAGGAACGCCCTCCTGCGAACGAATAAGAGCCGCATCTGCTGCCGCGTTGACGGGCGGTGGGAAGTACCGCGATTTACACGATGACTTCGTCTTCGTACGTTTAGGACCTTGTGCATTCTTTAAAAAAAGCATGCTGTGTGACATTACATTATTGTGATTTATGTACAATACGATATCTATACATATATATTATTTTATGTACGTCATCTCCCTTTATTATATTTGTGAATGCGTGAGCCAGCTGTTTCTTCGTCTTCACCACACAGTCGCGGAAGTTTACAACAGACCCTGAATGCAGCAGCACGGGGACCAGAGGGGGGCGGGGCCTCCAGACAGCCGACAGCGCAGTAAGATAGCAGCAGGTTAATGAATGATTGATTTCACGTGGTTTCACATCCAATAAAGTTGCAATACATTTTCCCTTGTTGGGCCCATTTGGGCCCATGAGAGATTACAGCGTTGCTACGAAAACCAAACATCCAGCAAACAACAAGCCACCTGAAATGTCTCATCGGCCCTCCTGAGGAAAATAGGAGCTTTTTAGCAGCTAAATGTAAAACCTCCTCCTCCTGCTTCGTGCTCTGTCAGTCGAGGTTAAAGGAGCAGTCTGTAGAGTTTAGCGGTGACGCTGCACAACCGACTGAAAATGTTATCAATACTTTATTGCCTCTCTGAGGTCGAGTGGAAGATGCCGATCTCTGAACATTGGACATTGAATTGATGAAGCAAGTGAACTCGTAAAGTCACATCTACTGTGCTTAAAGGTGTTACACCTGTAATTCCTCTGTGATGTAACATCTGGGAGGGTCCGTGCACCACAGCAGCAGCTCTGGCTCCTCCCTCCTCCCCCCTGCGCCGTCTCAGACCCTCCCTTCCTCCCTCCTGTGTTTGCCTGCTTGTCAAAGCAAAAGTGAAAGCAGTCTGACGGAGAGGGAGCTGAATCTATCGTCTGTGTGTTTGAGACGAATATGCCAGATACCTTGACAACAAATTACCAGTCCTTTCAGTAAGTAAGCGTCCTGTGAAGCGCCGGGTGTCAGCATGAATCGGATGCACTCTGAGGGTTATATGCTTCTGAGGTAACTCCAGCTGTGGGGGGGCAAAAAGAATCCGTGATACATGTAAGAATAGTCTGTACTTTGGACCGTGTTGACTTAAGGTTCCTCTGTGTTTGCTCCTCAGGGACGATGAGCTGCAGCAGAGGAGAGGTGAGAGAAGCTCTGATAAATGAATACGTTTCTCAGTGGTGGAACGTGGAAAAGTACATTTATGCCCTCAGGAGACTTTACCTGCACAGGGATTACTTTCCCTTTTCATTTCCTTACAGCACATTTAGCTGCAAATACTTTTTATACCTTTTATTTAAATTAGCTTTTGAATGCTTTTCTTACTTAAAAGTCTGAAGCAGTGTGTAGCAGTTGTGTTAATAATGGCTTTTGTGCGTTGTGGGACTTTTGCTGATTTTATCTCCCCCTCCCCCACAAGACATGACCTTGAGCAGTGTGTAGCAGTTGTGTTAATAATGGCTTTTGTGCGTTGTGGGACTTTTGCTGATTTTATCTCCCCCTCCCCCACAAGACATGACCAGGTTGTTGCAAAAGCACACACCCATTTAAGGAACTATCGGTATGTTTTGTTAAAATGAAAACCGACGGACGTTCTTCCCTTCCTTCAGTGTTTGGGAAGAACTTCTTCGTCCACCTGGCGGGAAAGACCAACGGCGCTCATGGAGACGTCGTCAATTATCTGAAAAGGATCGGCAAAGTCCAGGTGGAGTCCTACGCAGAGAGCGACTTCCTGATGGTCTTCTGTCCCGTGGTTTCACGAGTCGGAACCGACATCGAAGCGGCCCTGAGCGACAACTCGGGTAGGAAAGTCCACCGAGGATTCAAATAACCTAAAATAAGCTCAACATGTGGTGGTTTGTGGCCTTCTTGAACATCGCCGTGTGCCCTCAGTGCTGACGGATGGCAAACCGGCGGTTCTGGTGGTGATGCATCACACGTTCGATCCCCGTCACGTGGTGGCGGAGAGCAGGAGGCAGGTGAACGACACGAGGGTGTGGCTCACCGTGGACTGCCTGTTCTACCAGAACAACCTCCTGTCCTGCTCACGCAACGACATCATGCAGAAGCAGGTCGCCGACTTCCTGGGATCGTCTTCCGGTTCACTGGTACGACGACTGCTTCTGACGCGACGAGGCGTCCACACAACGTTGTGGCAGAAATGAGGGACGTGATGAGTCTCCTTAATACTAATCATGTGACCTCACATTATTTTCTTCCTTTCCTACAGGTTCCTTTCTGGAAGAATACCACATTCCGTAAGTGTTGCTTTAACCTCGCAAGCAAAATAAATCATTCAGTGTTTTTAGTCAAATATCCAATATTTGAGGTCTTTGAGCTTCAGTGGAGGGAAAGTAGCAAAGCATCTTTCATAGAATGTGGTTTTATATTTAAGGTACATACCAGAGTGCAGTTTGAATATTTCAGCCCTGCATTCTGTGTAGTGACCAGCAGGGGGCGACTCCTCTGGTCCCATAGACGTCTATGAGAAAACGACTCTACTTCCCTCAGTAAACATTGTAAACAGGAGTTTATGGTCTCAATCTATAGTTTCAAATCTTCTTCAATACAGCATTTAGTAGATTATGGTCCATTTCAGTCAAACAGACCATAAAGCAGGGTGTGATTTACCTAATAAAAAGTCTCATTGTAGGGGATGTTTTCACTGTGGTCACATCTGTTTCCTCTCTAAATAAGTTGACTGTTGATCCAAACATCTTTTTTCCTTTATTTTAGTTGTGGTGGCAGGAGCTGTTTGTTTAGTGGGGGTGCTGTTGGTGGTGCTTATAACTCAATTGCTTAAGAAATAGAAGAACAATTTCCAAGAGGACCGCCGCTGACACGCTGGAGATGAATTAGTCTCTCACCGATAACAGAAGGCATCTTTAAATAATATTACTGTGTTTTGGCTGAAGCGTTTGATCAATACTATTTTTTCTGAGGCACAATACTTGGGAAAATGAAGGAAGAATAAAGCAAGATACAGAAGAAGAGAGTCATCATGTTGGCTGTAATTATTCCAAACTGATTTTACCTTAATTGTTGGGTGTGAAACTGTTACTTTACAACCCTGATTGTTGCACGTTCATGTTTAAATGTGTCTTGTAGAGTCGTGTGTCATCAAATCTTACGTTTCAGAGTCAAAACGTCCTGTTAATGAATCATCACATATGAAGATTATGTGTTGTTCCTTCATGAAGAATGAATAAAGTGGTTGCATCCCGTTATCTGTGCATTTGTCTCTGTGGACGCCGGCGTAACGTGCACTGTAGCAAATTGCTGTAAATTTACGGTGCATTTCTAACGGTATCTTACAGCATGTCATAATAACTGTAACATACAGTTAAATTCCCATCCCTTGCTTGTAAATTGACGGCCAATGTCATGAATAAACAGTTAAAGCTGTCAATTTACAATAATAGCAAACTACCGCAATTCAACTGCATGTTACATATATTTTATGAAGTGGTAGAACTACACATACAAGTGCAGTGAATCACAATCCATCTACATCTGTTGTAGGTTAATTTATGGAAGCCCATGTCAGCCACTGAAAAACAGGTCCTGTAAGTCATCATAATGAGATACGATGATGACTTTGACTTACAGGACATTACTATACATGCAGCTGTCACTTTTATCCAAAACGCCCATGGTTTGACATCATTTTATGTGGAGTAATTGGGGGTTAGGTGTCTTGCTCAGGGACACTTCAACTTGGCACAGGGAGCAGCCAGGATTCGAACCGCCAACCCCTTGTGCTGCACAGCACACCCTCCCTATCGCATGCGCCGCCTTGTTTGGAAAAGCTGCACACTGGCTTCCTGTTTGTGGGGGGGGGGCGTTCAGTCCCGTGCACTCGCTGGGGAAACGTTCTGTACGAAAGATAAAGCTCCTAATGGCTGTTATGAGATGCGATGGATCCCGGGGAGAGAAACGACAGGAATGGAGGAGCTCCGCCATAAAAGGAGGAATCACACACGAATGGCTGCTCCAACCGTTTAGAGGTGGCTTCTAATAAGGGATGGTGGAAATGAATGAGGGGGGGGGGGGTACATGTAATAATGATTTGAAAGCTCAGTGGTGATGTCCAAACGTTCATCATGGATATTAGCAGTGGGATTGGAGAGTAGTGGGAGGGTCCGTGCAGCACAGCAGCAGCTCTGGCTCCTCCCTCCTCCCCCCTGCGGTGTCTCGGACCCTCTCTTCCTCCCTCCTGTGTTTGCCTGCTTGTCAAAGCAAAAGTGAAAGCAGTCTGACGGAGAGGGAGCTGAATCTATCGTCTGTGTGTTTGAGACAAATATGCCAGAATCCTTGACAAGACTTCACCCGTCCCAGTAAGTAAGCGTCCTGTGAAGCGCCGGGTGTCAGCATGAATCGGATGCACTCTGAGGGTTATATGCTTCTGAGGTAACTCCAGCTGTGGGGGGGCAAAAAGAGTCTGTGATGCATGTAAGAATTGTCTGTACTTTGGACCGTGTTGACTTAAGGTTCCTCTATGTTTGCTCCTCAGGGACGATGAGCTGCAGCAGAGGAGAGGTGAGAGAAGCTCTGATAAATGAATACGTTTCTCAGTGGTGGAATGTGGAAAGGTACATTTACTGCAGTTCCATGAATGTACTTAAACTCAAGCTCAATGACTTTAGCTGCACAGGGATTACTTTCCCTTTTGATTTCCTTACAGCACATTCAGCTGCAAATGCTTTTTATGCCTTTACTTAAATTATCTTTTGAATGCAGGATTTTTTCTTACTTAAAAGTGTGAAGCAGTTATGTTATTAATGGCTTTTGTGCATCATGGGACTTTTGCTGATTTGACCTCCCCCTCCCCCCAAGACATGACCAGGATGTTGAAAAAGCACACACCCATTTAAGGAACTATCGGCATTGTGACCACCGGTAGCACAGGGTGCGGTTATTGACTATGAGAGGCTCGGTCACCAGCCCCACCACCCCAAGCACTCCTGAAAAGAACCAAAGAACCTGCAGCGTCGTTGTGTGCAGCCTTTAAGCTCAGTCTAATGGGTAAACCTGCAGCATCCCAGTCTAATCCAGCTCAGGAGGTCCATTTCCTCACTGGCCACAGTATGTTTTGTTAAAATGAAAACACAAGTATTGAATCAAGATGTTGTCCATCGTTTTAAGAATTACAAAGTTCAGATATGTTTAGCGTCCTTTTCAAATGTCTGCTGAAACCAGCTGAAGACGGACGTTCTTCCCTTCCTTCAGTGTTTGGGAAGAACTTCTTCGTCCACCTGGCGGGAAAGACCAACGGCGCTCATGGAGACGTCATCAATTATCTGAAAAGCATCGGCAAAGTCCAGGTGGAGTCCTACGCAGAGAGCGACTTCCTGATGGTCTTCTGTCCCGTGGTTTCAAAAGTCGGAACCGACATCGAAGCGGCCCTGAGCAACAACTCGGGTAGGAAAGTCCACCGAGGATTAAAATAACCTAAAATAAGCTCAACATGTGGTGGTTTGTGGCCTTCTTGAACATCGCCGTGTGCCCTCAGTGCTGACGGATGGCAAACCGGCGGTTCTGGTGGTGATGCATCACACGTTCGATCCCCATCACTTGGTGGCGGAGAGCAGGAGGCAGGTGAACGACGCGAGGGTGTGGCTCACCGTGGACTGCCTGTTCTACCAGAAAAACCTCCTGCCCTGCCCACTCAACGACATCATGCAGAAGCAGGTCGCCGACTTCCTGGGATCGTCTTCCGGTTCACTGGTACGACGACTGCTTCTGACGAGGCGTCCACACAACGTTGTGGCAGAAATGAGGGACGTGATGAGTCTCGTTTATACTAATCATGTGACCTCACATTATTTTCTTCCTTTCCTACAGGTTCCTTTCTGGCCAAAGATGGGGTCTTCTTCCTGTTCACAGGTACGACGACTGCTTCTGACGCGACGAGGCGTCCACACAACGTTGTGGCAGAAATGAGGGATGTGATGAGCGTTGGGTCGTGGTAACAAACCATGACACCTGCTGATTATACCAGAGAATGATTCACAGCACGAGAAACAAAGACACTCAGTCGACTTCATGTTTCTTGCTGCAAGGGGAGCCCGGTCAGGAATCGTAGAGTACTAGACTCTTCACTCGATCACAGCCAACTCTGACCGGATTTCCCCTTGCAGCCTCCTTTTTATCGAGGGAGTGAGCTATGCAAGCATGATAAGTCAGCACTTGTCCGTGAGAAAGGACAGCAGTACAGCAGTGATAGCAACACCAAACTGGGTGTGCCGATTCGAGATGCAAGCAGTTTACACAATGATAACAACGTAAAAAGATTATAAACTCCAAAAATGAGTCTCCTTAATACTAATCATGTGACCTCACATTATTTTCTTCCCTTCTTACAGGTTCCTTTCTGGAAAAATACCACATTCAGTAAGTGTTGCTTTAACCTCGCAAGCAAAATAAATCATCCAGTGTTTTAGTCAAATATCCCATATTTTAGGTCTTTGATGAGCTTCAGTGGAGGGAAAGTAGCAAAGCATCTTTCATAGAATGTGGTTTTATATTTAAGGTACATACCAGAGTGCAGTTTGAATTTTTCAGCCCTGCATTCTGTGTAGTGACCAGCAGGGGGCGACTCCTCTGGTCCCATAGACGTCTATGAGAAAACGACTCTACTTCCCTAAGTAAACATTGTAAACATGAGTTTATGGTCTCAATCTATAGTTTCAAATCTTCTTCAATACAGCATTTAGTAGATTATGGTCCTTTTCAGTCAAACAGACCATAAAGCAGGGTGTGATTTACCTAAAAAAAGTCTCATTGTAGGGGATGTTTTCACTGTGGTCACATCTGTTTCCTCTCTAAATAAGTTGACTGTTGATCCAAACATCTTTTTTCCTTTATTTTAGTTGTGGTGGCAGGAGCTGTTTGTTTTGTGGGGGTGCTGTTGGTGGTGCTTATAACTCAATTGCTTAAGAAATAGAAGAACAATTTCCGAGAGGACCGCCGCTGACACGCTGGAGATGAATTAGTCTCTCACCGATAACAGAAGGCATCTTTAAATGATATTACTGTGTTTTGGCTGCAGCGTTTGATCAATACTATTTTTTCTGAGGCACAATACTTGGGAAAGTGAAGGAAGAATGAAGCATGAAAAGATACAGAAGGAGAGAGTCATCATGTTGGCTGTAATTATTCCAAACTGATTGTTGCACGTCCATGTTTAAATGTGTCTTGTAGAGTCGTGTGTCATCAAATCTTACGTTTCAGAGTCAAAACTTCCTGTGAATGAATCATTACATATGAAGATTATGTGTTGTTCCGTCTGACGGAGAGGGAGCTGAATCTATCGTCTGTGTGTTTGAGACGAATATGCCAGATACCTTGACAACAAATTACCAGTCCTTTCAGTAAGTAAGCGTCCCGTGAAGCGCCGGGTGTCAGCATGACTCGGATGCACTCTGAGGGTTATATGCTTCTGAGGTAACTCCAGCTGTGGGGGGGCAAAAAGAGTCCGTGATACATGTAAGAATAGTCTGTACTTTGGACCGTGTTGACTTAAGGTTCCTCTGTGTTTGCTCCTCAGGGACGATGAGCTGCAGCAGAGGAGAAGTGAGAGAAGCTCTGATAAATGAATACGTTTCTCAGTGGTGGAACGTGGAAAAGTACATTTATGCCCTCAGGGGACTTTACCTGCACAGGGATTACTTTCCCTTTTCATTTCCTTACAGCACATTTAGCTGCAAATACTTTTTACACCTTTATTTAAATTAGCCTTTGAATGCTTTTCTTACTTAAAAGTGTGAAGCAGTGTGTAGCAGTTGTGTTAATAATGGCTTTTGTGCGTTGTGGGACTTTTGCTGATTTTATATCCCCCTCCCCCACAAGACATGACCTTGAGCAGTGTGTAGCAGTTGTGTTAATAATGGCTTTTGTGCGTTGTGGGACTTTTGCTGATTTTATCTCCCCCTCCCCCACAAGACATGACCAGGTTGTTGCAAAAGCACACACCCGTTTAAGGAACTATCAGTATGTTTTGTTAAAATGAAAACCGACGGACGTTCTTCCCTTCCTTCAGTGTTTGGGAAGAACTTCTTCGTCCACCTGGCGGGAAAGACCAACGGCGCTCATGGAGACGTCGTCAATTATCTGAAAAGGATCGGCAAAGTCCAGGTGGAGTCCTACGCAGAGAGCGACTTCCTGATGGTCTTCTGTCCCGTGGTTTCACAAGTCGCAACCGACATCGAAGCGGCCCTGAGCGACAACTCGGGTAGGAAAGTCCACCCGAGGATTCAAATAACCTAAAATAAGCTCAACATGTGGTGGTTTGTGGCCTTCTTGAACATCGCCGTGTGCCCTCAGTGCTGACGGATGGCAAACCGGCCGTTCTGGTGGTGATGCATCACACGTTCGATCCCCATCACGTGGTGGCGGAGAGCAGGAGGCAGGTGAACGACGCGAGGGTGTGGCTCACCGTGGACTGCCTGTTCTACCAGAACAACCTCCTGCCCTGCCCACTCAACGACATCATGCAGAAGCAGGTCGTCGACTTCCTGGGATCGTCTTCCGGTTCACTGGTACGACGACTGCTTCTGACGAGGCGTCCACACAACGTGGCAGAAATGAGCGACGTGATGAGTCTCGTTTATACTAATCATGTGACCTCACATTATTTTCTTCCTTTCCTACAGGTTCCTTTCTGGCCAAAGAACAAATTCAGTAAGTGTTGCTTTAACCTCGCAAGCAAAATAAATGATTCAGTGATTTTAGTCAAATATCCCATATTTTAGGTCTTTGAGCTTCAGTGGAGGGAAAGTAGCAAAGCATCTTTCATAGAATGTGGTTTTAGATTTAAGGTACATACCAGAGTGCAGTTTGAATATTTCAGCCCTGCATTCTGTGTCGTGACCAGCAGGGGGCGACTCCTCTGGTCCCATAGACGTCTATGAGAAAACAACTCTACTTCCCTCAGTAAACATTGTAAACATGAGTTTATGGTCTCAATCTATAGTTTCAAATCTTCTTCAATACAGCATTTAGTAGATTATGGTCCTTTTCAGTCAAACAGACCATAAAGCAGGGTGTGATTTACCTAAAAAAAGTCTCATTGTAGGGGATGTTTTCACTGTGGTCACATCTGTTTCCTCTCTAAATAAGTTGACTGTTGATCCAAACATCTTTTTTCCTTTATTTTACATGTGGTGGCAGGAGCTGTTTGTTTAGTGGGGGTGCTGTTGGTGAAGCTTATAACTCAATTGCTTAAGAAATAGAAGAACAATTTCCGAGAGGACCGCCGCTGACACGCTGGAGATGAATTAGTCTCTCACCGATAACAGAAGGCATCTTTAAATGATATTACTGTGTTTTGGCTGCAGCGTTTGATCAATACTATTTTTTCTGAGGCACAATACTTGGGAAAGTGAAGGAAGAATGAAGCATGAAAAGATACAGAAGGAGAGAGTCATCGTGTTGGCTGTAATTATTCCAAACTGATTGTTGCACGTTCATGTTTAAATGTGTCTTGTAGAGTCGTGTGTCATCAAATCTTACGTTTCAGAGTCAAAACTTCCTGTGAATGAATCATTACATATGAAGATTATGTGTTGTTCCTTCATGAAGAATGAATAAAGTGGTTGCATCCCGTTATCTGTGCATTTGTCTCTGTGGACGCCGGCGTAACGCGCACTGTAACAAATTGCTGTAAATTTACGGTGCATTTCTAACGGTATCTTACAGTATGTCATAATTGTTGGGGGAAAATTGTTGAGCCTGCGTGGGGTGAGGCTCTCAGGAATGTGACCCTTGATGTGAGCCGGTGACTTAAGGCAGTCCAGGGTGAGATAAGACACAGATGAAAACATGCGTGCCCTGACTGACCTTTTAGATGTTGTTGATTGTCTGGGTCCATAAAGGGAGGGTCACAGGGTCACCCCTACATCATCTGCTACTTTTCCCACATTCCTCTTGAGGGGTGGGCTGTCCTGTCCTGAGGCAGCACAAACCCCCCTAAGTGTATAAAACCTCCTGTTCTCCTCTTTGACTTTGTCAGATCTTCCTGCTCCTTTTGGGGGAAGGAACATCTGTCCCTTTTCAGCTGAATTGTTGTCTTTTGACTTCTGTCTGTGCTTGAGACTTGTGCTGATGATTTCTATATTCTTTATCTTCTGCCTTTACTCTAGTTAGTAATAAATACTTAATCACAAAGCAAGCTCAAGATACTTTTGATTTCTCACATGGGCTAAATCCACAAATTTCCACCACAATAATAACTGTAACATACAGTTAAATTTCCATCCCTTGCTTGTAAATTAACGGCCAATGTCATGAATAAACAGTTAAAGCTGTCAATCTACAATAATAGCAAACTACCGCAATTAAACTGCATGTTACATATATTTTATGAAGTGGTGGAACTACACATACAAGTGCAGTGAATCACAATCCATCTACATCGGTTGTAGGTAAATGTATGGAAGCCCACGTCAGCCACTGAAAAACAGGTCCTGTAAGTCATCATAATGAGATACGATGATGACTTTGACCTACAGGACATTACTATACATGCAGCTGTCACTTTTATCCAAAACGCCCATGGTTTGACATCATTTTATGTGGAGTAATTGGGGGTTAGGTGTCTTGCTCAGGGACACTTCAACTTGGCACAGGGAGCAGCCAGGATTCGAACCGCCAACCCCTTGTGCTGCACAGCACACCCTCCCTATCGCATGCGCCGCCTTGTGTGGAAAAGCTGCACACTGGCTTCCTGTTTGTGGGGGGGCGTTCAGCCCCGTGCACTCGCTGGGGAAACGTTCTGTACGAGAGATAAAGCTCCTAATGGCTGTTATGAGACGCGATGGATACCGCGGAGAGAAACGACAGGAATGGAGGAGCTCCGCCATAAAAGGAGGAATCACACACGGATGGCTGCTCCAACCGTTTAGAGGTGGCTTCTAATAAGGGATGGTGGAAATGAATGAGGGGGGGGGGGGTACATGTAATAATGATTTGAAAGCTCAGTGGTGATGTCCAAACGTTCATCATGGATATTAACAGTGGGATTGGAGAGTAAAAAGGTTTATTGGTCATTAGAAGAAGGATTTGAGAGCTTGTTTTCACCGGACGTTTGATCGCTGTCACTCAGGTCCCATTTCAAAAGCAGTCGGGCATCCAGAGAGCGTCGCACTCACGTCATTTATCGGCACATGCTGAATTCTAGCTGGTAACAACTCGGGAAAAAATAAAGATGCTGAGACAAAAAAATCACTTAAACCCGGAGGTATGATGTCATCACGCTCCGCGGGAGTCATGGAGCATAATGAGGTTAGAAAGAGGCGTGTGTGTGTGTGTGTGTGTGTGTGTGTGTGTGTGTGTGTGCATGTTTAAAATGCTGCTTGAGCTGCTTGAGTCAGCAGTAATGGAGAAACCTGCAGTCGCTGCCAACAAGTAGCTGAGGGGAGAGGACAGGTGGCCTGAGTGACGCCCTGCAGCACCCTGCAGCACCCACAGTGACGTCCTGCAGCACCCACAGTGACGCCCTGCAGCGCCCTGCAGGACCGGGGAGATTCTGTTTGGGTGCATGGTTGAATGTAACATTTGACCTTTGACCTCAAATGCCAATGGTCCGACCTCCCACACGCAGGAAGTCACACGGCCCCCGTCAGGGTGCACAGGCGTTGAATGAGACAGACGGGTGAACGTCAGCTAAAGATTGTTCGACTGAAACCGACTGCTGACTGAATTTGAGCCAAACACTGAACTGAGGGATGAATATTAGAGCAGAAACGTGTGAATGTTCAATAAGACGTTCCTCTGCTTCTCAGCGCGCTCCTCCGCCTCCTCCACCACCACCATGGTCATCGACGGCAGTAACGCCGCCGCCGCCGCTCGAGGACCCAAAAAGACGTTCTCGGACGACCTCCACTCGACCTTCAGCTCCCCGCTGGCCTGGATCCTGGTTCTGGCTCTGATCATCACGTGGTCTTGTGTCTTTGTCATCATGTTTGACCTGGTTGACTACAAGACCGTCTCAGGTAAGGACGGGGTCGGAGGGGTCGGGTGGGGTCGGGGGGGCGTGTGCCTCCGGTTGTTGTTTCTGTTCACCTCCACTCTTCATTCCTCCATCGGCTCCTAAACGATTCACAACTTTGACCTCAAATAGAAACATGGACTCCTCTTAAGTTCTCCACCCTCCCCACCCGCCATCAGAGCCCCTCCCTCCTCTCTGCTCCACCCGCCTGTTGGATGTCTCTGCTTTATTGCTGCTGTGTTTCTCCTCCACCCAGGTCGCCCCCCCCCTCTCCCCAGGAAGGTTTTAAAGGACTCAGGCCGTAGAGGCAAGACTCCCAATGTGCTACTAACCAGCTTCTCTCTGAGGGATGAGAGCTTCCTGCTACCCCCCCCCCCCGCCCGCGCTCCTCACTCTCCTCCCCCTGTCTGATGCTGACTTCCAACTCTCAGATTTATGTCTTCAGCACGTTTATTTCTTCTTCTAAATGATGTATTTTTGGACATTTCCTTCAGCTGAGCTTGATTTGATAAATTATGATCAATCAATCTCATCTGAAATCTCTGCTTTTAAAATGCGTTGGACTGGATATTTTTGGCCTGGTGGCTTTCTGTGGCCTCGGAGAAGTTAAGTGAACAATGCATTGGAGCCTGAGATCGTCTCTTAATGGGAGAAACTCGTCTCTTCAACAGTTAAGATCCTCTTAACTGATTGAAAAGCGTCTGCACTGGGAACACTGGTCCTCCTTCATCAAACTCCCAGTCCGTCTAATATGAAGCAAAACTCAAAGCCTAAAAGTGGAAGCCTGAGTAGGGACGTGATGGAGGAGGCTCAGCGTGTCCTTCTCGCACCCTGTGAAGTGAAGGCTTGTCGCTGTGGTCAAACTGGAAGGTGGAGGATTCCTGCTCCGTTTATTTATTATTGATCAGCTCCTGCAGCCCCACCACAGTTTGACCCCCCCGGCCCCCCCGGCCCTCCACCCGCTCACGAAACGGCTGACTTTGTGTCGCTGCTCCACCAGGAGGCCTCAGCAGGATCGGCTCGGACCCCCTGAAGGCGGTCAACGACGCCGTGGAGGAGTCCACCAACGCCATCGGCGCCGTGTTGAAGTTCGTGGCCGGCCTGGTCGCTCCGGAAGATGAAGAAGGTACCGCGTCCCTCGGAGCTCGAGGGGGGAGGATGGGGGGACAGGGGGGGCTTTCTCCCGTCGCGTGATGTCACTGACTTCCTTTTGCTCCTGTGCTCTCCTGTAGGGAATCTCTACGCCGTGAGGAAAAAAGGTTCGTACTCGCCTTTTGTTTCCTGTTGCAGTCGTCATTCTGCTGCCGCCGCGCACACGCCGCGTGCACGCCGCGTGCACGCCGTGTGTGTCACCCTTTAACATCACTGAGTAAATCTAAACATAAAAGGTATGTGTTCAGATCCCAATAACCTTCCTCATGAGAAGCTTCTCACTACCCAACTTCTACTATAACGGCTTGACTCTTCTCTCGCTTGTTTCTGACTCACGTGTTCCTTCCTCTGTCCCGGGAGAATTTCTACCTTCCTAATTAAAGGTACGTATCGTTCAGGGTGTGCGAGGAGTCACTTGACCCATTAGCAAACTCGATAGACATTACTGAATATTGATGTTCTCGCTTTAAGATGAAGATTTAGGATAACGTTGAGATGTCTCTTACAGTTCTTGAGATGCAAGTGAACGCAATACCACCGGTGATCGAAATTGTGGAGGAGGAGGACGAAGATGTAGGAGACGAGGAAGGAGAAGAGGGAGGGGAGGCTGCTGGTGAAGAGGAGGAGGAGGAGGAAGAGGAGGAGGAGTACAAGAAGGAGGAGGAAGAGGAGGAGGAGGAGGAGGAGGAGGAGGATGAACTAGACGAGGATGAGGAGGATTATGAGGAGGAGTATGAAGAGGAGTATGATGAGGAATATAAAGAATATTATGAGGAGGAAGCTGATGAAGGGGAGGAGGAAGAAGAAGGAGTGGAGGGGGAGGAAGAGGAAGAAGAGGAAGAGGAGGAAGCAGAGGAGGAGGAGGAGGAGGAAGAAGAAGACGAGGAGGAGGAGGGAGGAGAAGAAGAGAACTCAGACGGAGAGGGAGTTGAAACAGCTGCTGATGAAGAGGAAGTTGAGGTGATGGCAGAAGAAGAGGAGGGTGAAGAAGAGGAGGAGGAAGCAGCAGAGGGAGTTGAAGAGGAGGAAGAGGACGGAGAAGAAAAAAAAGACACAAACGAGGAGGAGGGAGGAGAAGAGGAGTCAAATGAAGAGAGAGTTAAAACAGCTGCCGATGAAGAGGAGGATGAGTTGAAGGCAGAAGAGGAGATGGGCGATGATGAAGAACAGTTGGAAGCAGCAGCTGAAGATGAGGGTGAAGAGGAGAAGGAACCGGAAGCTGTTTCAGCTGAAATTGATGACAAAGAAGAAGATGATGATGATGGTGATGATGACGGTGATGAAGAGGAAGAAGAAGAGAACCCAGATGCTGCTGATGAAGATGATGTCGTGGCCTCTGAACCTGCAGCCGCTGATGCTGACGATGATGAAGTTTCTCCTGAACCCCCCTCCTCCTCCTCTGAGGAGGAGGAAGACTCGGCGGCGTCTCCCGATTCTGACGTCTCTGACAGCCACGATGAAGACGACGAAGATGACGACGCATTCACTGACACCTCGGAAGTCAGTGGATCTGCGCTCCCGAGGGACGAAGAAGACGACGAAGACGACAAATTAGCGGAGGGGGTCGTGACGTCAGACAGCGAGGACGAGCTGCAGCTTCATCTTCCTCCCGTTCTCGCAGCCAGTGAGGATGATGAAGACAACGAAGATCAAAAACCTGCTGAGGAGGAAGGTCTTCCTCCTTTACCTGTTGAGGATGACGATGACGACATTGACGGTGAACACCTGGACGGAGACGTCAGAGTGGCCGAGGACGCTGCTGCTGCTGCTGCTGCTGCTGCTGCTGCTGATGATGATGATGATGATGATAATGATGATGATGATGATCTGGACCAATCAGAGGACGACATCTCCGTCGCCTCCTCTGACCACTTTGCGGACGATGAAGATGATGAGGAAGACGGTGACCTCGGAGACCTCGACGATGACGACAAACCAGGTGAGGTCACTGAAGAAGACCACCGTGACGACGGTGATGACGAAGAGGAGGAGGAAGAGGAAGAGGAGGAGGAACCCGTGACCGCCTTTGAGAGCACCGACAGCGGAGTCTTGGGCGATGAAGATGATGACGAAGAAGAGGACATCGCTCTTCAAACAGATGAAGAGACCGTCTTCAGTGAAGACATCTCCTACGACACAACCGACGATGACGATGATGAAGATATCGACAACAGCTCATTTGAGCTCCACGAACACGAAGAAGAAAAAGAAACACTTGTTGCCGCTGAAAAGGACGATGATGATGATGAAGATATCGACAACAGCTCATTTGAGCTCCACGAACACGAAGAAGAAAAAGAAACACTTGTTGCCGCTGAAAAGGACGATGATGATGATGATGACGACGATGAAGTCAAATTCGAGTCCTCAGAAGGCGAGGATGACGAGCAGGACGACGATGATGATGACGAAGACAACGACGATGATGATGATGTTGATGAAGTCTTGCTTGCAGGTATAATCCGCACTATTGATTATTTCTTTGACTTATTTCCCTTCAGTCCTTTGCTAAAGAAAATCCTGGTTTCTGATTGGCTGGCAGGTGTCCATTACAATTCAATTAGGATAAATTAAACAAAGATTAATTAATATCAACAGTTGAAATATTCTACCAACTCGATACATCAACATTAATTATGTATTGAAGCAATAATGATGATGATGATGGTCACTTTAATTCCTATTTTTTGTATGGACATTTTTCCACAAAGTCCTTTGAGTTCACTGGCTCTGTTATTAATTATTGGTTAATATTGAATATTGATTAATAACACAACAATGTGCACCTGCAGCTTCCACTGCAGCAGCGTCCACCGGCCAGCAGGAGGCGCTAAAGACCGAGGCGGACCAGGACGATGAAGAGGAAGAAGACCCCAAACAGGCTGAAGAGCAGACTGAGGAGGCTGAAGCAGGAACAACTGGTGAGAATCACACAACCTTCATTATTGTTTATTATTCACACTTTTTCTTGAATTCAGTCGCAGTAAAACAGGCAAAACCATATTTGATAAAAGCGGAATAAACATTTGGTTTGATGCGCGAAACGTTGTTTTACTAACAGGAAAGTGAAGTTTTCCTCACGTCCCTCTAGTCCTCAAACTAAAATGACATAAAATAAAATAAATAATTTTTACTTTCATCTTTCTTCATTTTAATTAGATTTAAAGATCAAAATGTATTTCCTTATATTGTGTTATTATCTAGTTTACAGTCACAGAATCCTGTTAGTTTGATCTAAAACCTTTGATGAACACATTCGTCCTCAGCCGGCGCTCTCCAGGAGGACGAGGGCGAGGGGGGCGGAGACAAAGAGGACGGAGACAAGGAGCCGGGCGCCGGACTGAAGAGGACCGTGGACGAGCCCGAGGACGAGCAGGAGGAAGACTACGACGAAGGCGGCGAGGAGAAGGCCTCGGTGGACGTGAGCAGACCGGTGGAGGAGGCCGCAGGTCAGGGAGCCCGAGGTCACGGCGGCGGCGGCTTGTGGGCGGCGTCGGCCTCCGCCGTGACCTCACCGGTGTGTTTGTGCTTCCAGTGTGTCCCTGTATGAACTCCGCCAAGGCCAAAGAGCCCGCCGCCGAGACGGAGGACAGAAAAGGTTTGAGTCGGGACCATCGTGTCAAGATGAAATAAAAAATACCCACAATGCATCACTAAAACACAACCGCTTCTTCCAGATGCTCCGAGGAGAGTTTCCGCTGTGAGGAGGAGAAAAGGTACCAGAGAGATTCAATCTACACAAAACTCTGAACACAGTCCAAACACAAATAAAGCAAACAGATAAAACAGAAATAAAGGTTTTATCTGTAGATTCAACCGAAATATTTACTCATAAAGCGAGTTGAGACTTTAAGGTTTAACTGCAATATCTCACATTAAACCATACTTTTATCACTGCAGGCTTTACCTGGGGTGCTTAAAAATACTGTTATCATATTTATTTATGCATATTTCTTCTGTAAAATACCACAGTAACTGTGTGAATGTCGTTCACGCCGTGAGCGGATCGCGACATCAAACCTCTGTCATATCAGAAGAATCTGTTTGTGATTTTAATTTTATTTAATTGTTAGAGGCTGTGAAGGCCGAGGAGAAGCCCACACGTAAAGGTAACGCCTCCACGCCGCCTCCACGCCGCCTCTGTGTGCGCCGCGCTGCGACTTGATGTATGAACCGTGTTGTTGTTGTTGTTGTTGCTGTCGTCGCAGGTCTGCCCAGGGTTGCGGTCCTGGAGCCCCCGAGGACCAGGAGACTCCCGCCTCCTTTCAGAGGTACGATGCTCTCAATCAGGAGGTTGCAACTGACTTTTAAAGGATAGTTCAACATTCTGATCAGAATAAAGCTGCAGCAATCGTGTCCTGTAACTCCAGAAAGGGCTTCCCCAAAATGTGAGTATTCCTTTAATACTTAAAAAAAATGCAAAGAAAGCTGCAAGAAGAGCGTGTTGAATAATTCAATGACATTAAATGTACATTTCCAGCAACAATTCCTCTTACAATTTGAATTAACGGGAAGTTTTCTCTTTTAAAATTCCAACAACAAAGCCAAGAGAGCGGAAAAGACTCCGACCAAGACTCCAAAAAAAAGTGAGTATATTTGAGTGACATAATCTCCTGGTGCAGCAAAATACAAAAACTGTTGTTTACTCATCTGTTCATCAGAGACGGAGACTAAAAAACAAGACGACGTCCCAGAATCTGAACAAGAAGGTCAAATACGCTTGACTCCTTAATTCAAAATGTGAATGGATCTTATCGTTCTGATGATGGTTCTAATCTGGGGGAGGTGGTTTGTTTCAGTCGGCCCCTGCAGACCTGCTCCGGTCTACTGCCCGGCCCCCCCCGGCTGGTACGGTGAGTAACACCCAGTGGAAGTAAACATTTCATAAACAAACCAATTTTATCTCAAAAATGCATCTTCACCTTCCAGTCCACCACGTCGTCACCGACAACCCGTACCCCCCCCCCACCATGCCAGGTATCCACCAGCTATAAGTGCATCACCACTTCCTGTTGCATGGACCAGTGCGCGTAAACGCCCCTTTTGTTCCCAGCTCCTTCCGCTCCGGTTGTGACCGCCCACCCCGCCGGAGCTCCGCCCCTTTACCCGCAGCCGCCGCTCTACGCGCACTACCAGCCCTACCAGCCGTACCCGCCGTACCCCCCCATGCAGCCGCCGGCGTGGCCTCAGGCGGAGCCGGGGTCCCCCGTCCCTCCGGGGGAGGCCCCCGTGGAGCCGGGGGTCCAGCCTGCGGCCCACGGTGAGCAGAGACACGAGATGCAGACCACAGCGTGCGCGACGTCATGAGAGCTTTAACGTAACGTGACTTCTCTCCCAAAGCAGCAGAGAGCGTTGAGCAGGAAGTGAAGGAGGCTGCTTCCACCGCCGGAGGTGATTGCTTGTTCATTCACACATTTCTGTTGCTGAGGACAATAATCAATAAGTTGCTCTTCCTTTTGTAGATGCGACTGCTTCAATTGACAAAACCAAAGCTGCCGCTGCAAAGAAAGGTGATTAAACTCTGAGGTTACGTTGAGTCTTCAATTCGATTTAATAAAGAAATGCAATAAAAAGACGAGCACAATTAACATTTAAAACCAACTATGGAATCAGAATTAGAATGCAAACGCTCTCCTGAGTCACTTCTTATTGTTTTACAGAGCCAACGTTAAGAAAAGAGAAAAAAAGTCCGACAGGGGTGAAGAAAGGTCACGACCGTTTCCACTTCACATGAATATTAATCAGTGACTAAATCAGCGTTTTATACATTTAAGTCTGTTTGTTTCTCAGAGTCAGCCGTGAGAGACAAAACCAAACCTGCTGCTAAGAAAGGTAGAGAATGCAAACTAAACAACGCCAGCTGCACAACACTGGCACGCGAATAGAGAAACAACGCGTGAACTCTCTTATCTCCTTTCGCAGACGCGGCTCTGAAAGAGAAAACCAAACCTGCTGCTAAGAAAGGTAGAGATCAGCAGCCCGAGGGGTCGAAGAACGATTCCTACTTTATTTATAAGACTGATTCTCCTCCTCTGTGTGACGGAGCTTATCGGGGAAATGATTCAGGCGACTAATCGCCACTCTTTCCTCATTATTTCAGAGGCCGAAGCCGCTCGACAGCTGAAGAAATCGGCCTCTGAGGAGAAAGGTGAGGACGCTCGCTGGTTTGCATTCATTAGCAGGAAATCCTGAATGAACACGAGGGGGAAAAACATCTTCTTCATTCTCCTCTCAGAAGCGCCGCCCGCCAGGAGCAAAGTCAAGGCTTCTGTGGCCAAGAGAGGTACGACGTCCACTGGTTCGCTCACATGACGCCTTAGCACGTTAGCGCGTCAGCACGTTAGCGCGTCAGCGCGCGTAGATTCAAACCGGGTCGCTCGTTGTCGGATCCAGGCCCAGAACCGCGTCCGCAGCCCACGGAACTGAGGTCCCGGCCGGAGGCGGCGAGGAGGGCGAATGCCACGTCTCAGGCGAAGGAGCAGAAAGCCGCCGGGGCTCCGTCTGAACCAGGTAACCACGGTAACCATGGCTCAGCATCCCGGGGGCCCGCGGGGCTCTGATTCTGATTCTGTTTCTGTTTGTTTGATCTCAGACAAAACAAGATCCAAATTATTGGCGGACAAGAAAAGTAAGTAACGCCGGACCTTCGCCCGTGGAAGTTCATCCTCCAATCACACAGGAAAGATCCTCGCAGGCGATGTGATCGACGCTTTATGTCAGAACGTGTCGTTTCTCCTCCCGCAGGCAGAGCCGAGAAGGCCGAGAGGAAAGGTGTCAGAGAGGCCGAAGGTATTCACTCACAGAGAGGGAGAGAGAGAGAGACGGTGTGATGCATGATGGGACATTTCATCATTTCCTCTCGTTTTCTCTCCGCTTGCGTTTCAGATGGAGACAAAGAACCATCACAGGCCAGTGAGTGACAGTCAGACACGTGCACACGTATGTTGGGTTCAGACTGATTCACATAAGGACATTCTCATGGAGGGACTCGAGAGACTAAAGGTTTTGTCCTCGTCCGGTCACAGTCCTCCGTCCTCTCCGACCTGCCACAGAGGACGTTCTTATTGATACGACCATTCGACTACGGAGATGCACCTTTAGTCCTTCGAGTCACAGCACTTAATTTACACTTATTTTACAAATCTCTTCAGTTAAATAGTCTTTTATTTCAACTGTTACTTGCATATGTCCCCCTGGGTACGTGTACTGTATATATATATATATATATATATATATATATATGTATATGGGTTGTGATGTGTGGTAGTTGGACATGAATTAATTGGATAATGTAGAAATAAAGTAAATGAAATACTAGATCAGGATAGTAATGAAATGAGGAACATTTCTACACTTCGCTCCACTTGTTTACATGTTTTATACTTTATGCTTGTTGTTCATAGAGATGGAAACAGAGATTCCTCTGAAGGTATTCACGTAACTCGCTCCCTCCGTCCTCCGCGTGACTCAATACGGATTCCCTCTAATGACGTTAGCGCGAGGAGGATTTAACGCGATGAGCCGCCGGAGAGACGATCGGCGGCTTTTTCTGAGCCGCCTGCAGTCGCCTCAGGCGATTACGGCCTTTGATGAATACGGCAACAATAATACTCAGCCGGATTGATTAAATCCATTAGACGAGGCTATTAGAGTTCTGTTCTTATTGAGTCACCCCCCCCCCTCACTGCCCCGAGTGACTCTTCACCTCCCTCACACACTCACACTGTGTTTCACGTTATAGAAACGGTGCCATGTGTCTTTAGTTGGTTAGTGATGGTGAAGGTGTAAGGAATGAATCCGTAGTGATATTAAACATCACGTTTCTGCTGATGGGGAAACGTAAATTTGGATTAAGTGATATTTAAATGTTTGCTCAGTTGTTAGAAAAGATGTAAATATGCGAGTGAAGGAACGACTTGTTTGAGTGAAACCTTCATTTGTCCCTCGTCCATTGACACGCACGTCCTCCCTTGACTCCCCTTCTCTGACTCACGCTCTGTGCGTCTGTAGCTCCACGTTTTAACCTCTTTGTCTTGCAGAAGAAACGCAGGTCGATGACAACGCGGCGGCAAAGAAGAAACCAAGTAAGAAACGTTGTTTGTTTGTTTACCGTTGATTGGCTGAAAACGCGCGATGATGTCACAGACGCGTCATCGCTCGTCCCTCTCCGTCCTCGCCCCCCCCCCACAGGCCAGCGGTACTTCCAGTGCATCTACGTCCCCGGTAAAAGCGCACAGTACCCCTTGCGACCTTTGACCCCGGCCGTGTCCCCCGCCATGATGACGCCCGCCATCAGGTCCATGTTGGAGCAGCAGCAGAAGGCGGCGAGGACGTCGGGACAATAGCCGGGTCTCCCCCACCGCCTCCACCCGCCCCTCACGTCCCCCCTCCCACCCCCCCACCCCCCCCCTGAAGAACTCTTGAAAACCAAAGCTTGAATCTGCATTTAACTTTAGAATGAACAGGTTTAAATGAAGAACTCTAATCCTTTCCAATGATTAGTCACTGCAGTTCTATTTACGACATTCGGTACCTCTATAAATCTTGAGAGACACAAATTGGGCATGAAAATGGATGTTTTTTACTGCCATTTCTGCATCATCTTTGTGTTATTGAAAACATTCACCCATATTCACCCGGATTAACTGGTGATTCTTGTGTTCTATATTACGTTTTGTTCAGCTCGTTATAACACATCCGGCAACCACCTCACATATGTTTTGGTGTCGACACCTTCTGAAAATATACATTTGAATCCTGCTAACAAATCGCTCCGGGCCTCACAAACACACGGTGGAAATTAAACTTGAGACTGTTAACTGAAAATAAATTAGGAAGCTTTAATGAAATGAGAGAAACAAAGAATTGTTTGGTATCGTTATTTGAATGGGATTAAATATGACTTGAAGCTGCCGGCTGCGTGTTTTTCACAATAAGAGCTTCTCTTCTCCTCAGTGGCGAAGTGGGTTCGGCCACATCTGCTCCAGATGAGTGCAGGTGTTTGTTTGTGTTTTTTTTATTGTTGACGCAGTTTGTGTTTGAGACATATTCCTGCACGTTGGGTGCGTTTAGAATCGAGGGGGGAAAATGGCGCACAGGAAGTCAGCGTCGCCTCCACAAAGAGCCGCTGAGGTTTATTTCTCTGGGAGTCTTCACAGATAAACACCACTTTTATTTATTTTATCATTTAAAGGAGCCCGTGGCTTTGAGACTCATTTCCTGTTTTTCTGTCTCCTGGACGTCATTCAGCGTCTTCAGAGACCTGACGATGAACCAGAGACGCCGTCCGTCCGCTACGGGGGATAAATGTCCCGTTAATCGCTTACAGCGCTCGATGCGTTGTCATATTTTCAGTTACCTCGCTCTGATTTTATCCACGTTGACGACAGCGCTGTTTCCCAACACGTTGCTCAACTTGTTGCTGAGCGTAATCCACAACCCTTTTTTTTGTCTTACCGAACTTGACTACTTGTCCCTGTGGGTTCAGCAATGAGAGAAGACGCGGCGTTCAGAATAATCACACTCACGCTGCAGCATCGCAGACCTACGAACTGCGACGTGTGTCGGAACCAAAGCAAAGCGTGAAAAGCTGAACTCGGGGTCAAAGAGTCCAGGAGATGATGGTGGTGACGGTGGTGACGGTGGTGGTGATGGTGATGATGGTGGTGGTGGTGGTGGTGGTGGTGGTGGTGATGGTGATGATGGTGGTGATGGTGATGATGGTGGTGGTGGTCGTGGTGCTGATGGTGGTGATGGGAGGCGTCAGCGGGAGGAGAGAAGCCGCCTGCAGTCGGCTTCAGGTGTTGCTTTTGTTTACAGAGTTATTGGATCAATAAATCATCATCGGCTGCTCTGATCTCAGACATTAGGAACGAATTGTAACGAGCTGCCGTGTGCAAAGAATCTAACGTGATCAAATGTAATAAACTGTACAGCGGTTTCATAGCATCACATTTATCCTTAGACAGATGGAGGGTTACAGCCCAGGTACAAACTGTAACATATCCTCCATCACAGGTTCTTCTTCGTGCGTCATGAACCAACGCACGCGGTCAAATGTTTGGATATTTCTACACACGTGTTGGTCCAGAGCTTTAACACATCGGCGGGTTGAGCGTCGTTGTTTCTTTCTTCCGCTGAGGGTTCTGATCCCCGGAGCCAGAAGAGGAACCTGCTGCACAGGAAACGGTTCAAAAACACTGTGTGATTGTAAAACTGATGTTTGAGGCGTAAATGGAACCAGCGGGTTTGTTTTCTTGTGGAGGAAAATTGAGAGTTTTAAGGTTTAAGGTGTCAATCGTAAGCATTTCAGTCCTTGTTGACACGGAATCCGATGTGACGCGAGAATAATTGCTTGAAATGTCAAAGTAGCTCAGTATTTTCAGATTTATTTGCGTAGTTCCGTTTGTGTGTTTAGTTAAAATTAGCTGCAGAATGTATAAATATACCAGCTGACTCATAGACAGATGGATTCTAACTTCACTTCACTTGACACACTGAAGGTCTCTCTAAAGTCTCCCTGAGATGAATCACTTGCAGAAGATGAATTGCTAAAGTGAGAGAAGAGAATAGTTAGTTTTTAGGTTGTTTGGTTGTGTAGCGAAATCCCTTCTTTCCTAAATGTTCCTCGTGTCATGTGAGTGACGGTGTGACGGACGCGAGCGGCGCGTGTTTGTAATCCACACGCGTGGAGCTGCAGAGCGATCCTGCAGGTTGCAACGTGAGAATCGCTGAATCATTTGGGTAAACGGGGGATTCCTCCTGCGAGGCGTCTGCCGAGGTCACAGGAGGAAAACACATTGTGTGAGTCGGACTGTCAATAAACATTTACACAAACAATTGATTCGATTTCTTCTGAATGCAAGTCTTACAATATGACACAAAAGAGTGGAAACGTGAGAAAATCTACCTGTGTCCATATTTATTTTGCTCTTTTTACATGATGCGTTTCAGAAAACTGTCTTTGAGGACATTTATACATTAAACACCTGCTGACTGAGCAGTTTTCTGCTCCTAGTAGAATGTGTTTTCATAATAACGTCACAATTCAGCTCGTGTTTCTGCTCCTGCTGAAACTCTACAACCAAAGAACCGACATCAGCAACTCAAGTAAAATGCATTTCAATCAAATGATATATTCTATATATGAATAAAGGAAATAATTCTGTGCACAAATCCTTAATGATAAGAAGCAATATGTTGGGGATTTAATGGAGGAGTTTGGCTGAATTAAATAAAACATTAAAGTCAGTGAAAGAATTCATGTTATTAGTCCAACATGGGACAGAATTATAAAGATCATTGTTTCGTTGCTGTAAACTCACTTTTCTTTTCGTCCCCTCGCGTTGGAACAAAAGTCTGTGAACATTTAAAGACTCGGACTCGTCCGTCCGCTGCACCTTCTACATTTCTATTAATGTCAAAACCACAGCGACGTGAGTCAGTGTGGATCAGAGCTCCTCTGATAAACATGTCAGAGTCATTTAGTGTGAAATGTGAGCGACTCCCCAAAGACACCGACAGTCCCAAAAGTGATTGGTCCTTTTTAGGAGAACGCTGATCGAGAAAACAAGTCGCAGGTCCGAGGCGCCGCGCCGAGTCTCCTCGCTCTTCTTCTCGCTCTTCTTCTCGCTCTTCTTCTCGCTCTTCTTCTCCCCCACAAAGTGGTTAATGGGATGTTTTTGGGCTGCGGGAGCGAAACTGGGCAAGTGGAGAAAACTTCAAGCTTCAAAGCACAGTTCAAATTCAAAAAAAAGGTAAACTCCCACGAAAATCATCCCGAAAACCCCTTCTGAGACACCCGACTGGTGACCTTGTGACCTTGTGACCCCGTGACCTCCTTTGACTCTCATTCTGGCTCCAAACAGCTGAGCGGGCCTGCAGGTCAGTCCGTCCCGCCGGGCTTCAGTTCATATAGATTAGATAGTCACTTTATTAAAAATACAGAAATAAAGGTCTTGAATGGCGACGCACGAAGCGTCCCCCCTGATGTTTATAATAAAATGTAAATCTTCAGTTTTGTTTCCTCGACGGACGTTTCAAAACGAACAAAACCGAGTTGAGGTACTTTGACCTTCAAACAACCTCCTGTCAGTAACACGCTTTATTCAAGCAGTTTATTCCATGTAAACGTTGTATCCTAACAACTGGAAGCATCTACAGTGGCTGTGTGTGTGTGCGTGTGTGTGTGCGTGTGTGTGTGTGTCTGCGGTACACATCGGTTTTCTTCACATTCCCTTGACTGTAAAACAAACGTCTCAGTAAACGGCGTCAGAGGAGAGATTTCGGCGCTGCAGCAGCCGCTGCTCTCGGGGAGAATTCAAACACCAAATAAGTGAAAGCTCGACATTTTTTACCGCAGCTGACTTCGAGCTGAACGCGGCCTGAGAAGGAAACGTAAACCACGTAAACCAACAGAGGGCGAGATGGCCTCGAGGGGAAAATGAACCCGGATGAATTAATGGTTTGACTACGTGACTCGACATTAAAAGTAAAACTATTTGGAACAAAATAAAGTCCATGTTGAGTTTTAGTTTCAAACGGGACGATTAGAGTCTTTAGTAAAGCGACGGGAGATGAAGGCGAGATGCGTTTGAGGCCGAAGTAAGTAAGTGACCTGGAGGTGAGATGATAACTAATACTGATTAAAATACATTTTAGCTGCATTATAAAACACCAACAACGTCCTGAAATAATGCAACGAAAACAGTGAGATTCTGAGCAAAACATGCAGAAAATACCGTGTGTCTTTAAATCTTATTTTGATCTAATAATACTGACATGTTAAAGAACATGTGGAAGATGTTTGGCCGGCGAGGAGGTAACATCATCACATCCGGAAATAAACGTCAGAGGAGGTAATACGCTCGCCCCGTCTTATACAAAGTGAATGTGGTCTTATTTAATCCTCCGGACTCTCAAAGTAAGTTTCGACCTTGTTGTTTAAAAACGGAGGAAGAAACACAGGAAGGAAAACGCGGCATCTATCGAGCAACTCATTAAATAAATAAATAAATAAATGTACAGAACCCCTTCCTCCCGTCTCAGGGTGGGACACGTCCCCCTCCCGTCTCCCCCCCTCCTCCCCCTTTGGAGGAAGGCGTTCTCGGCGCGCTGAGGGGGGAGGGGGGGGGTTTGTGTGTAAATGTGTTCAGTCCAGCGAGAGCAGCGGCTGCATGTTGTCCTCGTCGCTCTTGGCTTTGTCCGGCCGCTTCAGGACGCCCGGTTCCACCACCGACTGGGACCTGCAGCCAGAGGAACCATCTGAGCTTCAGGGTCAGTAGCCACACCTCCTCCTCAGACAGAAAATGACCACGCTCAACACTCTGTGATGAGCAACAGGCCCCCGCTAAACATTCGACTTGAGCAAAGGGGAGAAAAGTATTTGCATCAGATCGTACTTCAAGTACCAAAAGGACTCAGAATGGTCCATTTAATTATAGCACATAAATACTGACGCATAAATGTTGCTTTGCTGTTGCAGATGGAGAACATTGTAACTTCTTCATAATATTTAGCATAAACACCACAAATCTGCAAAGTAACTTTAAAATCTAACAATTTAAGATTATATTATATTCAGCAATATGATCTTTATTCTCAGTTTCATTTCCCCTGAACATCTTCTGCACGCTATGATTTCCTCTCGATTAATTTATCTATAATATCGCAGTCGTTGGTTCGAATCCCCTTCGGGGGGGGAGGGGGAAGGGGGGGGCTGACCTCTTCATGGTTTTCGGAGACAGGTTCTTGTCCAGGTCCCTCTCCAGGTCTCGCACTGACAGGGTGTAGGACTCGGGGCAGTAGTCGGCCTCCTCGTCGTAGGCGTGCTCCAGCAGCGCCCGGGCCCACGTGCCCATGTCGTACGGCGGCATCATCCCGCCGAGCTCCGAGGGCAGGATCTCCGGGTGGATGAGCAGGTGGAGGCTGTTCAGGTTGTTGCCGTGCATGAAGATCTGCAGGAGGAGGAGACAGGAAACGTCCATTTTAAACATGTAACGTGTTTGTTGTTGAAGCTCCTCTCGGGCGGCAGGAGGCGCGCGCGGAGCTTCTGGATGGCGGCCTCACCCTCTTCCGGGTCTTGTCCTTGAGGAAGGGCCGTATGACGGTGTAGAGGGCGTGGATGTACCAGGGCTGGTTCACAAAGTGGATTCCTCCGAATCGGGCGGGAAAACTGTCCTGTTGGAGACGCGGAGCAGAACGATCCCATTAGATGATTCATCATCTCAACAAAACACAATCAGTTCACCATCTCTCCTCTACGAGTTCCAGCCGCTGGAAAATCACCGCCGCGAGTTCCCGTCTCCTCTTCATCGCATCGGTTTTATTAATGGGCTCTGATCTCGTAGTCGGGAGGAAATGGTCCGAGCTAATTCTGGACTCGCTGCGGCGCCGCGGGGAAATGAGTCCTGGTCGCTCCGAGTTAGTGAGTCTGGACACAATTATGATGATTGCACTCCGCTGTGTGTGTGTGTGAGTGTGCGCGTGTGTGTGTGTGTGTGTGAGGCAGAGATTCTGAGGTCGGGTTTGTATATTCGGGTTCGTGATCGATATGAGTCTAAGTGGGATTCTGCATCTGGTTCTCACGTGTTCTCACGTGTTGGAGACCAAACAAATATGATAAATAATCTTCTCTTGTTGTGGAAACAGAAGAACTCTCGTCTTATTGATCGGACGCCGTCGTAACAACAAAATACTTTTGTGTAAATACCGATTTTCCTGATAAATACTATCGTGAAAGGAGACGGAGGAAGAGACGCAGCATCCGCCCTGCGTCACCTCCACCCTGGAGATCGGGAGTCGCACATCTCCTCCTCGTGTCCGTCAGGCCGCAGCACATCGGGTTGATGAGCTCTCTCGGAGGGAGGAGGGGGAGGAGGGGGAGGTGCGGGGGAGGTGGGGGGGCTTTTTCCCCTCTTTTCAGGACATAAAGTGCAGCCCGGAGCTCCTCGGGGACGAGACGAATGGACGGAGCGAAGTGGAGAGGAAGGAGTAAGTCGTCAGCGTATGACGGGGAGCAGCTTCAGGCACCACCAGAAACATCCGACCTTCCAGTTCTCTCACGTCCCCTTTTTTCATCCCACCGGCTCTCCTCCTCCTGCTGCTGCTGCTGCACATCGTGTCCACACCTCCACGTTTCTCATCTGGGTTCAAATCACTTCACGAAGGCCGGCGGGAGACGGATAAATGAACGTCGACCTCCACCCGCCTCCACCCCTCCTTCCCTCTGCTGTTGTCAAACAGCTTCTTCTCCACCAATTACACCGCGGCCTCTGTGAATTATTCAAATACTGCCAAATGCAACGAGAGGGAAGGAGCGAAGTCTGAATGTTCCATACGTGCACATAGAGGGAAGGAGGAAGATCTCCAGTGCTTCATATGTTAGACGGTAATTAACTCCAACACGTGACCTTTAATAGAACCTAAAGAACTGTCGTTGCCATCAGTCAGGTCGTAGAATACCAGACAGCCTTTGAGTCAAAGCCAGTAAATCTACTGAGAGAAAAGAGAGAGCTGCTCTTTACTGCCGACATACAAAGAATTGGGGATCTTAAATATTGGCGGCGAACGTCCTTTTTGAAGGCGTCTTCAGAAAGCTGATATGGGCGGAAGCGGCTGTGATGTGTCCCGGTGAAGTGGGAGGCCGATGGGAAGCGACGGGCTGCAGACGGGAGATAAAAAGCAGGGAGGAGAATCGATACTGCAGCCGAGACGGTTCACTAGAAGAAGAACCGCTCCGTTTCCTGTGCGCACTGGAGGTTGAGGTCATGTGACGGATTCGTCAGTAAACCGGGAGTCAATCTGAGTGATGAACGCTCTTAAACCCATTTCCTTTCTCATTTTAAAGCATATAATGAAGCTGCTATCTTAATTATACTGTTTAAGATTTAAATTATAGTGCCCTCAGAGGGCTTTTATCGTTTATTACACACGGCCGCGATGAGAAGGAGGAGCATCATCAGATTGGACTCGACGCCTCGAGGTATCAGAAGTGTTATTTTCTAACCAAGCTGCCCCGAATCAGTCTTCGCTCGCCGACGCGGTTGGCTCGGATTTCACAGATTTCACAGATTCTCTGAGTCGCAGCTCCGGCGAAGGAGTCTGCGAGTTACGTAACGATGCTGATTGGGGAGTGAATCCACGGGGGGGTTCGCTCACCACCGCGTGTGCTAACGAACACGTTCGGGCTCCGCAGGGTGAAGTTACACCACGAGAACTTCAGCCATTAGCGATAGCGGCTAATGGTACCTGGCCCTGCTCCTCTCAGCTCCTCCCTCTCGCCCCAAACGTCCAAAAACAAAAAGGACAAGATGGCGACCTTCAAAATGCTGGACCTGAGGTTTCAAACGGCGCTTCTTCTACACGGTTTGAGGGCTGGATGCGGATTTATCCTCTGGAAACTATGAATATCTGTCTGCCAACGACAACCCAAAAGCAAAGTCCGGCTGTGACCGAAGACGTTTCGTGTTCCGCGTCACGCGATGGAACCTTTTACAGCTTAAGTCTCGGAGGAGAAACGCGTTTTCGTGTCTCTCAGCACAACAAAAGGAAACCCATCGGGAGGACAGGCCAGGGCAGTCCGACACGTTGCCGTGGCAACATGTCGATGGTGGGATGTAGCGGGAGGGTGGAGGAGGAAAAGAGGAGAGGAGGAGGGGGGGGGGGGGGGGTCGATATGGAAGAAGGTAAAGATGCTTATTTTAGGTTCCACGAGAGAAGAATGTGAAATAATGTGACGTCCGGAAGGAGATTTCTTTTAATTCAATATTGTTTTTGTTTAGAAATAACTTTGGAGTCGATGACTCATAAGGATGAAGGCGTTTTTTTTTTTACAGGAACTGACATCAAATAAAGAACGTTTCATCTGGTGAACAATGATGGAGTGACTGAATGGAGAGAGAGAGGAGGGGGGAGGGGAGGGTGGAGATGATGTTAAGGAGAGAGAGGGGGGAGGGTAAAGAAAACAAAAGTGAAAAAGGTGGAGGGGCCAGAGGGGACCGAGGAGGAGGAGGAGGAGGAGGAGGAGGAGGAGAGTGAACCAACGTTTTCTATGATGTGAATTCTCTTTTGAGTCGATTTCACAGCTTTGACAGAAAGAGACACATTTTCCCTCTTGAATCCCCTCAGACGGCGTGAAGCGAACCCGAAGGACAAAGGACATCACCAAATACCGCGGGAGGCGTCGATTAAAGAACCGTCTTTTTCGCGCTCGCGGTCATCCGATCGACGGGCTTTTAAATCCAACCAAACGTGAAGAGTGAGCAGGACGTCACCAGGGTTCATCCTGCAGAGACAGACACAGAGCTCCACCAGGTGATGGAGAGCTGTTTGCGGTTCAGTAAAAAGACAACGAGGGCAACGAACGCTGCAGCTCATCCAAACCATGTCCCTGATGATGTTACACAGCCGATAAGAAATACTGATCCACGGCAAAAACAACAGACTCAATAATTAGATCTCATGCGATCTGGACCCGGCTCGACCGGCTGTGGGGACTTCTAATGAACTTATGTAACCAAACGCTGACTCAGAGCGGCTCCCCGATGGGGATCCAATTGTCGAATTACGCTTCGGCCTCGTTATCCTGCCGTCTGCGAGGAAACAGCTTCTACTAGCGGCGGCTCGCTGAAGACGTTTCAGCGTGACGCAGCGAAGGTAAAGAGCAGAGGACACATCAATCCGCCCTCTGCTGATTCCTGCGAGGCTTCGTATTGGTTTAAGCGTCTCCCCGCGATGTAATGTAATGTCACTGTACCTTTTTCATAAGTGGGGTCGTTTGTTGAACTACTTAAGAGTTTACATTCTGGGGAAATGTGTGAAAGCTGCGATATTAAACCCGACTAAGAAGAAGGAGCCAAAAGGGAGAAGCATTAATCGCTGTGTAACGTTGTAATCCCGGAGGATTACGACTGGATGGGTTTGAGTCCCGCGCTGCTCGTCTCCTGTGTCTCCACACACCCCCTTTTTCATTCGATATCTTGTATTCCGGCATGAAATAAATGTAATGCGAGCGGCGGCTTTCCAGCCTGGTGTCATCCAACAGGAAGGAGCTCGCGAAGCTCGCTGAGAGACGCTCGGGCGGGATCACGAGGCTCCATTTGTCCCTCGCCGACCTCCGCCGAGACGTCCTACAGAAGACGTATTGTCTCCTTCGTATTGTGCGGCGAAAAAGACATGAATGTGCACAAAGGCCCTAAACACAATTTCATAAAAGCTGTTTCGGAGGCGGGAAAGTTTGAGAGAAGTTTATGAATCTAGAATGTTCTCAAGTCTTATTGAGGATGGAAAATATTGTTAAACCCAACTTGGATTCCATTATTAAATTGACTTATAGGAAACAGGTCATGTGTCACTTTTACAGATTCAAGAACCAGCTCCATCATATCAAACAACACTAAACTTCGGACGTGGCTACACGGTGCATCGCCAACGCGTTTAATGCTGGCCGTGTTGTTGCAGGGAAGCTCAGCGGTGGTGTCTATGACCTGGATTCATGTTGTATCCATCACATTGCTGTCGGATCACACAGACGTCACATAATCCAGAGGCCGAGCGCGCGGAAACATCAAAGGAAGGCAGCAGCAGGTGTAAAGTCGCTGAGTTAAACTGAGCGATGCGTTCAGGGTAAACGGGCCACATCGAACCCTGTGCAGGTGACTCAGCAGCTTTTAAACAATTACTGATCTCCTCTGGATTCCCGACCGAACATGAGGAGTGACTCACTGTGTGTGTGTGTGTGTGTGTGTGTGTGTTGGGGGCTGCACCACTCTGTAAATGTAGATTTAGTATATTTATTCTTATGTTTAATGTATTTTACAGGGACGCGATGATGCATTTGTAGGGAACAATTTTCAGTGGTGGATTTTACCAATTTGGGGCCCTAGTGAGTATTTGAGGCTGCAGGATTTATTTAGTTGACATTGAGGAAAATAAATATGTTCACAACCTTTAAACACGCTTTTACGTTTTTATTGCCACATTCCGGGGGGGCTTGAGGGTTTAATTTGTTAAATCAAATCGAAATCAGAAAACGCTTCTTCCTTCAGCTTTCTGTGCGCGGTTGGGAGTGACTCAGCAAATAGCCCCCCCCCGTCCCCCCCATCAATAATTCAGGCTCTAATCTGTGTCTGGAGAGCCGTGAGAAGTTGTGTTATGTGTAGACTCTTCTCTCTCACACGCTTGCTTGCATCCGCGGTTTGTTCCCTCGGTCCACAAAAACAACAACGCGCCGCCATCGACTGCTGACACAGCAGATAACTGATCACAGAGAGAGGGGGGGGGTGGGGGGGGCATCCGGCTTACGTAGAAATATCATAATTATCACCATTTTACTGAGACATGAAAGAAGAAAGAAGGATTTACATGTATGTTACATATCAAGATGTACTTACATCGGTTACCTGACTACTATGAAGCATCGAGGGGGCGATTTCACTGTCTCCATCTTGGCGACCGTGAACTCATGTTTACAATGTTTATTGGGGGAATAAATCAACGGAGAAGTAGAGTCATTTTCTTATTGACTCCTATGGGACCAGAGGAGTCGCCCCCTGCTGGTCACTGCAGAGAATGCAGCATTTTAAAACACTCACGGTCTCCTGGGGAAATGAAAGCTGACACGCGTCGACCATTGCGTAACTAAAACTGGAAAAGGAAAGTCGCTGAAAGGAAGCGTTTAAGTTTGCCGTGCATTTGCATATTCAAATAAAAGAGCTTCTGAATCATAATCACACGGAAGGAGAGGATGACAACTTGGTGTGAATTTCGAGGAAATGCGACCCTTGGCAGTTTATCAGCAGTCACAAGCACACGACATCACGCTGCGTCTCACTCAATGCTTCCCTCCGGAAACACTTCCCCCTTCAGAGTTCCCGTTGACTGATGGGACCCGGCAACAAATTGGCAGATGATTCACAAGGATGTTGGAAAAGCAATAACTCGCACTCACACGCAAGCCAGGCAAGACATTTCCTCCCGGGTTTGGCTGGCGACCAGAGGACAACTCGTCTCCGACAGCTCGTCTCAATAATGACCTCAAAGTGGAATAACAACGCGTTCAATCCCCCAACGCGCAGTTACACATCCAACGAGCGCTGTCTCAATGTGCCACATGAGGGAACCTGGACTGCCAATGCAGGAATACCAGAGCTGAACACCAGAGCTTTTTGGGGGGGGGAGGGTTGGGGGGAGTGGGCGGGGTCTTTGCATCATCACCTGCCAAACGAGCCTTGAAAAACAGCACCCGGCCGCAGTGGTGCGTGATGGAAATGGAAATGTCATTATTCCTCTAAAGCTCGACTCGTTCTGAAGTGGGACGCTCTGACCGCGGAGGGGGGGGGGGGGGTTGTCCCTCTTCAGGAAACATGGACCGGCTTTGTTGAGGGACAACACTGCGGATTTCTGGATTATCAACCGACTGCGATTGTAAAAGCTTAAACGTGACGCTGGATGACTTTAACGGCCTCAAAGGGCTTTCTGCGTGTCCTCATTCACCCATTCACCACCACACTAAGGCACCGCCTCAGGGGGGGCAATATGGGGGTTAAGTGCCCCCGCCCGAGGACACGTCAACGTGGACTGGAGGAGCGTACTATTAGAAGACGACCCGCGAGGGGTCAAACCGAGAAGACTTTCACACAGGAGACCCTTGTTTGGGTCCCCGGAGTAACAAAAAGTCAAGGTTGACCTGTTTTGGCACGTCGGTCTTTAAAAATCAGACTCGTCAGTCACATGACTACATGTCACTATGGTCATTCCAAAAGGAAAATGCACTTTTCCATCCTTTGTTGGAACTTTTAATGAACTGGAACTACTTAAATGATAATAATTAACGTCTCCAGGCGGCCGAGCGTCTCACCTGCAGCCCCTCGATGGCCAGCCGCAGCATGCTGGGAGTCAGCTTGGACGCCTGCTTGAAGGTGAAGTTACTCCAGTCGATGGTGAGGATGAAGCCGTTGACCTGCAGCTCCGGATCCTCGATCATCGACTCCAGCGACAGCAGGATCGCCCGGAGGATGTCCACAAACGTGTACCTGAGGAAAGGAAAGACATTACAAGCCGGTCGACGGAGAACCTTCGATTAGAAACCGAGTTCCGGCGGTTCTCGGTGGTAGCAATGCAATAAGTTCATACTTAACCCACGTAACCGGTGCACATGTGATAGATGCGATCCATGGAAGACCATTTAAAAGTCGCTGGGAAGTTGAACCCAGGAGACTGTTGTTCATGTGTAACAGTTATTTCTAACATTGTTTTCATTAGTGTTTCTCTTAAAAATACTTTAATCACAAAGACAATTGTGTATTATTACTCTCAATCAATGACAATGCATCCTCCTCCTCCACACATAGCAACAAATACGTAAACGGCTTGATAAATAGGAGGAAAACTGAGACAAGATTTAAGTACTTCAAATATTATTGTATTGTTTGTATGGTTTTACTTATTACATATACATTGATTTGTTTGGTTGATTGCATTTTCTAAAACCATCACTGTGAGGCTCCATATTGTTATTTTTATACACTGTACAATCAGGCCGATCTGATAAACCGATGTTTCTATATATTTGAATTACGAGGAGGCAAAAAGGACCAAAATCTCTATGAACTCTGGCTACACGAACACTAACGATGTGTGACCCCTTATGAAAGCCAAATATAGCCGCGTTCCTATTTCCTGTTCCTGTTGCTGGGTGTAACCTCCGCTCAGTCTGACCTGAAGACGGATGTGAGGCAGGAGAACATCAGAGGACTTTCTGTTAAACTAACCTTTGTTTCAAGGGGAAACGAGTTCTGACAAGGGGCAATAAAATAATTAACTATTGGCTGTTGCATCTCATTTGTGATTTCGGGATGCAAGAAATGAAAGGGGTCTTCACTTTTCCCAATTTGGTGAGGAAGAACTTAATTGTCCTGCATAGAACCCAGACGTCAACCCCCCCATTTGACATCTTTAGATGAACCGGAGCCAGATGAACCAGATGAACCTGATGAAGCTGATGAACCTGATGAACCTGATGAACCTGATGAAGCTGATGAAGCTGATGAACCTGATGACCTCAATGTCTGAACCAGAGCATCATCCCTGCAGCCCGGGCTGAAAAATCAGAAATACTATTTTCCACTACTGATTAGAGAAGAAAGATGAGTTGTTTCCCCTTTAAGTATCACTTTGTGGTGCTGAGTGGACCGACTCCACTTAATTATAGTGGGTTTTGAAACACAAACACAGATTGTCCTCTGTTGTTTATGGGCTTCTCTTTAAGTGTCTGATCAGATAACAAAGGCCCCTCCGGCCCCTTTCACCACCAGCGCTCTGCCTCTTTATTACCTGCTCTGGTCCCAGTTGGCTGCGAACAGGACCAGTATTTTCCTTCCATATCTGTCCAGATTGGACAGCACGCCGGGGAAGCCGTCCTTCAGGGCCTGCTTGATGCCCGGGTCCGTGGCTTTCAGGTTCTTGAACATGTCCAGGTTCTGCTGCCGGTACTCAAAGTACTGCGCCAGCAGGCGGAACGCCTCGAAGTGGTTGAACTTCCTCGCCCGGAGGAACCGGAGGATGAACGCGTCGTCGGTCCTGAGGAAGCCGATGTCCGGCCGGGTGATGATCATGTCCCGGACCTCCTGGATGTCCTGGTGCAACGTGTCCGGGTTTTCCTTTAGCTCCGCCTTGGCCTTCTCCAGGGTCTCTGGAGAGAGGCCAGCCTGCAGGTGAGTCATCTTTTGCAACAGCTGTCCCTCAACGGAGACCACAGTGAAACTGCACAATCGATGGTCACCTCCAGCAACAGGGTGGTGCTTTTTCTTTATGGTTCAGAAGCTGCACTCAGACGGAGGCCCGCTGCTCTGTAGACGTAATCCACCCTGAACTGGCACAGACGCTGCTGCTCTGATGCTCCCGATCAAGCATCATCATACGGGGCCACTTTTACGCACGGGATAATTCAATCCACCGTGAAGAATTCAACTTCACTGGGGTGTCCCCGCCTCGGGTCCTGCGGCGCTTCACGCGGCGCATCCAGCCCGCGGACGCGGGCGGCCCGAGCTCACAGCCGACGCGCAGCCGCTTCCCTGCATGTCAGAGCCCTCCGTCCCCTCTCGCTCTCTGGGACACGATGACGACGACAGCCCCGGCGACTATACCTCAGATCAGACCAGCATCCTCCGCTTCAAACGATCTCCATCCGGGAGCGGCGGTGCTGCTGTGCCCTCAGGGTGCTGCTGGGGGCCGAAACATCAGGAGATCCTCCGCTGGTTCGCGTGGGTCCCGGTCAACCGCTTGTCCGTCACTCGCCCGACGGGAAAGTCCTCGAGCCCGGGAATGTTC